AACAATTTACTTTTTTCAATTAGAATGCTAAATTACTTGAGCTATGATACTACAAGAATAAAGAATACTATAAAATTGAAGTAGGGTAACATAATTATTTCTTGCTATATTCTATCCAATATTATTTGACCCAAGAAAATATTATCTCTTTTTTTTCTCTTATGAAATTTAAAATTTTTTATTCACCCATCACTGTCAATGCGAGTAGAAAGTTCCAGAAAAAGGTTCTACAATCGGACTTCCGTATAAAGACAAACATGGAATTGCCAACAATGAGTAGTTTAATGTTCGGAAAGCATCCGCCCTCGGTGATCTCGTATTTATCATAACCACAGTTGCCGTCAGAACATTCTCTCTGCGCGTGCAAAACACTTTCCAATATTCTCTAAAACGTATTTTTATAATGTCAAAATTATATTAAGTATTTGTATTTATATTATATAAAATATTAAAATTTATATATTTATATTATACTTTATAAAAAAATTACACCATGTTAGCATCAAATATAAAATATATTTTTTTATTTTATTAAATTAAATATAATAATTATTAAAATTTTAAATAATATTATTTTTATATTATATATTTATATCATATTTATATCATGATCTTATGATTTAAATTGTCAATAGCTAAAACACAAAGCGCGGTCTTCACGTTCCTTACAATACGTGAAATTGAACATAAAGCTCTAAAACAGTGCACCGTAATATTAAAAAAAAAAAAAAGAAGAAGAAAGATAGAAAGAATCGTAAGCAAGTCGATCAAATAGGGTATCTGATCAAATCCAAAAAGCCCAAACAGAATTTTGTAACAGAAAATCAGAGGAAAATGTGTTGAAAATGCAAGAGGGTTCTGCCAAAAGCTCTATACCTGCGGGACAGAAGGTGACGCTCTATCATCAGATATCTGAAGGTCGGGTCAGGGTGTTAGGTACTATATTTTTCCCATGTTCATGCTACATGTTGACATTGAGAGAGCATCCAAACTTGGAAGAATATGAAGCATGGAAATTAAATTTATTTTGACCAAAAAAATGATTAAAAATTACTTTAATTATTACAAACTTTTTGTTCACTTAATGATTTTGTTGGAAAGACTTAACAGTGATAGAAGGATGAAATTTGGTAAACCTTACATCAAACAAATTAATGGTTAAAAAAAAAAAAGATAATAAGATAATTTTGGAAGGACTTGACCAAATGTCAAACATATTTCACAGAGGCAAGCTACTTAGTGGCTTGGTTTCCAATATAGCTGGGAGCCACATTAAAATGACCTGCCTTTGGAAGAATTTTAAGATTAGATAGAGATTAAAAGGTGGCCAATTCACATTTGGTTTTTGTAGAGAGGTTTTCTTTTCATTTCGATTTTTTTGAAGGGTGCAATAGGAATTTGTTTTTTTTTTTTCTTTGTTTTACAAAAGCTATGATCTCGATAGAGTAAAAAATTGCAAGTACAAGATTTAAATCTAAAACTTACTAAATATCATTTTTAAAGATAACTGTATGATTAACATAATTAAAACTTTAATTCAAATAGCCAATTTTATGATTACTTTTGTCGGTGAAAAAACTTTACATTTAACTTATTGGAGTTAAAGTTTCTTTTTGAATGATTAGATACAGACTACAATTTGTTTTTCTTTTCATCAAAACTTAATACAAACTCAGGCAGCCTTCGGCTTTGGCTTCATTCGCTTTGCTTTGGAATACAAGAAGACTCCAGTAAGAGGCACTGCAGTCCAAACCAGTCACAGTTAAATATAAATAGAATACAAGTGCAATTTTATGACAATTTAATTAGTGCATGTAAAAGCTGATGATCAAGGAAGAATTGTCAATTTGCCATGTTTTAACAATTGGTTGATGATCAATTTTACCAAGGGAATTAATGGGTGAAACAGGCGTCTGTAAGAAGATAACTGAAGAAACGATGACCACAACTCTCTTAACACAATTTCCTACAGTGTGTAACTGGGGATACCATCTGCAAGTATCATCTGTGAGACCTGCAAAACAGAAAACATAGCATTTCAACTTCGATTAGAGGACTAGAAATTAGGCATTCCCTACTGCTATATTTACTATGATTACTCAGGAACTGCATAATTTTAGGATAAAGAAGCAAATTACAATAGATACAAACAGGCTTACCTGCTGATAACTGTGGAAACAGAATCCTGCCAGAAGAGATCTTATGCATAGCTCTCCAACATTCAAACCTTGGTTTGAATTGATTCAAGGGAAAATGAAAAACAGCTTCATGTTTATGACATAACAAGCTCTAATTGTTGCTTAGAGACGACATCAGCATTTGCTTTCTAAATGTGCTATAGCTACTTACAGCAGATTGTAGAAATGAAGGAGTGAACTTGACACCTTCCATTAAAATGGCAGCAGGAACCAATAGGATAAATGAAATTATGGTTAGTACAGAGAAGAGATTGATATTGTCCAAAGTGTCCTGCTTAGAAAAGTGAGGATTAGAGCCCAGATGACATAATCAATCAGATAAATTAGAAATCACTTTGTAAAATCAAGAGCATAATTGTCATACTTCTGTCATAAAACAATGGAGACTCAATGACATTTAAAATGTAAAACCATTGTCTATTTATGCTTGAATTATATGTTTTTTTACCTATTTTCTAACCATGAACTTTTTACCGAGCAAATTACACAATTGGTTAGTCACATTGGAAGCCATTGCGCTACAGAAACCAATCCTGTTCAGAACAACAAGACTTAGTCAAGTTTAAGAAACGAGTTTAACTGAACATAGACCACGCTTCTGTAAAGGGATAGCGTATCAAACTTTTAAATGAGTTGATCAGACAAGGGTTCTTACCAATTAAAAGATGCCTGAGTGAATGAGGCTAATGCCACTCCACACACAACTGGTATGAGGGAGGACACTATCCAGAAAGTAGGCCACTGTGAAAATGAAATAATTGTGAAAAACTGAGTGAAAGGACTGAAACAAAACATAAAACAAAAATTCTTAAATATGACATGATTTGTAAATTTGTGTCTATAACTTTGCACAGTTACTCAACTGGGGTCTTGAGCACATTAATCAAAGAATTTTGTTTGACAAGTCAATCTCCTCATTTCTGTGAAAGCTTCTGATGGAAGGAGAACAGAATTGAACGCTTAAGCATTAAGAATAAATATTCTAATTTCAAGCAGTATTTATATCAATACTCTTACCTCTACAAGAAATAGAACTGAAAAATAAGACAGTGAAGAAGGGCTCCATTGATTTAATTGTGTAAGTGAGTGATACATTAACTTTACCAAGACTAACATTAGTCAAAAGGTTGCCAAGAGTGTGAGCAACAGCCAATGGAATGATTGCTGCAACCTGAAAACTGGTTTGTAAAATACTGTTTGCAGAACAGAAATATAGATATGTGATGAAAATTACAAAAGTACCTGTGAACGAGTACACTTTGGTCGATGGTAGAGATTAGATGCCCACATTGTAAGTATTATCAAAGTCCCACAGCCAAATTGGAAGGCTGTAACTGTTGCTGGAAATGTATAGACCTTAGGAACCTTCAGCAGAAAAAAGAATGTACTGGAATTATACTTAAAATATATCAGCCTTAATGTGAATGGTATATCGAAACTAACAATAGCAATGTGAGAAAATTTATCACAGAACTCAAGATTTTCTCGGTGCTTTGAATTGCATTTCTCTAAGACACTGCTGACTTAATTGTGAGCGAATATATTTAAGGGATGACCCTCACGAATTCAGAAATGACCCTAGAGCTATAGTGAAAATAAGAAATTGTGAATAAAAAAAAGATATAAAACCAGCTTGTTGAAAATGTTGAAGTAGATGTTCAGAAAATACCAAATTGCAAACATGGCTTCAAGCTGCAAGGTCCTAGCCAAACCACTGGAGTCCTTTGTGTCATCTATGTTTTCAGGAACTGATGTTGCTCTGACCTTAAAACTATCACATCTATTATCTGAAATGAGGAATGACTGAAAGATTAGAGCATTGAAGCCTGAACAAGAAGACAGATAAGAAGGTTCTTGATATGAATGTCCATGTCTGGAACTGAGATCTAATGGCTTTAAAGAAGATGGGTTTGATACCGAACTGTATCTGGGGTTGTGGTTTTTAGTTGGAGGTTTAAACAATGGAGTTGAAGGAGAAAGAACGAGCGCAGTGCTATGCATTTTGTATGTTACAAGAAGAAGGCAAGGTCATAGACGTTGGGGTTTTAAACCTACATGAATACAAAAACGTGGGGCATGAAAGGACAAGGCATTTAGTTTTGCGCTCGGCATTTAGCTTCATCAGTCTTGCGGTTCACATTCTTGAAGTCCGAACTGTGAAGTCACTAACAAAAATGGTGTTTAAGATGATAAAAACATTGGACACAAAGGTCAAAAGGGCTGAGGGGATAGTGATGAACAGTTTTATTTTCAAGTTGAAACTTGCAAATCATACATTCTATAATCTTTACCACAAATTCAAGTAGAAGTGCACTTTTAACGCTTGATTATCCATACTAATATATGAAGTCAGCAGTTCAGTTTCCAACAAATTGATTTCTTGTTATGGGTAATGTCAAACTATGGACAAAAACCAAACAGATCAATTAGTCCAAAGTTCTGCAAACTTCATTTGGTGGTGATTAGCTAGAGCTGGAAATGAATGGATTGCATGAGTTCACTAGTATGTGTACTCAAGATGCTAAGACAAAGATGTGACAATCAGGGCTTCTTTTCAAAAGGGAAATCCAAACCACGGACCTCATAGTTTGCCAACTAGATAATCCCCTACAATCCATTTCCAGGATATTTTTCAGCCATTCTAGGAATCCAATCGAAAGATTCCATGGTAGATATGAAGTGTAACAGTACATTTTGCCATGAGACCATAAAAACTGCAAATAGAAGACTTTTGGATGTGAAATTTTAATTTCTAATGAGACAATAGGATCAGAAATGCATTTGTAAAGAAACAATAGAATGGGCAACTGGCAATGTTGTTCTAGTGAAGCTTTGATTGTCAAGAGTTGATGATTATTCTTTCCATAACTCCACATAAAAAATTGTATCCTGCAACCCCAAGTGTAGAAGAAATATCATCGTCCCATCTGTATGATAAAGTTTTAGACTTTTGGTACACCTCAGTTGAAAGCAAAATGGAAAAAAACAAGAGCCTAAACCATTATCAGAACCTTCTTTGTTGACTAGAGATGATAAGGAATGAACAATTTTGTAATGGAGTGATGTAAGAACCAATCAGAATACAAGGATGCAAACTCTCAATATAGTGTTGAATTTATCGTAAGAGTCGATGTTTTTGACGAGACACACTCAAGTCTTGTGAATGTCAAATGTCCGGTATGCAATGTTTTTCACAAGATGCATTTAAGTCTTGCAAATGTCAAGTATCCAGTATGCCCTCTAGCTTCAGCAGATGGCCGAGCCATGACTGCTGGAGAACTTGAGTTGTCCCTCATGCTTCCTTCGCCTGAAGGCTGCCTCCTCTTGCATGGAGGACATGCAACAGAACCACCATCATCAACCTTTGAGCAGTCCATTTTCCATTCACGGATTTCATATGTGCGAAGTAGTATTTCAAAGGTCCTTATATCTGTATGTTACAAGCACTTTACACTTTAGATAGAGAGAGAGACGAAGAAAGAACACTTCTAAGAAAAGTTCATGACACTATAAAAGAAATACCGCTTGAGCAAGATAGCAGAACTAGTTTCAAAAAAGCTACCTGTAAAGTTTGATCTAAGAGTTTCACATGAGCGTTGCACTTGTTCAATGCAAGGTGAGAAGGAGCACAAAATTCCATCTTGTTTCAACATTTTTCCAGCTGAAGGAATGGCCAGCCAAGGTTGTGGTAGGTCCAGAAACACAGAATCAGCCAACCCAAAAAATTCATCTGGAAATCCCTCACCCTGAATGTCTCTGACTCCCACAGTAACTAAGGTGTTTATTCCTGTCCTCTCAAAATCCTCTCTGTCAAACGAGGGATAAATCATAAACAGACAAGCCAATGAATCAGGCCTTTGCTCTCTAATCAACCCATAAAAGAATAGAAGGAATAAAGGATCATCTTCACATCTTTCTACAATGAGTTAGACAAGCAGAAACCATATAAGGGGACAAAACATGCTCAAAAGAAGAAAAGAAAAGATCCATAAAATGAGATGATTTTGAGACTCTGAAACATTGCAGCTACAGATCCAGAATCTAAAAATACATCAACCCAAATAGATTCAGAAATCAAACTAGAACTCAAACTCAACCTAAGCAATTATCAAATCATATTTCATAACTCAAGCTTTGAAACTGAAATTTCATCAGAATGATAAAATAATGTTACAATGCACTCTCATAAAAGAAAAACATCTTACCTAGCTGAGGCAGCCCTCTGTTCATGGAAATCAAATGTATAAACATGTCCAGTAGGAGCCACAGCCCTTGCAAGTGAGGCTGTTAAAGATCCACTTCCGGTTCCTGATTCAAGAACCAAACAACCAGGAACTATTTCCGAGTACATAATCACAAAGCTAATATCCGCAATATAGAGAATCTGAGTCCTGTGACTTAGAACCAAAGTCCATAACTCTGGCGTTGGAGCCAATAGGTAAACAAATCCACCCTTGTTGCTAAACACTTTGGAACCAAATGGCTTCCCAATCCAATCCGAATGTTTAAACACACCAAAACGATTTTGAAGAACCGAATTCTCAAACACTTTAACAGCCTTCATAGTATCATGCCTCTCATAGACAATAACCAAGTCTCCATCTCTAATGCACCGATTAAATGATATCTTCTTTGAGGGATCCAAAAGCAACATCCTCAAAATACTAAATTTTATGCAGAACCAAAAAAAAAAAAGCAATTACCTGTCTGTCACAAGTCTGAAAATATGTTCAATGTAATCTACTATTTATTACGTTATCAGAAAATTGCAAAAAGCTTCAATATATGTTTCAGAAATTTCTCTCTTTTTCTTCTTTCATGAATTACTCAGACAAATTTGGTCTAATAAGTAATCAAAGTACCAAAGTTTACTCCCCAAAAGAAAAAGTAAATTCAACTATTAGACCAAGTTCATATAGAAGCTTATAATATAAAACCTCGAAAGACCAAATTCATGAAAATACGTATCATTCAAGCATATATGAAAGATATAGTATCATTATTCCAAATTGTAAGGTAAATGTTGAGAAAAAGCTTCCAGATTAATTTTGATTAGTATAGCAAGATTTTTTTGAGATGAAAGTCGTAGAGAAGTTTTCATTTATCAGTGAAGCTGAGATGATAGTGAAAGAACAAAAGCAGCAAAACAAGGGCCTTGCAGTTCGCCTATTAGAATAGATTATACAATGTTATTGACTTTGGTATGGTTTTCATGGGCTGCTACTAATGATGGAAGACTTCATCATATCATGATCAATCTGTTGTGGCTCAACTAGATATGGACCTTGCTGTAAGTTTCTAGGATAACAAGCTTCATCACCCATCAGGCCCAACTAGATTAAATTGAAGCTGTAGGTGATGGGTTAAATTCGAAAGGGTTATAAATGTTGGTAGAGAGGTCCGCATAAAAAAATTTCCCATCTCAACAAAAAAATTGTTTCTGCAATTGGAAGATGCTGAAGTCTTATCACTTGAAGATGAGGTGAGCCTAAGCCTTCGGATTTCTCATGCTCTTTCGGCCCTTCACTCGGATATTTGTGGATAACAGCCCTTTATCAGTTGCTCTCTTCCCCTTTCATTTTGTTCTTATTATGCTTTTCCTTGTGTAAAAAAAATCTAAATATCTAACACAAATATCAAACAGCCCAGCACTATTTGCACCCACCTCTCTCTCCTTTTCTCAAAATGTGCCATAAACATCAATTCCCTTGTTTTGCATTGCCAGCCACATGACTGCATTAGAATGGTAAAACACCAGATAATTATCTTGTGATACTTAGAATCTTTTGCTTTGTATGCACATTGTTTGTGACCATTTAAGAGGGTTTTTGAAATCATTGTGAAAAACATCAAAAACTTACGGTTTTTAATGCTTTGGGGTGATATTATTTTGTAGGTTCAACATATGATAGAGAGATGCCTGGTGTTTCACATGAGCAGAGATGACTGTGTTAAAGCACTTGCTAAGCATGCCAAGATTGAACCAATCATCACCCTAACAGGTAAAAAGTTCTCTTTACTCTTTTCAGCGCCCGCATGTATATGTGTTATTAGTGTTTTGACAGGCTTAAGCTGGTGCTTTTGCAGTTTGGAAAGAGTTGCTTAAAGAGAACGAGGCCTTCTTTCAAGCCTATTTCCAGGCTATATCTGCAAGGCAGTTCAGCTGTAAGGGCAACAAAACTTTGCATGCTGATGATCAGTTTGGGAAAACCAAAGTGATTTTGAAAAATTCAAAAACTAATGGATTCTGCAAGATATTATACCCTTCTTATAAAGGTAATGAATTCCCAATTAAGTTTTCCATTTTACTTTGGCTTAAACTTAAGTGAGAGGCTGTTTCTCTTATTGATGTATTTTTATATTCTATCCAGATATTTCCACTCAAAGGATGGCTACTTTCAGGAGAAGAAAGCTTTGGCATTGATTCAAAGTGCAAAAAGATCATCAAAAGCCCCATGAATGAACTTCTTCCTAGTCATAAATTTAATAAAGTGATCAGAAACTTCAGAGACATCTGCTGCAGCCTTCAGAATGCAACATATGAGTATAATTTACTGGTTTCTTTCTGCTTTTAGGCCCTGATAAAGATTGTAAGTCCTTGCTATTGCAAAACACTTAATTCCCTTCTTAATGAATTTCGACTTAGATGCATCCTATCGCCTTTATGATCAGGCAGATTGGGAAGATGTAGCAGAAGACTTTTATGTTGTAGTTCAAGGCTAGCTTATTGTGGCTATCGAGTATTGTGTAAAGAGTTGCATACATGAGTGAACTGGTTACAATAAAAGCCATAACTTCAAGCATAGTTCTTAAAAAAGGTGGCATGAAACTACTGTATTGTTGTAATACGAATCAGCTTCGTATCATGTTTTACTGAAATTAAGCAAAATCTGCACCAAGAGCAGATTCTTTTACTTCTATTGAAAACCTGCTCTTGAATGGTAGGCTACTACTGCAAACCAAGTACTGAAATTATTGCTCGATAAACTTCAATATGCTTTCGTCTCTGGTTTTTCCTAGGCAACCAAACGTAATAGTAGCGTAAAAGTTGGAAATTCTGGCATGAAAACATTATCACCACATAAATTCAGCAAAATCTGGAATCCAAGTAAACTGCATTGGCCTCTGCAGTCAGGATTATACCACCGCTTTGAGATGTATTGGCAACCTCAGCAAGGAATGTAAAAAGCAGGAAATGGGTGAAAAAGCATGAACCTGTCTTTTCAACTGGATAAGGATTTCAGGCTACAGCAAAACATTAGCATGGGAAGAACACTAAAGCCCTAGAAATATACATGTCCTGTGTCCACCTGTATCATTGCAATATAATAAAAGGGCGAGAAAACAAAAGCTACACATCAAAATGATCAAGAGAAAACTATCAGTCAATACACAAAGTTAAGTGTTTATTTGGCAACGTAGCAAAAAAGGCTAACACCATGAACCGAGTCAAATAGTTATATGGGCTGCCTGCCCTGTAAGGCTGTAACCAAAGCACCAACTTTGGGGCCAACAAAATCTTCCTCATTAGCTCACGTGTTCAAAGCACATAAAATTGTAAGCAAATGAAAGCAAATGCCGCCACCTCATCACATCACATGGATCCAAATTTATATCTCGCGGTTCCACATTCCCCAAAAGGAAATAAAATGCTTAAAATCAGTAAAATACAAAAAAAAAAAAAATCAAATAATTGAATTATCCATTTCCTGATATCCAAGCTAACCGAAAGGCCTCTGTTTCTCATTTCTTCCCCTGGAAATCATCATATATTCTGTAAGTAATCTATCTTTTCACCAGTCGGAATCTGTCATAAGGCTTTTTCTCCTATGGATTTATATATGTATCATGTTGTTGGTATTAATATCATCCAAAATTTTGAATCTTCAGGATTAGTTTATTTTTCATGGAATGCTTATTAATTTCAAATACCCTTTTCGGTTTTTGATGTAATTAATGAATATTTAGCACTGCAATCAGATAAAAAAATGGAAATTTGTGTATGAAAAAATCTAAATTTGAAACATATCAAATATGAACCAAGCAGTTGATTAATAGTTAATTAAAAAAAAGATATTTTTTTAAAAACAAAGAAAAAGGGTGTCAAGAATTTATAATGGGTAATTTGCTTTTAGCAGGATGCAGCTGTTGGTGACTGCAGATACAACAACCTTGAGTTACTGGTTCAATTGGAGAGTGTTGCTTTGTTCAATTATTGTTGACTCGAATTGTTATGGCATTGTTTTTAATATGGAAATATGAAGGATTGGAACAAGTGAAATGTGAGGGAAGAGAAAGGCAGGAAGATTTAGGTTGTGATGAGTTATATGATGATGATGTTTGGAGGCCTTGTCTTCAAGAAATCCATCCTTTTTGGCTGTTGGGTTATCGAGTTGTTGCGTTTTGTTTGGCTTTGGCAACAGTTACAATCAAAGTTGTTAATGGTGGTTGAATTTATTCAGTCAGCAATCTTCCCTATCCGAACTTGCCTTGGACTAATTTACTAATGCTTATTTAAACTGCTTCCATCTTTATATTTGAATCATGGCATTTTAAGTAAATTGCAATGACTGCCGTTTTTTAAATTGATTGTGAGCTTCTTTTTTTGTATAAGGAAAGTTTATTATTTTCCAAAGAGCTGCAAAAGCTGCTAAATATCAACCAAACTGCCAATGGCTGTAACAAACAAACTAAACTTTCAGTTTATGAGAGTATAGAGTCACCTAATCCCCAAACAGTACAAAATTGATTTTGAGCTTAAAGCCAATGTATATTATTCATCTATCTGATCTTCAGAAACTGAAATCATAGGGTATTTTGCCTTATATGTCAAGCTTCCTAATTAATTCTAACAGGTATTTTTCCGAAACATTCCGAAACATTCTAACTTGGTGCTGGACAGGTGGACTTTTACTTTGGTTACCATTTATTTTGGGGTATGTCTTCTAATTATAGTCTTCCCGTTCTTTGTTGCAATGTTTCTGCTTCTGCTAAAAACTGTCAGTATCCAGATGACTGTATGCAGTATGATTTCCACCTCATTTTTGCAGTTTGGAACATTGGTTTTTATTTACGGGGTGTTACCAGCATCAAAAAAATGAGCCGCTGTGATTTTGATGTGGCGAATGTTAGGATAGATTCAGAGCAAGGATGCTACATGCCTTTAACTAACATAAATGTTACAAATGTTCGTAGAAAAGCCTTAAATCCCCAGGAAAGATGCAATGTTTCACAAACTGCAGGCATTTCTAGTTATCTCTTCAAAGTTATATTCCAGGTAAATTCTCTTTTGCCACTTAAGTCAACAAAATAATGGTTCTAGACCTTCTAGTGAAAATAGTACTAGTATTTTTACTCTAAAATCATTTTTGTAGCACTGCATTGGATGCTAAAAGATTTTAAGAATGTTGTGGGAATACTTTGAGCTTTTCATGCTGCTTCTACCTTATTCCTCAAAACTTTTATGTTGAACCTGATTTTGATTTGTCATATGCAGATGAATGCTGGAGCAGTTATGCTTACTCACTTCATTTATTGGTCCATTATTTATTCATTTCTTTCCATCAAATATTTTAAATTTAATTTTGTGAGTTCTCTATCCCTTTGCATATCTGGTTATTGCTTTTGAGCTCCTGCTTGTGTGTGAACATGTTCAGTACACTAGGAACTCAATCACATCCAAATGTTTGAAACAATAATGACAACATGTAGTTCAAGTTCATAGAATCATAGCCAAACTTGCCACATGTCTGAAGCAGTTTAGAGGACGATTTCTTAGCCATTTCTCTATATCTTCCCATCCACAGTTGAAGATCCATTCATTCTGTTTTTCTAATGATACTTTCTGTCAAAACCGTTGGTTGATGTTTCTACTTGAACTTGTTTTGGATTTATTTCCATTTCTTATTCCTTTTTGTGTTATCTTATTGCTTTTGGTCTCCATATTTCAGATGACTGTTAACATGCATGCACTCAATGTCATCCTACTTCTCGGTGATACAGCCCTGAATTGCTTGGTAAATGTATGTTGTTTTTCTTCTTGTTTTATGGATACAGCTTCTTTTTTCATCATAATCACCTTGAACTGTATACAACTATCAACCACCTTCCAGCGGCTCCCTTGGTTTCGAATTTCTTACTTCATCTTATGAACCGGCACGTCATTTTCCAGTGGATCATTCATGCTAGTGTCTCAATTTGGTAATATCGATTTTTACTTTTTTCATTCCAAAATCCGGATATAATACACAAGACATAATTACTCAAGAAGTAGTGATAATTCTCTGTTGCAGGTGGCCATACTCATTTCTTGATTTGTCATCACCTAATGCTGCATTGTGGTACATCTTCTCCTACTGAAAGCTCAAATGCTGTCAAATATACTTCCATGGGCTTTTTTTTTTTTTTTTCAGATTTTTTCTCATGCTTTGCTTTTCTCATCCATTTCTATTTTGTATGCATTTGCAGGAACTTTTTTTTGGCATTCATGCATCTGCCATGCTACGGATTGTTTGCTTTGATAGTAAATGCCAAGCATTACCTGCTGTCAAAATGGTTCCCCCAATCATACCGGTGTTTAAGTTAAAGAATGTCAGCTTTGTATTTGTCAAATTGCCGAAGTTGCTTGTAAGCTGATGTATTTACCTAGCATTACTGCCTTCAAAGTTTGATCTGAAAATTTTATATAGTAACAATCGAAGTGTACTTTAGGGCATGCAAGGCAGAAGTCATGAAAGAACAGTCACATGCTCACAGTTGCCATGGGACAAACAAGACAAAATATTTACTCAAACTCAGTTTCTTAATAGTTTGTCTTCCAATATTCGATTCATTAAAAAAAAAAACGACTTGTCGAGCAAGTTTCACAATTTCATTTGTAAATCTGACCATTCATAACTGTTTTGCGTTAATCATATTTAAAATAAAAAATTATATATCACAAAATATGTCAAAATACTAAACACATAATTTATTAAAATTTTAATCCTTATTATTTTTTATTTCCATGTTTTTCTTTTCATTCCGTAAATTGTCAAATTTAGTTTCATAGAAACTCCAAATTTGTCTAGATTTCGTAAAAACTTCAGAAAATAATAGAAGAAATGAAACCATAACTCAAATCCAATATCATTAAGGATTCAGCTGAAAAGCGAATAAACATGAACCAAACCAAAGTCCATATTTATTTTCTAGTATTATTATAGACAACGTGCAGCAGAACTCTATTCTAAGCAGAAGGTTTAGCAACAGCTCCAGCTTCAGTTAGGAGAGGAATCAACTTCCCATCCTTGTGTATGGCGTTTGTGGCTGCAAGATATAAGAACCCGGTAATTAATAAAGAAGCAAAGATGGTATTATAGGAATATTGTTCCTGCTTCAAGCAAATGATGATAGCACAAGAGTTTAAAGGGCATACTGTCACAGCCACCAATGTGATTCCCGCCAATGAAAACATTGGGCACAGTCCGCTGGCCGGTCCACTCAGCCAGAGCTGCTTGAATTTCAGCTCCATCACCTTGAAAATACAAAGATGAAAGCCATAGGTCATTGATCTCTTCCTAATGTACGTTTACAACCAATTCACTATTTCTTTTGGAAAGAATGAAGTTTAAGTTCAACAAGGTCGAGTTAGAAATCCGATCCTTAACTCAAATCAACAGTCTGAAATTTATCAAAGGGAGCATCTCTACTGCTCCCATCCCATGGAAAACAAAATGTTCAATGTATTATGTTATTGTATAATAGATTGAACTTCTGATATTCAAATCTCCGAATCAAGATAAAGTACTCAAACCATCACAACACCAGCAAAAGACAGACAAACTTTTACAGGCATTCTTAAAATGCTTATTAAGGGTAATAGAGTTACATCCCATTATCTTATACACAAAACCAGACACTTTCATCTCTAAAATCTATTGTCAAAACAATGGAGCCATATAACCCCACAATAATACCAACCATGGCTTACTGAATTATGGCATCTTCAAAACCATACTCAAAACATCATACATACGGCTCCATATCCATGTCTTAAACACAGTGGAGCTACGGAATTTGATAGCAAAACTACAGATTCCCCTAGACTACAGTTCAAACGGACCTCAAATGCTTCCCACATAAGTTTCCAACTACTCCTCTTGCAAAGCTCAAGCAACAAAAAATTACTAATGGCAGCTAGGTTAATCAACATGATCCCTAAAATCAATTTCATCATAATTAATAAAAAGTACTGACTGGAAAACCAAAATAATCTAATGTTTAAAAAGACAAAAAGTTATGAATAAGTTTTATATCCTCCAATACTACAAGGAAAAAAAAATCCCAAAAATAATTTCTTTTATTCGTCTTGTATGAATTACCTATATTTTGATTGATTAATTTATAATTGTTTCCCCAAACAAAGCCTTGAAATCACTGTATAATTTCTGTAAATAGATCAATCTCAAGATACCATACAGAACCCAATCAAATTCAAGCTAAGAAAATTTAAGCAATTAAATATAAATTTTCAAACAACGAATCACAAATTATACCTCGAATATTCTTTTTTCTCTCTCAAAGAGTAAAAGAAAAAGAGAAAAAGAAACACTAACTTTCGTTGTCGAGCTCAATTGCCTTGAAGGAGGCTCCAATTTGTTGAAGCAACTTCTTCACGCTCACACAGTAAGGACAGTACGACTTGCTGCATCAAAGTATGACGAATCAAAACACAAATTCGTATACGATCAATAATTAACTCATAAAAATACGTATAGTGATATGTATACCTGAAAACAACAACGGGATTGGCAGAAACAGTCTCCTTAGCCTTCGGCAAAGCCATTTCTCTCTTCCTTCCTTTTTTTCAGAGCCCTAAAATTTTGTTTCTAATTTTCCTCTTTGATTGGAGATCTTAGCGTCCTGGTATTAATAGAAAAGAAGATAGCGTCGATTAAGTGGGAAAGGAATTGCTCGGCGTGATGTAGAAGTTTCTGAAATGATCTGAGCCGTTGATTTCGAATTCGAAATTATGGAACTTTTTGACTAATTATTCGTAGTTGGTGGGCCCTTTTGGATTTTACACCATGAATCAGTTTTTGTCTTTTTTTGGGTAACGTGTCCAATCCAAAATTCCGTGTCCAATTGTGTTTGTTTTGCTGTAAAATGAAAGAGTTAAAAAGGAAGGATTTCAAGTCTCTTTGAAAGCCAGACCAAAGGGATAAGACTTGGCTTAGCTTCAATAAAGTTTAATATCTTGAGGATAAATTTATCTCATTCTCGAATCACGACAAGAATCACGTATCTTGTAAGTTTTAATAAAAACTTACCTAAAAATTTATTTGTCATTCATTAAAAGGAATTATTGATATGGAAAATCCAATCTAAATCATAATTAACTCAATTAACCCATTAGTTCTCAGCTTCCATTTTACCAAGTGGATTTAACCAAAAAAAAAAGAAAAAAACAACTTCAATCAAATAGAATCTTTATTTTTTAAGCCTTTCATTGAAGGTGAATTTTATGGGGTGGCTGAAACAGACACCAATCATCTAAGATGCTGACATTTGGAAATTATCGATAAGATGAAACGGATGGTCGAATAAATATTCTTATGGTTGGAGATAACTTAATTGGGTCCAGGACCAAGTTAAATTAGCAACACCAGCCACTAGTTCAATTTTCAGCACTCCAAAACCAGAGGGTTGCCTTTCCGGATTTTATTCAAACCACCAATAGCAAAAGAGGAAAGAGTCAGTATTGGTTCTGGTACTTCCTCCGAGTTTTCTAGGACTCGCAGTTCAGATGAGGCATCAAGAACCCAGTAATAATTTTGCAGAAGTTAGTTCAAACCAGGTTTTCGGGAATTCCAAAGGCATATAAAACAGCAATGAAACAGTTGATTTCTCATGGTAGCAGTGAAGTTGCAATCAGATGAGAGTTCACATATGCAATAATGAAGTGCCATGTATAGAAGTTTCAGTTAGTGGTTAACTATGACTTCTGAGTTGGATGACAAAAAAAAAAAAATCTTCTGCTTTGTCCGTTTGATTCGTTTGAGAAGAAAACATGCAGTAAATCTGTAGATATCTATGTTAGATCAATTTTCCGCAAGCAATTTGCAGCATAGCCTTTTCTTGTCTTCTAGCTTTCATATATATAAATTTTTTTGTAATTTCTTGTCACACTCGATATTCTCTTTGGATTCCAAAAGCTAATAAGAGGTTGTTGGGGTAGTTGCTTGGGGACACATTTGCCTAAAGATTTAATTTCATTTCAAATTTTGGGCTTTTTTTTTTTTTGGGAAATTTCATTTCCAGTGTCAAAGCACGAGCTTCCATATATACTTTTGGTCAATTGGCTGTATTAAGTGAAAGATTAGAACTCATCCTTTGGCATTTGTAGAGCAAATCAAACAGAAGGTGGTTAGAATTAAATAATTGATGTGATATAATCATGTGCTTGCCAAGTGGCATTTTTGTCTGTTCCATTGCCATCCATGTGGCTACATATAATGTACATGGAAAACATGTCACTCTCAACATTTACTTTCGCTTTATTGAATTCTACGTTTTAAGATTAACATTTATCACAAATCCAAACTTGATAAATGGTTAATTATGATCTGTTTGTAGTTTTCTTATAGGATCAATCTCCGGGCAAGCAACTTTCCATTGTCGAGCAGGCTCATTTCTCGTCTTATCTAAGAATGACCCGTTGAAATTATTGTGTTTAAATGGAGCTACACTACCTACTTGGCAAATTTAAATCAAAAGAAAAAGGTGAACGAGTCCTAACAGAGTACATGGTGCCTTCAAAAAAATTTCTTTGTTCGTTGGAAATTACCGGATTGACAGCTTAATAGAAGTATCTACTTGCACAAAGCTGGCTCCCGAAGCTTCAACTCAAGATTTACTGCAACAGCATCAATGAATTCTTCTGTGTTCAAGTATGACTCTCTTGATACCCTGAATTCATAGAGAAATATCTCAGTGACTATAAAGTCATAACTTATTTTGGGGTTACGAAGTGGTAGTTGGAGGTAAGGAAGAACCATCCAACGTAAGATCCCATTGAGAATGGAGAAAATCATACATAAAGAGAAAGTGCGACATACATGGGTCCATGGATTAATATGGCAAGATCCTTGGTCATTTTTCCTGCCTCCACTGTCTCAATACAAGCAGCCTCCAACTTGTGAACAAAGTCCAGCAACCTTTCATTTTTATCTAGTTTGGCCCTGCAAGAGAGATTGGATGGAATTTCAAATCAGTGCTGTCATCAAGATTACGACTGAAAGAAAAAAATTCAAATCTAAACTGTACAAACAATAAACAGAAATATTAGTTCCAATAGTTATATGCTACTTTGACCAAAATATTCCAATACATCAATGGAAAGCACAAAAGCATTATTTATGTTTCGGTTTCAAATTCTTTATGCCAAACAAGGAGAAAGAAACCAATGAAGGAGTTCGTTTAGAATAAATACTAATAAAATAAAATTACAAAAAGGAAGATACTGCATCATTTTACTTGGATGCGGCAGAAATCTAACTACCTGTGCTCCAGCCCTCTCGTCCATGCAAATATGGAGGCAATACTGTTTGTACTGGTTTCTTGTCCCTTTTGATGAAGCCTGAAATGTCGTGTTACAGTCCCATGAGCTGCCTCAGCTTCTAGTGTCTTCCCATCAGATGACAACTGCAGAATTTGGGATTATAAAGATTTGCAACATTCAATGGCCAAAATCAAGAAGCCAATATAAAAAGAAGAGAAACAAAGTCATTTTATACATACCAACACAGAAGTCATCAGGCCCAAAGAGCCAAATCCTGAATACAGCAAACAAGTATTTAGACTCCACAAAAACTGAGAGAGATCCACTCAAACTTATGCATTGACTTGTAAATGATTAAGATCATACCACGAAGAAATATATCCATTCATTTCAGTAGGTATTTCAAAAGAAAATTATTTGAATGATTTATTTGATAAATGAACAATAAACACACAAGTGAACTATTACTATCCCTTTCGATTTGAGGTAAGTAATATAAATTATTTAATATCTTCCATTATCAATGAACCCTTTTTTTGGGAGGGGGAACAAGAAAAAAAAACTTGCATGGTCAGCTAATAAGTATTAAACAGCACCTTGCGCAAGTAGATCACTTTGGACATCTCCATCATAATTTTTGCATGCCCAGACATAGCCCCCTCCACTTTTTAGGGCATATGCTACCATGTCATCAATTAGTCGATGTTCATACCTAGACATAGAGTCAATCCAATATTTACAAATATCTAAACAGAAATCTTAAGCATACTTCACTAAAGCCAAAAACCAACCATATAGAATGTTCTTCAAACTTGTTCTTCCAGTTTTGTTCATACACCTCCTGGAATATGTCCTTAAACCTGTAATAGACTTCCTACGATGAGCATTGTGCAGTTATTCTGCAAATAAAAATTTAGACTAACCTTGAAAAAAGAAATAGTCCAAGATACAAGGACATTCTCGGAAAAAGGCAAATTAGAAAAGAAAATATTACCTGCCATCATACTTCTTCAGAATAGTGTTCTTCGTGCTGAGGTAAAGAGGCCACTTCTTTGAAAAAGCCAATGACATAGAGGACTCAGCAAAAGCACGAATTGACTGAAAAATCACACAATGGTTTGTTAAATTAATTAATCAGAAGAATTCTCCACACATCATGACTAGTGGGTGGGTGTACACAAATTTGTACACGTGGATATATTTACATACGCACCATATATTTACATATAATATATAGATATATATATAGGTAAAAAAAACACAAAATTTTACAAACCTCATCAACATTATACATAGCAAGTGCTACACCAGGACCTTTAAAATTATAGACATCAAGCTCCACTGGCTTGTCTCCACCTTCTGGGACTAAGAAAAATAAATAGACATATGCAGCAAAGAATTAGAATTTCAAGAAATAAGAAATTTCCAGCTTAGTTACATGCCACCAGGTCTAGAATGATGGTTAATCAGCTCACCAAAAACCATCTTAAGCTTTCCTGGTCCAGTAATTACTTTATCAGTGGCACGATACTGATCACCAAAGGCATGCCTGCCAATACATATGGGTTTCTTCCAACCTATAACAGGGAGAAAAAGTTCATAGCAGCTTTCCAAAACATTTCAGTTACATTGCTACAGTGTGAAGAAATCATTACCAGGAACAATTCTTGGTATATTCTTGCATAGGATAGGTTCACGAAAGACAGTACCTACAACAAGAAGCAACCCTTCAATTAGGAAGACTGACGATACAAGGAGAAAACATCTCATTAAAAGTGGGAGCACTACAGCGAAACACCATAATTTATTAGATTTAAATACTCATGATATATAGATGATTTAAAATATTGTTTCAGCACATATCCACAATGTTAGCTTATAGAAGACAAACCTTTCAAACTTCAGGAGACTATTTTAACAACTAAAGGAAAATCAAATCAATCAATGACAGCAATCATTCAAAATTTATCCCTGAAATGAAAGGTACACAGATGACTATTATGAAAGACAAACCATTTAAGATGTTTCTAATTGTGCCATTGGGACTTCTCCACATATATTTCAGCCCAAATTCCTTGACTCTTGTCTCATCTGCATAATCAACAATAACCTGACTTTAATATTATATAAAGCTGAAGAATTTTTATTTAAAAAAAAAGAAAAAAAGCAAGCACATCACCTTAGATACTTGCTATGTATAATAAGGAAATAAATCAATCTACAAGACTAGTAAAGCTTAAAAAAGCACAAGAATGACTAACCAGGAGTTATTGTGGCACATTTGATGGCAACATTATACCTGAAGAAATATGGACAATCTTTACTATTGCAGGCTTTAAGATGTGATAAAGAAACCACAAAATTCTTCAAAACTTCAAGCCTTCCCTTTCCTCAACTATTGCAAAAACTTTTGGCTTAAAGATACAGAATCTTATTCTTCCCAATCAAAAAAAAAAAAAAAATCCACCATATTCCATTCAGATACTAAAATAATAACCCTCTATATAACTCTCTCTTGAACCACCTCAACCTTGGCAACGCTCTTTCTATCATCCAGCCTTGATCCAATTACTCAACAAAGAACAAAACCACCATCATTAATATTATGATATTTTACTCTTTTTCTCGATTTTCCTTCACTTGACATAATACTCTAAGCCCAACACTGGACCTAACTCAGCTAAAATATATTAGAATTCAAGAAATTGGGGACTTAAACATTCATCAACCGCCATGGTGCCACAATTTATTTTATCCATATACAAGGGACGAATGATTATGTCTCTTTGAGTGGCGTTGTCAAGTTAATAATGCAATTCTACAAATCCATGCTTTTTCCATCCAATATCTTACATAATACCTATAGAATTATAATAATAGAGCAATGTTCATGTCTAAAGAGCCTTGAGCAAAGACCACTTACTTCAAAGCTGCTTCAGCACTTTCAATGGTGACTTGGTCGTTAGTCGCATCCCGATTAAATATCCCTAAATCGAAGTATTTTATGTCCAAATTCAAATAAGGAATTATAAGCTGCAATCAAACAAACAAGGAGCAACTAGTAATTATTAACAATTCTTGAAATGTGAAAAAAAAAATTTCAAAAAATATATATATCATGAAATATATATTCATACTTTTTCTTTTATCATACTCCAAATGATCCTCGTCATTTCATCACCTAATTATCACAAAAAAAAAAAGGAGTAACAATAATTAATATTAAAAAAAAGCAGAAAATATAAGTGCAAAACGTTCTCATTTGGCGCCGTTTATATGATTGTTTTGTTTTTTTTACCGTCCATTTCGACGATCGGATTTAGAACTTGAACTCGATCGAATCCGCTGGAAGAAGCGAAACACCGAAGAGAAACGGCGCGAGGGAAGTGAGAGGAGAAAACGACTTGGTTGTTGAGAGCTCCATTGCTGAAGAGCCGAGACGAAGAGGAAGAGAAAAGAAAACTAGGGTTTTTGTTTCTGAGAGCGATAATCGACGAAGAAGAAGAAGAGGAAAACGAGGACGAAAGCATGGTCGAGGCAGTTGAAGACGATACAGAGCCGACTCGAAGTCGGAAAGCGAGTTTCGGCATTTTTCGTTTTAAAGAGAGTGGTTTGCCGTTTTGGATGTCTTATATTGTTACGGCTTGTTTGGAAAGACGAATGTTAAAGAGCGGCTTTGGGTTTTGAGATCCAACGGCTATAAATAGCTAATAAAAAAAAAAACCCATTGAATAAACTTAAAATTCGATTAATTAAAACTTAAAAAATTTTAACGGTGGTATTACTGTTTCTGAAAAAAATTTAAATGTTTCTATCTTTAAAATAAATAATTTATAAGTACTTTTTTATTTTAAAAAATCTTGATTTTTTTTACTTAGGTTCGATGGATTTTGAGATTGATTGTAATAAGATTAAAAATAATAATAAAATTTTTTATAATTATGATTGAAAAAAATTATTGTAATTATGATTAAAAAAATTTTAATAAAATTTTTATATTAATTTAATTTTATTAAAATTTATGTTTGAATTTAATTAAAAGTACGATGAGTTTAATCCCATTACACAAAGAAGTGTGGTAGGATCCAATAAGCTACTTAATATGTTCAATAAACTTTATAAATATAATAAATGATAAGGAATCAAGTACTTTCAATATTTGGTGAGTTACTTATAATTATAATCAAAATTTTATATTTAAATATTTTAAAATATAAATAAATACATGAATATAAAAAATATTTATTTACATATTACAATTTCATTTTATTTTTAAATTTAACTCAACTTAAAGTTTAGTTGAATTACAAATTCTTATCAAAGTTAATAATAACAAAATTTAATACAATCGAACTAAATTAAAATAATTTATTATTTTTTAAGGACAATTTTTTGTATAATCTGTTAATAATAGAAAAAAAAATCTTAAATAGTATCTTAAATAATAAAAAAGTTTTTATCTAAATTACCTTGATTTTTAATTTATGTAACAATTTATTATATAATCTAACATCTCGTAAACAAAAATTTTGATAATGTGGTGTAAAAAGTGAAATTTCGATACATGTGTAGATGTTATGTATATTGATGGCATGTAGCATTTCTTTACCCTCCCTACTATTTCATAATGTGGTAAAATTCGATCTTATTTGATTGTTTAATAAGATGAGATAGAGTTTTATATCGAATTAATCAAATGACTTTTGAAAAAATACAAATTATCTAAACAAGTTGAAAATCCATCTCATGTTTTTAGCTAGTTTAGATCATTTTTAGTTTTTTTTTAAATTATTTGACAAATTTGACAACAAATCTCAAATAAATAGATTCAACCATAAAATTAAGAGAATAAAAGGTGGAGAGATAGAAAGAAAAACAAAGGAAGAAAACACAAAAATAAATAATTTTTTATTTTTTAAAATAATTTAAAACCTATCTAAACTTTCACTTTTCTATTTATTTTAGATTATGTTTGAATTTAGGATCAAAGAAGGAAAAGAAAATAAAAAAAGTAATGAAAATAAAAAAAAATATTTATTTTATTTGAATACATTTTTAATTTTAAAAAATAAAAATTTAATAATTTTTATTTTTCTTATAATTTTTATTTTTTTAATATCTCAATTATGAGAAAAAAATTAAGAAACTGAAGTTAAAAAAATTCATTTTATTTTTTTTATTAATTTTAATTATCTAAACAATGAGTATATTTGTCTTTTATATATATTATTTTTATTAATATTTATTCAAATATAGCATTAGATTAAATTTTTTTATAAATATTATATTTTCTTTGAAAAAACTAGTAAAGTGTTAATTACAAGAATAAAATATACAAAGAAATGTACCAAAAAAAAAAAAGATTTTCCCAACTATATTTTACTTTATTGACGAAAAATTTTGGGAGGGAGGCAGCCGCAAAATTTATTCACAAAAAATTTTGCGCTCAAAATGGTAAGAATACACCTCAATACACCAAATCAAACCCTAAAGCCATTCCATTTTTTGCCACCAAAGCCCCCTCTCACTCCCCCTTAAACCCTAAACCCTCCCTCAAAAATCAAAAGCACCCACCTTTTTTCATCCAATGGCTATGTCCTCACTTGTCATCAAAGCTCGAGTCAGAGCGAACCCACTCCTAACATGGCGTGCCCTCCGTTTCCGCAACATCTGCAGCGGCGGTTTCGGTGTCGCCACGTCGGAGTCCGACCCGGCTAACCCACCTGTGGCAGGGACCAAGTTTCTTGAGTCGTTTAAAGAAGAGTTCGAAGTTGGATCTCGGGTAATTTCACTTGAAACGGGTAAAATTGCTCGTTTTGCTAATGGGGCTGTCGTTTTGGGTATGGGAGAGACCAAAGTTTTGTCCACTATTGCTGCCGGTAAAGGCGACGCCGTTCGAGACTTTTTGCCCCTGACTGTAAGTAATATATCCAATCTTCTCTTCTAATTTGGGAGTAATTTGAAAACTTTTAATGTTTTAGTTCTCATTTTGGGGTTAAATGTAATATTGGGTCATTGTTATTAAATTCGTTTCCAATATCAAGGTTCTAAGGTTGCTTAATTAGTTAGGTTTCGTTTGTTGATGCTTTTGTTTTCAATTCATTTTTTATTATTATTATTTTTGCTTTCTGTTTACTTTTTTTGGCAAAAAAAAAAGAAAAAGAAAACAGCAAATAGCAAAAGAATCAAGCAAATGCAGCCTTAGTATCTCTGTGACTAATGTTTCTTATGATGGGGAGAAAGACAATTTGATGCTTTTTAAAGGGTTATGAATGCTGGGTTTCTAAGGCTGTGTTTAGTTGTTATTTGTTTCTTACTGTTTACTTTTTGCTTCATTAGAAGTTGTTATATAAAGAAAACAGTAGTAAGTAAATTTATGATGAACAATTAAGATGCGAGATCAAACTTAACATAATTGTTCATATAAAAGTAAAACCATGTATTTCTTTATTTAGAAAATTCATTTTTAGTTCTTACAAAATATTTTTCTGATTTTGTATCTAAACACAGCTTTTATCTTGCAAAAGTAAAAAAAAAAAATGAACTCTAATGAATCTGTTTTAATTCCCAGTTTGATTTTCTTGAGTGTATGTTGAGGGTAGACATCTCTTGAGTGTATGTTACGGTTGGCTAGTATGTGGTCTCATTAGGTTTTCCTTCTTGTAAGGTTGATTATCAAGAGAAGCAATTTGCTCAAGGTGTGATTCCAAATACATTTATGCGGAGGGAGGGTGCTCCAAAAGAACGTGAACTTTTATGTGGTCGTCTCATTGATAGGCCCATACGGCCTCTTTTTCCCGCTGGTTTTTACCATGAGATCCAGGTCTGATGTTACTTTTCAAATTCAAACATGTATATGTATCTCAAAGTTTCATTTGATTGACATTGCCTGATTCAATAGGTAATGGCAAGTGTTCTTTCTTCTGATGGTGAACAAGATCCAGATGTGATGGCAGCTAATGCGACATCTGCTGCTCTAATGTTATCAGATGTTCCATGGGATGGACCCATTGGAGTGGTGCGGATAGGGAGAATTTGCGGGCAGTTTATTGTTAATCCAACTATGGATGAGGTATTAACATATGCTTTTATTTAGTTACAAATACCAATTTAGGTATCTCTTCTATGATGATCACAGGTAGTCTTAGGTCAAGTGTAGAGTTTGACTCAATTGTAATTGCAATGTTACCTATCATTTCCTGTATATGGTAATAACTTAGTCATTAGATGCTCATCCTGGGGGTATCTCATTGCAGCGTTCTTGCATATGTATGAAATGTTTAGCTAGGTAATTGTTAATTCATTGTGTTATCATTTTTTTTTCTCCTTTAAAGTATATCATCAGGTTGGAAACATTTGTCTCTACCGGATAATAGCTAAAACACTTATTGGAACACCGGCTAGTTAAAAAGGGGTATTCTAGGGGAAAATATAGCTGATCTTACAGTGGCATGTGGTTACATCAATTTTTTTTATGGTAGTTTGTTTTTTCATTCAGGTTCCATTTACTGCTTGTATTCTTAGATTCTGGAACGATATACTATTATTATATTTGGTGTATGGTCGGACTGTGCTTTCGTGGTATTGATTAACGGGTTTAAGAATATGTGGAATGCAACCCCTGTTTAGGGTTAAATTTTTTTCCCTGGAGAAAGGATTATTTTTCTTTAATTTTCCTTCTGTTGATGTTCCCTGATATTTCTTTCTATTACTTGTCTGCGTTTGCAGAAAAATGGTTTTCTCTCTTTTCCCAATTTGTTTATCATTTCTTTGGTTCTGCTCTGATCTCACTTAGATGGTCCTTTGCTACAATGTTAATGCATCATGCACACAATGTTAACTGATGTTATTTGAGAGAGAAAGGTTGTTATGAGTTTGTCTAACCTATGTTGAAGTTTTTTTTAAGCTTTTTAAACCTCTGCAGATCTGCAGACAATGACACTTTATTTGTCAATTTTCCTTCCTTCTGATCAGTGCATATTTGGTGTAATGCAGCTTAATTTAAGTGATCTCAATTTGGTATATGCCTGTACAAGGGACAAAACCTTGATGATAGATGTGCAAGCTCGTGAAATCTCCGAGAAAGATTTAGAAGCTGGTTTAAGACTGGCTCATCCAGAAGTGAGTTATAGGCTTGTCACAAACTTTTGTTGTGTCTATCAATTAATGGAAAATGGCATTAAGATGGTTTATTGGTTCAGGCGGTCAAATATCTTGAACCTCAAATCAGACTGGCTGTGAGAGCTGGCAAACAAAAGAAGGAATACACATTGTCTATGGTCTCTGAACAAACCTTTGAAAAAGTCAGAAACCATGCCGAAGCACCAATAGAAGCTGTTTTTACTGATCCTTCCTATGGCAAGGTGAATGCATTTCTCCTTCGGTCTCTTTTTTCTTTCTAGATATATTTGTGTGTATTTATAGGTACAGATGCATTAGAGTTAGTTCTTTTTTTTTCTTTTATGTATTCTGGAGGTTCATGCTGTGGCAATTTGGAATAATATAGTTTGAACGCGGGGAGGCTTTAGAGAAGATAACACAAGACGTAAAAAGCACACTAGAAGAAGAATGTGATGAACAAAGCTTAAAAGTTCTGCCAAAGGTTGTGGACGCTGTCAGGAAAAAGGTGAGCTGTGGACAAAGCTGTACGAAGATTTACTTCTTTTTGTTGGCTTTAACAAAAGATTTGACCATCTAACAAAGTATAACTATGGCATTCCGTGTGATCTTGAGTAACCTATAAGTTTCTGACAAGGAATAGACGGGAAATTGAGGTTACTACCTTAAAAATGAAACCAGGGAGTTGGTAATTGGATGATTTTGTTGCTTCTACATTTTTTCTATCCTTGTTCTTAAACCTCTTGAAGTTGGCATGTCTCAAGTTGAATACAATATCAGGTTGTTCGCAAAAGAATTATTGCTGAAGGATATAGAGTTGATGGGAGACATCTTGATGAAGTTAGGCCAATATATTGTGAGGCTGGCCATTTGCCTATATTGCATGGATCTGCTCTTTTTAACCGTGGAGATACTCAGGTTAAAACAAATTTTTCCTTGTCTCTACATCTAGATATGTTTAGGTTTGACCTTTGTTTTGACATAGGGCTTATATTTGATGTTTTATTTCAGGTTCTTTGTACTGTGACACTTGGAGCTCGTGAGGATGCTCAACGGTTGGATTCTTTGGTTGGTCCTCCAACAAAGCGCTTCATGCTTCACTATAGTTTTCCACCATTTTGTATCAATGAAGTTGGTAAACGAGCTGGCCTCAACAGACGTGAAGTAGGGCATGGTAAATCAAATTTCTTAATCACTATAAAATATGTGTGTGCGTGCATGCAAAAAAGTTCTACCTGTTTAGATGAGGTTTATGCTTGTCTCTTTTGTTACTTTTTCCATAGGAACACTTGCGGAGAAAGCTCTTCTTTCTGTGTTACCTCCTGAAGATGATTTCCCATACACTGTTCGCATCAATTCTGAAGTCATGGCTTCAGATGGTTCAACATCAATGGCTACTGTTTGTGGAGGTATCCTTTTCAACTTGATATAGTTCCTGTCATACATTTTTGTAATTTTATGTTATATCTTCTTAATATATGCTCAGGTTGATAGTTATGTGTATGCATGGATCAGTAAGATTTACTTCCTCTAAGCTATAAACTAATCATGTTTTAGCATGATGGCATTTTCCTAATACAGGCAGTATGGCTTTGATGAATGCTGGCATTCCATTACGGGAACATGTTGCAGGTGTTTCAGTGGGCCTTGTTACTGATGTAGACCCTGCAACTGGTGAAATTAGGGACTACCGTATTTTGACTGATATTTTGGTGAGATTTTTTACTTAACCTATTTTGACATGTTGCTTATGGGACAAATCTTTAGGTTGCTTTTATTTTATTGAATAATAACACCTTCAATGGATGTTAGAAACCAACAGTTGTCATTATTCTTCCTTGGTTGTATGTCTGGTATTTGTTGTCTTTACTCTCTTATTTACTTAATGGTGCCTCTACTACTATGGAATAGGGAGTTATCATATGGTTCCAAGGTGTTGTTTTAAAAGATAATGTGACCTCAATAATGTGAAGTTGGTTGTTAGAGTTTACTAAAACAGTGATCTCTCTAGGGGCTGGAAGATCATCTGGGAGACATGGACTTCAAGATCGCTGGGACAAGGAATGGAGTTACAGCAATTCAATTGGATATAAAACCTGCTGGAATTCCTTTAGATATAATATGCGAGTGTTTAGAGCCTGCTCGTAAAGGTCGCCTTCAAATTCTTGATCACATGGAGCAAGAGATTAGTGTGCCGCGAACTCAAGTTTATAGAAATTCTCCTCGACTAGGTTCAAATCTGATATGTTTGTTAGTTTTTTATTTGCACTTAACTAGCTGAGATACTCAACAGCAACTGATCTTATACTTCAACTGAAGATATATGCTTTGTGATGCAGTTACATTGAAGTTTAGCAATGAAGCTATTCGGCGATTTATTGGACCTCTAGGCTCTCTTAAAAGAAAAATTGAAGAGGAAACAGGTTGGTGTTGGACTTGAAAAACATTTTATATTTGGTTGGGGAGGTAATTTGATTTTGATTGAGTTTTTTATCATTTCCCTTATGATGGTACTCTTTCTGGAATAATTCTATGAACATTTTTCTTAACTCAAAATGCTTTTCTTTGAAGTAACATGGGATGTTGCAATTATTTCCTTTCTAATTACCAGTCATTGAGGGAATAGATTTTCACCCTTCTATTGGATATGAAGATGATTTCTTCTTCGTTAGACTCAAGCTTCTGTTTGGCACCCATTAATGCTGTCTTTGTGCTTTTCATGTTGCTGCAGATTAAGTATATCTTTTCAATCATGAATGATTGACGGACATCTGTTGTTCCTGCATACTTTACTGATTAACTTTTTTTCACTGCAAATTATAGTTGTATATGTGCATTTGCCTACCATTATTCGTTCAATAACCATGTTAATGCTTTTCAAAATTCAGGTGCACGGATTTCTATAGGCGATGGAACAATTACTATAGCTGCTAAGAATCAGACTATGATGGAGAGAGTGCAAGATAAGGTATTCATAGTATTCATTATTTTAATTGACATTAATATTCCTCTAGTTTGTTGTAGATATATGCAAGAGTTTTGATACTTATTCATTGTCTTTATTATCTCCTTAAATTCTAAAAGTCATTGGAGACTATTTAGCAAATTTAATTTACTATAATACTGGTAATCACTTTGACTAACTAAAGTAAGCTAATTTCTGGGGAATGATATTTGTTTTCAAATTTATATGCCTTGAAATTTTGGTATGTGCTGCTTGAATCATTTGTCTCATTTTTACCATTAAAATTTGAATTTTCTTTCCATGCATGCCAGGCATTTTTGTCTATTTTGATTGTGTTGCTGCTAGTTTATTTAAGAGTATAAGCATGCATGTTCATCATGCTTTATCCTAATTAAGTGTATAATCCTTTGTGCATTGCAGGTTGATTTCATGATTGGCCGTGAAATTGAGGTTGGAGGAATCTATAAAGGCATTGTGACATCAATCAAAGAATATGGTGCCTTTGTGGAGTTTAATGGTGGACAGCAAGGCCTGCTACACATTTCTGAGTTGTCACATGAACCGGTAGGAGATAAAACAGTAGTGGTAGCTTGGAGTAGAGCAGCCGTGTTGATTTTATCAATCAGTTTCTTTCTCTGATTGCCTTTCTGATTCCTATATTTTAGCTGCATTTTTTTCTTGTCCTTCTTTTGGCTCATGTACTTGGTTACTCAGAGTCTTAGTGTTTTGTTTTAATTTGAAGATTTGAGACTTGTTGCATTTTGTTTTTTTCTTAAATTGGTTTTAATAAGAATTCCCAATATGAACGTATCTGATAATCAATTGCTTTGATCGGCCAAGAACCTGAAATTTTTCAGAAACAGATGATAATGGTTCAGGAACACAAAATATTTGATTATCCATATTAACAGTTAATAACTAGAGTATATGTTATGCTTAGGGTTTATGGTGTTTTATTTGAACTGTTTATTTCACAAAGCTTTTATGTAAATATCGAAGGCCTCACGAAACTTGTATTTATCCTTTCATCAGGTGTCTCGGGTTTCAGACGTGGTGTCTGTTGGCCAGCAAATTTCTCTGATGTGCATAGGGCAAGACGTTCGTGGTAATATTAAATTGTCTCGTAAAGCAACTTTACCTCAGCCTGAATCTGAGAAAAAAAGTGTAGTTGAAGGATCTGCTCCTGTTAGTAAAGAAGAACCTAATATTTGGGGTGCACTTGAGAATGTGTCTAATGGAGAGCAGCAGAAGTCTACTCTAGAGGAGTTGCGTTTGAGCAAAAATGAGAATACTGCATCTAACCCTTCTGCTTCTTCACCACCAGCAGTAGTAATTCGAAGTGCTGCAGAGTGTGATGAGGAAGAAAAATCTGCTGGTTTGAGTAAGGCTTCCAAAAGTGCACCTATACGATTGTTCACTTTGAAAAGGGATAAAAAGCTGAAAATAGTCCAGTCTTCCAATGACAAGCCCGATTCGACTCTTATCGGTCTGTTTTCAAAATCCTCATCTCGAATAGAAAGGGAGAAAAAATTGTTTTCCAAAGATGACGATGAAGGTGAGAATAATCTGAATAATCTGAATGACCAGGAAACTGATGTTAAGACTCGTATGACACCACAAAAGCTGAAGTTAGGAACAAAGGTTACTGCAAAGATTTATCAAATTCGTGCTCGTGGTTTAGTTCTTGATTTGGGTGGTGGAATTCGTGGCATGTATAGGTTTGAGGTATGTATCCTTTTGTCTGATACTGCTTTGGCTTATTTACTGAAAGTTCTTGTCTCTTTCCATGCTCCCACCATTTATTCATTTTTTGACTGGCTACAATTTGTTCTTATCATCTGTATTTCAATGCCAATGTTCTAAGAGCCTTCCATTTTCTTGATAGGTGCTTTATCAACTCATTGGTTAATTAATTACAGCTTCTTTATTAGTTAGTTGACTCTGACAATACTTATCTTGCCTGCCACATGTCATCCCAGGGATGGCACTTTGATTACAAAATTTCTAAATGCTAAAAGAAAAAGGAAATTTCGGTTTTCTGTTTTTCCCCTATAAACACTTTGTATGGAAAAACATGGATGACACACATAGACATTTAAACTTTTCTGTGGCATTTACTTTTGACACATGAATGCTCACCCTTCTCTCTCAAGTCATCAATTCACTAAGGAAACTGCCTACTCAGTTGAATTCCTTAATCTGCTTTATCCTCCTCCCCTGTGATTTCTTCTCTCTCTCTCTTTTAGTAATTGTTTGATTAATTTAGGTCTTTTTTCTAATGTCCAAGTCCATCTCTACAAAATTTTGATTGGGATGGATATTTGAGTTCTGTGGGCATGGAATTGCATTTATTTGCTTGTCTTGCATTCTGTTTGAGAAAGTTCTTTATGTGTTTTATATCTATCCTGCCCATCATTTCAAAATCTGCACATCTATGTTATTTACCATTTCCATTTTTTTTTTTTTGACGCGTTTCTAAGTTATAATCATCTTCAATAAAGCATTTTGACAGAGTTGGATGCTTGAATCTAATTAACTTTGATCTTGATGGTTCTTATTGTTTTATTGCAATAATAACTTACAAAATCTTTCCCTTTTATTGGTCTCCTTTATATGCAAGTGCTCGAGAGAACCTTTTTTTTTGTTGAAAACCTTAAAGTTGTGGTTGCTGCTGTGATCATATTCCCATCAGCCTTGGAACTCACCTTATTTTGATTGCCATGCAGCCCAATGGCGAGAAGGACTTTAATATAGGCGATGAGTTGCAAGTCCAATGTTCAAGTTTTACAAGTAAAGGTGTCCCGGTAATGTCTTTGGTGGATGAGGAATGATAGCACATTGACAGACCTTAGAATGTCTCATAGATGGTGAAGCATTGTGGTCGACGGATATTCTTGAACAGTGACGGAGCGTTATTGACCAAGCATGTAAGGAGAAGGCCTGTGCATCTATGTAATATGGTTCAGATATTAAAAGTTCTCTGCAATTGCTTAAGGAAGCTTTCGCAACCTGCCTAACCTATGGAAATGCCGAGAATGCTGGCATTCGGTAGGAAGCCAGCTTTACAAGCAATAGTAACCTTTGCCACCGGGCGAACCATCATATAGTCAAAATGTATGATACATGGTTTGCATACTCTTAACCTCAGTGATTTTGATGATTGGATAGCCTATTACCTGTGTTTTGTTAACATTTATCAAAAATAAATCTGGCGATTTGAAGAAACAGGGAGGAATTTGTTGCTGTAACTTTTTTCTGATTCAGCTCCTAAACAGACTAGGTTCCTTGATTCTGCAGTAGAATCCTTCATTGATGATATAGCAATAGCAAATGCTTGTGAGTTAAATTCACCAACGTTATTTATATTATAAATTTGGACAAAATTCTTGTAATCATGATTAGAATCTGAAAGAAATTCTCAATTTCTGCAACTATACAAGGCTTATATGGGCGGTGAAAAATAAGAACTAAACATTCGACAATTACTAAATATATAGCCACAAACACATGAAAACTATAACTAACAAAACCAAAAGATTAAAATTTCTCAATTAATCCAAAAGCCCATCTTCCTCCTCTCCTTTCTCCGCCATGCAGCTTCTCTTTCCGTCATTCAGACCCTAGACTTGACGTTGTTGCACGTTCATGTGAGTCTACTTGGGCACGTTCACGCCGGCACTTGTGATATTTCAGCACAATAACACTTTCATGTACTATCTAGTAACTATAATACTAAGTTCCAAGTTGTTTAGTTTTGTTGGTTCGGATCTAGAGACGAAAAAAGGTCGGGTTAAATTTTTGCTCATTCTAACTTCGATATTATATATTAAATATCTGAATATGATCTAATATTAAAATATTATTTTTTATATTTAATTTTATCCATATATATAATTATAATTGATTCTATCTGATTTAATATTAATAAAATATTATTTAATTATATATAAATATAATTAAATAAATAATAAAAAATATATTTATACATATATATAAGATCGGATTGGGGTAAGATTACCTAAAACCTGACCCAAAATCTACTTAAAAAAAAAATTAATCCTATAAGATTGGATCGAGTTGAAATTTGACAATTTCAAGTTGAATTACCAATCATATTAAGATATATGAAGATTGTATTTTATTTTTTTCATTTGCAAGGAATTAATAATTCTTTTATTAGAATAGAAACAATATGATTTTTAAGTTAAAACAAAATGAAACAAAAAAAAAGATTTTTTTTCAAATAATATATATCAATTTTTCCATGTAAGCATTGATTGAATTATGAGGAACGAATCAAATAGACACAGATGCCAAAATAGACTTTATAACATGATTTTCTTGAAGAGAGTGATTTATGAGAGACAAATCCTTTGGTTAAAAAGAGCATTAAAAACAGTATCATTGAATTTTTTTTTTTGGAAGAAAAAATGTATTTTTGAATTGGATCAACACATTTCCAACAAGAAACGAAGTTTCATGGCATAAATTCACCGAAATATAAAGTGCAGTGGTCAGGAAAGAACAGTGAATTTGTTGTTATTCATTGAAATTTAGTAACTCATTAAATTCTTGCAAAGTGGATTGGACTTTAAATACAAAAGGGACCCAGAACATGAATGCGTGTGGGTGACTGGTGAGCTGTTTGCTTCTCTGTACCTAAATTTTGAACAAAATTTGTCTTTTTCACTTCTCTTATTTTGAAGATTCTTCCTCTCCCAAATTTCACTTCCAAAAACAGCAAAGAAAAAAAAATGTAAAATCAATATTACCCTTTGTCTTATTTGGATCATCTTTTCCTTCCTATAGAAGAAGAAAAGTAAAGAAAGTTTCAATTGGTGCAATTTTTCTTATATCATTTCATTATATATAAGTGTAGACGAAATCATATTATTTATCCAAAAATAGATATTTTTATGTTCAAGTAAAAGAGTTGAATTTGAATCTTTCTTTCAAAAATTGTATAATGATTAAAATTTGTGATATTGAACTTGTTGATTAGAACAATATAAGCCAGTTTATGTGCACTAAACTCGACCAACAAATGATGATAGTAACCAATGGATCAATTAGCCTTATGTTGACAAACAAAAGGAGGTTGAAAACTGTACTGAGAGCTCCCAAGTTGGCTGTAAAGACTACAGCAACAGCTTACTTTGGCAATATTCTTTCATATTCCTCCTTCTTCTGCATACCTTTCAGATAAATTAAGTTAAAAAACCCCACAAAAAGGAGAGAAAATAAAGAAAAAGAAAAGGTTAAACATGAATCCCATGCAGTTTTCAGCCTTAAAACAACCATACTGGAGATGGGTTTTGTTGTTAGTGTTTTCTTTGTTAGTTTCTAGCTCCTTTTCTGATCCAAGAATCTCAAACTCTGGCCTTTTCTGTGGAAATTCCAAGCCACCAAATGGAACCAACTTTGTTCCAAACTTTGTTAAAGAGATGCAAGGGTTGTTAGAAGTGATTAACACCAGCCACTTTGCTTCTTACCACCTCAACTCTACACCTCCAATGTATGCTTTGGCTCAGTGTCATCAAGACCTTTCACAAAATGATTGCCTTCTTTGCTATGCAGCCTCGAGGACTCGAATCCCACGTTGCCTTCCTTCTGTTTCGGCTCGAATCTTTCTTGATGGCTGCTTCTTGCGTTATGATAATTACAGCTTTTTTCAGGAGTCTGTTTCATCTAGTTTGGATAATGTTAGCTGCAGCTCTAATAATATAACAATGTCCGGTGAAGATAATAACAAGAGGGTGAATTTGTTTGGTAGGAACGTTGATTATGCAGTTGGGAAAGTGACTAGGATTGCTTTGAGAAATGGAGGATTTGGGGTGGAGCAGGTGGATGGAGTGTATGCATTGGCACAGTGTTGGAAAAGTGTTCCAGCTGAAGGGTGTAGACAGTGCCTGCAGAAGGCGGCAAAGGCCGTCAGAGGCTGCGTGCCAAAGAAGGAAGGGAGAGGGATGAATACTGGATGTTATTTGAGGTACTCGACCAAGAAGTTTTATAATGAAGGGACAGAGGCAGAGCATGATCATGGTATGTCTGTCTTTTTGAAGATTCTGATTCGTCAAGATTTGTTGTACTCTTGTTCTTAATGTGAAAATGGATTGAATCTATGTTGAAATGAAGTGTGCTTAATGTGATTTCTTTGATTTTTTCTCCTTGTTTGCTAATATATTCTGCTAGTTTGATGATCATGGTAAGAAAAGGACTGATAAATTCCAACATCAGTAGATTTTGCAATTCATTTTAAATTATTTTACTAAATTTCCATTTCCCTTTTGTCTTCTCTGTCCTCTCTCCTGGTTGAAATGATTTTTTTTTTTTTTTACATTTTCCAGGTTTTTCTGGAATTTCAATCATTATAGCAATTGTCTCAGCAACATCTGCATTCTTGATGCTCTCTCTTTCAGCAATTTATGCTACTTATGCAAGATTATCAAAGAGGAAAAAAGGTACAATCTCTGTATGAGACTTATGGTAATGGTTTTCATTCATCTCAAACATTTGAGCATCAATTTTTTCCTTTAGCCCTCTGATCCATTAACCATTATTGCATTTTCTAGAGCTCAAAAATCTCGGCCAGATTTCGAAAAGAATTGACAGATCAGGATTGAAGTTCAACTATGAAACTCTTGAGAAGGCAACAGATTATTTTAGTATGTCAAGGAAACTAGGCCAAGGAGGAGCTGGTTCAGTATTCATGGGGATTCTTCCAAATGGGAAAATTGTAGCTGTAAAGAGATTGATATACAATACCAGGCAATGGGTAGATGAGTTTTTTAATGAGGTAAACTTAATCAGCAGAATTCAGCACAAGAACCTGGTGAAGCTTCTGGGTTGTAGCATTGAGGGCCCAGAGAGTCTCCTGGTTTATGAGTATGTACCGAACAAGAGCCTTGATCACTTCATTTTTGGTAATTGCTTGCTCTTTTTACATGATTCAACATGCCTTCTTTCTTTATGAACTTAATTAGTTAGATTTCTCTTGACAAAACTTTGAATCCATTGTTGGTGGCAACACTATGAAGCTCTCCCTTCTAAGGCTTGAGAGATTTAAAGCACTGTCAAATGAACATAACCAAAATTTTGTAACTCAAATAATCAGGCCCTGGCCCCTGCATTCGATTTCAATCCTACTTTGCATGGAGATTTCAAGCATACCTATGTAGGAAACAATAACTAAATTCTTGTGCCTACTTCAAACATGTTGGTGATTTTGCTTTCATATGCAGATGAGAAGAAAGCAAACTTTCTGAAGTGGAAGCAAAGGTTTGATATCATTGTTGGAACAGCTGAAGGTCTAGCACATCTTCATGGAGGAGCATCTCAAATAAGGATAATCCATAGGGACATTAAAAGCAGCAATGTTCTTTTAGATGAGAATCTTAATCCAAAGATTGCTGATTTTGGACTCGTACGATGTTTAGCTACTGATAAGAGTCATCTCAGCACTGGGGTTGCTGGAACACTGTAAGTTGAGAAAAGCTTTATCTGATTGCTTTTTCATACAACTAATGAGAATCAAATGCATTTCATCTGTATGACATTGGTACAAAGTTGATTCAGTACCACATGAAAGCCAAATCTACACCATGGATCCAACATAATGTAACACATTAAGATCTTTATTGAAGTTTCCTAAGAACTTCATATGAAATTTTCATGCAGAGGATACATGGCGCCTGAGTACCTTGTTCGAGGACAACTTACAGAGAAAGTGGATGTTTACAGCTTTGGGGTACTAGTTCTTGAGATTGTATGTGGTAAAAGGAATACCACCTTCACAAAGGACTCTGGTTCCCTTCTACAAACAGTAAGCTCCAAAACTCTTTGTTCACAAAAGTTTCAGATTGAAACATGAATGAATGAAATTAGAATTCTAATATGGGATTTTAAACCTCAGGTTTGGACACTTTACAGATCAAACAGATTGCCTGAAGCTATTGACCCTTGCATGAGAGATGATTTTTCGGCAAAAGAGGCCCCAAATGTGCTTCAAATTGGGCTGTTATGCACACAAGCTTCAGTTGCCTTGAGACCATCAATGGCACAAGTAGTTCAGATGCTAACTGATAAAGATTGTGAAATCCCTCCACCTAACCAGCCTCCTTTCTTAAATGCTAGTCTGCTAGAACCAACAAATTCAACAAGGTCATATAGCACAGATAGTTTCATATCAAATGCAGTGAGAAAAATTCAAGGTTCCGGTACTTCCTCCGAGTCTTCTAGGACTCGCAGTTCGGATGAGGCATCAAGAAACCAATAATAATTTTGCAGAAGTTAGTTCAAACCAGGTTTTCAGGAATTTCCAAGGCATATAAAACAGCAATGAAACAGTTGATCTCTCATGGTAGCAATGAAGTTGCAATCAGATGAGAGTTCACATATGCTATAATGAAGTGCTATGTATAGAAGGTTCAGTTAGTGGTTAACTATGACTTCGAGTTGGATGACAAAAAAAAAAAAAAACCAAATCTTCTGCTTTGTCCGTTTGAATCGTTTGAGAAGAAAACATGCCGTAAATCTGTAGATATCTATGTTAGATCAATTTTTCCGCGGGCAATTTGCAGCATAGCCTTTTCTTGTCTTCTAGCTTTCATAAATATATATTTTTTGTAATTTCTTGTCACACTCGATATTCTCTTTGGATTCCAAAAGTTAAAGAGGTTGTCGGGGTAGTTGCTTGGTCACCCATTTGCCTAAAGATTTAATTTCATTTAAAATTTTGGACTTTTTTTTTTTTGGAAATTTCATTTTCAATGTCAAAGCACGAGCTTCTATATTACTTTTAGTCAATTGGTTGCATTAAAGTGAAAGATTAGGATATATTTGATGCTCATCCTATGACATTTGTAGAGCAAATCAAACAGATGGTGGTTAGAATTAAATAATTGATGTGATATAATCATTTACTTGCCACGTGGCATTTTTGTCGGTTCTATTGCCATCCATCCATCTGGCTACATATAATGTACATGAAAAACATGTCACTCTCGACATTTAGTTTCGCTTTATTGAATTCTACATTTAAGATTAACATTTATGACAAATCCAAACTTGATAAATGGTTAATTATGATGTGTTTGTAATTTTCTCATAGGGTGAATCTCCAGGCGAGCAACTTTTCATTGTTGAGCATTATTGGGCTTAGATCTTACCTCTTGGCAGCTGTCATTATGTAAGCTCTAAGGTCTAAGATCACTTTGAATGTGTGGTGAAATTGAGGAATAGTGAAGGATTTAGAGCAGAGGAAGAACAAAAAACAGTAAAAACTAATCTGACACTTGAAGTAAATTGGCTCATCAGATCATGAGCTTCATTTCATTAATATATAGGTTTTAAACATACAAAAGTTTGTTTAACTACTACAAGAGTTGTTTGTCTAACAGTATGGATCACCATGCATAGATCCATCATGTTACTTAAACTGATCAGATGACAGAACCTATTACAAAAGTGCCAGTAGAAATGTCATACCTAGTTGCTTCAACCACTAACACACTAGCACTCCTTCTTGGCATTTCTGCTGGAAACACCAAGACTTTTCCTCAATGTTTCAAACCTTGCCTTTGGTAAGGCTTTGGTCAGAATATCTGCAATTTGATCTTTTGACTTACAATGCACCAGTTTCACTTCATTCTCAGCTTCAACTTCTCTAATAAAGTGATACTTGATCTTAATATGCTTAGTTTTTTCATGAAACGCAAGGTTCTTAACCATTGTAACTGCTGACTGATTATCACAAAAAATTTTTTGTTAGATCATCTTGCTTTTGACTCAAATCCATCAGAATTTTCCCTTAGCCAAATTGCTTGATTAACAGCAGCTGCAGCAGCTATATACTCTGCTTCTGCTATTGATTGAGCCACAGTTCCTTGTTTCTTTGAATTTCAGCTGAACACATTTAATCCAATGAAAAACACATAGCCTGAAGTGCTTTTCATGTCTTTATGAGAGCCAGCCCAATCACTGTCTGTGAATCCAACCAATCTTGAACTTTCATTCTTCTTGAACCGAATTCCAAGTTCACTAGTTCATTTGACATATCTCAACACTCTTTTTGCAGCCTTAAAATGTAACTCACTATGATTTTGTATGAACCTAGAGAGTAAATTTGCAGCATACATGATGTCTGGTCTTGTTGTTGTCAAATACAATAAGCAACCAACCAAGCTTCTATAAATAGAACCATCAGCTTTGTTAGCTCCATTTTCCTTAATAAGTTTCTCATTTTGAGCCAAAGGAGTGTTGACTGGCTTGCAATTTTCCATCCCAAACTTATTCAAGATTTCATTTGCATATTTTCTTTGACAAATGAAGATTCCTTGCTGGTCTTGATGAATCTCCATTCCAAGAAAATAAGACATTTCTCCCATATCTATCATCTCAAAAATTTTTTACATTTGGAGCTTAAAATCCTCCACAATAGCAGATTTGCTACCTGTCACCAAAAGATCATCAACATACAAAGAAACAATCAACAGATCATTACTGTTAAAAACTTTAATGTACAATATTACTTCACTGAGGCTTTTCTTGAATCCTAACTTCAGTAAATGATCATCAATTCTGGAATTCCACACTCTTGGAGCTTGTTTTAATCCATACAAAGCCTTCTTGAGTAGATAGACTTTGTCTTCATGTCCCTTGGCAACAAAACCATCAGGTTGTTCAATGTAAATCTCCTCCTCAAGATAACCATTCAAGAAGGTAGATTTGACATCAAGTTGGTATATTTTCCAACTTTGCTGAGTTGCTAAGGCTAATAGCAGCCTTATGGTGTCCAACCTTGCAACTGGAGCAAATGTCTCTAAAAAATCAACACCAAGCTGCTGGAAATAGCCTTTAGCTACCAATCTAGCTTTAAGTTTGTTGATGGAACCATCAGCATCCAACTTTGTTCTGAAAATCCATTTAACACCAATGATGTTTTTGTTGCTTGGTCTGTCAACCAACATCCATGTTTGATTTTTCTTAATCATTTGAATCTCCTCCTTCATGGCATTCCTCCACTCTGAAAATTTGACAGCTTCTTCAAAGCTTGCAGGTTCAAGAATGGCAACATTTGATCTTTGATAAATATCTGTGAGTGGTTTGATTCCTCTCACTGGTTCATGATCAATGATTTCATTTTCAAACATATAATCTTCTTGATCTTGGAAGCTTATCATGTCTGCAGCAGTTTGCTTGACTGATTCTCCCTTTGACTTTTCCCAATTCCAGGCAACTTGCTCATTAAATCTCATATTCCTACTTACAATCATCTTGTCTGTAAGTGGATTGTAAGTCCTATAGCCTTTAGTGATGTTGCTATAGCCCAGAAAAATACATATTTCTATTTTTTGATCAAGCTTGTCCCTTTTGATATCAGGAACGAACACATAACAGATGATGCCAAAAACTCTGAGGTGGTGCACTGATGGTTTGCTTCTATACCAGGCTTCGAAAGGAGTGTTTCCCTTCAAAGCTTTTGTGGACAGCCTATTGAGCAAGTAGACAGAGGTATTGACTGCCTCTACCCAAAATTTCTTTGAAAGATTCTTCTCAAACAACATGCATCTTACCATCTCCATGATTATTTTATTCTTCATTTCACTGACTCCATTTTGTTGTAGAGTGTAAGTTGCTGTCAGTTGGTGTTCAATTCCTGCAACTTCACAAAACTCATTAAATCTGTCAAATGTGTATTCAGTACCATTGTCTGACCTTATGATCTTGATTTTGTAGCCACTTTGATTCTCAATCCAAGCCTTGAACTTCCAAAATACATTTGCAACTTCAAACTTTTGTTTCATGAAGTAAATCCAACACATTCTGGTAAAATCATCTATAAAAGTAATGAAATATCTACTGCCATTCAAGGACAAGGTTCTCATAGGACCACAAACATCAGTATGAACAAGTTGTAGTTTTTCAGTTGCCCTCTATGCTTTATTAATTGTAAATGGCAACTTACTTTGTTTTTCTAGCTGACAGACTTCACATACTCCAACACTGACTTCAATAGTAGGCATGTTTAATACAATATCATTTTTATGCATGAAATTCAATGCATTGTAGTTGAAATGTCCCATCCTTTTATGCCATAAAGAAGATTCATCATGTGAAGTAGCATATGCAGAGGAGTTTGCTTCATGCCAATTCAAGGAAAAACATTTTCCTTTCATATTAACAGTAAAGAGTTCATGGCCAGTGGGATCATGAATTATGCATGCCTTATCTTTGAAAACTAAAGAGTAGTTATTTTCTAACAACTATCCTACACTTAACAGGTTTTGATCTATTTTAGGCACAAATAACACATCTGAAATAAGTTTGGTACCTGTTAGTGTCTCAACTGCCACTACTCTTTTTCCTTTAACTTCTATGAAATCACCATTACCTATTCTGACTTTAGAGGTACAGGTCTTGTCTAGTTCTTTGAACATGTTGATATCAGATGTCATATGGTGTGTGCAACCACTGTCAATGAGCCATGCACTTGAGGAGGTTCTGGTTTCATAGCAAGTTGCAATAAAAACTTACTCTTCTAGCTGTTGTTGATTGTCAGCAACTCTGGCTTGTTGATCTGGCTGCTGCTATTTTTTATTTTTACATACCTTCTTCATGTGACCAAGCTGCTTACAGTACCTACATTGTATGTCAGGTCTATAACAGCAATATTTCTCCAAGTGAGTGGTCTTTTTACAGTGAGAGCAAAGTGGGAATTTTTTTTCTTTTCATTGTTTCTAGAACCTTTGTTTCTTCGATCTCCTTGTTTTCTGCCTTTGCTTTTTATTTGCATCTTGCCTTTTTCCTTGGCTGTAAAAGCACCTTCTGTTGAATCCTCTTGTCTGATAGCCCTTTTTTGCTCTTGAGCTTGTAAAGCATTGAATAATTCTGCTAGAGTTATCTTGGTCAGGTCCTTGGAGTCTTCAAGGGATGAGATTTTTTACTGAAACCTCTCTGGTAAGCTGACAAGAACCTTCTCTACAATTATTTTGTCTGACAGCTCTTCACCAAGTAATCTAATCTTGTTTACTATCTTCATGAGTCTGTCATTGTACTCCTTTAAATTTTCAGACTCCTTCATCTTTAAGACTTCAAACTCTCTTCTAAGATTCAACACTTGCATTTGTTTTGTCTTGTCACTGCCTTGAAACTCTTCCTTGAGCACATCTCAAGCTTGTTTTGCAGTTTCACAAATCATGATTCTAATGAATATGTCATCAAAAACTGAAGACTCTATACAGCTTTTAGCCTTGTACCTCTTTGCTTTTTCTTTACTATAATTTTTCATTTGAGTTACTGTTGGATTTGCAGGAAGTTATGGTGGTCCCTTCTCATTTTTCACCACTTCCCACAAATCAAAAGCACTCAAATAAGTCTTCATTTTGACAGCCCATATCTGATAGTTCTCACCAGAAAAAATAGGAGGTAAAGGTATGGAGCAATTGCTTGAGGCCATTTAAGGTTGACAAAAGCTGGCTGGTAAGTGTTTGATGGCTTTTCACTCAATTTTTTGGAACTCACAGGTCCTCTAAGACCTTAAAGAATGCTCTGATACCAATTGAAGGATTTAGAGCAGAGGAAGAACAAAAAACAATAGAAACTAATCTGTCACTTGAAGTAAATTGACTTATCAGATCATGAGCTTCATTTCATTAATATATAAGCTTTAAACATATAAAAATTTGTTTAACTACTACAAGAGTTATTTGTCTAACAGTATGAATCACCATACATAAATCCATCATATTATCTAAATTGATCAGATGATAGAATTTATGATAAAAATACCAGTAAAAATGTCATACCTAATTGCTTCAACCACTGAAACTGTAACAAATAGTAAACATCGTCACCAAATTTCTTATGATATGAGGCAAAAGGACAAATCACAGAAATGAAAAGACACTCTGAAAGCCAAGAAATGAATCTACTTCCCTGTCTTTGCCTGTGGAGGCGAGTGAGCAGCACTGCCTTTTTGATTCGCTTGGAGATGGATTGTCTTTCCGACCATCCGCGATCGAGCTTCCAAGGTCCACCAGCCTCTTGCTGTTCTTCATCGTTGAAATATCAAAAGACAGCATTTTAACAGATGATGTACTGACGTTGGTGCTTGAAACTGTCGGAGAAACAGCTGATTTTCCATTTGCTCCACTGAAACTTCCATGGAATACATTGTTTTTCGCCTTTGTACTGGCCTTGGTACCATACGCGTCTCTGTTGACTTTCCCAGGATCTAGCTCTGAAATGGCCATTGCATCTTTGAGAATCTGACTGGAATTCGCGTCTTTTGATGTTCCTGAAGTAGCATTGCAAAACCCCGGCTGATTCGCTGAGTAGTGTTCCTCTGTACAGATATAAGAGTCGGACTCAATGAGCTTTGGCGCATTGAGCACAGGAAAATTCCTTGATTTTTTCCGTATGTGATCAAATTTTGTTTCTTCAGTCAGTCTTTTGAACGAGAACGCTTCAGGTTCAGATGGAAGATCACCTTGAATGAGAGAGCTAACATTTCAACACCAAAGTAGAAGCAAAAAAATGATGATTTACGTACAAAACTTTGGTCAAGAAAGGCACCTGAATCATCTGTGAGATCAATGGTAACTGAGCTCCCAGCAGTTATATGATGCTTTCTGGTTAGATAGTTGTTGATACCATCGGCATTCTGTTCTGGCCCTGTGGATTGTGGAGAAGCATCCAGCACAATCTGTTGAAGAATTTTGCTTCTCTCCTGGTCAAGAGTGCGCTTTCTTGCGAGATTTAAGCCTCCGGGTGTTGCAGGATAAGCATTGCTTGAGGGAGTCAAGAGAGGGAAGTTCTTGGCTTTTTCTCGTATATGGTCAAATATCGATTGCCCAGTGATGATTTTACAATCATCTTTTTCAATTCCAGCAGCAGGCTCTCCTACAATATTTGAGGTAGAAATGCTGCGTGAATTGGCAAATAGATACCAGGATTTTTAATGTAAAGCATAGCATCATCCCATAAGGTATACCTTCTTCCGGTTCTTCATCCAAGAGTTTGAAACTGGGCCTGCAATAGAAAAGACTTATTATCAGATTAATGGGTCTAAAACAAACTCCTTTCAAGCACCAAAAGATTAAAATTTAAAACTGAAATGAGCTATTTGAAATCTAAAAGAATCCTTGTTTCTCACATTAAAGTGCCTTCCCTTTTAGATTTAATCAAACCCGGAGGTTCTTGAGCCAAAGTTTGATGTTTGGCTGCATTGTCATCTTCTATAACACAAATTTCCTCAGGCGGAGCGAATAACTGAGCCTGCTTCTTTGCACGATTATGGTTTGCATTTGAATTGTTATCCTTAACCAGCAGAAGCTTTTCATGGGGATCAATGCCAACTGCATGGATAACACTGCAAAATGAGTATAAAAGCTCTGGAATTTGTGCCCAGTGTGCATAAGAATTGTAGAAATTAGATATGTCGAAGCTTAGCTGTATTCTTCAAAGATGAGATCAGCCTTAACTGTCATCTTTCCCTGGGGGTTTGACACGAGGATAGTCATGCTATAGGGGCTGCAAGGATAACCAACAACCTATACTTCAAAAGATAGAATAAGGGAAACAAGTGGCTAACCAAACATTCTGAACTAAGCAGATGATGGTTGAGGGCAAATTGAGCTGATTCATTCGTGAAGTCAACCAAGTACTAATGTTACTAATTCTGTAATCTTAGAAGTTCTAAAAAGGGTATAGTTTCAATTAAAGAAAAATGATTGAGACAAAACATTTGTTAGGAGCATCTATTTCCATCTTCACCAAGTCTGAACTCTGAAACTATAAATCCATTTCATGTGGCTTGTTTCATCATACTCTTAGACTGATCTTTACAAAATAAGAAGACTGAGAAGATGTTGGCATACCTCAGAAACTCATCCACTCTGCTGCAGCCAAGTCGGATAAAGTTAGAAAGTAATATAGAGGAGGAAAGAAGCACAGATAGCATTTAGAATTAAACATTATATCAAGGGTCAGCATTTGGGATAACCAAATCCATATAAGAAAATATGAAGTCTTCCAGTATTTTATTTTATTTTGTTTGACAGAGACCCCCTGGTATAATGCTCAAAATGATAGTGTCCAAACATTGAATATGAATTAATGTTAACAGCACCTTATCTTCTCATGAAAAAGGATCAGGTTTTCTTCTTCTGAAGCAACAATCTGTAAGAGAAAATATTTAGAACAACATTATATTTGATTGATACTGATGACTTATTACGAAGGTATGAAGAAACATTAAGGATAACATACCATATCAGCATAGTGTCCTTTAGTTGATTGGACCCCTTGCGATAACCTCGTCAATGTTACTGATAACTTGGACTTTTCCTGCCTGTGGCATTCACTTACCTCAATCTTAATGTCAACTTTTGGAGGCAATGACGTTAGAGACTCCTTGATATGATTTCCAAAAGGATATTTTCGGCCAGTAACTATCTCTATCCTCCTTGGATCAGCTTCAGCTAGCGTCTCAAATGATTTGATTCCCATTGAATGCAGTGCCTGAACAAAGCATTAGTTCAGGAGTATAATGGGAGGATATCGAAATAACAAAATATTTAGAAACAACAAATCTAACATCAATCAAACAGCTACTCATCAAAGAAAACCTTTGCTGTCACCGTTCCAATGCCAGGTAATTGTTTCAGCAAGTATGGACTGTCATCCCAGAGTTTCTGATATAATGACTTTGCTAGAAGGGACGAGTTCAGGGTTCCTCTATAGTTCTTTTTGTATATAAAGTATTCTTTCATGCACTTAGCAATCCTACACCCATTTGAACATATTGAATTTGCATCCTAAAGCAAACATAACAGTTCATAATTGCATCAGTTCAACTTTAAGAATAATTCTTCTAAAAATAGTTTTTTTCCATAATTAAAGTACAAAGATAACTGAGGTCATGAAACCTGGGTCATAGATAAATCATGAATTAAAGGATCCCCAGTTAAGCAGTCATTTGCCAAAACAAATATCTTTTCTTCTCTAGTTTGAATGCGCTTTTTCCGTTTCCCATTATCACCACTGACATGAAACCGGAGGCGGCCATCTTTATCGCCATTTATGTCATTCAAAAGTTTCTTCTCATTGCGTCTGAGCTGTATCCCTTCATTTTCCAGCAAATTAACACGTGCTATTACAGTTACTTTAGAAGAACAAGTACAAAAAACTATTATTACTAGATAGGTATGCTTACAAGCAATCTCCTCAGCACGGCATATAATCTGTAGTACATCTTCTAAACTACAGCTAAGTGGTGCTTGCATAATGTGTTTCATGGTGTTAAATTTCAAATAGTACTTTGTCATCAATCTTCCTGGCTCTGAAGAAGATGAAAATAAAGGGTAGGAATTAGTGCTATGTTTATACTTCAGGAGCAAAGGGACTGAATAATTTCAAGATACCTTGTGGCTTTAAAAGAAAACCATCTTCATCGGTCTGAATCATTTGGTGGCATGATAGCTTATTAACATTTTGAACACAAATCTCTGATAGTACACAGCATTGATGAGTAATCTGATGTCAAAACAAGCTCAATAAATCAACGGGAAAGAAGTACACCTTGCAGATGCTTCTTTATTTGATCTCTTGGAATCCCTTTTCTAACTGCATAATTCTCAGGGTTCTGATTGTGCATCCGAGGCATCAGAATGCAACTAACATAAGGCATTTTATATGCTTCAAAAGATGGCTATATACTTGCCTTTTTCATTCTCACATACAAGTATGAGCACTTCATCCACTCAATTGCCTTTGTGATATCAGAGATGGTTAGTTGAACTATTTCTGCAGTTAAGTGTTCCGTTATACATGAGAGCAATCTACATTGGTAAGAAAAACGTGAAGCACATAATTAGAACATATGCCTAATTCTCATGAAATGCATGGGCCATGCACCATGCAGAAGTCAATAATAACAAAACCATTATGGATTTTGGAAGTTGTGAACATACTGTGATTCTACCATTTCACATCCATTCAAGAGATTCTCATATAAGTGCACCTGAGATCATGTATGAAATCATAAAAGGCAAACTTAGCGAGAATCAATCAAGGCTAGATTAGTGGCAATAAAAGCAATATGCTAGGAAAGAGGAAGAAAGGACAGCATTAGATTACTGTTTCTCTTCTAGTCATGATTATAACCATCCCTGTATCATCAAATGGTGGCCGACCTGCCCTCCCACACATCTGGAGAACAAAATACTAATTTAAATATAACCATATGCTTGAGTATTGAAAAACAGGGACCTCAATGCAGATACAACCAGATATATTCACCTCTCTAGGCCACCACAGTGAGTACGAACAATTTTGAAAGGACTATCCACAAAACATGTCTACTTATTCATAACAGCTGTTGCTTTTCACATTCGATCGGACAGAGATGAGCGGTTCCATTTTGAAGTGCTAGTTTTCTTGAATAACATAAATGTTCCAAAATTTCAAGTAATTTGTATCTTTAAAAGGTAGAAGAAAACAGAAATTCTAGAGATTTATATCTCTAAAAGTAGCTGGGAACTAGTGAAGAAGCATGTAACAACACACCTGTTGTATCATTGACCGTTCATATTCCATGTAAAGACCTTTTTCCTTGTTGCTAAATAAAATGAAAATTTTGAAGCATTAGATACCATAGATGCTCTTTCCTTTTTATGAAAGAAAATGGCAAAGATAATAATAATAATAATAGTTTACTTAAGAAGAAAAAGTTTGACATACAAATGTTGTGTTGACTTTATAACAACTGTATGAGCTGGTAGGTTGATTCCATGGGCAAGAGTATTTGTGGTGCACAGAACTTGGACGTCACCACTAAGAAAAAGGCCTTCAATGAGATTACGATCCTTAAGACTAAGGCCACCATTATGATAACCAACTGCAAACATAATATCTGACATCAGCTTGTCATAAAAATTTCAAAATAATGTGCCATAGCAGAATAAGTTCATCCTATACCTCCATAAAGAATATAAGATTGCATCTGTTTGTCACTGCATGACAGAGAAGCCTCCCTTAGCCTTTCCTGTTGTTCGTGACTTTTAATAAATGGATTTGAATAACCAAAGGTCATTACTGTTTGAGAGAGTCGTTGTGCTGCTTCTTGTGCTCCTTTTCTAGTTGAGCAAAAAACTAGAGCAGATTTTCCTCTTGAATATTGCATTAGAATATCTGTAATCAGTTCCAACCAAAAATAACATCTATGCCCCTTTATCATAAAAGATTATTGCAGCATATAAAACCACAACAGTTAAAAAACTTTCAAAATAGACATTAGTCCAGAAGTTGAATCTTACCAAAAATATAGTTTTGGAGGCGCTGGATGATGACAAATAGAAAGAATCACTAATATTAGATGAATTCGAACTTGTTAACTACAGATGTATGTTCTGAAACCCTTTTAATATACAATCCTTGAAATAAAGAAAGTATAGGACCTAGTACTCCTAATACAATTACTTGCCTTTTCAAAGAGGAAGTCATTTTTTGCAGAGGCATACCCTGCAAGAAAGGTATTTGCTTGTGTAAAAGAAATGCACTCGAGGGAGATAACTTTGAAAGGACATTTATGAGAATAGAACATCTAAAAATTAAATGCATACCAAAAACTTTGGTGGTCAACTTTACAGGCCTCATTTCTTCTCCAAACCTGATAATATATACAATAGAAAGTCAATGGAGATAAAATTCTACTGGCAATCAAAGAGAAGAAAGTGCAGCCATCACAACATAGTATAAATTACCTTTTGATTCCTTGGACAGGGACCTCGAGCCATTCAGCTGTGCATGTTGGTATAAAGTGTGTATGTTATTAAAATTTAATCACTTTCCATCTTTTGAAAGTAAAATTAAAAAAAAAAAAAAATCAAATTAACACTTTGGCAAATATAAGAGAAAAATTTACCAAGGTCCTCAATATTTGGAATAGTGGCTGACACAGCTAAAAACCGAACAGAAGCCAGAGGACTTGATTTCATTTCCTGGTTACGCGCAAGCATTTTTATTCTGCTAACTATTGCCTCCAAAGCTGCCCCACGAAGATCATTCAGTAGGTGAACTTCATCAATAAGTAGAAGTGCTATGTCACTGAAAAAGCTCAGGCCTCCATCCTTTATGCGGTACCGAGTAACAGCATCAAATTTCTATGTAAAGAAAAAGAAAAAAAAAAATCCCATTCAACAATGTACTCATGTCTCAAAAGGGTCATATAAGAAGAGTATTACAGTGCAACATTTGAGTACATTCGCTGTTTTTGTTTGGTATGACATATAAATGTACTCACCTCAGGAGTGGTTAAAATAATATCTGCTTCTTGAATATTCCTTGCGCTATAAGATTCGTTGTCACCTGTCAACTCCAGGCAATTTATCCCCAATGAACCAAACTTCGGAGTCCAATCACGCAGCTTCTCTTGTACTAAAGCTTTAGATGGGGCTACGTAGATCTTTAGATGAAAGCAAAACAAGAAATAAGTAGCAATGACAAAATGCTCCTATATAGAACCATGGTTATGCTTCTAGCCTTACATATCATGCATTGGACACAAAAACATAAGAGAAAAAGGTGCTTCTCTGCATTTACTAATACACTAAATTAAGTGTCTACAAACTTAATACAGGCGGAGAGTGCTCAAGACTTACTGTTTTTAGTGTTCCCTTTATATGGACAAACCTTCCATCACCAGAGATAAACCTTGAGAGAAGCCTCAGAATACAGAGCTCAAAGAGCACGGTTTTCCCACTTCCAGTAGGAGCTGAAATAACCATGTTTACATCGGAGAGGAAACAAACAGGAAAGCATTCACTCTGCAGTGAATTAAAGTACCTGCAAACACAACAAATAAAAATAAAAAGTTCAACCATATGGAATATAAACTCGTTTCAGGTACAAGGATAAAATAAAATTCTATTAAATTATAGTTATAAACACTTATAAGTCAAAATTAAGCTAAAATCCATAAAATCTTGCTGCCAAATACTCGACATGCCTAATTTCCAAGTTACTTAATATATAGTTACCTGAAACTAAAAATTGAACGGAAAGGTTCTGGCAAATCGAACACGGATTTCAGTGAATATGAATCCATAATCAAGCTCTGTTACGAACAATCGATCTGAGGCAAGCCAAAATAAATAAATGCTAATATTAGTGTACTTCTTGTGAATGTACGCATAATATGTAAATATTAGGCATATTTTACGAATTGAAAAAGACTAATCGGTAAATTACATGCAGAGATCCTGAAATTCAGACTCTAATTATTGTAATAAAAGCGAGATTAAATAAAAAAAAAAGGAAAAATATTACGTACTATATTCAAACTGTTTGTCGCTTGGATCCAAAAAGTTTAAACAAACAAATTGAAAATATATCTTTCATGAGACGCTAGTTTCATCTTCTAATAGAAAATTTAGCCGGAAATGTTAACTCTATCGAAGAACTCAATAAAATTCTACAAATTTTTAGTACATTGACGAAGCTAAGATGATTCCTTCACATATGGCGCGATTCTACACAGAAATTTCTAGATAAAATGAATCGCTAAAGATCTCCGAATTTAAAACTTAAAACTCCCGAAATCTCGATTAGAACGGTTTGTAAAAGGCAACTCATTAAACACTCTAACTCTTCTTCTTCTTCTTTTTCCAAAACCTCACAAAATCAATACACCAGTGAAATAAGCTTAAATTATCGCAAATTGCAAGAGAAATGAATTGCTAAAGATATTTTATTTTTTTAATACTTATAACTCTCGAAATATGAGTTACAAAAAGTCTAAACACTCTAATTCTTCATTTTATTTTCAAAATCTCAATCAAAAATACAAAAAAAAAGTAGCGAAAATAATAGAAAAGTATCGCAAAATTAACTTCTAAAGAAGAATTGTTGAAGATCAATGCCAACTAGAAAGCATGACTCGAAAAATCCAAGTAAAAATCACCTAGAAGAATCTCTATTGGCGCTTGATTGTGAAATCTCCGAATCTATGAAGAGTTGGCCAGTTCTTGCAACAAGTGATTTTTAATTCATTTTTTAAATGAATTTTCTTTGGTTTGCAATAACTAGCTAGCTTCATTCTAGCTCAAAAAATCTGTATAAATTATTTGAATCGCGATAACTAAAAATTCGTATATAATGAATTTGAATCAGTAGCTCGATTCACCTGAAAGCTGAGATTCACATCCATTGAAGCTTGTCGAGAGTGTGAGAGAGTGTGTTTAGAAAAACAGAAATGAAAAAACGAATTCGCTTGGATATTTATAGTCCAAAATCGTCCTTTTGGCGGGAACCCAATTTACACGCCGCTTGCTTTTTTTCAGCCGTGTTTGGCTGTTTGGCGACTTTTTTTTTTATTTTTTTATTTTATTGGCCAATTCTGCTTTTTTATTTCTTGATTTCAATGTTAAGTGGAAGAAAAAAAAATCAAATTTCAAACATGTAGTTTGGCAGATTTAGGTTAATTTAAGCTGCATTTTTATAATAGTCACTTTTCAAGTAATTTGATTTTATTTATGTTATATTCATACAATAAATTTTATGAGTAAAAGTAAAACTTAAATACCTTTAAAATTAAATATCACAAAATATTAAATTATAAAATATTTTTAAGGATTTCAAATTTTAAATTTGCTAATAAATGATGTGGTAATTTGTAATGCAAGCATTATGAATAATATCTATATAACACATTGCATCAAATATAAATTTTAAAAATTAATTAAAATTTTATCTATAAAAATTTAAAAATTTATATTTGATTAATTATTAGTATATAATAATTATATACTATCAATGAATTAAAAAAATTTTAATTTTAAGTATAATTTTAAAATCAAATATATTTATTTTTTAAAATTTTAAATATAAAATATCAATATATAATTTATTGACTATTTATAACATTTATATATTAATAATGTATTAAATAAAAATCTCAAAATTTAATATGCAAGCATTTAAAAATACATTATCAATTTATGTACACTTGAAAAGTAATTAAATTTTTATAAAAATACATGTACATGTAAAAAATAAATTTAATTAACATAATTAGTTTTAACTTGTATAACATATTTAATGTATATATATCGAATCAAACTAAAGTTCAACATGAACTATACTCGATATTCTGGCAAAAAAAGAAAAGAAACTATACTTCATAGAAATAATCAAATAATAATGCATTAAAAAAAAAGATAAAAATAGTAAGACTGTAAAATTGAAAACGGTAAAAAGGTAAAAATCCAGAGTTACCAAACAATGCCTTGAGTAAGAAGCAACACCACTATGGTATCACGCATTTCATATTTTCTCGGTTTCTGCTCCCACTACCATTGCACGGCTTTACTCCTTTTGAAGACCACTCCCCCCGTTTTCGATTTTCCATGCAACAATTTCACAAACAAAATCTTCCCTTTCCATTTTCAAAGTATGATTTCCAGTAACAATCGTTGGACTTTGCTTTTTCTCCAAAATCCTTCATACTTATTGCGTTCTTGAAAAGGATCCACTTATATTTTGTTGATTTACTATTGTTTCAGATTTTGCTTTGTTGTAGACTACTATTTGTCGATGATTTTCACTACCTTTTCTTCATTTAAGCTGGTTTTCATGGGAAGCTGGCTTTTGGCTGCTTCATTATTGAGTTATTTCAAGTTTGTTTTGAGCTTTGTGTTTTCTTTTTTTCATTTCCCCTGTTATTTATTTCGTCTGCTTCGTTTTCGTTTACCTTTTACAGCGTTGTCCACACTCGTTCGATTCCGTCGTGTATTCTTCTTCAGAGCTCAAAAATTAACACTGGAAACGCCATGGATTCTATTGACAATATGGTCAAAGAGTTGAAAGCTGAAGGTGGCTGCAACGATATGGGTTTAGTTTACAAAGTTGGCAATGGTCGACATTGGAACTCGAAAGAAAACAGGGAGAACAGACACATCGAAGCTTGTAACGCTGGAAATGGCAACTCCATTAATGAATCCTTCCTTTCAACTCCACCTGCTTCCTGTTTTAGACCAATTTGTCGGCAATTTTGGAGAGCTGGGAACTATGAAGTAGAGGATAGGTCGGGGCTTCAAGCAGCGAAGCAAGGTAATTAGCTGCCACTTGCTTGTCTTAAGACTTGTTTACTTGTTATATGCTTTGTCAAATATACGGAATGATGAAGCTGATTGAATAACTTCGAAAACTGCCTTAAGAAATATAACCCTGAGCTTCTTGTATATACATGCTCTATCCTTTGTTTGGTTACTAAGAAACTTCATTTCATGATATGGTTGGCAGATGGGAGAAATCAGTTGCATGTACATCCAATGTTCCTTCATTCCAATGCCACCTCTCATAAATCGGTCTTTGGTGGTATGTTCATTTATATATGCTTTATATTTGTTTCGTCCTGTAATATTGGCAGCCATAGCTTTTCTGTAATAATGCTAATATAGATTTTCTTTTTCTTTGTGTTTCACCTTTTCTGCTTACTTTGGCAGCGATAGCTGAGCTGCTTGACAATGCACTTGATGAGGTAAGTTCCTTTTCTTACTTTTTTATTTACCAGAAATTAGGAGTTCCTGTAATCTATGCTGGCAAGGAAATCGATCATTGCTTGGTTGTCAACAATGTGTTCCTTCTATTATTTTCCTTTCTTTAAACTTTTAGAGTGAATTATGCATGCCTACCAGTGATTTTGCTTAACAAAGAAAACGAAAAGGAAATTAAGAATCACCAAGAGAACATGGCATAAGAGCATTAAGGCTTCTAATTCTTGTTAATTAGCCCTGTATCCATGGTGATATCTAGTTAAAATCAGTTTCCGGTGTGCATTAACATTGGCTCTATGGTATAGGTAAGAAATGAGGCTACTTTTGTTTATGTTGACAAAATCTCAAATCCTCGAGATGAGAGTCCAGCTTTGTTAATCCAGGGTACTTCTTCCAGTCACTCTAAACGAGTTGTTGAAATTTTATTGGGAAATCTTAGTTGTGCTCATCTGATACTTACACTTTTCTCATTTAAAGTTTCTGTTTTCAAATCTGAATTTTCTATATAGATGATGGCAGTGGAATGGACCCAGAAGCTCTAAGGCATTGCATGAGTTTTGGATTTTCAGATAAGAAAATGAAACATGCTATTGGACAGTGTATGGTCTGTTCTTTGTAATTTTCTCTCTTCCCACCCCCTTTCCTTTTTTTTTTTTTCCTATTAATTGGTGGGTTGTGGAATTTTAGATGGAAATGGTTTCAAGACTGGGTCTATGAGGCTGGGAGCAGATGTTATAGTCTTCAGTCGTCAAAGGAAAATGAGGTCAATTGTCATTATTCATAAATTTTTTTTTCTTTATTTTCAAAAGCTTCTAAAATGTTTCATGTATTACATCATGCATCCATGAAGGTGAAAAACCCTTCTATCCTCCTTGCAAAGGAGAGGGTAAAAGGATAGGGAAAAGGTAAAGGAAAATTTGCATCACCTTAACAGAGAACCTGCGATCATATGACGAAATTTTACTTTGGGCTTTCATGAATGTCTATTGATTTGTTGTGCTGATATTTACTTGGAATCCTAACCAGCAAATGCTGCTCCTTCATAGCTAATATCGCTTGGCATTGCACAAGAACTTTTTGCTAATCATTAGTCCTTATTTGATATCTAGTGTTTTTTTTTTTTTTTTCATTTTATGTATTTTCTTTTTCATTCCAAGTCTAAAGAAAATGAGAATCTATTGGTGTCTGGTTTTGGATAGTGGGGGTCCAAGTTCAGCTTAGTCTCTTATTAGCTAGAGAAAAGGTTAATATTTTTCACATACATATGAAATACCTGCTCATGTGCTATTTGAGTAACTGTGATCCTTTGTTTATTGTTAGTATAAACGTGTGCAGGACCCTGACTCAGAGTATTGGACTCCTCTCTTATACATTTCTGAGGCAAATGGGTTATGAAAGGATAATAGTACCAATGGTAAGTTTTGCGTTTTAATGCAGTTAATTTCTATGGATATTCAGTCGTCTATCTCCTCCCTTCATCTGTAAACTGCATATTGTTAATCAATTCACAAAACTTATGTCCTAAATCTTTATTTATTTAAACACATACAAGAGGTCAAGATTATCTACTTGAGAATTGTCTCTCCAACTGGCAAGCTGATAAGTATAACTTATTTTCTGCATAAATATTTGTTTTATGCACATATGCATCTCACTTTTTATCTCATAAACATGCACATATCCTGACTAACAAAAGAAAAAGAAGGATTAGATTGGAGTTCATTAACTTGTTGTAAGCCTTCAAGCCATATTCCTTTTTGTAATATCTTTGAGAAAATTAAAAGCAACGAGTCCATGTACATTTGTTACCTTTTCTTACACGCAGATATAAGTATGCAATGCTTTATTTATATTTTAGTTTCCTTTTCAGAGTAATTTGAGACTTTCTCAAAGCTAGTGTACTTAAACATGATAATGTCCTGCCTTCAAACCCACTGTTAGATCCTTCTCGAATTGCAGGTGAATTATGAGTTTGACTTATCAACTAACACATTTGGGCCCATGCTTGAACATGCTAAAGAAAACTTTTCTTCAAACCTCTCAATGTTGTTGAAGTGGTCTCCTTATACAACAGAAGGGGAACTTCTGAAGCAAGTAAGCTTAATTATTTCACTTTTGCTTAATTAGAATCAGATTTTTGTGCAATGATATAAAAATGTTCAAATATCTTTTCTACAATCAACGTTTTTGCAGCGACAAATAGTATTTAAATTTCTTTCAGTTTTGCTTAATTACAGATTGTTCTATATATGTTGAACCGTCTTGCTTGGTGAAAACCAAAGAGAAAGGAAATGGAAACATCTTGATTTTGTTTACCGGTAGAAAAAGCACAAAATTAAAAACAATAGGCTTTTCAGTTTTCTTTGGTTTTTATACCCAAATTACAGATGATTGGCTTATGAGGTGGTGATTGTTGTGCAGATGGATAGCTAGAGATAGTGCTGGTTTGGTGGTCTTTGTTGGCATAACTGTCATAATTGGGGTGGCTGCGTAAAAAGTGGTATCTTAATGGCAGTTATCCAAAAATGTTATGGTTAACTGCTTTATTGTTTGTGACAATTCATGGAATGGATTACTATTTGTTGGAAGTTTCATGGAAGGGGAGCTAGGGGAATTGAATTAAAACCGTGTCTTGTTAAGTGGAAACAAAGGAGAAACTCAAAGTGCTTTCCTTTTGGACTCTGGCCTTCCAATTTTATTACTGCATTAGTTTGTTAGTAGAGTTCATCTAAAGGCTGAGAAGAAACTGGAATTTGTACATAAGAAGTCCATAGTCAGGATGGGTGTTTATCCCAATTGTGGATAGCAAACAAATTTTGCATCACTTTATGGTTGATGATTTGGTTGTGAACCCTTGCAATATTTTTCTCTGTTTCCCTAAATTCAATAGGATGAAGTTAATGAGAGGTATGACCTTTTATTCTAATAACCCCTCCTCCTGTAATTGTTTGCAACAAGTCACTTTAACCACAATCCAGTTTTACGTGGAGTACTCCTCTCCTTCAATGTCCCCTATCCTTACATTGAGAGCGAAGCTACCATTGATTTCCCTTTCTGCTTGCCTCATTATAAATGTTTGATTTGGTTCTGACAGCAGCATTTCATTGTTTGTCAACTGGTTTTATATCTGCATAAAGTTTTGAAGATTGAATAATTGGTTCATTTGATACCGCCAATAAAGGAGCTTGTGTCATTTCTCATTACTTTTTTCCCAAACTCATCAACTATCATGTTTCCTTACATTTTCCTTGTGTTATTTGATAAAAGATATTGTTTATTTGAGGCTGGAAGTATGTAGTTTTCTTATGGTTCTTGATGGAGTGTTGTTATACCTTTCCCACTATTCAAAGCTTTACTTTTCATATTTTTCCTTTTCTGAAAGTTGATGCCAACTCGTGCTCAGTTTGATGATATAGGTCATCATGGAACAAAAATTGTTATCTATAATCTTTGGTTAAACAATGATGGGGATATGGAACTAGATTTTGATTCAGATCCCGAGGTTTTCTTTGGACCTTTGCTTTTGTTTCCTCTGACTTAGCAATTTGAATAATAGTTGATGGTTTAGCTTTTTGTGATTTATTGTTGCAGGATATTCGTATTAATGGTCACCCAAAAATACCTCAAGGAGGCGACTGCGACAAACCGGGTTTTCATCAGCATGTAGCTAACAGATACCACTATTCACTTCGTGTATGTATAAAACTTACATCTTGATCTTGACTACAAATTTATTTTCACTTACTCTTACTCATTTTCTCCTTCAAGCTTTACAGGCATACTTATCCATCCTATATCTGCGGCTACCTCAGTGCTTTAATGTTATACTACGTAGACATATTGTTGAGCACCATAATATTGCCAATGATCTCAAATTTCCTGAGTTCATATTATATAAGCCTCAGACTTCTGATAATGAGGTTTGTGCTAAGTTCTCAACTAAACAACAATTCTATTGCAGTGATGTGAAAATGTTGCTGGAATATTTCCGTATGAAGTCTATACTTATGGAACCTTTTAGATGCTTGAATCTCTTTTCCTGTAAGAAGCTTGACTACATTCATTTATCATTAGTAGGGTTGAGTTGAGTTAAGCATATTTTCTTTTTCTGGTTCCCTAGGATTGCCAAATGATGTTTTCCAAAGTAATCTCAATGTTAACATGCTATACATCTCCATATTTATTGCAGTTAATATTTTCCTTTGGGAGTTAAAAATGGAATTTATTAAACCTAGTAGTTTGACAACAATTGTTTAATTTTGTTCATTTTAGTATCTAGTGATTTATTTGAGGTCAAATCTTCCCCCTCCACCTCTCTTTTCGCTCCATGTCTGTTCATATTATTGTTTGTTAATGTGTGCTTGCATGTGCCATAACCATCAATGGCTTACTGCATTTTTCAGGCTGTAGTTGTTACTACCGTAGGGTTTGTGAAGGAAGCTCCTTGCACAAACATTCATGGTTACTGCATCTACCATCGGAACCGTCTTATACTGGTAAAACTTTTTATCATACTTTTTCACCATTAAACTTATTTTCTTTTATTGGCCAACATGTCCTCTTTGTTTCTTTCATGGACTGCTTGATTGAATTTATAATGCATATGTATTATTTATCTTGGCTGACTGGTTGAAGTTTAAACATGTTCTAGTGAATGGACTGAAAACATCAAAAAAGTCCACTTCTAGGAAATGCCATTCATATAGTTAGTCACGTTTTATTGAATTTATGCTCTACTCTGATGCATAAAGTTGAGTGTGTTGCTGTAAAATGTATTACATAATTCTCATGAACTGAGTCTTCCTAGAAATGTCATTGGCGCAAATGGTAATGCAATTCTCTCGTATAGCTTGAAGTAGATTGACAGACTTACTACGTGCATCATTTTGGTTTTTTCCTCTTTTTCTTGTCTTCTCATATCTTCAAAGTCTCCATGCAGCCATTTTGGAATGGGCGCAAAGAAACAACAAACAGTTTGGGGAGAGGTGTTGTGGGTGAGAGCTGCTTATGTGCTTGGTCTCAATTGTTTTGAGTGGGTTTCAAATTGTAGTGAGCAGCTGAAAACTTATTTATAGTGTTGCAGGTTTTCTTGAAGCAAATTTTATTGAGCCAACCCATAACAAGCAAGATTTTGAGAAAACTTCCCTCTTTCAAAAGCTCACTGTCCGCTTAAAGCAAATGACACAAGAGTATTGGTGAGTACATAATGCAAGAGTCACTCTTTCCCCAATGTAGAGAGAATTTATTGCCAACGTAACCTAATTATAATTTTAATCAGATATGTTGGAAATTTTGAAAAATAATGCAAAAGCACACAAGGCAAAATATTATATACGATTTTGATTTAAGGTATTTGCTTCAATATAATATGATGAACTTATTTAAATAATTAAGTGATATACCCATTTAGCTAGTAGAAGGTGTATTTTTTACATATTTTTCTTGGTGACTGGAGTTTCAAGTTGGGGAGGCATATAATATGGTTTGGTTAGGTTCAGGGGCCACTTTTTGGTGTTATCAGTGAAGTGCTCTTGTTTTTCCTACATTAATTCATTTCCAGTCATTTTCCATACCCTCTGCCGGTTTCGTTTCTGTAGAATAAGGAGAATTAATGTCAGAGTTTTACATTGTTTATATGGTGGATTTACATTGAATAAATGTTTTTTATCGAGAAATAGCTTGGGATTTACATTGAATAAATGTTTGTGTCCCTGAATATTGTAACAGTGATTTATTGCAGAGCAGTGTGTGAAGTGAACTCCATGGGGAAGATGGAGATGTCAAAATCATACAAGCATTGTTGCACTTCCAAGATAAATGATAATATTTTACTAAGATATGCTCTCTTGAGTTTCTATTACTATTTAGAAGAATCAAGAATGGGTTTCGTTAGCAGATCCATATAAACTTACTGATGATTTAGTTGTAAGACACTAGTGAACAAAACTTTCAAGATAACTTATGCATAACCAACCCAAATTTTCTTTTAATTTAATTTCACTTGAATTTGAAGATTCTGCTATAATCAAAGACCAGTAAATGTCACCTTAAATGTGTCTGGATCTCTTCTGTTCTGATGAACTAACGTGTCAATGGCACTATCTTATCTTGGCAGGCGTTTGCACTGTGAACTTATTGGTTACCAGCCAGTGAGAAGAACTAAAGTACCATTGTCTTCACAGGAATCCTGGCGAGATTTTGCGGTCCCAAAAAGGAAGAGATCTGCTATGTACCGAGCCTGGTCCCGACAAGGTGCTTAACCTATAAAAAATTATCAACAAAGTTGAAAATGCTAGAATTTTCAGGGGCCTTGTTGGCATATTTTACAAGTTCCTATTTATCCAAACAGGTTCAAATATGAAGAGCAAGAAGCTTAATCCTCCAGAAACTGATATTGGGCACCATGGAGAATTACTGGTTTGTAGAGATATCCCTATCTGAAAGTTCAGTTGTGGTGAAAATATCATCAAGCTTAAGCCATATGCTAACTTTAACCTAGTATGAGATTAAAAAAGGTTAACTAGAATGTGTATCTGGATGCTTTCACCGTAGTTTCCTGAGTCATCAGTGTCTAACAGATTTTCAACTATTTATGGAAGCAAAAATTATTTCTGTTGATGATGCTATTTGAACTTGTCTGTTTCAAGTGTTAGCCTCTAGGTAAAACTATTTGCTATGCAAAAAAGATTTATGATCTAGCGGACATCTCTTCTGCTGCTTTACTTTTATTTACTTGAACATGGATCCAACTACTGTTATCTCCACCCACTATTTCCTATTCAGTTTATTTGCTAGATGAGGAATCATTATTACCATTTCCTTACCATATTGTGTTGGCAGCCTGGAAAAAGACTGGAGAATCAAGTGGAACATTCAGAGACAATGGTTCTGATGCTAGAAAACAGAAGGCTGTGGTCACAGTGAGTATACATTATCTTTGCATTAGGTTTTGCCATTTTCCTGGAGAGAGTATTAGGTTGGATGGGAAGGTCTTGAAAATGAAGATAGTTAGTTTATGCTCAACAACCCAGAGCCTGGCCTGACTTGCATCCCTACTGCCTTCGAATACTGTCATAAAATAAGTAGCATACATTATCTTAGCAAATTTCTTGATTTGCAGGGTACTGGAATTAGAGAAGGCGGAGAAAGAACTTAACATGAAGGTAAAAAAAAAGAAAAAAAGCAATTTGATTGATGCATTAATAATCACTTGGAAAGACTAAAATTTGCCAATCTTCTTTTTTTGCTTCAAGTTAAACTTTTGGCACACCTTAACTTGCAAGCTATATACATTTGCGTCCGTATAAAAAACCTATGTGCTGGGCATCCTTGATTAGGCTTCACTTTCTTTGTCTCATCCTTATTTGCAATTCTCGCAGGTGCAGCAACTTCAAAATGAACTACAGGTTGCCCAGCATGAGTATACAATGCAGCTATTGCTGGAGTCAAAATCACTAAACATGTTTTAGGAGGATAAGCATGTAAATGGTTAGATTTTCTACTCTAAGAGGGGAAAAAGATCTTCTGTCTGTGATTACGTTTTTTTGCCTATGGTCTTCTTATTTCTAATTGTATGCAGCCCTCCACCAGCCTACTCAGATCATTCAACCTTGCTTTCTACAATTGAAACCTGGACTCTCTTGCCTTTGGAAACAAAATTCCATTTACTTCTTAGCATGGAACCTTCAGAGTACAAAGGTTCGAGTAGAGAGACTAGAATCCAAGACATAATGCTCCCATCTTGTATCAAGAGGCCAACCCTTCATTTTCTCTGATGTTAATGCTGCATCTGCAACCACTATGTATATTATGCAGCCCTATATATATCCCTTTAACTGCCTGCTCGGATGACACCGATGCATGTGTTCTCGAAGAAGTTAAAATGGACTATGGTACAGCATACAACATCCATGAAGTCCAGATCATTCCCGCAGGTCAGGAAAGGGGAGAATGTAAGTTAGATAAGTTACTTTAAGGAGCCATCATTTCAGATCTCAAGAGCTCCAAGATATCATAAATCTCTGCTGATTTTGAGTGTGTTCTATCATCCGAAGAAAAAGAATATACATGGTTTCTCACCTCAACCCAACTGCAGCCGCTATTCTTTTTCAATCCCTTCTCCCTCATTAATTTCCTAATTTTTGAAACATCAATCCATCTCCCAGCTGAAGCATATATGTTTGACAACAAGACAAATCCGGCGGAGTTTCTTTCTGCTAGTTCACCAAGTTTTCTGGCTGTTCTTTCTGCTATCTCCTCATTTTTGTATGTCTTGCAGCCACTTAATAAAGCTGCCAGTGCATTAGCCTCAGGTTGAAATGGCATGGAATTGATCAACTCTTCAGCTTCATACAGGCGTCCAGATCGAGATAGCATATCCACTACGCATGTGTAATGTCTTCCCTTTGGCCTTATACCATATACTGACTCCATTGCACCAAAGAACTGGAGTCCTTTATCAACTAACCCGCAGTGAGAACATGCAAATAAAACTGATAAAAGCATGAGCTCATTAGGAGAAACAGAGGTACAACTTTTCATTTCTTCAAACAAAGTGAGAGATTCTTTTGCAAAACCACTTTCTGCAAGGCCTTGAATCATAACAGTCCATGAGAATTCGTTTCTCTCTGGCATTCTATCAAACACCTGCTTAGAGCTTTCAATATCTCCAGACTTAGCATACATATCAGTTAACGCAGTGCCTAAGTAAACATCATAGTGGAACCCTAGTTTTAAGATCTTCCCATGGAGATCCTTGCCCTTCTCCAATGAAGCCACACTTGCACAGGCACAAAGCACACTCGAGAAGGTGGGCTTGGTTGGAGTTTCCCCTGACAAAAGCATCTCATTGAAAACTTCAAACACCTTATCAAATTGCTTATATTCTACATAGCCGCTAATTATAGCACCCCAAGAGACATTATTTCGAGTTGGCATGTTATCAAACAAATCCTTAGCTTCATCCATTTGTCCATTCATGCTATAGCCACCAAGCATAGAATTCCATGAAACCACATTCTTCTTTTCAATCGAATCAAAAACCAAGCGTCCATCTTTAGTTTCTCCACATTTACAGTACAAGTCAACAAGAGAGCTACCGATAAAAACATCTCCCTCAAGCCCAATTTTCTTAACATGTGCATGGATGTTCCTCCCTGTTCGTAAAATCTCGAGGCTAGCCAATGTACTAAGAATGCAAGAGAAACAAGAGATAGTTGGCTTAAGCCCTTCTTGAACCATTTGTCGAAAGAGTTTCAAAGCCTCTAAATGATCACCACTCTGACTATACCTAGCTATAATTGCACTCCAAGAAACTTCATTTCTTTCTGGCATCTCATCAAAAATTCTCCTTGCCTCACCCAAGTCCCCCTTCTCCACATACATATCCAGTATTGCTGTCCAAGAAACGACATCTCTCGTTTCCATGCGATCAAACACCCTCCTCGCCAAGTCAAATTCACGCATCCTTAAACACAATGTTATCAAAGAGTTACAAACCGATACATTATCCTCAAACCCGGTTTTCACTATCAATCCCAAAACACTCATTCCCAACGCAAAATCCCCTGTTTGAATACACGCGCTAACCACAGAAATAAAGGTAACTTTATTTGGCTTAACCCCGGATTCAAGCAACCTTACAAAAAGCTTCAAACCATCAAAACTAGACCCGTTTTTAACGAACCCACTGATCCCCGCTGTCCACGAAACCACACTCTTGAATGGGTTCATTTCAAAGTACCACATTGATTCTTGCAATCTTCCATATTTCATTAAACCTGAAATCAACATTGTCCACGTAACCTCGTTTCTTTCAGGCATTTGATCGAACAGTCTTCGAGCTTCAGCCAAATTTCCCCACTGAATATTGGCATTAATCAAACAGTTTTGGACAACTAAATCAAACCCATTAAACTCCTTCACAATCTCATTAGCTTCATCTAATTTCCTAAAATCAAGGTACATTATTAATAGCTTGATAGCTATAAATTTCTCAGAAAAAATACCCTTCTTGTGTAGATGGCAATGGAGGACAGTTCCTCCAGTGACCAAGCCTTTTTCTGAGAAATTTTTTAATAAAGAAGCACATTTTTTAATATAGGAGTTGAAGTTTTGGCTTGGGTTGGTTGAGAAAAGGTTTTTCAATGCAGTTTTCATGCTGCGAAAAAGGGAGGGGAAATAGATCGAAAGAGAAGTGTTCGATGAAATTTGGGTTTTATTTACGAGGGAGATGTAGGGTTGTAGTCGGGTCGAAAATCTGTCTCAAATTCTATCTGATTTTATGTATTATTAAATCTGAATCTGATTTTATTTTAAAATATTTTTATATTTTTATATCCGAATCCAATCTTAATCCGATATTATATAAATTGTACTCGATTCGATCCGAAAATAATAAAATATTATTTTTTTTAAAATATAAATATTTAAAAATATCATTATATAAATATATATAATTAATTAATTAATTAAAAATAATTTTTTATATAATATCGGGTCTGATCAGGTCGAATTTGCCTAAAACTCGAATTCTACCTTACTTCGATTATTTCATAATCTTACTGAAATTCGAATTTCAAAAAAAAAACTCGACCTCATAAGGTCGAGTCGGGTCGAAAACCATCAAGGACGGGTTGAATTGCCCACACTAGGGAGATGGTTCAATGTGGCGGGAATCAATTGGCCCAGACGACATGTCGTTTTAGGGCATGTGTTGCTTCTTAGTGAATCTGTTTAAAGACATATTGCTCACTCAAAAAGTTAAGATAAAAAATTAAAATTCATTAAATGAGATTTTAATATAATTTTTAAATTCATTTAAATTTTAAATCAAATTTTAAACAAAAAATTTAAAGTACAAGTTCAATCCGATTCGTTCTTAATTCATATATATAAATATATATAATTTTTATTTTTATATATTATATATAAATTAATTCACATATATATAAAAATTAAAAATTAAAATTATAGATATTTTATTAAACTTAATTTTTTATACAATTTTTATTTTAATTTATATATTTTTTAATTTATAATTTTTATATACATATAAATTAAATATAATCTCATTAAACTTAATTTAATTATTTTTTAAATATTTTATTATATAAATTAAGTTTAATGAATAAATTTGAGATTTATTTTTTAATTTAAGTCAAATTTAAAAAAATTTTAAGATTTGAAATCTTAGAACATCTTAGAGCTAAGCAAATATGTAAATTATTAATACTAAGTATAAATCCAACATGATCTAACTCATAAACACTTCTACTTCTTAATACATTTCTAAGATTTTTTATTTTAATGGAAAAATTATGAAACTTTATCTCAAAGAAAAATTACAATTACTATGAATCCTAATTTAAATACTTGTTCATGGGTATATTGTGTTCTTCTTTGAGCTTTTTTCTTTTTTTAAATAACTATTAGATTGGGCATACTTTGTGCTAATTGTACCTATATGAAGAAATTTAATTTGAAAAAACATATCAAAATGTATTATAGATAAGGGCAAAAAATGTTAGTTTAAAAGTTAAAAATACAAGTAATCAAGCATAACACTAATGTGTGTTTTTTTTTTTTTCAAAGATCATTTTAAAAGGACATATATTTTATGATTAAAAAATGATAAGAGTTTAAATCTTAGCAGTTATAAATTTTTTTTATAAAAAAAAAATTCAATAATCATATGATTATCAAAATAGCCACAATTATTGAAGAAATATATTGTTTGGATTTGCACTTTAAATTCAAGATTGAATGTATGCTTGTCAAAAATACTAATTTTTTTATGACATATGATAATAAAATTTATAAATTAAAGAGAAACTACATGTATTTGGTACAAAAGTAATTCCCTTTAAATTTAATTAAGATGTATAACAAAATTTAATTTTTTCTACTACTTTGACTGTCTGATCTTCAATTTAAGATTTGAATTCGAAACTTTTAAAATAAAATTATAAATTAAAATAAAATTAATAATTATAATTTGAGATAATATATATTATCCTACACTAAACTAGAAGGCAATGAATTTCTTTTTCTTATTTTAATCTTCATACTCCTTTTTATTCATATATATATATATATATATTATGTTAGGATTAAATACCTACTTTCAGAAAATGATAATAAAATAAATATGAAAAATGAACAAAATTTTTACTATCTAAGTATTTACTTGCATAAAAACAATCGACGTTAAAAAAATAATTATGTTTCACAAAACTTAATATATTCTTCAGTTACTCTAATCCACAAATAATGCATTAGTCAAATGAATTGACACACTTGTATCCCATTACCTGGCGATAACGAGCACCACATGGTTCGTATTTCCCCCACAGCAACTACCCCACATCACAACAAATAAATAATTCTCGAAACAACATAGTCAAGGCTTGACAACGTTATATCGTCACAGTGCTCGAAGTATCACAAGAAGTTATTCAATTTAGATGTCTATGGAAAGATACGTATGAAAGCTATATAAAAGAAGCAAAATGATGTATTTGACAAGATATATTAATTTTGCTTCTTTGATACATATATATATATATGATTTTTTATCTGATCAAGTTTGAATTGGTTTAATCGATCTAAAGTAATGTTTGATATTAGGTTATCATGTTAAAAATTATGATAATTTATATATGATAATTAGATTATTATGTTTGATAAATATTAAGTGATTTTACATTATAATAATTTTGGATTATCGAGATTTGTTAAATTATTATGTTGAAAGGTGATTTAATTCTCATATAAAATATAAAAAATTTTATGATCGAGATGAAATGATATGTAAAATTAATAATAATAAATTTTATTCATTTAATACGTGAATTAAAAACTTATTGCATCTTAAAATTGTAATTATTTTATATTATATATTTTTGTAATTTCAAACTAATATTCATTATAGCAAGTTTAAAATAATTTGTGTATTTTTTTATTTTTTACATAATATAATTTTTTCTCTTCTATTATTTTGAATTTAATTAGATTGGTTTTATTTTCTAATTCAAATATTTTTTTTGCATAATTTATATTATAAAAATAAATTTACCTATCAATAAATATATTTATTAATTTAATAATTTAATTAATTTTATTATAAAATAAATAAATATTACTAATATTTTATAAATTATTATTTTTAAACAACCTTAAAATTATTAATTTGTATAATTATTATAATATGTATGATTATTATCGTATTTTTAAACAAAATAATGTTTGAGTTTTAGTAATACCAATGCAATAATCTTTAACTTTTAAAAATTAATAATTGTTAATCAAACCAATAATATTGCCTGCGTCAAACGAAAAGATAAATCTTAATGCATAAGACTCTCCGAACCAATATAAAAATTTATAATACGCAATCTTATCTCTATATTTTTATAGAGAAATTATTTTCAATAGTCAAACGTGTCCCTGCGGTCACAAAAAAGCCACACACCAACTTAAGGATATCAAAAGAAAAAGAAGTTATAGTATCCCATATTAATATTGATTATTAAGAGTTAATAAATCCATGACAATGGCAAATTTGACGGCAATATACAACTACCGCGACAAAAGACTGGGATTTGGCCACAATCACTTCCTCAAAGCGGGAACTTTTCACAACGAATTTGTATGGATATGATGCCTTGCCATGACCTGCCTGGTCTTTTTCCTTCTTTTCACCACATATTATCATATCATTTTTCTTCTCGCCAACCACAAGTTTTATCATCAATTGGCTGAGTGTTTGGAAAGTCATGTGCTTTCTATTCCTTCATTATTTATTTTTTGTGTAACTAATTAATTAAATTTATGAACTTCAACTGTTAACAGTATTTTTTTTTAACAAAAAAAATTGTAGTTTGAGAAAAAAAATTATAAATATTAAAATTTAAATCTTAAACTTATAGAATGCTACTTTTTAAGGGTAACCAATTAAACTAAACTCTAACTTTGTTAATAGTGTAACTAGTTTAATATTATTTATTATTACTACATGAATTCAAATTAATTAGCACTTAAACGTTATAAAAATGTATTTATATCTAATTCTCAAAAATAAAGTAAAACAAGATAGAAAATTACAAAATTTGCGTTGGTGAAGAGATAATGATAAAAGAAATTAAAAGTGAAAAACAAAAACAGTGAGAAAAGATTATATATGAATTATCAAATGAAATTATATATAAAATTTAAGGTCTAAAAAGGGAAAGGGTGAAAAAAAATTATGCCCATGTTGTTTTACCATAAGAAGGGGCCATGAATTGATTGAGTTGAACTATCAGATTTCATTTTTAGCAACAAAATCTTCATTACTAGGCAACAAAATCTTAAGGCCATATTCTCAAATGAAGTCTCAAATAAAATTAATGTATAATTTAAGGTCTAAAAGGGGAAAAAAGAGATAAAAGATTATGCCATAGTTGTTTTATCATAAGAAGGGGTTGTTTACCATAAGAAGGGGCCATGGTTTGATTGAGAAAATAACTGTCCTTGATAATTGAGCTATCAGATTTAATTTTTAGCTACAAAATCTTAAGGCCATATCCTCAACAATAAATTGCATGTTTTCTCTTCATCACCAAAAGTAAAGAATTATAAGAGTTGAATCAACTCCCACACCTATTGCCTCTTGCAAAACCAGAAGACCTCCTATGGAACCCTTTTCCCAAAGAAAGACTCACTTCTCTCTCCCTGTGGACTCCGATTTCAAAGCCACTGAATTCCACCCACTCTCCTCCTCACCACCTCACATGCTTGCCTTTCATCTGGCATGGCTGTCTCTTTTCTCTTGTTTCTTTTCCACCTTTTCCATCCCTCCCCTTATACCTATTATCCGCAACGATCTTAACCTCTCCGTCACTGATGTAGGCACTGCCGGTATAGCTGCTTTCATTGGCTCCATCTTCTCCCGCCTTGCAATGGGACCCGTATGTGACCTCGTTGGTCCACGTATTGCTTCCGCCACAGTCTCTCTCCTCACCGCACCAATAGTTTTAGCCACGGCTTTTGTCTCGTCACTAACTTCGTTCATTCTCATTCGGTTTCTTGTAGGGTTTTGTTTGGCTAACTTTGTTGCTAACCAGTTCTGGATGAGCTCAATGTTTTCTAGCTCTGTTGTTGGCCTTGCTAATGGAGTGGCAGCCGGATGGGCTAACATGGGAGCTGGGGTAGCTCAGTTAGTCATGCCATTGCTATATTCCCTTGTAAAATCCTTCGACGTTCCAGAAAATACTGCGTGGCGTGTCATTTTTGTTGTTCCTGCTGTTTTCCAAGCTCTAACAGCAATATTGGTCCTGGTTTACGGCCAAGACCTGCCTTGTGGGAACTATAGAGATTCCAAAAAGACTTCAAACAAGCCAAAGGATAACTTCTTAGAAATTCTCTTTCATGGCTTGTTGAACTATAGAGGGTGGATACTAGGTTTGATATATGGTTATTGTTTTGGGGTGGAGATGACAATGGATAATGTTATTGCACAGTACTTTTACTATAGATTTGGAGTGAATTTAGAGGTTGCTGGGACGATTGCAGCTTGTTTTGCTTTGACAAACTGGTTCGCAAGGCCAATGGGTGGGGTGTTGTCTGATCGGATGGCGAAGAGGTTTGGAATCAGAGGCAGGCTATGGAGTTTATGGGTGGTGCAGACGGTGGCTGGTTTGCTGTGTGTTTTGCTGGGGCGACTTAACTCTCTGGGGGGTTCCGTTGCTGTGATGTGCTTCTTCTCTGTGTTTGTTCAAGCATCTTCTGGCCTCACGTTTGGCGTTGTTCCTTTCGTTTCCAAAAGGTATGAGCTAGTAATACAATTTATTTGCTACGATGACCTTTCACAATTTAATATTTCCATGAGGACCATTACAAAATGTTCCAAAGAGATGTTTAATTATTGCTGCGAAGAAAGCTGAAAGACTGTGATACTGATGCTGCATCCCCTAATGTTGTTTTTTTCCTCCAAGAATTGCTGAAAACAACCATGCATTTTGTTTGATTGTCGCTACGTCAGCAAGCTAAGGGCAAGCAATTACATTCGCAAATTGACACACCACTGTCTTTAGAGCACCGTTCCTTTGACAAACATGTGCAAAAGGAAAAAGCATTGAGATATTATAATTCTATTGTTGCAGGTCACTGGGAGTGATATCAGGGATGACAGGAAGTGGAGGGACGCTGGGGGCTGTTGTAACACAGATGCTGTTGTTCTCAGGGGATAAATTTTCAACTCAAACAAGCATTTCTCTCATGGGCCTTATGATGATTGTTTGCACCCTTTCAGTCTCCTTAATCTACTTTCCTCAATGGGGAGGCATGTTTTGCGGTCCTTATTCCTTTGGTGAAAGTTCAGCTGATGATGATTATCGCCTGCTGGTATAAGATCTGCATATGATATTTACAAGCAAAATGAATGCTGGTTTCAGACATATCGGACCAAATATCGAAAAAAACGAGACAGATTACATGCTGGTACAAACTGGTGACAGTATCATTTGAATAGACAGGGAGAAATGTTATCCTTGCAAGAATAAGTAAATAAGCGTCCATTCAAGAACTGAAGCTACGATCAGAATGGTTGTTAGCAGGGTAACTTTAGTTTTGGCTTGCTAATGATGTAAATGAGATGATAATTGGCAAAACATTATGCAGACTACACAGTTAACCGAAACTGAATTGAAAAATATCAAATGAAAACAAGAATGTTTAATTAAACCTCAAACTATTGTTCTTCAACCAGCATTAAAAGAAATAAAGTGATAAGAGTGAGAACATACCTTAAGTATATACAGACGAAGTTTATCGAACATAAATCCAAGACATGACTGCAAAATCAAAAATTGCAGTCAAAAGCTTGTAAAGAAAATGTTTTATACATGAGCCACTTGACCAGATTACAACTTCGAAGGTGAATTCCAACGTATTTTATAAGTAGAAATAAGGACCAGAGCAATCATATTAGAGTTCTAATGCAATCGCAGGTCAATGAAAATCAAGTGCAGAAATCATCTCTAATAAGGAAGCATCCCCTGCCTTCAAGCTCCTATTTCAAGGAGGCCTACAGCCTTGGGCATCAAGCAACGCTGTAAAGTACTTGGACAGTGTAGGCTTTCCTTTCAACAAGGGACTATAGCATCATCCACTCAATTTTGAGTCATGCCCAATTTACTGGCCAGAGTTTTAATCCTATTATTCTTTATTCCCACTGGTCAATCACTAATATTAGCATCCTTGTAGTAATACCAACTCATTAAAAAATTGGAGATATGGAATGATGATGATGATTATCACACGTCTTTATCAACAGGGTTAATGTTTTGAATGGTCCCTGAACTATAATAAAATATTCAATATGATCCCTAAACTTTAAAAATCTCTAATTTGCTACCTAAATTATGAATCTGTTGGTAATTAAAAGGTTATTTGTCAGCAACGTGTTGTCATTTGAAGCTAACCACCTTAGAGGTGAGTAGCATAACTAAAAGTAATACTTTGCAGGCATGGGACTAAACCAGGCAATCCACTCACCATCCATGGCATATGTAAAACCCGGCCAACAGTAGACAGCTCCAAACACAACTGATACACCAAAAATGTTTCTGGTATTTCAACTTCCTGGACAACTCCAAAACACAACAGAAGGTTTCTCAACTATGAAAGCCAGATGTCGTCATGAGAACAAACAGCAAACCAAGTATTACAATGAAAGAAAATAGTTACCAGCCTTCAACTTTACTTAAAATGCAGCCCTAGTAAGAATGCTAATGCTATTCCATGGCAATGGCATCCTGGTACAAGCAATTTGATCATACTAATGAGTGCAAAGATGGCTACTTCCATTGCAATGGCATCAAATGATGAGTTTCAAATTCTATGAGGTGTTTTATCGACTGGATTTGACTGAGAAAACAATTACTTTTCAAGTCAAAAACATTGGCAAGGGACAATTTTTTTTATCTACACACCAGTTCAACGATTACAAATAACATAAAAACAGAGAGAAAATAATCCAGAAAACAATGAAAATTCATATAAACAAAAAAAAAAAAAGAGTATTCATAAAATCAATAATCAAGAGAAGCTGAAAGCTTAGTCAAATGGGAAACAGTCAAATTTTGCTAAAAATGAATTAAAAATGCAGAATTTACATTAAAAAAAAAAAGGCAACTATAATAGCAAAGAAATATCTTTAAAAAAACAAAACTTGCCTCAAAAGAAAAAGTCTTGAACAGATTTTCTCTTTGTATTAAGCTTATACTCAAATTTTCTCTTCTCATTTTCTCAAAGGTCCAATTTTTCCATGAACTGCAGGAAAAGAAAAGAAAAAAAAAAGATAGGATTTTTTTTAGCAAATTTTAAAAAAAAATGATTAAATGATTGAATTTAGCTTAACAAAACTTGCATGGTTGCCGAGACTGAGAAAAAGATTGTCTAATCGGCAGCAGAAATTTGGCTGTCCATGCCATCTTCTTCGCCGCCGCAATTTTCTCTGCTTACACGACGTCGTAGTGAGGAATTCCACATAGCCAGTCATCGTATAAACCTCGTGTCACGAATTGCTGATGTGTTAAGTTGGGATTGGTTGTTGGATTAAAAAGAGAAAGCCGTTAAAAGCATATCTGCTTTTTTCAGTTGAGAAAAAAAAATCTCTATATTAAAGAATCTCAGGATTTAAAAAAATCAATGAAAAAAAATGATAGCCAGTGGAGTTCCAATTCACAAATTCTCAGTCCCAAAACCTTCTACTGCTGATATTCATGGCAAATTCAGTTCAAACAAGTCAAATCCAAGGTAATTTCAAGCAAATCTTTCAACATTTTCATGAAATTGGGTTGTAAAAAGATGAATTGTCATTGGTTTTTGTTTATTTTCAAGGTGGGGGCAGAAATGGGATGAGATTAGATGTTGTAGAAAAAGGGTAGGAGCAAAAGCAACATCAAAGAAGAATTACTATGAGTTGCTTGGAGTTTCTGCTGATTCTAATATGCAAGAAATTAAAGAGTCTTATAGGAGGCTGCAAAAGAAGTATCACCCTGATATAGCTGGCCAACAGGTCAGTTCCTCTCAAAGTTTTTTTTTTAATAATTTTAATTGCTATATTAATACCTTATCTTACTCAAATTAGAGGTGAATGTCGGATACAAGTATATGTCAAATATAACTACATACTTATTATTTTAAGTTTTTTAATTTGTTTAAAATATGTATTTCGAGAAAAAAAAAGAGTTCGGAACAGTATAATTTAATCCTTATTATTTCTTTGATCGAAACATTTTTGTTTATGAAATTATTCTTTATTTTTTTAAAAAATGAAGTAGTGATTTGAAGACAGAAAAAGAGATTATAAAAGTTTGAGATTTGAACTCTAAAATATTGAATGTCGAGTTAAGCTTTAGGTTAATGTTTTGAATTTAATTGAGTACACTTAGTCCTTTGATGGATTTTCTTGATGTTTGTGCAGGGTCATGAGTATACTCTAATGCTGAATGAAGCCTATGAAGTGCTGATAAAAGATAATCTTAGGAGAGATTATGATGCTTCCATTGGTCCAATGAACGTACAATTTGGAAGGAATGTGTCGGGTTATAGCTCTTGGAAAGGGCCTTTGAGACCCCAAGCTTTATTTGTTGATGCAAACGCATGCATAGGTTCACTTTTTTTTACCCATTTTCAAGTCACATATGATATATTGCATGTTATGTTCCAAACTCCAGCCTCCATTGCCATTAAGTCTTTATCTACAAATTGGCTTTGTTGCCAGGTTGCAGAGAATGTGTGCACCATGCAAGCAACACATTTGTAATGGATGAAGCTCATGGATGTGCGCGAGTTAGAGTTCAATATGGAGACGATGATCAAAAAATCAATGTAAAGAAATCTCTGTTATGCATCATACCATCATTTTGTTTTAACTGCTAATGGGGATGGTTGGGAAAATTTTGCAGGTTTCAGTTGATTCATGCCCAGTGAACTGCATCCATTGGGTGGATAGGGAAGAGTTAGCAGTGCTTGAATTCTTGATACAACCTCAGCCAAAGGAAGGGTATGGTGTATTCGGAGGAGGTTGGGAAAGACCTGCAAATGTGTTTGTGGCAGCTAAGGCTTTCAACAAGCAGTTAAAACAGCAAGCTGAGGCTCAAGGCCGACAGAGAAATGGTATTTTATACCTTTAATGATCGCTAAGTTAATGAATTCACTATTTTCTATTGTTTAACAGAAGTGGTTCTCAACTGCTGCAGGGAGAGTGACAGTTGAAGAAGAGACCCCTGATCAAGCAGAGGCTAAGCCAACGCTGCCATGAAAATAAAGATGGAAAGATTCAGCAGAATTTGGAACTTAAAACCATTTTTGGCTCAAATATTTGGGATTGGAAGTGACAAAAATATGTGAACAAAATACAGAGATCAGCCTCTATTCTGCATATATGAATTGCATACTAGGTAAATGGAAGACTGTGTATACTGCTATAGTTCTAATATACATGAATATGGCAGATTATATATGTTTATGGTTTCTTTCTTTCAATCTGTAATATGCTTTCTTTTTGTTTTTCTAGTTTCAGAAGCTGTCGTCAATATAGCCACATGATATTAATCTAGAGTTCTTTGTAACCAATAAAAACGTTACTCATCAATGAAAAGAGAAAAGATTGAAGTTTTATTCTAACAGTGAAACTCAAATCTGTATTGCACATCAGATTTTACAAATCATATTTGGTCTAGTACCCAGAAAAGTCATATTGGCATGAATTGTAGATAGAACATCCAAGAAAAGAAGAGAAAAACCACTATGCTAGGATCTCAACTTTCACTAAAATGGGAACCTTCGCAATATTCAATCCCGAAAACTTACTTTTTGCTTCCATCCATGAGTCAATAGAGCTTGCACTTGCTTGTTCCAGCACAAGCCGCGCACTCATCTGCATCTCCCGAAACATGGCTCAAGCAATGTTTGATCCTATCATTTACAACATCCTGCAACATAGAAAAACAAAATTTACAGAAGAAGACACCTCATAATCGGGTAAAAGTAACACAAGAAGAAAGGGAAACTATTTATAACAAGGATATTCGTTAGTAGATCAAGAACAATCAAAAAACAAGACACAAGAAAAGAAAGATCAATTCACTTATTGACATTTGAGCAATAAGAAAGAAAGTTTCATAACAATCATGTACTTGATAATGACTTTCTAACTCCTTTGTTTCAAAATCTTATTACACGAGCAAACTAGAAAGTTAAGGACCATTTGGAAAATATAGCAGGAGAAAACTATACAAAACTCATATGAAGTGGATGATGACCAATGAGGAAAACAAGAGAGTTCATACCACAAGCAGCTCGTGCAGGCCAAGTGGTGCAGTTATTATATATGATACACCAGGATGCTCCTTTGCGGCATCAGCAGTTAACAATGGGATATCCTATGAAATGACATAGTATCATACAGCAAAAATGGAATTAACCAAACTTCTTCAAACACTACATTTGCTCTTTGTCAAGTCATTTGATGCAAATATAATGAGCTACCTGGTGCCAATGCCTTCCAGGGAAGAGAAAGAATGGGCTTACAATCACGCGACCCGCCCCTCGTTGAACACACAAACGAAATGCATCGCTTATCGATGGTTCTGCCAACTCCTAGTTACATTAACTAAAAATGTAAGAATTCATTGCCCCATATATAATACTATAGCATCTTAAAACGCATCAAAACGCCATGATCTGTTAATAGAATGTTGGACTCTTAGTTCAAGTGACTAAGATTCAAATCCTGAAGTACAAAAAAAGGAGTATCAAAACATTGATATCTACCTTAAAAACACATCTGCCTAATGTTGCTGAAAGCGGTGGACCAAATAAAATAGACAAGTTCAAAGCTAAAAGCTTTGTTATCAAAATTGCTTTCTAAGTTCTAACAGAACACTATCAAAATGGGAATTCCTCTAGAATTCATAGTAAAAAGTAGTAACTTTTTTTACTGAAGAAAAAGAATTTACTACAATGAAAGACAATGGTTAAAAAAATAAAATAAAAAGATTTACCATATGAGCTGGTTCAACAATTGGGTACCCCGTTTTTTCTCTAAACATGGCTACAAACTCATCTGAAACTCGTTAAAAATTAAAAATAACTAACTCAAAAAGAGATAGATTTTTTAATTAATTACCTATTTCACCAGAAATTACGTTCGTTTAAAGCTTACTTATCATGAGATTGGATTCTCTACGGCGAGAACCATGGTCCACGATGATGACTCCATCTTTTTCACCAACCCTATTTGGGAACTGTTTGAATCCACCGTTTTCGACGCTCAAGCTTGATCTTGCTGCGAAATTTCTGCTTCTTGAAGGGTCTGTTTGATATTTTGAGAATTTGAGGGGTGCCCAGGAAGATTTTCTTGCAGTTTCAATAACTGAAGAGCTGTAGTTTGAAGGACTTAATTGAAAAAAACAATAAAAGAGCACAATTCTTGAAGAAATTTAAAAATTAATCAAAAAAGTTTTTTACCTTTTAAGGGTGAGAGTTTGAGGGATAAATGACGACTCTATCGACATCGTTGGAGCCAACTCTAAAGAGTGCAGTGACCGTTTTCAATATGAACAGGAAGAACCCATCGTCGTCGTATCGCCAGAAGGAAACTCTAGCCCAACTCTTCTACGGCCTAGCATAAACTCCAAATAAAACCAAGTCTATCAGTCGCCTAAAACTAGCACTAACATAAATACGAAGGAACATATTGATTAAACCAAATGCATTTAACATAAACACTATTTGAACATTGATGAGGTTTTCATGCTCCATATAGGTGTATTCATAATTTTCTTTTTAATCGAATTAACTGATTAATGATGGAATAGAAAAGGAGATATTTTTATTTTAGGTTCCATGATTTTTATATTTATTAAATTTGATAATTTAAAATATAATATAATAATATAATATAAAAATAATATAATTTAAAATTTTAATAATTATTATATATGAATTTAATAAAATTAAACAATATATATTTTATATTTTTATATCAATATAAATTATAATTCATAATTTTTATATAAAATATAATATAAATATACCATTTAAATATTTTACAAAACACAAATAAACGAGTCATAAGATCTAATATTTATATTTGGCTCCCACTTGTTTTTTAAGTGGGAGATGTCCAACTTGTTTCTTTTTTTTAAGTTTCAAACAGGAAAAAAAAGTCCGTACTATTAAATAAATTTGTTTATTAGTAAAGCAAAGTAATTAAAATTACAACCACTCAATTAATTTATACAATAATTTTTAAAAAATAATATAAAATTACAATTATTTCAATTAATGATCTGAGTTAATGTAGTGAGAGAAATATTATCTGACTTGAAGAATTAAGCAATTTAAAGAATTGAGTTTGTTTAATACTAGCAATTAGCAACACAAATCCTCCAACTCACCTACAAAAATATCATTTTTTTTTTCTGGAACTATCCCTACAAATGCATCATTAAGCCAATTATGAGGACCTGAATGGATTAATGACATTATTATAAAAGGAAAATGAAGAAATTGTCCTTTTGTTCTTTCATTACTTTCTTTCTTCGTGATATGGTTCAAGAACTAATCAAGAAAGGCATCTACCAATCCAGCAGGTAGGTACATTCCTTTACCATCCTCTACTGTTTTCTTTTCCCCTTCAAAACTGGCTAAACATCTTCACTTTCTCCTCCACACCAGAACTTGAGTTCTGGTCGTCGTCAGCATCGTCTTCGGCGTCATCTTCCACCGGCAAAGGCAAGATTTCCCATTCAAGGTCCACCATAAAATGGCATGTGCATTAACATTATAAAAGTTTAAAGCCATTTTCAACAAAATATAAACTTGACAATTTAATTCAGATTATTGTAAGTACACACAGATGTGAAAAAGCTGGACAGTCAAACCAGAATTTTAAACAACTCCTCAAGGTTAAGCCAACAAAACAATTTGAAATTTAGAAACAAGAGCAAGAAAGAAAGTGTGAAGAGGGGAAAAGGAGAAACCAGAAAGCAAGTGGGGCAAAATAATCCCTAAGCTCCAAACAAATTCAACAATAATCAAGTGATACTTCTATACATCAACATGAATCAGTGACACCGAGGTTACCGGCCAAACCAACCTCTAGGTGGTTGTACGTCACTATCATTCATTAGCTTATCCAACACCACATTGAGGTCAACAGACTGGCCATTCTCTGTTAACTTTCTAACAGTTGCTCTAACAAGGTCTCTGGGAAATCCCATGCTGTTCACTTTGTCAACCACATCATCAATGGGAACCCTATTCCCAGATCCAGAAGGACTTGATCCACTAGCAACCCCAGATGCCGTGGGCAATGAATGTTGTAAGATCCTAGCAGTCGGAAGCTGTGGGTAACCACTTCCAGCACTTTGCCCCAAAGGAGAAGATGGGAGATGCAACATTTTCATTGGGGAGCCACTTCCATATTGTGAAGGTGATCCACCATAAGCATAAGGTTCACTTGACCCACTTGACCCAGATTGCGGGATATATCCAGTAGGAAACCCTGAACCAGGCCTGCTGGATGGTGGGTCATGCTTTTGTGGTATAGCACCAAAATACTGTTGGGAGGAAGGAGGCCCGCTGGGAGGTTGAGAGGGTGGCTGGCGCAGGTTTGGTGGATAGGTCTGAGAAGGAACATAAGATGCCTCTTCAGGATGGTGGCCTAAGGAAGGTTGGATTTGAAGGGGCTGTGGTGGTTGAGAATACTGCGGTGGAGGGGCTGGTTGATATGGTTGATGAGGTGGTGCTGCAGGTAGGGGCTGTGGCTGCTGAGTAGGAGGCATTGGGAATTGCAGACTTGGAGCCTCTTGAGTTTGGCCAGGTGGTGGATAGTAAGTGTCTCGCTGAGGTACAGAAGGAGCTTGGCTCTGAGGGAACTGGTTTAAATGCTGGACAGGAGGTGGCAGATTTTGCTGGGGAAGAGCTGGAGGAGGAACAGCAGGAGGAACAGAAGGAAGTGATAGTGGAAAAGAGGCAGCAGGGGGAAGCTGTTTGTGAGATTGAAAAGGAGCAGATGCAGCATGCTGCACAGAATTCATATGAGCAGTGTTCTGGGTTTCTGATGGCTGGTCTCCCTTGGTCACCTGCAGCTTTGCAAGCTGTAACTGAGCTTCAATTATCTCTTGCTTTTCTTTTAAAACGTGCACCCCTGTCTGCACCTGCATTTGGTTGATCAAAAACATCAAATAAACAGACAAGTCAGTGATCAAAATATGTAAACATGCATAACTTGCTCAAATCTCGGTATAGATGACAAAATCTGCCCTTTAACAATACCACATCAACAAATATTTCTTGCAAGTAACCTAACATGAGACATTAGCAGGACCTCATGGATTAGCCAGCTTGGTTTTACATGATAAGAGAACATTATTCCTCTTTGGGAGTTTGTTAAGTGCCACTATAAATCAGCCAAATCCTCTGTACTCAAATAAGTAATTGTAAGTCCAGATAAGATCTTTGCAGTTGAATAACATACTCCTAGGATTTAGTGAAGGTGGGTTAGAAATCTAACTTCGCTTTGGGAACTAAATGTGAAGTCACCACATTACTAATAGATAAAGACATAGCCACAGTGAGTGACATAATTTGATCAGGTTTCAATTTAGTCAGACCAAGAACGTAGTAAGACAAAATCAAGTGTTTGGAAGGTAACTTCATATCCTTAATATCATGCTTCCACATTGGTTTACTAATTTGACTGCTATCAGTTAATAGTATCAATGCTGCAGAGTTCCTATAACTAAACTTATCAAACTTACCCTGTAAGCATTTCAAGTATTTGACAATGTTTGGCATCAAAAGATACATTTCTTTGAAGTAAAACAACTAAACATCCTGATAAAAGCAACTACACCAATCTTCATAAAGAATAACAATCTGAAAAACTATTAAAATTATCAACCAAAGCTGCTGGACTTGAGCTCACGAGATACACAATGTACATCTATTTCTACCTTTATTATACCAAAGGCAGCCACAACAAACAAATACTGACGAAGATTATTTTAGAAAATACCTCTTTTAAAATATTCTCCAGCTGTCTCATTTTTCCATCAGTGCTTCCATGATTGTTTCCTACGGACACCTTCAAATCATCCACAGAAATCTCAAGGTGACGGCTTCTACTCTCCATCTGTGTCAGTCGCGCACTAACACCTTCTAACACGTGCATCAAATTATCAGTATGTTTCTTCATGGTCTGATCAATCTCAGCCAAAATTGACGTGTCAAAAGCATTTCGGTCCTTTTCTACAATGACTTTTGCAGGTTCAATGGAGTCAAGAGAACCATAATTCTGCACTCAGCACCAAAAATTCAAGCAATTGTTATTGCAGTCGAAGAACTTCAGCTTAACCTCATAGCTTAACTACTATGAAATCAAGCTGAACAAACGAAGATTTACTAATCAAACTATAATGCATTGAATAAACCCCAAGCAAATTTAATCTCAAAAAACCCAAACACGTAATAAAGTACACTATCAAGAAATTAAGTTCAGGCCCACAAAGTTACTAACCAAACTACAATTCATAGAACAAACCACAATAAATCTAATTAAAAAATTCGGGAAAAATCAAGAAATTAAGTTCATACCCACAAATTCACTGATCAAACTATAACACATAAAATAAACCCCCAAAGTTCAAATTCAAGCCACAAATTTTAATCACCAAAAAACGAAAATAAGGGAAATTGAAGATTTACCTTAGTTTTAGAATCAATCAAACCCCAAGACCCGGGATTACTATTAACTCCAGCGCCATCAAGGCTTGTTGAAACGGGTCTGATTGGTTGGAAATCATAGCTGGGAAAGATCTCTTCCTTGTTACTAATCCCGTTATTACCAGTGCTAAACCCAGAGCCATGATTGTGATCATCTTCGTTTTGCGGGTGATTCATCAGATCGATGAAATCTTTGTTGGTACTTTGGGGTGGTGAAGATGATGATGTTAAGTCCATTATTTGCTTGTCCATGAACTGGGACGTATTCATCGATCAAATTTTCTTCAGCTTTTTTTCAGAAAATGGAAAAGAATTTGGGTTTTTTTTTGGGAGGTCTTGGTATGAGGGAAGATTTGGGGTTTCAGAAATTGATTGATTTGGAGAAAGAATGCGTTTTCTATTAAGTCGTAAGTAAGGGTTTGTTTGCGTTTTTCCTTAATGGATGGATTAATCCGTTTTTTTGTAGTATTTATCTTTTAGGATGAGCCTAATGGGCTCAAAGTTTTGAGGGAGGCTCTAGGCCCATAAGTATCATTGGAAAAGAAATAAATAAATAAATAAATTATAGTATTCTTCAAAAGAAATTTATTTTTGATTATTGATGTTTAATTGATAATTTATAATTTATATAAAAACAGGAATATTAATGATGTAACCATGGTCACTTATCTTACAGTCACAACATTTTTCTATTAATTTTTTAATAAAATTTGTTAAGGTGATTAGGTTTCGTATAATTAATAAAGTTCAATAATTTAATTAAATTTAAATTTAAATTCAATTAATTTATGAATTTATCGAATAATATTTAATAAATTTAAATTTTGAATATAATAAATTAAGTGATAAAAAATACTTTTTTATTTGGATTCGGAAGGATAATTTTTTATAAATTTGTTAAAATAAATTTATAAAAAAGAACAATTTAGATAAAGCTACATAATCCAACTGCTTAAAAAAAGAATAAAATTTGCTGTTCTTGAAACCATACTAGTAATTATCTTCATTTAACATGAATTGAAATAGTTACTTTCAGTCATTTGGACTGTAATAAGTCATGAAGTCAATGACTTTCTTCTGATAAACATTGCTTAAAACTGGTACTCTATTGTAGATGAACCTGAGGGACTAGACCATGGAACTTGAACAATGACCATGTGTTCATCGTACTCAAAGCCAACATCTTTCCCATCAATCTTGCAAGATCTTGGCTTGTCTGATGCAAAGACTCTCATTTCACCGGTTCCCTTCACACCAATTTGAACAGAGCTCTCAAAGTCATCGTAGGCTAATGACTGGATGGCACCACCAGCATTGAGCATGTTAACTAGTCCAATAGGAGCAAACTGGACTGATTTTCCAGCCAAGACAGTGACTGGAGAAACAGTTATCAGCTCGAAATTGAATGGCTCCAGTGATATATCAATGTTTTCAAATGGTTTGGAGAGGATCAGCTTCTTGGACTGAGACAGGTACAGGGCAAAAACTTGTACACCTTCAATGGTAATTGGATTCTTGCCACTCTTCCACTCGATATCTCGGGGATTGGTCTTGGCAGTCACCATGTGAGAACACTGAGAGGCACATTGGTTGCGTCTAGTTTCACGGCACCATCCACCTCCTTGACAGTTGAATGCCCCAATCACACCAGTGAACTGTTACATTTGAAGTTTAAATTGTCAGATATTTCAGATAATGGCAAAATGTACAATTTGTAAAATAATTCATCTATTTAGTTCCAACATGACTTACCTTGTTCAAGTTCCAGATTTTGAGCATGGTCTTGCCATCATGGAGAGGGTCATCAAAGAGGCAATCCCTGGTTGGAAGTGCATAGTACTCGCACCGGAGGATCGAACCATCAGGCAATACAAGCCGCTTGAGCAAGGGGAAGTTGTGTTTCCCAACAGTGTCACTGACATAAATTGGACCACCAGAGATTGCCCTAGAGGCAGCATGGAACTCAGCACAAGGGTGGGTAGACTGGAACATGTCCCAATCAGGGTGGATAAAGTTGCCCATCCACAAACTGTTGTAGGCACAGTGAACCATGTGACAACCTTGGAGCCAGAATGTGCCATTGGGGTCACCGGATGGATCAGTGCACCAAAAATCATCACCTATAAACAAACCAACAGACATTAAAAAACATCAGCCAGGCCAAAACTACAGCATCAAGTCAAGTCTGCAAACAGGATCAGTTTTTCCGAGAAGAGAAAATTTCTAAATTTGGTTTCTTTTCAAAAGTTCTAACTACAAATTCTATGTAGTTTCCAGCAAGACAAAAGGTTGCATTTAAGGATGACAAAGACAACAAGTACAATGAAAACCCTGAAACATTTTTCTTGCATACATACCGACACGACCAAGGCAAATAGCTTCTGTTCCAAGGAACATGAAATCGTTGCAGTGTTCCATACTAGCAATAACACCATTGCCTTTAAAATGCTTCCTTACTGAATCTGTTAGTGCTCTGTAATAAGCTTTTGCAAGATCAACTCTTCCACCATAGCTCTCACACACCATTTCCAGCAGCTGTTCCAAAAAAAAAAAACATAAATTGAAAGATCAAACTAGGCTAAAATCATGTTACAAAATTTGGGAAGAAAAAAAAAAAGAAAATGTTAAAAATTTATGACAAAGATTTGTTGAGAAATAACAGAACATAACGTGTGACACTAAAATAAGTAGCAGTTTCGTGCCGACCAAATATGTCAAAAGTAACATTAAAAATTTAACTGGAAAAGACAGTAAAGTATTAATAACTTACATGGATAACGTCCACCTTGACTCCATCAATTCCAACCTTTTCCAAGTGAGAATGAAGTCCTTCATATAGTTGGTCAACGATCTCCGGTGGCACCAATCCGACGCCGGTGTTAACAATCTTATCAACGGCGAGATCCTCCATTGTTTTCTTCAATCCTGGAGACAATTCCGGCTTAATAACCTTGGTTTCCGGTAATCCAGGGACATTAGGCCTTAAACCACCCCAATACCCACATAGGGCATGCCATACATAAACAAATTCTACAGTGTTGAATTCCTCCTTAAGGTCCTTGATAAAGGCACTCATGCCCTTAGTAGGTGCACCAGTGGCCAAAGTCCTAGGACTTACATAGCCCCTGAACTTGTAATTCTCTTGAAACTTCAATAATCTGCATGGCATTTGCTCACCAGCCACAGTACAATTCATGCCTTCTTTAGTGATTGGGTCCTCGTCATGGCTAATGGATTGCCAGCCATCATCGATCAAGACTAGCCCTGGTGGACACCCACCATCGACTAGACCTTTGACACCATCCCAAACACCTTGAGGGTGCACAGTAAGATAAAATGCATCCCACGTGCACCAACCAAATTTGTCCACGATCCCCGGTGGGGTTTTTTCTTCTAACAACTTGAAGGTTCCAAGGTGAATCCTGATCACTTTCATGGCTTGCTTGACCAAATTGAATGGATCTTCACCGACATGAACATAAAGAACACTCCGGAATCCGGAGGATGTGACCTTGGTGGACCCGCTTTCGACGCAAATGTCAACGTTGTCATCTGTTCCAGGCTGAAGGGAAGCCCTGAAAGGGCCTTCGATGAGAGGAAGGAGGAGAATATAAGGCCTGCCAGAGTCAGATTTATCAAGAACAACCATCTGAGTTTCATTTTCAAGGTCACTTCCATTGGTACCAACCCAATGAGTAGTCCACCAGACCTTGAACCTGAAAATGCTCATGAACTTTATGTTCTTGAGCTTGCCAATAGGAACAACATGGCGGCTGTTGGATTCAACAGCTTCAAATCCTACAAACGATCCAACACTGGATATTGATTTGTCATCAGTGGAGGAACCATAGAGGGACGGAGTTACTGTGATGTTATCAGGGACATCAGAGAGAAAAACATGGCCATTGGCAGTGAAGTTTGAGCCTTCCAGAGAGATTGGAGACTGGTGATGGCCATCAACAAGGCCTGAAACACCAGAGCTAGCTTTGATCAAGCTTGGAGCCATAATCAAAAGGAAAATAAAAAAGGGTTGCTGCTGTTTTGTTAGGAGATCAAAATACAAGAAAGATCGGTTGATGAGGTTTTTGTAATGGAAATAAATGGAGAAAAAAAGGTGAATTAAATGAGAAAGAATTGAAATTTTGGAAAGGAAATAAAATCAGTTAAAATCAGTTTGCTTTGATTATGTGTTTTTAATGAGAAAGCATCGAACTCTGCTTGTTTTGGTTGCTCAAACGAAATGGGAAGAGCCCAAATTTATAGGCTCAGCCTCCCCCCCCCCCCCCAACACTCCATGAAAATAACAGAAACTTTGAGAGGGAAGGTCAGTTGGGGGTTTCCATGGAGGAAAAAAGAAATATTAAAAAATTCAAAAAAAAAATTGAGGGTTGGTTTGAAATTTATTAAATCTAGTGGGTCATACCCTAAAGGAAAAGAATTGTTATTAGTAGTATTTAAGATTATCCAAAAATCTTTTTGTTTTGTCTCATCAGTCATGTGCAAGCTTTGAAGATTCTAAAAATATGGACAAATGTAACATGGAGGCTCCCTATAACTTTCCATGACCAGTTGAAAGGAAGACACATGTATTATTATTTTTTTATTATTATTATTTAAAAATATACTAAAAAATCTTCTTTATTAAAAAATTTTTCAATCCCATTAAATAGCAAAATAGTACATAAGCTAACATTTTAATATTCACAAACAAAATTTAATGACAGTTCTACTGCTTGTTTAAATTTTTTATAATTTTCTAAAAAAAAAAAAAGGTAAAATTATAGTGATTCATTTCTCAAATTTTTTCGCACAATAATTTTGAAGATTTAACAAAAGATCTCATTAAAAAGTTTCTTTATATATAAATACTGTTTAAGAGTAGTTCAAATATTATTTTAACAAAAAATTTTACATTTAATATTTTTATTTTCATCATAATCAATAAATATAATGTAATAATTTTAATTTTTTCATTAAATATCATTTTAATCAATATCACGATATCTTATTAATATTTCATTTTCAAACTTTTAATTTAGTAGTTAAAACATTTGAAAAAACATTAAGAATCTGATTTTGAATTAAGTTTCTCTCTTTTTCTTTACTTATACTAAAATTTTGTCATCATGATGTAATAAAAAAATATATTTCACATTATTTATACTAGGAAAATGTTAAAAGTACTATTTAAAGTGATATTTATAGAAAAATTTTGCAATTAATATATTATTTCTTGTTGAATTTGGTAAGAGTAATGCATAAAGGAAATATTATTTTTTAAAATAAAATTTTAACTAATCTTAAGAAGTGTTTATAAATTAAACCAAATCTTTGCTAAATATTTCATATTCAATATGGTATGCTTTACTACAGTTTATAAAGTTTGTAAGGGAAGTTGCAAGGGCATGCTTCTGGGTTATTCCTAGAAAAATTCCTTAGCTTTTCTTTTAAAAAGAACTTTTTTTTTGTCCCCAACATTCCATCCCAACTTAAATATTCTTTTTTTGAATCTTTTTCTTTTCCTTTCCAAAAAGGCAGAGATTTGCTTGAGAAAAAATGGAAAAACGAAGAAAAATGAAATAAAATCTTTAAATTTTGTTTAATTTTGTTAGGAAATTAAATTTTGGAATTTTCCTCTTTAATATTCATAGGAACACGAATTGGTTTAGGAAAGAAAATTAATTCTAAAAACTAATCGAGAAAAGCATATATTGAGAGTACTTTATCAAAAATTTATTTAATATCAATAAAATTTTATCCATGTAATTCGAATTTAATGAAATTAAGTTTATTTTATTTGAAGATTATTAAAATTTCAAAAATCAAGTTGAAATAAATTTTTATTCGTCATGAATTTTACTTAATTTGATATTAAAATATTATTTTTTTCAATCGCGTGATCAATTGGGATGCTCAAGCATGTTGGATTCAGAATATACCAAAGAAATGGCAGGTTGGGATTCACTTTTTTTTTTTTTCTTTCTTTAAAGAAAAAGAAAAGGAGGAAACTATTAAGAATTTGACTTCTAATGTTGGTGCTATCAAAGTAAAAGAAAAAAACAAGAAAGAGAGAAAAAAAACATGAAACAAAGAATAAGGAATAAAGTAAATTTCACTTTTTCTATAAAATTCAGTAAAAATAATGGGTGACCAAAATGAGAACTACTACTTGTTTTTATCAAGCAATCAGTTAGATGGCTAAACACTATCTTCTTTAAAAAAAAATTTTTATTATAATCCATTATTGTCTTGTTTTCCTAAAATTTAAACATTGAAATATGTATCACAAAATTTACTTATTTTTTAATCAAATAAAATTTTAAAAAATAAATTTGGGATTTAATTTAAATAATTCACCTATTTTTTAAAAATAAATTCTTGTAAGTTTGAGAATCGATCTTAACATTTACAGTAATTCTCTTCTCTTATCTTGTAGATTTTGATAGAACTAATGATTTGTATATTTATGTAGTATAAAATATTAAAATTCGTATATTTATATCATATTTTATATGAATGTGTTAAATTTTATATTGAAATAAAAATATAAAATATATTTTTTTATTTTGTTAAATCAATATATAATTTTATTAAAATTTTAAACCATATTATTTTTATGTTTTTTTTTCATATCATAGTTATGTCATATTACAATTTTAATTTAGATTTCAATATCTTTTGTACCATACATAATGTAAAATTTTGTTAATTTTACATATTTTTCTAATCTTTAATTTTAATAGATACAAAAATGAAATTAAACTTTTTTATTTTTATTTGTTTCTCTTATCCATTAAATTTATTAAAATCAATGATTAAAAAATATGTAAAATTAAAAATATATATATACTTATATAAATTAATCACTCTTGATATTTCAATTTCCTTTAACCTAAAAATAATATAATCATTTGTGTTACATTTACTTTTACTTCATGACTATAATGTTTTCTTGTGGTGATTAAAATTTAATGTATGATGTAAGAAAAAGCTATAATAAATTTAATAAATTGTTGAATTGGCCCCTGAAACTTTAAATTCACTTATTTATTTTTAGAGATAATTCATGTATTCGTATCATATAAAATATTAAAATTTATATATTTGTATCATATTTTACATGAAATTTATTTATTATAATTTATATTAATAAAAAATATAAAATATTTTTTAAAAATTTTGTTAAGCTTAAATATGATTATTATTAAAATTTTAAATTATATTATTTTTGTATCTTATATTTGTATCATATTCATATCACACATCATATTTTAAATTAACACTCCTATTAAAAATAACCAATTTTTTCGGGAGTTAGAAAAAAAAAATTCAGCTTGAAACTTTGGTGGGGTTCAAAACTTAAAGAAACATTATTCTGATTCAAAGTCGTGTGGCCCTTTATTGGGCCTACTAAGATTGTGGGCCCTCCTTAATTCATGGCCCCTAGCATTGCGCCAGCTTTTCACTTTTCCTGTTTCTCTTCTTTTTCTTTTTTTTTTCTTTCACTGTTTTTTCACTTAAAAATAAAAATAAAAACTTAATTCATTTGAGTTATTCCGTTATTCTGACATTTAAGAGGTATGCAATCAAATTTCAATATCCGCTATCTTTTTCACCTTTTTAATGTATCATTGACTAATTTTTTTATTTTTTAGTAAAATTAAAAAACTGTTGTCTTTTTTAATTGAATTCAATTAATAAGTGTTTTATAAGTAGAGATAATAACTGTTTAAATCAAATTTATTTTTTGATTAATGTATAAAATTATAAATATTTAAAATTCAATTAGAGATAAAATCAAATTTTCATATGATTCGATTTAAATAAAATTAAATTCTATCAATTTAGTTAAATTCGATTAAGTATTTTTTAATTTTTATATATTATTTTAATATAATTTTTAATAATTTAAATAGATTTAAATATAAAATAATTATTTTTATTTTATAAAAAATTAAAATAAATATAAAAACTAATAATATATAATTAATTTCGAGTTTAATTTTTTTAGTTTTTTATTTTTTATTTCGAAATCCAATCTAATTATATATATATTTAATATTTAAATTTAATTTAAACTAATAAAAAATTAATTTAAATCAAATAAAATATTATAATTTTAAGTCGATTTTTAATATTTTTCACCTTTATTTATAAGCACAATTTAAAGATGATTAAAGTAATATTTATCTTTTGATTTTTGATTTTATGGTAAAATAATTTTTAAAAAAACACGAAGATTTATGTTCAAATCAAATCGCTCTTTTTCTTTGTAATAAGATTTTAAATATTTTAAAAATATTTTTTATTAATACATTATTATAATAAAATTATTTAAAAAATAAAAATTAGTATAATAAAATAAAAATATATGATAATGTTTTAACTCCTTGGAAAATTTAAAAATTTTAATTTACATTGTAAGGCACAATAACTCGAAAAAATTAAAACAAAAGAAAATATTTTTATTTTTAATTTTAAAGAAAATCAATTGTATTAACAGGACCCGACATTTGTCAGTGTAGGCATGATAATAATCATAATAATAGTAAAAAAATTATCCACCGACAGCCGTATTGTTAAAGGCCGATAAGGTTACGTGGCGGACCAATAGTACGCCACGTGGAAACTTCTGAAGGAAGAAATCTGTTAGACACGGTGACGTCGTACTTGGAAGTTGGAAACGTTATGAAAACGGTAACTGATTGCTCCAACGAATAAATCGTTCAACTACCCACTGAACCACTAGGATCCTTCCACGTATGAACTACCGCAACGATTACACGTGTTAGCCAATGATAGGAAAAGGGGATTGGTGAGTAACCCCCTCGTTGGTAAAGCGTATGCATGAACCGCTCGCTTTCAACGGGTAATGGACTTTCTCCAAAGTTCCAACGGCTGCTTTGTGGAAAAACTGACCATCTAGAGAACGGATTATACTCTTAATATTTGTCCAAGTTATGAAAGTAACATAAGAGTTTACCATTTGTTTCGCTTTTTTCCTTGTCATAGATAACACTTTGAATATAAAGCAAACAAATATTTTAAAAAAATAAATTATCAAAAAATAAATTTTTTAAATTAAATTTCGATTAACGTAAAAGTGTGCATAAAATATATTAATCTTCAAAAATAATAATTACTATAAATAAATCATTTTCTCTCAAGTTTCTCGAGAAAAAATATTGATAATTAGAGTGTTAAATTTAAAGTTATTATTATATTATGAAGTAAATTTGAAGTTTGAATTTACGATTTTGAATTAAGAATTAAAAATTTATTAAAAAAAGGAAAGAAAAAAATTTTCAATTGACAAACTATTTGCATGTTTAATGCTTTTGACAATCGAAGCCAAATCCCAATAAATTAGTAGTATTTCTTTTATGCATAAATAAATATTTCTTTTTTAACTTTGTGATGTAAAAAAGTCGTGATGGGAGGTAAAAATATTAGTCACGATATTAAAATTTAAATTCGTTACTTTTAAAAGATTATTACATAAGATTCGGATAAATCTCATATTTTTTATTTTCTTGTTTAAGTAAAGAAATGTGGTCGCAAAACATGTGGCTTGAGGTGCAGGAGTGGGGTAGGCAAAAAATAACCCTAAATTTTATAAAGGTTAGTTAGTCTTGGCTTGATGTTAGGAAACCTACCCCTAATTGGCAGCAATGAAATTTAGACATTTAAAAAGAAAATATAAAAAACCAGAAACTTCGATGGTCGGTGGATACGTTGCTAAAGGTGGGGTGCGCTTGAAACACGCAAAGGGAACGGCAATCAATGCGGTGTTTCGTGCTCTTTTTGGTAAAAAAATAAATCGAAGTAGTTTTGCTACGCTTTTTAAAAGGGCCCAATGAGGTTTTGGCACAAAGATTTTGGATCAAACCGTCATTGCCACCGTTACCTAAACATTTTCCTTGCTAAAGCCAACTGTTCTCTCTCTTATTATAATAATATTTTTATATTAAATACAAAAGTTAATAGTTAATTTCATGAATTTTAATACATTAAAAATAATAATTTATCTAATATTGTAATCTTAAAAAATATTCTTAACACACTTGTTGGTAAAATCCTTATAATTTTTAATGAATAAAATTAATTACTAAAATTTCGTTCAAATATATCAATAAACAAAAAGAAAAAAAAATAATCATCAACGACGGCATAATGATTATATTATTTACCGTTGATGAAGAAGAAATGATTTAAACTACGTGATCCTCGTAGTATCTTTATAATTTACATTTTTATGTGAATTTTAAATATTTTAAAATACATATAATATTAAAAAAATATACAATAAAATATAATTATCTCTCTCAATTAATTTCACCTCGCGTATCCCAAGTTATCAAACTCGATATCTTTAAAACAAAACCTTTAAGTTTTAACAACTTTGGACATAAATCTTAAATATTAAAACAATTCCACAAATACGAATTTTAAATTTAAATTTAATAAATCTATTTTTTTTATCATTCTTTTAAACTTTTAAAAGTAGAGTTGGCAGCATCATTGAACATTGTGGCCATATGGCCAAAAGTCATGCGTTTCTTCTTTTAGGTTGGATGGAAGGAAAACGAAGCACCTGGCCATAAATTATAATGGAATTCATGAAAGTTTTTATTGCAAAAGATATATCTTTTTTTTTTTTTTTTTTAATGTTGGTGCCGGTGAATTGGGGAAAGATTATGGGTCTTTACTCTTTACATTAAGGAAATGACATGTGGATTGTTTGGGCTGAACGCGTTCAATCTTATTTAATGGGTTACACAAGAGACAAGATATGGGTCTAATCTTATTTAATGTTTGGTCAGGACTAATAAATTTTTCTAATGCTTTTAAAGTTTCAGGGTGAAAGCTATTTTTATTATTGAGTTTACTAATTCAGAGTAAACACACTGATTACATTAGTACATTTAGCCTCATTAATTTATGAGAAATTGTCACTGGACAATGAAATTTTTAAATTTAACCAGTAGAGTTAGTAAAATAACTTAAATCTTTTAAGTTATAGTAAAAAATAAAAATGTAATTAAAATAGTGAGACCTATAATCGTTTATTAATTCAGTTTATAAAGTTAAAAATTTTAGACTATTAGTGTATAAAAAAATAATTATTAATTTATCATTTTGTTTGCCAGTTATTACTTGTTATCTTTTGGTTTGAGTTATTTTTTATCTTTTAACATTTTTCTTATAGTTGAGAAATTTTAGCATCAATTTTTAAGAGTTAAGGTCAAATTTATAATCATCATGATCCAATATTGAATTTTGCCAATATAGTTTTAATTACATTGATTTATGGATAAAAATAATAAAATCAAAATATTTTATTAATACAAGTAACAAAGTTCATTGAATTCCGTTAATTATAGTGCAAAAAACAAGAAAATTAAGATATATTAATCTTGAAACGCAGAAAAAAAAAATCAATACCCACCCATTTTATCGACAATACTGGCCTTAATGCCTAAATTCCTAGAGTCCTTCGATTATAAAATCATTTGTTAGCCCACATGTTAGTTATTCTTTGGGTCAAGTAAGATATCTGTAGTCGGTGACATGCTCGACTAACTAACAGGCTCCAGCAGACTCCAGAAGTGTTGTTACAATTGGGCCTCCTTGATACTTAAATCCATAAACTTAGTTTCCTGATTAAAGATATGGAAATAATTTATATTAGATAAATTTCAATTATGATCTAATAAAAATATATTTTTTTCTTTTTAAATCAGATCAGGTCAGTGAGATTTAAAATATTCCATCCTGACCCATCTCAAGATATATATAAAAATGTGATTTTTATTATTTATTTAATTATATATATTATATTAATAAAGTTATTACTTTATATTTTAATTTAAAAGACAAACTTTATAAAATTATTACATTCAAAATATAATTAATATATAATTTATATTAAAAATTAATATTTTTATGAACATTATTTTAAAATTAAATTATTAAATTAATTTTTGACCAGTTCAAATTCAATACAAATTATACATACGTATCATGTCAAATTTTGATATCAAAAATAATAATATGATATCAAATAAAACTGAAATCAGATAATCATCCAATCAATCCCGCTGCCTCCACCGTTGCGATACTATTATTGTGACCCAACCAATCTGAGTCTCGTAATGAGCTGATGGCCCAACTCTTGCATGTTACAACTTTCTTAAATTTTTAAATTGCACGAGCGACCACAAAACCACAAAACGAGACCATAAGCATGGGACGCCCTAATATAGCAACGACAAAATAATGATATTTTCAATTTATTACTATCTGCACTTTAAAAAAAAAATGATAGTTTATCATACAACACACTTTAGACTTCATTTCCCCTTGTAATTTACACCTCTCCCCATAATTTTTTACTGCAAAAATACATGTTAAGCCTAACAAATCCTATCTAACATGCCGACCGACTTTTAGATCAATTGACATGATATTGGAGTTGATGCTTGGAGGTTGCAGGTTGAAATGAGCTTATACGCATAATGTCTTCTAAACCCGGATAAGTATAAGGGTAGGAAATCTAAGGATAGATTAAGAATTAAAAAAAAAAAAAAAAACCCTACCCAATAATAGACTTACCATAGAAAATTACCTTTTGCATGGTTACGATTCACTTTTTGCTAGACGGTGAGCTCCCAGAACTGACTGTCCAACGCAAAAATATGAACCAGATAAGTAAATGCTACTTCTAGAGGCATTCGGAAAATATTGAAGAGGAATGCATAGTAAAGACATCCAGATATGGCTTCCCCTGGAAATGCTTGGTTTAATTTGGTTAGCATCTTTCTATGTTGAAGATAGTTCTGTAAAATTGACACTTACCAAATTAAGAAGGTGGAGAGCAGCAGGCCTGGTGAATTTTCTCGCGAAAAGGAAGCACGGGGATGGCTTCCCCTTGCTGCTACACCATTCTCTACGGTTTTCAGTCTCATAGTGGATATTGTCAATTTCCTGCATAAGTCATTAAATTCCTTCACTTTTTGCAATACAATAGTTTAAACATCAATTTTTCATTAATTTGATTAGTTTTTCTTCAAATTAGTCTTTAATGCATGTGTCGAATTTGAATTGAGACGATTAAATGTCTACTAAATATTATTCTTGGCTCTTTTAGCTTTAAATATGAGGAACGAGGAGAACGGGAGATTATTACCATCTAGGAGCTTGAAGGAAGGGCAAAGATACCTTTATAGATTTAATAAGCTTGGGAGTGGCATCGGAAAACTTGTAAGTCACTGGATGCCATCCACGGCGTTCACGGTCTTTGGAGGCTGAAAGATCCCATGCAGAATAGGTTAATGATCTCCGTGTGATTTCTCCTTCAAAGCCTTCTTGCTGAATATTTCGAAAGAGAATGGTTTTACAAAGAGAGATAATAATTTGAAAAAAGAAAGAATAACAAAAGCAGTATGATGAGCATTTTAATTCAATGCCTTTCAAAAAAGATTCATATGCAAACTTGAAATTCTCGCTTGTCAAAAGAGTATGGAAGCAAAATTTAACATTCCTTTAGAGGCTGCTTCTAATATTTGAGAACCACGAAATAGCATTTTTTTGGGGCCAAAAACCACAAAATAGTTTACAAATGCACTTTTCTGAACCAACATATTTAATTGCTCTAATAGATCAGCAGTAAAGTTTCATTGCCATCAGAACTAGCAATTCCAATTTTTTTCACAATAGAAGGAGACCTTTTATATCAACAGAAACTAAAAGCAAGAAGAGAGGGGGTGGTTCAAACTTGAGATAAATTCTTACAGTAAGTAACGTTTGAACGTAATGTTCATCTGGTATACAGTTGTGCTCCTTTGCTGGATCAACTGGCTGCACAATATTACATCTAGTAAGACCCTTAGAGTTGCACTTTGAAATAATATTGTATGATATATTCATACTTACAAAGGGACGATCTCGCCAAAACTCCGGCAATGATCTCCTCTGCATAATATTGATAGGTAAAATATGAGGAAATAGCAGATCCTTAACGACAAAGAAAACCTTTCAGAAATAATTTGCTCCATTAGATTGTTAAAATATTGGCCCAAGTATATTTAAGAAAAGGAACCACAATTCACCATGCTAAGTTTGCAATGGAGTCAAATTAACTATCCATTTTGTAACCTCTATCCTCCAAACATGTCAATAAGCGCTAATGTTAGCCTGAAAATCTTAAAGAGTATCATGCCATTCAGTGACCAACAAAGGCCACAATCTTCTTAGAATAATAACAAGGCCCAGCATTCATAAATATAAGACAACTTGCCTGGCAATGTTGTTGAAACATGGGAAAGACTGTAGTGTCATTTACAACAACCTCTGCATGCTTTCTTGTTAGCACAACCCACTGCAAGATGGGCAAATTATAAGATGAATATGGACAACTGCTGCAAAATTCTTGCAACAAATATTCAAATCATAATATTTTACCTTTTTCTTTTATGTATATTAAAATACCAGGAAAATGTAAATCACAGAAATCCAACTGTTACCTGGGATCCTTTCCTCCAGTTGTAAACAGGAATAACAGGATTCATTTTTGGGTTGTAACGACCCTCTTTTGTATCAGCAAAGCTGCTTATAAGCCATTGGAACATTCAGAGAAAGAGAAGCTTAAAATCACTTTAAGCTAAAGGCTGGTGAAAGGCAAAATACCATAACTGAGAAGGCACATAGAAGTTATAATGTTATTAACCAGTTGTTTCCAGTTTATGTTAAACAGGAAACAGATGAAATGTTGGACAAGAATATTGACATCTTAAAGCTAGATAAGAATTAAAGATTCAAACTCGCTTCCACGGTACTATGAGTATCAATTCCCCAGAGCAAGGTCTTCATCAAGAAAACTATTTGGGATCGGCAAAATACATATTATAGGTGGAATGACTATAAATTTACTTTCTAGATCAAGAATCTGGTCTCTAGTTTTTGTCACTTATTGAGGAAGCATCAGAATGTATGCACAACACCTTTCAAATATGCAGGACAAATATACGTAAGAATTAAAGATGTAGCCAAAAGTTAATAGTTAATCATCATTTGGCTCTTTGGGTGACATAGAAATAAGCTCTGTTGATAGACTGTTTAAACACTCCAAAATTTAATGGCCAATTTGTACTCCAAATGGAAATTGATAGAGGATAGGATGAAATATAAAAGAAATGCATCTACAAAATAAAAATACAAGGTCCACTAACCTGTCAACAAAACTAGTTGATGTTGACATGATATAGTCATATGTGTAACTGAAGTTATAAAGAGGTATACAGCTGAGAAGAAATCAAGAAACTGAAGTATTGTTAGATAACAAGTTTTCAAAACAGTAGCGTTAAGTAACTTCGAAACCGAAAATAATACAAATGAGGAAAGGCCTTAACTCTACTATCATCATATAAATCAATCCTCACCTATCTGAGACAAAAACAAAGCGTTCATTACAAGGGTCTGTCAATGCATGTCTAAGCAATATATGCTCAGCCTCAATCATGCTCGCTTCTCCCCAATCTACCTGATGAAATAGAGCACATTAACTAAATCTTATGATTTCAAGAAAAACATATATTTAACAGTTCATGTTCAATCAACACTTTTTCATAATGCATTATGCTACCAATAATGATTGATTGCATGAACGAACTTCAAACATAAGGCTCCATGATAATTTCAGATACATACAATCATAACATACACCAACAAACTCATCATTATAACAACCCTGCCTTAATGTTAACATGTACCGCAATTCTATTTTTTCTCCCAACTTTTATCCATTATGAAATATTCTACCCTCATAACTTCAGGCTTAACTAACCTTAAGTCTTAACAGCCTAAAGATGCAGATTCTTTGGCCATTGAAAAACAACTCCAAGGATTCAAGGTTATCTATGCACACGTGCATGTGTCACACGCCCCAACCTAAGACTCAAAATGAGTCTCGGCCCGTGACACATGCACATACACAAGTCCATGTAAAAACAGCGTGACCTTAAGGCTGTACCATGACAGTTGCTGACAGTTTTGATGACAGCCTGTAGTGTTTCCAAAGATCTTGAGGTCTCATACAGTATCATACTAGGAAATATTATTATATGATCCTTTTCTACCATGTCAATACAGTTTCCACAAAAGCAAGATTTGACATGTAATTTACAAAAGCAACATAAACACATTTCAATCACTATCGGATTACTCTTACATTTATTTCACATAAACACCAAAACAAAGCATGAATCGGCAATAAAAACATGTTCATTTTTCTAAAGAAACTACAGTTTTAGAACAAGACAAGTTTCCACCGGTACCTGTATACTATCATTAACTTGCCGGTTCAAAAAATAAGCCGATCTCGTCGTTCCCTTGTTAAACAAAAAGCCAGGCCTAGAGTGAACATAAATTGAAAATCTGTCCTCTTCTCCCTGTAAAAAAAATTAACCAAAAAATTTTTTTTAAATTAAAAAAAGTAATAAAAACACTAGATCATTATGATGATTAAGATCATAATTCAAAAAGAGGCGCAATGGTTTATCAAATTTGAAATCTATAGAAATATTTAGTAAGTAATAAAAAAAATTGTAGCTAAAAGAAAAAGACAACAAACTTTATTCATATATGCTAAAATTGGAAACACCGTAAAAAACATTAACAATTAATAAACTTCTATATTCAGTAGGATTTATTAAATTCAATAAATGATTAATTATTACGAATTTAATTAAAGTACCTTGAAAAAAGCGTCCCAAACCATTTCGAGAGGAAGGCGATTCCGCGCGATGAAAAGGAAGGCGATCTTCGGCTTGACAATAAAACGGTGTCGTAACGACGCCAGCGAGACGATTCGAGAGTACTGTGTCTCCATCAACGCTAAACTCGCGAGACAAAACACCGCTAAAACCGCCACCAAAACCTTCCTCTTCCATCTAATTTGAGATTTCTGCTGCACTGCTTTTCGCTTCATCGCACTCATTATTTCCTTCTTTTTTGCTCTCACTTCAATACGTGCACCATTTCTACTTGTTTTCTCGTGCTTTCATGACTAACTTCAAATTAGTTGAATTCGGTTGAGATTTTCTGCTGAATTCACGAGAATTTGGAGGAAAATTGCGAGTCGGAGGCTTCGAGTGAGATTCTGATTCTTGTTTGTTAAGAGAGAAAGTTGAATTGAATTGAAACGAAAGGAAAGAAAGGAAAGAGAGTGATGGAAATGGTGGATTAATGAGAGTGAGCCGGTCCTTTTGTATTTTTGAAGTAGTTGACGACGCGTTCTCCCTCTGAGGTGGGAGTCGTAAAGGGGAGCTTTTTACTGGAGTTTGCGTGAGATGTAGGAGATCAGATCCCTTTTCAACATCCCACTCTCACTCCTCTTCCCTTTCATTTTATCCCTCGGGATTTTTAGACCCGGCCTCCTCTGGTCCGGTCCGAAACATTAAATTATTAATAAAAATAACTTTTAATTTAATTATAATTTAAATATATATTTTAAAAAATTAAATATATTTTTTTTAACATCTAAAACTCTTACTTTTATATTTTAAAATTATTTTTTATGAATTTTTTATTTTTAAATATTAAAAATCATAAAATTTTAATTTTATAAAAATTTTATTTTTAATATTAAATACATTAAAATAAAAAATTTTTCTTAAATTCTATGAAAATCAATACATTCCAAATATTTTGAAATGGAATGAGTAAATTTTTTATACAAAAGAAATTGTAATTTGAAAAAAAAAACTAAAATTTGAATATCAAATTTATTGAAAATCATGCTTTTAAAATAATTACATTAATTAATGAAATTAAACTTTAAATTCAAAACATTAATATTTTAATAAAAAATTTCTAATCCCTCAAATTTTATAAGCGGATCAAACCGGATCTACAAAAAATTGATTGAAATTAACTTAATTGATTTATAAACACTTTTACTTCAAATAGATTAATTTAAAGATTAAAAACAAAATTTAAAAGGAAATAATTAAAGAAATGACATTAATTTTAACTTTTTGCTTTGCTACAACGAGAAATGCTGATAACAAAAAAAGAAACAAATTAAAAAATTGAAAATGTTGATATAATTCCCTAAGAGAACCAAATAACATAAAGAAATAGGATGGTAAGAGAAAAAGAACAGCTAACTAACCAATTGTTATAGAATTATGATGACTTATTTTATTGCAGCCTTATAATATAAAATTAATAATAATATTGTAAGACCATAAATATAAGGATCACATGTGGTTTATTAATTAGAAAGAAATGCAACTACTAAGGTGGGTTAGAAATCAATGTCCAATATAGTGATTTATCAACCTCCATTTTTATCCTTACATTACCTAACAACCATAATTTGAACAACCAAAGAAAACAACACAATTTTTGTCTTTTTGAATGATGATCTTTTTCACATTAATTTGATGATATTTGATAATTTTATATCTTGTTTTTTTCTCTTTTTAAGTTATGATTTGCTTCAAATTTGAGATTTTTAATTCTAAAATTGATTTCAGTATCAAATGTTAAAGTTATGTAATCTCACATATAATAAATATTTAATTTTTTATAGTTTTATATTCAGGTTAAACATTTTCATTTATTACAAATTAGTTTTAAGTTTGATGCTTAACATGACATTAGAGCTATAATTTTTTTTCTTTATCATTTTTAAATCTATCACATAATAGACTTATTTCATCTTCACCTACACATGATGAGAGTCTGTTAAAGTGGTGTAATCTCACATTTCTGCATATACATTATGAAAGCATGTTAAAGTGATATAATATTACATCTAATAAATATTTAATTTTTTATAATCTTATATTCAAATGGGATAATTTCACTTATTCCATCTCCATTTACACATTATGAAAACCTGTTAAAGTACTGTAATCTCACATTTAATAAATATTTAATTTTTTATAATCTTATATTCATATTGGATAATTTCATTTATTATCAATTAATTTTAAATTGGATACAAGTATTATAAATAAAATTAACCCTTTGAATAATTAAAAAATATAGTTCAGTGAATATTCATTTGCTTATTTGAAATGAGTAGAGTAATATAATGTGGAACAACTCCTTGCATTATCCCAAATCTTGTCTTTAATACTTGAAATTGGAACATTGATTTTAAAATTAAAAAATATATACAATCAAATATACAAGCTTAACACCAAACAAGTATTATAAATAAAATTAACCCTTTGAATAATTAAAAAAAATAATTCATTGAATATTCATTTGTTTATTTGCAATGAGTTGAGTAATATAATGTGGAATAACTCCTTGCATTATCCCAAATCTTGTCTTCAATACTTGACATTGGAACATTGATTTTAAAATTAAAAAAAAAAACAATCAAATATACAATAAAATCATTGTTGTTGGCACTTAACCCTCAAAAAATAATCATATTCCATTATTGTCAAATTGAAGTTTCATGTGATATTGGTTAGTTTATTTATATATGTTTTAGATATAAAAACAATAATAAATTTCCCCCAAATGAGAATTTTCTTTTATTAAATCAATTAAAAATTGGTGTACCCATTTAGTATCTGTTAAATTAATATGTCTAATAAATTTATCTTTTAATAATTTTATTATTTCATCATTTCTTTTTAAAGCTTTTCTTATAAATGTTAGTTTCAATTTACCATTTCATTATCAAATATACTCATTTTTTATCATTTTTTTTATGATAATAACGAATACATTATATTTGAATATTTCATTCAATAATTTTTTTATCTAGGGTCTCTCAATGTTCAACAATCATTATAAATCTTGATTTATTTAGAGTTGAGTTAAGTTGAACCTTATAAGGAATAAGCTCTCCCAAACATATTTTTTTCATTCATAAGACTCAAAATAGGGATTTTATTTAAGAAAATTTAAATTTTTTAGCATTCGAACCTACAGACGTTAATATTTCATTCAATAATTAATACATAGTTTTAAATGTTTAAAAAATTAAAATAATAATAATAATAATAATTTAAGTTTGCAAACTCTTTTGAAGCTTTTTTTTTTTATTCTTTCAGTATTTTTTACGTTTTCATATAATCATGAAGGGAGATAATGACTTTTAAGATTGAGCTAAGCAATTATTGGCACTCACATGCCGCAAATATAGCTTACATGTTGAAAATGACCAATCAAGAGCTATGCTCTTTATTAACAACATTTCTTCCAAATTAAAGTAACATAACCACATTAATTAATTCCATAAAAACTTTGAATCCAAAATTTAGGTAAAATCGTTCACGTTACTCGTAATTATTTAAAAAAAAAATGATATTTATAATTTTTTTGTTATCATCATCTGTAACGTTATTTGTAAAAAGAAAATAAAAGCAACCCTTTTCAAGGACACCTCTACCCCATCATTAAATTTTATAACCAAATATTGATAAAAATAAATTAAATAAAAAATTTTAAAAAAACTTTTGATTGTGGAAATTTAATTGCAAAATAAGTTCAGCCAATTTAGATGATACAACAAAATTGGTGTAGTTCATTAATAAAAAAATGAGAATAAAATGCAGTGGCAAAAAATAATGGATTTTTCATCTGAAATCACACAAAATTTTAGATTAATTTAAGTGAACAAAATTATAAAAAATTTGAATTAATTTTTAATTAATAAATTTTGTATGATTTTTAATGTAAAATTAAAAAAAAAAAGAAAAAGAAAAGAAAGCTTATACAGGCTTAGGGCCATACAAAAGTTGGGCTCAAGATTCCTTCTAGCATAAGCTTAGGGCCCGAGTTTCATCGTTGATACGACGTCATTGGGTCCATCCATAGTCTTCGGACCACACAAGAGTTGGGCTCGAGTTTAATCGTTGATACGACGTCGTTGGATCCCTCTGGTTCATATTAAGGACATTCACCGCTCCCTTGTTCGTTGGCTCCAACGATGTTTTATCCCTCAAACTCTCATCCTTAAAAGGTAAAAATAATTTTGATTAATTTCTAACTTTCTTCAAGAATTGTGTTTTTCAATTAAGTACATTTATCTGGATTGAGTTCAACATGAAAAAAAAAATTATAGAAAAATAACATTGCATGACTAAATGAACATCACAGGGTGAAATATAAACTTATACAAACTGTAAAAGAACGTAACAGCCTGTTATGGCGACCCTGTTTTTAGCATTCTTTGCAAAGTCAAAAGCACTTCAGCATGCCTTTCTATCCATTCCAAAGGAACATCAGGCAGTCTCCCTCAGAATTCCCTTCAAATTTTCATTTGACAAGAAACTTGGGTTTCTTCCAATCTTGTAGCTTTCAATAAACCATGGATTACATATTTGCATGTGAGGCTATTAGGTGCAAACCCCACTTTCAGCATTCTATCCTGAAGCTCCATTAACTTATCCATATCACCAGCCTCAGAAAATGTACTGACAACACAATTGTAGCTTTCAGTGTCAAAAATTTGAAATTCCTTGGCAAAGAATCTCAAGTACGACTCTGCTTTATCGACATCCGATTGATTGCAATAGCAATATATCATTGCCCTGCATATTCGTGGATCGGGATGGATACCAGACTTAAGCATTTCTTCCATCAAGGATTCTGCCTCGTGTCTTTTACCTGTTCTACACAAGCAGCATATAAGAGCTCTATATGAAACAAGATCAGCCTTTATTCTCCTTTGTGCCATCTCAGCTTTCAGGAGTAATGCATATGCCACACTATCACATCTGCAGAATGACTCAATCAATTCATTATAGATATCCAGTTTAGGCACATAACCATCTTGACAGATTCTTCCAAGGAGATTCTTTGCGGCAAATGGCCGATTGTCATGACATAAAGAAATCATCAAAGAGTCATAAATATCTGAAGAAATAGAAACCCCAAATCTCCTTAACTCTACAACCAAATTCAAAGCTGAAACCAACCTACCCTGTTTTTCATATCCTTCTACAAGAACTCGACAAGTAAAACTATCCAGGCAAATCCCATTTCCTATCATCTCATGCATCAAATACTTTGCTTCTTGCATCCTCCCCTCCTTGCAGTAACCAGAAATAAGAGTATTATACGACACAATGTCCGGATTCAATCCTCGGTGAACCATTCTATGGAATAACTGATGAGCCTCTCTCACCCTCTCTTCTTTACAAAGACCATTCATCAATGCAGTATATGAAACCAAATCTGGAATCACACCCCTCCGGTACATAATCCTATACAGATAGAATGCATCGTTCAGCCTCCCTTTCCTACAATAGCTACTAATCAATGTATTATAGGTAATCAAATCAGGATCAAACCCTTCTTCTTCCATCCTCTCCAAGAACTCATTAACCTTATCGATGTTTCCATCTTTGCAAAAAACATGAGTCAATATATTAAAAGTGCAAGAGTTTGGACGAATCCCCACTCTACCCATCTCTTCATACACTAGCCAACACTGATCAACAAAATTCAACCTCAACAATCCATTCAGAAGAAAATTACAAGAAATCACGCTGGGCAAAAAGCCAACCCCCAAAATGTTCCTAAAAGTCTTAACACCTTCTCTAACCATACCCTTTCTCACGTAACCCTTGACAAGCATATCAAAAACAGCAGGATCAAAGTTACAATCTTTAGTACAAAAAACCAAACTTTCAAATACATCTTCACTATTTGAACAATCCTTAACAAAATCAATTAATTCACATAACAATTCCATTGCCAAAGAGAAGTTTTTAGACCAAGCCAATATATGGACAATGTAACAATAGTTATGCGAAGAAAGCTTAATGCCCAGATCATTTTTTACCCAGTTGAAGAAAGTTACAGCTGACAAACAATCAGACTGGAATCTCAATAACACCCTTGTGATTTCATGGCTACCCAGATGAGGAATAAGGGGTTTTATGTCATTTTTGAGAAGGATTAATTGAGAATTGGTCTGTTTAAGAGATGAGGAAATGAGGTTGACTATTTTGTTCGGGTTTTGAGTTTCAGGAAGAAGATTGTAAAGTGGGTTTGAGAGTGGCTTGGAGTGAGAATTTTGAATGGTCTGAAGTGAAGAAGAAAAGGGTAACTTTGATATGAAGTTTACGTAGGAGCTGCCTGATTTTATTAGGCTTTGGTTTAGAGGATTGAGTGAAGCTCGAGTCATCAAGAAGAAAGGAACAGAGAGAGAAGAAGATAGCTCCTAATACTCACAGCAGAGCCACGAAGAAATAAAATTGAAGACTACCCATCAAAAGAATCTCATTACTTTCATTAGAAAACCTGAAAGTTAGCTCAAATTCAGGCCACCAAAGATAACAGGCAACTCTCGTACAATAGAGAAGAGAAGAACTTGGAAGGTATGGCAAAAAGCTTACCCAAATCAGCGAAGAGGAGAACCACAATGTTGGGTTAAATCTTTGAGCCCAAAAATCAGATTGATATGTATGTACGCTACTGAAGAGAGAGCTTGGTTAGCTCAGAAGCCATTTAAACTTAAAAATGGAGGGGTAAAAGAAAAAACTACATCCAGGGATGAATGAAGGACCCTATCCCCTGAACCCGTTTGGAAGAGAATTGGAAAAGATGTAACAATGGAAACGATCAAGAAACGGTGAAAATATTTTGATGAAATATGAGCTGGACTTTACCAGGGCCATGGTTGGGGCAGGACAGTCCATCCAGACCCAAAACAATGCCCATTTATTCCAATGGCCCAACATTTTATGCATGTTGATGGGCAGGAAGACCGACCTTTTGGTCCACTTTATGGGTCGATGGCCCACATAAGGCCCAACATTTTTGGGTTTTGCTTTTTGTAGGCTTTCAGGGGCCATAAATAGAGTCCCATTTGTGATAAAAAAAAGGATATGATCGTAACCTTTCTTTTACGACGTCGTTACCTTTCATCTTGTCTTATCTTTAAATCCTATAAACCCTCCACCTCCAAGAAAGGATTAGAAGAAAAGAAAAATGGCGACGACGGCGACCATGTCTATCACCAAGCTAGATGACGAAATGGTGCGCAGCATGTCGATTGGCGCAGTGTTCTCAGACTTCGTAATTTTCCACCACTATTTTTCCCTTTTAAATCCACTAATAAAGTAATATTTTTCAAGCTACAAAAAAAAAAAAAAAAGCTGCTTCAAGCTTCTGATTGATTTTTTTTTTTTAGTTTTTTTGAATGCAAGATTAACCTAATGGAAAATCATTATTTCATCTTACTGATTTGAAATCCGTTTTGAATAGTCAAATTAATTATTTCCTTTATTTCTTGTTAATATTTTCAGGGAGGAAAGATAAACTCACTTGACTTTCACCGAAAGGACGATCTATTGGTGACAGCCAGTGAGGACGATTCAGTTCGCCTCTATGACATTGCCAATGCTAAGTTAGTTTTTGCGTTCTTTTTACTGTAAAATTTTACAAGTTTCAGTATATTATTGCTTTTAATCCACTGCTAAATTTTACCCTAATAAATCAATTGGGAGTTTTTACTTATTTACTGTTTGAGAAAGGTTTTGGTGTTTGAATATTATTCGAACTTCGAGTGTTTCAATGATTTTTGCTATGTAATTAGGTTTAGTGTTAAGGAACATTTTTATTGGTTGTGTTAATGATCATTTTAATATTGCTTTAGGTTGTTAAAGACAACTTATCATAAGAAACATGGGGCAGATCGAATATGTTTCACACATCATCCTAATTCTGTTATATGCTCTTCGAGACACAATTTGGAGTCGACTGGAGGTGAATTTCTTAGGATGGTTTAGGCCTTATTCTTATGTATGGTAAAAAAACAATAGTAACATTGTATCTGCTTGTTTCTTTTGTTAACAGAAGCTCTACGGTATCTTTCGATGTATGATAACCGATGCCTTCGCTACTTCAAGGGACATAAAGAGAGGTTGGTAATTCTTGATATGTTGACATTGTGGGAATAGCTAGAGACGGAGGTGTGGTTCATATGATTATAGAATAACAGAGCCACTTGAATATGATGTTTAATGTTACTTTAATTATTGAGTATTTCAATGAAGGTTTTCGATGTTAGCTTCATGCAGCATGGTTTTGAAACCTGTGTACATATACGTAAATTATCTGTGTCATTTGTTTTTAAGAACCTTTTTGAAATATATATCCATATATACTGGTTTTCAAAGATTTATTTCCTTTAATTCTGAACCCTTCTTCAAACAGTCTTTTCTTTTAAGTGATATCCCAATTCTATAATACTAATAAGTTTCGTCATATCTGCTGCTGTAGAGTTGTTTCCCTCTGCATGTCTCCTGTAAATGATAGCTTCATGTCAGGTTCTCTTGACCACACTGTGAGGATTTGGGATCTTCGTGTAAATGCCTGTCAGGTTGGTTTCTGGTTTCCCATGAATTCTATGCAAATGTTGGGTCATTACGAAAGTGATTTATAAAGAAAATTTTCTTTTGTATAAGGAAAAAAAAAAAAAAGTGCTTACTGAGAACCAAATTCTTCCTGTTTAACCAACTCCCCACTCCCCCAAGCAAGTTAGAGAGAGAGAGAGAGAGAGAGATATAGAAGAACACTAAGACTCAATATAAAATTCAGAAAAGAAAGTTTCCTGACAGCAATTATCATTAGCCAACTGTTTTTTAATCTGCATTTCATCATCTAAAATTACACCAAATGTGATTTATGCTTACTGTTGTAGTTTTCAGGGAATATTACACCTGCGTGGTAGACCTACTGTAGCCTATGACCAACAAGGCCTTGTGTTTGCTGTGGCTATGGAAGGGGGTGCTATTAAATTGTTTGATTCACGCTCCTATGACAAGGTTTTAAGTTTTAACCCATTAAGCACTTAACTTTTTTTTGGCATTATCAGTATTATGAATTTGCTTTCTTTCTTTCCTTTTTTAGATTATTATTTTAACAAGTTTGATTTATTTCTTATAATATAGGGGCCCTTTGACACATTTTTAGTTGGTGGAGACACAGCTGAGGTTTGCGATATCAAATTCAGCAATGATGGCAAATCAATGCTACTGACAACCACAAATAACAACATATACGTTCTTGATGCATATGGAGGAGAGAAGGTTAGTTACTCTAATTGGACTAGTTCTTTTAATGGCTCTAAACTGTTGCCAGTCAATGAATCCCGAAAGTTGTTTGCTGAAAGGCCCTAGCTCTGTTTTTTCAATGGTTCTAGTCTGTTTCCTATAGGATGATGTCATGAATTTAGTACTTAGATGCAGAACTTTTACTTGTGCAGCGATGTGGGTTCAGTTTAGAACCATCTCCAAATACAACTATAGAGGCAACTTTTACTCCAGATGGTCAGTATGTGATCTCAGGTACCAATTCCTTTTCCAACTTGCTACTTGAGAAGAATATATGCATGTTTGATTTCTTTTACATTAAGTTTACATTGAATAATCATCAAAATACTTGAATGAGAATTGAGAATATTTCTTCCCATTGACATTCAAATTGCTGGTTACCTTTTTATTTTTTTGTATTTTGTTTGGGAACACCATAATTGAGCTCAGGTTTTACTTATTGAAGGGTCAGGAGATGGAACTTTGCATGCCTGGAACATCAACACACGAAATGAGGTACAGTCTTTGTAATGTAGCATCTCATGTTATACTTGTGTGTGCTGCCTACCTCTTCTCTGTTTCTCTTCTTAAAGTAAAGGATGAAACTAGGAAAGGAGTACATGGAAATCTGAAAAAAAAAAAACTATTAACAACTTCTCTAGTGAGTTTTTTTTTTTTTCTCCTGATTTCAGCCCATTGGGCACATTGTTCATTGCTTACTCCAATTGCTTCGCATGCAATATTTTGCTAATAACTTCTGCATCTGACTATATGATTAATCCTACTGTCATTATGTTATCTGGCATCCTTCTTGAGGTGTCAACCAGGTACCCTGCAAAAACGAAATAAACTTTTTTTTCCTATTGGTAAATCATGTGGTAATGTACAATATGAGCATCTGCGTACAATTTATTACATCATAAAATGACAGTTTTAACTGGTTATTTTTCGGGTTCTCTTCTAGGTAGCCGCTTGGAACAGCCACATAAGTGTTGCGGCTTGCTTGAAGTGGGCTCCTCGTAGGGCCATGTTCGTTGCTGCATCCAGTGTTCTTACCTTTTGGATACCTAACAACAATTCAAAGCCAGCTGCTGAGCTAGCAGCTGGTTCCACCGATGCACAAGCTGTGGCTCAATCTGAGCAAATTGGTTAATCAACCTGGGGCTTAATCCCAGCAAATTAGTCAAAGAACCTAGCTGGAAACCAACTCCATTTTGCCATTGTACTGCCGGCTGGAAGAATTTTGTTAATGTGTTTAGACTGGTTTCACTTTGTAAATTTAGCAATTAATCATATTTTTGGAAAATTTGTGTTCTGAATTCAAACGTTGCTTGTTTAAGTAGCTTCTGTAAACTGCAAATGTTTCTGCGTTTTATAGCCTTGAGGAAAATGACAAGGGCATGCAACTGAAAATTTGTCCTGAGGCAAAAAATTTTTGGGTGGAACATCACCTTAAAAGCTTTTGCACTTTGCAGTGTAAACCTGGAAATTTTGTCCGCCGGCGAAGTTCTGAGGTCAGCAGGTTCAGATAAAAGTATTAGCTAAAGCCTGCGAGAATCTGAATTTGATCCTTGATGATGTGATGATATTTAAGTGATTCAAAGCTGAATGATTTAGAGAGAAACATTTTTGGAATTGAACAATTTAAACTCAAAAACAGACAGCAAATCCCACAATATGATACATTGCCCATCGAGCATGAACAACCCCGAAGACTAGACCTTTGAAAATGAGAACACTGCTACTACGTTCTATTGCCCTCCCCCATGTACCTCCCGAGCCTACACCTTCAAATTCATGTCCTACCAACAGTAACCTCATGTGCCTTACCCTCGATCTTCTGTCCCACATACCCTGTCATATCCTGCATGTGCCTCTTAGCCTGGTCCAGGTCTAGCTGCTCGTTGCCAGTGGCCCTCCTCAGCTGGTTAAAGACATGTATGAGTGAGGACAAGCCTGTCAATCCCAAGTCCCCAGAGGACAAGAAGCCTGCCACGGCCATGGCAACGGCAATGACGGCCGGGACAAGAACCGGGCTGAAGATGATGGAGTGGTGTGGCCACACACAGCCCAATGACGGTGGTGGTGAGTGTTAATCCTGCTAATGCAAGCAGAGTGCCACCAACAGGGAGGAGGTAAGGACAGCCAGAACCTGGCTTGTTGATGGTCCACTTTAATAGTTCTTCCCACCATAACCAACCTGATGGTCAAAACAGTGCTGTGGGTGAACCTTAACCTGGTGAGGCTGGTTGCGTTCACGGTCAGCCGTTGATAGGAAAAGCTTATGACCTTTAGCAAATGTAGAAACCTTATGTTATAATAATGACAGTAAAAGAGAGAGAGATCAGTGAAGGAGGGAGTTGGGCTTGTGCGATTTTTATCGAAGAAGTGAGAGATGCAATGTGAAGACACGTAGGGGATGACATGGTGAGCTGAGGCTTTGCATGGGGAACAAGTTTCATTGTGATTCCTGTGCGTAAAACAATAAAGAGAATAAGGAAAGCCAACTGAATTTATTGCCTCCATTTTTCTCAAATCCTACCTCTTTATTCTGCCACATTGCCATTGCCGTTCTGCAAAATCGTTTTGTTGTGCTTTATGCGTGGGAACACGCGGGTTTTGCCTAAATTTTAATTGGCCATGGCCATATATTTTTTTCACATCTCTTTTCTCTATTGTTGTTTCTAAATTATAAAGAATGTGTTTTGAATCAACTCATGCAGAAATCAATGCTTGTACCCCCCTCAATGGCATCACAGTTCACAAAAAAATTGAACTTAAATTTCTCTGTTGTTCTTTTTTCATTCATTTATTCCTGTCAGTGCTTGTTTCCAAGTAATATCCCTTTCCCATTTCGGGGTTTCCTGTTGCTTTCTATTCCCCTGGTTCTGCCGTGTCTTTTTCTCCAGATAGAATTCCGGGACCCTGGCTCATGGGTTTGTCAACTAAATCCTGACCTACCTTAACATATGCTCGAATATAATTGGGCTTTATGCCGTTTGAGTCTTATAGTAATATGACTGGTCTAGCCTGAGCTTAACAGTTTACTACCTAACAGAATTGCTGCTAGGCTTGAGTAAACAAAATTGGGTTTCGACGCCCTTCGTAATAACCTTGTAATCTCCCATGCCTTCGGTTTCACATTGAAAAATTGGACCTCATCGATCAGCTGAACTTATGCTTCACACTCAGCTAGTTCATGCTATATTGTCAGCATCATTATATCGTTAAGAGTTGTTGTCCAACATATAAGCAAAGATTAATCATACCATATATTGAATCATCCAATTTATAAATAAACTTGTTTTTTCTTTAACATAGTTAATTGTGATTTAAATCCTTATAACTTTAAATAAAAAGAATAATAAGCCAAACTTCACGAATGATTATCTCCTTCTAGAAGCAATCATCAAATACCAAAATAAAACACTTTTATTATAAGCAGATCTTATTAATAAAGTGTTAAATTTTTTTATTTTAATTAAATTCAAATCTTAATTATCTCAAATAAAAAAAATTAAAAAATTAATAGACTAAGTCTGCATGTAGAAACAAATTTGCTTTTTTTTTTTAATTTGAAAAAGACAAAGTTTGAATTTTGCTTTTTAAACTAAAATAAGTTAAATATGTATATTAATATAAATAAAATTTTAATTCAATTAATTTATATAATTAATATCGAAAAGTAACACCCAATAATGTTATAAATTAAATTCTAACATTTATAATTATTTTTAAATTAAAATTTTTATAAGAAAATACGTATATTCATATATTATTTTTAAATGGTTCAACGGATAGTCCAAGAATAGTTAAAAATAGTGAATGAAAGTAAATTGAGGCGTAAAAAAAGCAATAGGCCTAGTTTTTTTTTTTAACCTATTTTTTGATGAATTTAATAAATTATTTGGAAGAAAAGGTTTTCCATTTTGAGATGGTTACATCGTTGTCACCCATTCACGTAAACATGTGGACGTTAATAAACGCGCGTTTCTCGAGCCAAAACACATGAAAACAATACCTAAACTGACAAATGGCATACCCAACGTGCGGGTGCCGGTCCCTTGATAACACTATTGCACCAACCATTTGTAGGGGCTATGGCCATGGCCTCTGGTGGGGGTCTGGGCACAGACCAAAAGACCAGTAACCTTCCATCAATCATAATTTTTTGTTGTAAAAAAAAAAAATCAGTTGCAAATAAGTTGCTTCAATTAGGGTGAAAAAAAATTCAAAATTCAAAATTAATTTAAAATTATAATGTTTGAATTTAAATTATTTATTCTTATTTTATTTTAATTAAATTTAAATATTAGATATATATTAAATATAAATTGAAGAATCGAAATATAAAAACAAAGAAAAAATTGAATCAAATTATATATTTTAAAATTTTATAAAACAAAAATTATTTTAATATAAATTTATTTAAATATATTAAAATTGTATTAAAATAATATATAATAAAATTTTAAATTTAAAAAATTAATAAATCAAATCAATTGATAAAATTTATTTTAGATTGAATCAATTTTAAAAAATTAATTTAAATTCAAATCAATTTTTAAAAATTTATAATATTATATATTACCTAAAAAAATTAAATCATTCGATTTGAATTATTATTACCTCTAACTTTAACCATTATTTTAAAACGATAATATACAGTTTTTTTTTTCATTAGTTTGGCAGGAAATTTACAATTCGAATTAATTGATTAATATTTCATTTAAATGAAAAATGGAAAAAAAAAAATTTATCACCGTGGTTTTGAGCTGGACCCCAAAATAAGCCTTGGGTGAGTTCTATCAATCTCATCTTTGATGCTGGGGTTATGTTGTTTAGATCATTGGTTAAGAGTCTTCTGTTCATATGACATGTTCTGTGACCCACTGGGCCTTAATTACCCCATGGAAAGAGCACGTCTAATCAAATCAATCAATCAATCAAAATCTCCAAAGCATTGAAAACATTTGTAACAGAGCTGTCTTTGGTTTTGGACCTCTTGGGTCAGGTTTTTGATCTTTTTGATCCTTTTTTCTCGTCTTGGGCGGTTGTGTGGTGGCCCATGCTTACTTGAAAACGAAAGATTTTTAATCAGTGAAAATGAATGGAAATTTTGGGTGTTGGAGCTTTTGGGACCCATTTGGTTTTTGAGGCCTATTAGCATCAACTTTTTTTTTGCCTTTTTTCCGAGTTTCCGCTCGCGTGCTTCTCCCTTTGTATTGCCAATCAAAGACATATATGATCTTTGAGCTCGAGAGTTCATCCAAAACCTCAAATATTCTCCCTCTCTCCTCTTTATCTTCCTTCATTTCCCAATCTTTGTTCCATTACTTTAATTTCATCCCTCTCCACTAAACGAATAAATTAATCTATTTTTTTTTATTGAAAAAAGTTTATTAATAGGGAAGTTATCAGTTATCTCGACAAACCGTCAATTCATAAAAAAATTTATGAATTTATTTTTCACGAGAATATTTTAAATTTACAAATCATTTATCAATAAAGGACTATGAGAATTTGAAATTTGAATATGAATGTTTTGCATCTAAGTCATAGATTAGTCTATTTTTGTACTTGCATCTATACCCTCAACTAAAGTTAATTAATCCGGTTAACAAGGAGATGATTGTTTTTTTATCGATCAGAGTTCAAGAAAAGCATTTTGATTTTAAAACTTTAAATCATTCGTGAAAGAGATTAAATTTAGATAAAATTTAAGAATCAATCCCTCGTATTTAGCCCACTTGACTGATTGATATTTGGTTCGTAAATATTAAGTGAACCCTAGCTGAGGTACAGAGGAAGGGAATTAATTAATGAAAGGACACCCACATCTTATATTATTACTAGTGAGATGACAAAGGTTTTGATTTACAAAAATTCTGTTCAATATGTCTCAAATTCAACTTTAAATAATAAGCTTTGTACGTATAGAATTTCTATAATGAAAATGGTGACACATGCATGCATGTATGCAAAACTCTTTTATTTCTTTAACATGGCTTAGGTTCTTTGTATAGTTATTGTTTATTCATTGTCTTATGGTACAATGATAGAGCCATCCTATTATACTTTTTTCTACAAAGAAATCAAATCCTAAAGAAGAATCGAAAAAGAAGAATTTGCAAGTGCTAAAGCAATCTCCTAAATCAGATAAACTATTTGAGTTAGATATATAAAAACTATATATATTTCTTTTAGCATAATGTTTGATTTAATGTGACAATACAAAAGAAAAAGAAGATCATAATGATCAAGATAAGGAAGCACCCCCCAATTCCCTCAGTCTTCCTCTCCTTAAAATAAAGGTGTGATTGAGTAGAAGGAGACATTTTCCCTTATCCTTCAGCATTACAGACTGTAGTATAGCATTTTAAAGTGCATTTCTGATAATCAAGCTTTTATTTAATTGGCCTTAGTTCTCCATTCTTCTCTTTAATGCACCGTTATACACCACATGTGCTCTAATCACATCAAATTTAGTTTTTATGGCTACTTTTGACAAAAACATTAGGAAAGTAAATTTTTTTTTATGGTTCAAATGCTTTTGACTATCACTATAGGATCAAGAAATAAGGTGAAAACATGGCAAAAGAATATACGAATCTCTTTAATATAATATAATAAAAATAATGAACATCAATATAACTTTCACAGCATGTGAATCAGCAGTAAATTTTGTTCCTCCATTAATGTCTTTGAGGGGTCTGAGAATGGATTGATGAGATAAAGCCAGAAAGGTGAAGAAACCAAAACTAAGTAAAGAGATCTTTCATGCAATTTAATTTTCTGTTGATGCAAGTAGCCTCACATGGGAAAAAACTCCTTTATTCTTCCTACAAGGCTAGGCACCTGTACTCTCTGACTGTTACAGACAACGACAGTACTGCAGAAGGAATGGTAAATGGGAATTTTACATGAAAATGGTTTTATAAGGGAAGTCAACAAATTTACAGTGTTACTTTTACTATCTGTCCATGGAAAAATCAGTTTTCTGAGTTGAAGCAAGGTGCTCTAGGCTTGAAAATTTGGTGTCCAAAAATGCTTTAGGAGAATATTAGAGACAATCTTTTCTTTTTTCCGTTTGTTCACACTTAGGTCGTAGGTCCTATGGCTAATTGGGTATGGTATATGCTTTGGTAATTGGTTAAAAAAGAGAACTAGTATTATTCAGTTGGATTAGTTCATTTTTTGTTTTTTTTTTCCTTTTACCACCTTTTTATGATGGTGATGTCGTTTTATTTTGTTATTTAGCAGATAACTGACAATTCATAAGAGATTAAAACATGGGCAGCCGCTATTATAATAGCAAATTTTTTGTTGTTTTAATGCAACCGACGTAGTTCAAAAATAAGAAAAAGATTATAAATGTTGAAACTTTGAATTTTATATTTGCTGAATGTCATGAAGCGAATGAGTTAAACCTCCGGGTTCTTTTGCTTTCCTTTTTAACAATACCAACTAGCAAGAAGGCAAGGACTTTCATTTGTTGATAAATCAAGATGTCTTGCTATTGACTTGTGGGCTTGGAAAATTACTTGAAACCAAGTAAATAAAAATGGTAAGATCTTAATTATGAAGTTCTCTTACGCTGACTTAGTCATCAATGATGACAAAAAAGACCACTTTTAATTTTTTGGAAGACCCATCCATTGGACGGCTGGAAACTGGAGCACAAATAATGATCTGCACTTTGTTTGCCATGCAGCACTGTCAAGGAAAGAAAATTTTTAGAGTAGATTAGAGAAGAAATTGAGTTGATCAGGAAAGTGGGAACCTGGTAATGATTCAAACATGATGTTAGAGCGTCAGAATAATTGTATCCATCAATAACATAAGATCCTGTTACTTTATAAGATGCATAAACCAGTACAAAGTTTTTATTAAGCAGTTGGTGGCTTGTAACTGTTGACGTTTGGTCAAGGTGGGTGTAAGTTTTGTATAAACTATGGAAGGTTGGTGGCCTTAATAACATAGTACCATTAATATGGATCTAGAGCTTAACTCAATTAATTCATACAATAATTATTTTAAAAAAAATGCATCCAATAAATTTAATATTCGAATCTCAATACTTACAATCGTTTCTCTTGTTCTCGTATTGATGCTTATTTTATGAAAAAAATGGTACTACTGAATATGAAATTATTAAGGAAACAGGAATGACTTATAATTGATGGGCATTTTCTGTTCTCTAGAGTAGGATGCAAATCAATAGTGGTAGACTTTGGGGACTGACCACAATTTAGCTAGCTAGGTTAGAGTTAATTCCATATAGGAATTCACTACAGAAAGTAAGCTCTTACCTACATAATTTCCTTCTTATAATTGAATTAAATATGCAACTTTCAAGTTTTGCCTGATAAAATAGAGATTGAACTATTTGATAGATGTTTTCATTCTGGGTTTGATTTGCTATCCAAAGCTGCTTAAACTCAAGTACCAGGGAAAATGATCCTTTATGCTAGCTAGGAAACCTGATCAGAAGCTACACTCCTTTGATCTTCGTGAGGAAATTATATAGTACTTTAATTTAGTTGATGATGACTTCAGTTTGGCTTATATACATAGAAACTTTATTGAATAATAGCAAGAACAGCTGCACATCAAATGTTATATGGAGATCATTTTTACAAAGTAATTATAAGACACTAACAATAACATTTCATCCAGGGTAATGGCATATCATAAAAATACCATGATATGACACATGGTCCCTTATCAACTCCATGACTAGAAAACCCTAGAGCTAGCCAAATGGGACTCCCACCTAATAATTTTTCACATAGAAAATGATACAGCCACCATTAATTTGCTTCCTAATTACATGAAACGGCTAGCTTCACATGCTTCCACCACCTGATTGCTCATTGTCTCCACAAGGGTCATTCCACTGGGAGGGATAGTAAATGCCAGAAGTTTGATTAAAAGAACTTCCTCCAGTACTACCATGAGCAGCTGTTGTTCTTCTTCCATACTGGGATGCTGCTGCTTCTGGTGGTGGTGGCATTTCATTGTAGGCATATCGAATTAAATCAGCATTGGTAGCATCCAATTCCCTTTGGAGTCTCATCACTTGTCTTTGGAGGACCGAAATGGCTCCAACACAGCCATAAACAGGATCTTTCATCCTTGCCTCAGCTTCATAGGCAAGGGAATTCACTGCATCTTCCCTTTGATGGGGTTGTATCTCATTGAGCAGCTTGCTAACATTGCTTGCACCAAATATCTTGTGAACATTGACAAATTTTTGTGGCTCTTCAGGTGGAAAATATGGTGCAAAAATACAATCTGGCATGCATTTTCTCCTCAAAAACTTGCAGGCAGCACATGGTGAATTGGAATAGCTGGAAGAAGCCATTTTCTCTGCAGCCAAGAATTGCATGCATCAAGCATATCATACTTTGTCAACCACAATTTTTTTTTCTTTTTATATCAAATTCTGTTCAAATGTGAGCTTATGTATGGTTGATAAAGTAAAATTACTAGTATTCATTAACTTTGTAAAACTGGGAAAAAAAGGCATTTGTTCTAAATTCAAGATATCAAGAGAAACAACTAGGTTAAGGACCACAAGATTTCATGAGAAATTGCTTAAAGAAAAACACTCTCTGCCATCCTCTTTTCAAACAACTTTTGCTTTTTCTGACCTGCCAGGCAGCTTTCCTTGAATTTACATACTACTGTCAGAAACATTTCATCTTAAAATTAGTAGCCAAAAAAAAAAAAACCCAAAAGTCAAAAACAAACCAAGATAAAATAAAAATAAAAATAAAATTTAGATGAAACAAAACATGTATGATTACATTAACATGCACAAACTCTAGGATTCTGTCTTGAATTTGGTCAAACAGTTGCATAAATTGACACAATCCTTCCATGCTTGAGGACCACAAAAATTTCCCAAGATTCCACAATAGTAGATCTTTATCTTAATTTGTGGGAAAAGCTTGATCAGGCCTTATAGTAAAAGCATGATGAAGTGTCTCAAAATGAAACAAAAGAAAAGGGTAAAACAAAAGAAGAGTATAAATGAATATAAAGCATTAAATAGGATGCTTGTATTATGTAGTTACCTAGCTATTTATGACTAGCTTCTTCGATCAGAAGTAAAAAAGAAAACTACCTCTTTTCCCCTTGAGTATAGGCTGTTTGAAGATCTATGTCCCTTTGATTGGTTTGTCCCAGTGAAAAAGACTATGCAGTGGCAGAAAGATGAGAAATTCTCTTGGGTTATGTTATTGAATGTGAGGTGTGTTTTTAAAGAGGAAACCCTAGTTGCAGGACAGGGAGGGGAAGGCCTGCAAACACAGTGACAAAAGGTGAGAGAGATGGGAGAAAAGGGAGGCAAAGAGCATTTTCTGTGAGAAACAATGGAAAAAGCAAAAGACAAGGGGTAGTAAATGGAGCTACAAAAGGATGACTATGACACTGTCACTTATAATAATATCAATCCACTGTTCAAGAGCTGGTACTCATGAAATCAACTTGAAACTAATATTCACATCCCTACAAAATCTACCAAAAAAAGAAAAAAAATACTAAAAGATTTATACCTCTGACAACTTATTTCATTCGTGTGACATACGGGCTAAATGTTAAATTTATTACAATTATCATAATTTATTTTTGTTAGTTACATCATAAAAATAAAATTTTAATATAAATAAAAAAAAGTTTTAATTCGAAATTAAATCTTTAATATTTCTTTAAACATCTTTAACTATTAAATTAAAGGTTTGAGGATCATAACTTAATTTTTATAACTTTGAATATATATTAAAAAGTCGAATTCAAATTTAATCATTTAAAATTATATAATATTTAATAAATTTAAAATTTAAATTTTATATAAAAATATATAATAATAAATATAAGAAAAAGTTTTAAACTTATTGCAAAAGTCTTTTCCTTGATATAAATATATATATATATATATATCCAAAAGCAAAAATGTTTATACATGTAAATGTCAACTAATCATCCAATCAACACTTAATTAAGTTAATCAATTGCATGTGCTCCCAATGGGGTTGGTTAGACATTTTCTTTTCATTTTTATATGCATGGTGCTAGAGAGTATATGTAATTAATTTATATATGTTGAATTCAAGGATTAACTTTGTTGATATATAAAATTACATTTAAAAAGGAGAATCCAATATATTTGAAATTGAAATTTTAATACTTGTAATTTATTCTTTTTATCTCAAAATTAAATTAATTTAATTCATTTCATTCATCTATTAATCCTTAAAAAATGATATAGAATTAAAATTAAAATTTTAATATTTACAATATTTTTTATTTCAAGATTACGATCTCTTTTATATCAAAAAAATTAATATATATTTTATGTATGTTGAATCAATCAGATCAATATATCTTCTTCAAGACTGTCTACCTAAAGTTCTACCTCTGCTACTTTGTATAGTAAAAAAGTCTTTGAAAATGATAGCATTTCCAATCCAAAATATGTAAAAATCCATGCATGAATACTCAAATTCCTTTCTTGTCAACAACACAAATTTGGCCTGTTGGACAAATGAAGTGCCTAAACACCCAATCTTTAAATTTAATTTCCTACTGTGGCTCTGTTGGGTTCTATCATTGAGTTTAACTATTAGGATGAAGCTCAGAAACCTTTTCTGTTTACTTCTATTATTGAATTTTCAATGAACTTCACTGTAATTCCAGACAAACTAAGCTGAAATGATACAATGATGGATACTATTGGTGTCGATCAAAACTCTGAAATTACCAAGAAAGCGGTTAAAAGTAAATATATGAAGTATTTTATGTGTTTACATTCCAACACTCGAGTTAAAAATTAATATAAAAGAAGTCAGAATGAAAGAAAAATAAAAATGTATTAATAAAGTGGATGGATTGATAGTACTTAGATATATTTATTTATAGGCAAAAAATAAGAAATTTGTGATGTACCGTTGTAACGTAATCGAGCTAATGTGATATTAAACATGTCAGATTCACTTAACTTATAAAGTCAATCAAAAAATCCAAAATCCCCCGGATTATTTGTTTACTTTTCGGACCTAAAAAACCCCAAACAAGTACCAAAGAAAACTGGGGGAGGGGGGGGGTCTCTCATTTTTTGCGTCTTCTCAGTTTGATCTTCAATTATATCTATATCTTGTCCCACCCTTGCTTGACAATACGACAAAACCTGCATTTACGGAACTATGAATTTTCAGCCTGAAGATATGATAGCAAACTCCTAGTTAGATCTTTCAACAATGTGTAGCCAACAGTTTTTCTCATGTTTTGAAATTGCTAGTAAAAAAAAAAAAAAAATCAAAAGGATGAACATATATAGAAATAGCATTATTGTTTTGATGCATCCAGCTAAGTATATCATAGCCGCTCATTCTAAATTATACTTAATTATAGAAATAATCTAATTGAAAGCTCGACTTTTTTTCCTACATCAAAATGAGAAAAATAAAGTTAATGGGATTGGATTATGAAGTTTGCAAATATGAATCGAGTATTTGACCGATTAATTAGTTCATTTAACCAATTTTAAGAGATAATATTCAATAAATTTATAATTTAAATGTCATATTACAATTCATTCTCCTATTTTTAGATTATGATTTTTTTTTATAAAAAAAAATTTACAAATGTTAATTAAGGAGATGAATAAATAATAAGGAGGCAGCAACATGTATTACATAGATTAATTGTGCCTATATAATATTGATGAAGACATTTATAATATAAATGGTTCATTATTATTGTCTTATTAACTTTAAATAAGATATATTCTTGAGAGACATACATAGAAATCTCGTGTATAAGGATGCAAAGCGTATGATGGATGCCTAATATTATTAATTTCCTTTTGAATTAAAAGGGGGAGTTGGTGTAACCAATGATAGAAGAATTAACTCATGATCAGATAATCTAATTAAGATGTGTTGATGATTATGATACATTGGATCTCTACTTTTTTTTCTAATGCATGCGTACCAATATTCTAAAAAAAAAAAAAAATACATGCATTTCCAATGTATTCTAAATTCTAATACAAGAATCATTTCTATACAATAACATTCTTTCTCTATCATAGTATTGATGCAATGATAGCTTAAGGGTCATGAAGAAAAAGAAAGATTGGGAGACTCAAATACAAATAATGGGCATTTTATTTGCTTCAAAAAAGTTTTATAGTATAAAAATGCTTATTTCTTTTATAAAAGAGTTCAAAATCTAAGGAAAATTTATTAAAAAAAAAGGAAATTTAAGTGTTGCGATCGAATTTTAATTTTTTAAAAATAATAAATAATTTGAATTAAATTTAAAATTTAAAATATAATTATGATTCATAGATTATTGCTTCAGATTATTCGATGCAAATTATTGGTTGCGTCAGATTGTGATGGGTGAGAGAAAAAAGTTGGGGGGTGAAGGAGATAAAGAGGAATAATTTAAGTTCAAATGATCAAGCATGGCCCTAATGATTAGAGAAGTTATTATTGGTTCATAAAAAATGAACTTATTGTATTGCACTAATCAATTGAATGCTATAATATTATTTAATGTTACTTCTTTATTTTAATTTATATCTTTTAATATTTTTTTAGTTAGATTGATTAGAGATTGTAACCACATATCTTTCAATTGTTTAGATTTTAAAAAGAATTTTATTTTGATACATAAGATATCAGATTACATAATAAAAAATAATTTTCTTTCGTTTCATAAATTTCATCTCATTTATTTTAAAATTATTTTCGAGACTTAAGCCCCTCGAGGCGAATTTTAAATACGATATTGATAAATATGTATGATATTGATTCCTAATAGTAAAGAATGAAATGAATGGTTCATCTCATTGTTATTGTGAATTTATCAAAAAATTTTATTCAATTTGGTCCATAATATTGAGATTTAATCTCATGACATGATATTTGAATGTCAAGTGAATATAAGCATTAGAGCATATAATATTCATAAAGATATTTCATGACATTAAATATATACATGAAAAACATTATCTTAATGGGAAGAAAGTCTTTAACAAATTTAGGAATTGAATCTCAAAATCTTATTCTATTAACTATTTATATCTTTATTATCATAGTAAAGCAAAAGATATATAATGACAACACTTGATTTAATAGTTATTAATAAAAAATATCAACATTGTACTAATAAAAAATTACTATTTATCTCATCACTTTTGTTTTAAAATTTTGAACTTTTTATATAAAATATAATGATTAGTGTAATTATAATTTTTTATTGATAAATCAGTTGATTTAAAATTCATGTAATAGTAGGATAAAAATAAATCTTATCTTATTATTATATCATTTATGATATTACAAAATATATGTCAATAATTATATATTAGACTACCAAATATAAAAAATTTCATATTACAAAATAAATTTGATTATTCGTGTATCTATATCATATAAAATATTAAAATTTATGTATTTATATCATATTTTATATAAAAATTATACGTTTTAATTCATATTTAAATGCACATACAATTAATGCTAAAATTTTAAATATATTATAGCTATTTTTTTATCATATTTGTATTATATTATTAATTTTGTATTTTAAATCATCAAATCAAATAAAAAAAATTAAGGGCAAATTTGATAGAGTAAGTAACACTCGTCCTAATAAACTCCATTTGTCTCGTTTAATCACACTATTTAGCCCACAAATTTAGGCTTTGTTTTAGTGAGTTGATATTTTTGGATGATTCATTAAGTAGCACAAAATTTTTACCAATTTGGTCTAATCTTAAACGTCATTTCTCCAGCTTAATAAAGTTTTTTTAAAAAAAATAAATCAAAATCACAAAACCCAAGATTACTCGAAACAAAAATCGAAAATCTTAAGTCATAGGCTTGTAGGGAGGTATCAGATTCCACTTCAAAGCAATTTAATGATGAAAACAATGATGATGCGGAGGATGGGTTTTTCAGTAATCACATCCAGGCAAGTGGGGTGACTTGTGATTCTATATATATTTCATTTAGATTTACCATTTTTAGTATTTATATAATATAAAATGTTAAAATTTTTATATTTATATTTTATTTTATATAAAATTATATATCATAATTTATATCAATATAAAAAATATAATATATATTTTTATTTATTAATTATATAAATAATAATTATTAAAATTTTAAAATATATTATATTTATAATTTATATATATATCGTATTTATATTACATTATATTTTATATTATCAAATTTAATTTTAACTTGAAAAATTACTATAAAATTATATAAATCTGATTTTTTTCTTATAAATTTTTAAGAAAAATGGAACTGAAAATATTATTAATAAGAAAGCCGTACAAAGAATTGGGCTTCGCTGAAAATTAATTATTTAGGCCTGACCTAAATTAGCTTTATGATTTGGACTCATTGTGACTTGCAAATCGTGGGCTTGGACTAGCTTAGAATGTATGATTTAATCGTGGGCCGATTTTAAACACAGATCATTAAGCATTTTATTTTTTTTAACAAAAATTATATATAAATTTAATAATAATAAAAAATATTATTCATATTTTTTATATTAACGCAAATTATAATAATTAATTTTCATCAAAACACAAAATGAATTATTAATATTTTATAAAATACAAATACACAAATTATTAAATTTATTTGTAAGGTTTTTTTTTTTCAATTTTCTTATATAAAATTGTTAGTAATCATTGTTAATGTGATTGCAGTCATCTAAAACCACATGAAATAGTGAATATCAGTTAGGCCGACGAAAGTTGGCAAAAAGTGGTAAAAAACGAATGCTGAGGTGCTAATGCATTCAAATTTAAATCTCTTCACGATCATTCATTAATAAATGATTTATAAATCTAAAAAATTCACAAATAAAAGTTTAATAAATCTCTAAATCCTAATTAAATTAACAGCTTACTTTGACTTTGAAAATGAAATAATTTTTCCCACTCCTAAATTTTTTTCAGATAAATAAATAAATAAATATATATATATATATATATCAGTTTGATGTTGCACTTTTCTATGTATATATGTATTTCCATGTGCTAACTGGAAAACAGGCAAATCTCAAACCAATTGGCAGGGGCTTTACATTCCCTTCCAGAATTTGAACTTGAATTTGCCTGCTGATTTCTGTTTCTCTGACAAAATTATAACTCAAAGATCATTTGTTTATATAACATTAACCAGAGAGAGAGCAAGTCCAAGACCAAAACACCAATATCTAAATCTATGGGTCATTGGGGGGGGGGATATAAATGGTTGTAACCTACAAATAATTTTGCATCACCGCTTTACATTTTCAATTACAAAACCTGCAAATCAAAAGCTACACCATTAAGCTTGTCGTTTAACCAAGTTTTTATGTGAAAGAAAACAAGAGAAAGAAGGAAAGAGAACTTACTCCAGGCAAAATTTGAAGGAACTTGTGCACCTGACTTTCAAAAAAAGACTAAACACTGGTATTTTATACAGCCTTCTTCACAGTATATCTACTACTATCTCCAATGAATTTTCCACCAAGTTTCATGAAGCTGCTAGAAAGTAATCTCGGATGGTTTTCCGTTTCAAAGAGGAAGGAGGATTTAGGACTGAAGATGGACTCTTCACTGCAGCTTCAGGTGTCTTCTCAAAGGTTTCATTTGAGTCTGAAATTGATAAGAATTTTTTCTTCTCTGCTTCAGGAGTACTAAGCAAAGATGCAGTGGTAGGACTTGACGTGTTAATTTGGTGGAATGCTTCATCTGAAGAATATGAACAACCAGGTTCCTTTGTTAGACCCCTTAGTTCTTCATTCTCATTCGTCAACAATTTTCTACTTTTTGCACTTGGAATTGCTATTACTCTTCTTCGGATGGAAGATGGTGATCTTGATCTTGAGCTTGAGCAATAGCTGGTTTGAATGTTCCATATCCGAACCTAACAAACGACCATTTAAAGAATAATTGAATCATTCAAACAGGCAGCAAAGGGAAAATCAATGTGGCTCTTGCTGGAATTGAGAAGCATAAAACTAGCAAAAGATTTGTAATGCTTAATCTCCACACTTACTGTAAAATCATCTGCAGTAGTTGCTATCTTCCCAATCTCAGATGGGCACCTGCAAAATATGGAAAAAAAAAGATTAACATTTAAAACTACAATAAGCGATGAGAAGAATTATAAAAACTATGGTTGCAATGAAAGGAAATTACCAATCTACTGCTGTAACTTCCCCATGATGACTTTTCAAGATGATAGGCTCCATTTGAGGCTTGTTTACCTGGTTTTCCATTGTTAACTAGGTCATTTACTGACACAGAACAAGAAACTTTCATTTTAAGAAGAAACCAACCTTCCATATATGAGCATTTCCGTCACTGGAACCACTTAGTATGTGATCTGAATCTGGGCTGATTACTGACTGCAATTGCATAAAAATTCAAAGGATTGGAGAGATTACCAATCTAACAAAACTAGTAGTGTGCTTGGGCTTATTGCTAATAGTTAAAAGATGAGCAGAACATAAAATGAAACAGAATATACCTTCACATAAAAAGACTCTATTTGGCATCCGGAGAAAGTATGCATTGGGCCCTTATCAAGCTGAAGTACATTATACAAGTATATTCTAGTAAAAGGAAAAGAAAAATGCATCCAAATTAGACATTCAGCATTTAATTAATGAAACATTTTTGGTTAGAGCAAAAACCACCAAAACAGAAATTTTGGCTCTACAGTTAAGATCGTTAGAATGAATACCTATTGTCCATGCATGATGCTGTGAGAAACACTCCTTTCAAATCCTGGGACAAGCTAGATATACCCTGAAATCAAGGAAAAAAAAGTACCATGAGACATGCCTGATATATCTAACTCTAACTAAAGCTCTAGATCTATGGATCACCATCAATCCTCATGCAATCATCACTGGACTATTGGCAGTAGATTGCTGGATTGAACAGCTATGTTCAATCATCTATGAGAATGACTTTTATTTTCCCATCATCTCATGGTGAAATAATCATTTCAACGTATATTGAAGGAGAGAAAAGCAACCTTTTTAGATGAAGACTCTGGGTGGGGGCATGCCTTGGCAACATGAGATTTCAGATTTCTGGTATCCCAGAACTTCACGACGCTGAAATAACAGCAGTAAAGGAGATTAAGTCAGCATGCGTTTATGCTGTACTCAAAACTTAATCTTAGGAACGTCACAGGGTTTCTAACTTACCTGTCTGCAGCTCCAGCCGTAGCAATAGAAACCTCATCTTTGAGATAAAGAACTGACGTAATGCTTGCAGCAGCAGCCTGAAAGGATGCAAAGTATTAAAAATTGCTGACATAATATTGAAGAAACTTCAGCAGTGAACAAACCTTGCCGCGCCTACCCCGCCTTGCTTGAGATGAAGGATGAGCTCCTTTGACCATGGAAGTTGATCTAAATGAAGCGACAATAACAACAATGAATGGAGAGGCAATTGTTACCAAATATAAAAAATATAAACTGCTAAACTATGCGACAGGTATAAGTAGCAGTAACTAACGGAAGGCAAACTTCATCACATCTACTTCTGGAGTTAATCTTGCATCTTAGATCCCAAATGGCAAAGGACCCATCTCTCGAACCAGAGACAACAAGATCTGTTAGAAAATTAATGGTTAAAGACCATCTCTTTCTCAACAAAAAAAAAAAAGGGTTTCGAGAAACCTACCAGAATTAGTTGGATGAGAACTCAAACATTTTACACTTCCCGTGTGCAACATCAAGACTCCAGAGCATTTCCTTTCCTGAACATCCCATACCTTTATCTGCACAATGTCCAAAAGGAAATGCAATTCACTTACATTTATTGTTTCTTTCTCATTAAAACACTAAGATTAGGTTTGGTTGGTACTTTTGATTTTTGTTTTTCCTTTAATAGAGGGAAATGCAAAAATTAAAGATAAGGGATAAAAAGCAAAACGTAGAAGCACTAGCCAAACAGAACCTAAAACAAACTGTTTTTTTTTAATGCATGGCTACTTACAGTTTGATCCCCTGAAGCTGTTAAAATGTGACTATCTTCCTGCAAGAAATATTCACTAGCATTAAAAAAAAGGCATGGAGCATAGAATCATTGACTAGAATATTTTGCACGGCAATGACTTCTTCACATTCCTTCAGTTAAACCAAATATAGACATACACAAGTCCTAAAGGTGTGTTTGATTCATAAGATTATGATAAAATAAGATAAAATGATATTATGATTAATATTAAATTAAATAATGTCTCACTATCTTGTGTTTGATATATGCAAGAATTAGGATAAAATAAATTATTTATTGGTCAAAATTATACTTTTTCAAAATTTATACAATTTAAATTATTGATATAATTTTTAAAAGTATAATAAAACATATAAATTCAATCTCATAAATTAAAAATAATCTTTTCCACTTTGAAAGGATTGAATCATCCTATGCCAATAAGATAATTAATCCTCCTTATAATCTTATCTCTTTCTTTAGATACAAAACAAACACAATCTATTATATCCATCATACTATGCATCAAAGATGAACTAAGTTACAAGATTGTTCTCAATCCTTTATGATTACGTTCAAAAAGTTGGGTTATAACATCCTTCACTCATTTCAACCATCCACACGAATCTAAAGCCTCATCACGAACCCAAATGTGGATGGTCCTAACATATGTATTTACAGATTAATAGATTATCAATGGGGGAAAGCATTAGAAGGATGAGAACTTGTGCCAAGGGCTGCATTTCCACACTGAAATGGACACCATCTCCATTGGACATTTCAAGTTATAACTACTAGATTTAAGTTAAATTCATATTTATACATGAAATCTCCTAAGAGTCAAATGCAGAAAAAAAGTGGTATTACCTTGATCCAGCATACATCAAATATGGCATTTTCATGTGCAACCCAATCACTGATTCTTGCTTTTGCTGCACATAATTTATTAACAAAAAAAAAAAAAAATCAGTCACTAAAAATGAAGCACTAAAACTGATATTTTAAAAGATAAAACAAAAGAGATTTTAATGGAATAAAACAAATTAACCTGCATTTTCCTGGTGAGATGCAACAGAAGAAAGCTTCCTACGAGAGTCAAACAGGCTTACATATCCAACCTCATCAGATACAGCAAAAACATGAGAATTTTTACTTGCCTGAAATTTGGGATTTTACAAGGGAAATTTTTTAATACAATCCATAAAACAAATACAAAGAAAAATTGTATGAAATTTTTGTACTCTATATTGTCTGAAAGAGTAAGATTCGAAAGTCGAACAGACTTAAACCATTCAAAAACGAACTTTAATTATAAATATATTTATATAATTGATTGAAAATGGGAAAAAAAAAATAAGAGTACCTTGCAAAAAGAGATGGCCAAAGGAGGCGTCGGTTCAGCATCGTGTTCAACGGCGACAGCTCCGATTTCAGTAAAATCGGAAGCTAATTCATCAATAAATGGTCGTTTCCTAACTGAAAATTGAACAAAAAAATGGAAAAATTAAGACAAAAAAATGGAGATAGAAAAGAGATAGAGAGAGAGAGAGAATTTGAGAGTTACCTCGAAAGCTACTGAGTTCTCTGGATCTAATGCTATGGAAACAAGATTTGGACCTACACGAATCCATTTGTGCTTTGCAGAGGCCAAAAGCTCATACACAGATTTGAAAACGAAAAAAAAATGAATGAATTGGAGAGGGAAATCTTTATATATTTCATTTGGTTTGGCGCGAGTGGCGTTTGGCTGTTTTGAGCTGACGCGGGAAAACTCAAATTTCTTCTTTTCGCATTTTACAGTTTACCGGCGGGCCTGTTTTCAGTGTCTAACTAAAAAAATAGTAATAATAAAAATAAAAATTTTACTGCATAACGTAATGAGTCGAGGTCAGGTAGAATCGGTTTTTTTTTTTTTGAATTTGTCTCGATTTTATATTTATAATTTTTAAATTTGATATAATTTGATATTTTTAAAATTATTTTATATTTAAATTTAATTAGATTTAATATTATATAAAATTATATTTGATTTATTCGATTTAAAATTAATAAAATATTATTTTTTAAAAAATATAAAATAATATTTTTAATTTTATTTTAAATAAATATTTAAATATATTTAAATAAAAAAATAAGTAAATAATTAAAAATAATTTTTTATAAATATATATCGAGATGAGATTAGTTTACTTAAAATCTGATCTTAAAATTTTTTTAATTATTAATCAACTCGACCTTAATCGAAACTCAATTAAAAAACCTTAAATAATCGGATCAGATCAAAACCATCGATTACATGTGATTTTGTCATCCCTATGCATAATTAATAATAACAATAATAATAATTTGACTGCATAAGATTTTTTATGGAATTGCATAGGTTAATACTTTACTAATAAAGTGTTTGGATTAAAACCTATTTTCATAAAATATAGCACTAAATTTTGAATTATAAAAAATCACTTTTAATGTGAGAATCGCATCCAATTTCTAAATATGATATTTTTTAATTATAAAAAATTTACAAATGCAATAATAAATTTTTAAATTGACAATCATTTAAATATAAATAACAAATTAAGATGATCAAGTTATGTATAAAAAACAAAATATTTTATTTAATATTATTAAATAACGTTATAATAGTAATTAAGATCACACAACTTGACATAAAATACCCTCATTCCGTGGCAAGTTTAAAATTATTAAAATATGTTATTTATTTTGGTTTGATGTTGTATTTTTTTTTTAATTATGAAATGTAAAAAGCATGATTATAAAGGAAGAAATATGATATTTGCATATATATATATATATATATATATATATTAATAGTTCAAAATTATAAAAAAGAATTTGTAATTTAAAAATAATAAAATTTAAACTTCTAACATGTTAAAATAATTATGTACAAAAGTTAATTACAATTGGCTAGTGTAAGGTGTTTCTTTACCCCTTTTTACTATTGTCAAATAATACAAAAAAAATATTTAGGTCATATTTGATGCGTATGAAGATAGATAAGATATGATAATAATTATCTTATATTATATTTGATTTGTATATAAAAAATAGATAAAATTATAAGAAAGATTAATATCCTCTTAATATAGAATAATTCAATCATCTCAAAGTAAAAAAAATTATTTTTAATTTATGAGATTATACTTATATGTCTTATTATACCATTAAAAATTACATTAATAATTTATATTATATAAATTTAAAAAAAATAATTTTAATCGATAAATAAATTATCTTATTTTAATTTTTACACACATCAAATATAAGATAGAGTGATATTATTTAATTTAATCATATTTATAATATCATCTTATCATATCTTATTCTATCATAATTTTATATGCCAAACATATCTTAAAGTCTACAAAATGAAGTTGTAAAGTAGTTCAATTTAACGCCATACTACAAACGAGTAAACAAAATAATCAGTGAAGTAGGTTCCTACCTCATATTATGAACAATTAAAATGTATTTAAAAAAAAAGGAAAACAATTTGACAAATTACACATTTACAAAGATAATTTTGAAATTTTGATTTTATTAGTTAAATAATTTTTTATAGTAAAAATTTGGATTGACATTACTAAAAAACAATGAATTTAATAAAATATTGATTCAAACTTGAAATTAAAATGAACTTATTTATCCATGCTACTAGAATAAGCTAGTGATGATGTCAATTATTGGTAGGGATAATAATAAATAGTAAATAATCGAATATTTTGTGTTAGTTGATTTTTTTATCAAATTCAAATAGTTATAAATAAGTAACTATCAGATTTGAAAAATTAATTTGTTAATCGTAACAAATTCGAATAATATCTTTCGGTTATTTGATACTTAAATTCATGTAAATTTTTTAACAAATAATATTGGATATTCGAATTTATTATCCGTTTGCATGTAAAAAATATATAAAATTTTGTATTTATAAAAAAGTTTAAACCTTAGCAGATAACCGTTATTTATTACTAATTTTAAATTTAAAAATTTATGAAGAAGCATACAAAAGCTCAACTTTCTTGTAATATCGATTGGTTACAGAGTTGGTTAAAGTTGCTAGTGGTAGGAAGTTGAAAATTGCCGGTTATTGTTGTAATTGGCTAAAATTTTGCCAAATTCTATTACTATTAGGTTACGAAAGACATTAATTTTATTTCATAAAACCTAATTTATTTATGTTAAGATTCGAACTCGAGATTTTTACAATAAAATCTTAAATTTTAACTGTTAGTTTGTTTAACTCACACATCATTATCTCGTAACATCAGCCCTTATTCAAGCAAGAAGTGACAATAATCTTATGATATCAGTCCTTTTACAAGCAAGAAGTGACAATAGGATGAGGAACAGCAAAGAATCAAAGCAATTGGGCCATTACGTGCATGTTTTCTAACCCTGTAACAAGTTGAAACAAAAAATCAAACATGGCTCTTGATGGAGGAACTGTAACCAGTTAGATCATCATTTAGACCACAGCATGATACTTCCATATAATACCCCAGCCCAAATGATAATTGGGTTAAACTAATACTAAAGCCCATCAGTTTATTAAAAAATAATTAGTAAAAAAAATAAGGACCGAAGTGTTAGATAAAATAAAATTTAGCTATTGTGAAATAGAAAGAAAATGAAATTCTTATTTTTCATTTTCTTTAGAGTTAGAGAGCATGAAAAATCAAGTACAAGATTCAAAATCGGAGACTACAATCGAGTTAATCTCTTAAATGTGAGCATATGTCATATTTTTATTTAAGAAATATATCATGTTGATTGTTATTATTTGGAGTTGAAATTCTAAGATAAAAATAAAGAAAATTTATGAAATCTTTAATTAATCTTCATGATCTATTTGGGTAAATTATCAAGCTTTGTTTATTTCATGTTCTTAAGATTTATTGATGATTATTGAATGAAGTTTAAAGGCTGAAAGTGGAGATTTTAATTTTTAAATATTGAAGGAGAAATTTTATTTTTGAATGAGATACTATGATTTGTAATAGTGAATAAAATAGAATTATGTATTAATGAATAAATTACTACAATGATTATTATATATCATTAGAAAGCATGTTGAATCTACTTTATAATAAAATAAACAGAAGTCAAATCCGAGTTTTTTATGAAGAATTGTCTAATTTTTACTTAAAGATATGCAAGCTATAAAGTAGTAGCATCAGGGTTAAATTACGAAAATTGTCTTAATTTTTATACAAGGAATTACAGATTAAGCTATATATGTTTAGAAAGCTTATTGAGTCTACTTTCCAACAGAATAAGCAAATTTGAATTTGGAGTTTCTGATGAATAAATGGGTAATTTTTATGAGAAGGTATACGGGCTGTCTAGTAGTAGCATATGACGTGGATTGCAAAAATTATTATAATTAATCCACAAAGAATCACGAGATGGTCATAGATGATTAGGAAGCTTATTGAGTCCAGTTTCTAACGCATTAAAAAGATTTTAATTTTGAGTTTAATATCTTAAGATATGATCGTTTTAGTGAAAGTAGCATAAGCTGCTAGAGTTAGTAATCTCAAATGAGTTGATTAACTACTGTCATGTTAAAATGATCTTAAATAGGCCATTATTTATTTTGGGAGAAAAATTAAATGGTGAAATTGAAAAGAGATAAGTAGAATCTCACATATTTTACTTGTTTTCAAATCTATGTATATATGTATGTTTCTAAATGAATAAATGTTTTATTTCTTTATTTTTTATATATGAAATTATGATCAAGCATATGATTATTTGGTGTTTTTGCTATGTAAACGATAGATCATGCTCATAAATAAAATGAAAAAATGATTTTATGATAGTTACGTTTTTACATCCATGAGAAATGAGATCATTGACATCATAACTAATTCTACGACCCTAGCTAATGAGTAATAGTAGTTAGCAAATACATAATCATACGACCCTGACTAATGAGCTAAGGTCGTAGAACTAGTTCTGTTATCGATGATCCCACTTTTGAGGGATAGAAAAACGTTGTTATCATAAAATCGTTATTTAAACATAAACCATTTTCTCATTTCATTCATAAGCATGATTAATCGTTTATATAGAGAAACACAAAATAATCATATTCTTGATCATATTTTCATACATCGAAAATAATGAAATAAAATATTCATTTATTTAAAAACATACATATATACATAGATTCGAAAATAAGTAAAGTGTGTGAGATTCTACTTATCTCTTTTTGATTCCACTACTTAGTTTCTTTCCCAAAATAATTAATTGCCTATTCAAGATCATTTCAACATGACAGTAATTAATTAACCCATTTGAGACCACTTATACAAAAACAACTAAGTTAAACAAGAAATAACTCAAATAACTAATTCTGATAGCCTATGCTACTTTTACTAAAATGACCATGTCTCAAGAAATTTAACTCAAAATTAAAATCTTTTTAATGCGTTAAAAATTAGGCTCGATAAGTTTTCTAACCATATATGGTTCATCTCATGATTCATTATGGATTAATTATAACAATTTTTGCAATCCACGCCATATGCTGTTGCTAGATGACTTGTATATCTCTTCATAAAAATTACATATTTATTCATAAAAAATCCAAATTTAATTTCGTTTATTTCATTAGAAAGTAGACTCAATTTGTTTTCCAAACATATATGCCTTAATCTATAATTCCTTGTATAAAAATTAAGACAATTTTTGAAATTCAACCCTGATGCTGTTATCTTACAGCCTACATATCCTTAAGTAAAAATTAGACAAATTTTCATAAAAAATTCGGATTCGACTTCCGTTTATTTTATTAGAAAGTATATTTAATATGCTTTCTAATGGTATATAATAATCATTATAGTAATCAATCCATTAATACATAATTCTATTTTATTCACTATTATAGATCATAACATCTTATCAAAAAATAGAATTTCTCATTCAATCTTTAAAAATTAAAATCCCCACTTTTAGCCTTTAAACTCCATTCAATAATCATCAATAAATCTTAAGAACATGAAATAACCAAAGCTCAGTAATTTACCCAAATAGATCATGAAGATTAATGAAATATTTCATAATTTTTCTTGATTTTTCTCTTAGAATTTCAACTCAAAATAATAGCAATCAACATGGTATATTTCTTAAATAAAAAGATGGTATATACTCACATTTAGGAGATTAACTCAATTGTAGTCTCTAATTTTAAATCATGTAATGAAGATAAGGATGAACAACTACATTTTCTTTCTGTTTTACCATAGTTAGGTTTTCTTTCATCTAATACTTCAATCTTTTTTTTTTTACTAATTGATCTCTTAATAAATTGATGAGCTTTAATATTAGTATAGCCCAATTATCATTTGGATTGGGGTATTACATTCATACTTGTTGGCCTTCTTGATTAGAGGAAGAATCTGAGATATCAAAACAACCTTCGGAACGAAACCGCTGCTGGCGCCGCTGGGGACTGCTTGGAGTCCCATGAAGAACTTGGTAGCTGGTACACCATTGCTCCATTCATCAAAAGTTGCCTTCACATCAGAGGCATTGCCTTTGTATTCTCAGTAATTGTTGTAGAACTGCATCCACACATAATCGAACAGCCCTGTCGATAAGGCTTGCCCTATGTACAAATCTGGATAGGGACATTGCGGTGCTGCTGTCAAATAAACCTTCTTCTTTGAGTTGTAGTTCTTCAAGTGCCTGTTTTCCAAGTATACCATGAAAGCCTCAAGTATATGTTAAAAATCTTTCGGATTTTAACTATATATATATGTGAAAAATACGAGTTACTTTCATACGTAACATCTTTTAGTCGGACTGAATCCGAGGAACTATCTTTTGTTACGTGGTGTCTTTGAACATGAGATAATTATAATTATAATTCGCTTGTAAATCTAGGAAGATGCTAAAATCAATCTCCACTATCAATCTATAAATAGTTGCACATTACCCTCCTAGTTCATCACTGTGAGAGGGCTTCCACCTTCAATGTCAAAATCAATTCCATCCAACACAGCATCACCAAAAGGTCTATCAATGGAGTGTCCACCCAAATAATTGTTCCAAAGGTAATGAGCAAACTTCTTTGCTTCTTCTGATGATACAAGGCTGTAGCTACCATCCCCACCTCCAATGGACAGCAAAAACTTAACACTTCTGCTCTGACATGACCTGATATCATGAGCTAAGCCAACACATCCCTTGTTAGAAGGATCACAATGATCGTCCAAGTAAGGCTGAGGAGTTTGGTTATTACCAAATACACACAGAAAACTTATAATAACATACTCAAATCTCCCAGTCTTGCATGTGTCAGCCAATTTTCCTTCCCGGGCATTTTGGCCCCAGTAAATTGAGATGCTGCCAGAATGAGAAGGGCTACTAAAAATAGCAAAAATGAGTAGCAAAATATGTATCTTGGTAGCCATACTTGCCATAATCAACAAGAAAATGAACTGAAAATTGAATCTTTTGTTCAGGTCTGGCCTTGCTGAAAAAACTAGAACCTACTTAAATACTGGTATACTACTGTTCTTTTCAGGAACTTTTTTTCCTTTTTCAGTTGTTTGGAATTTAGCCATTAACATAGTAAAGACAAATTCTTTGTAAGGGAATAGTTGGATACAGATTTTTTTTTTTTTCACTATGATAGAGACAAGGGATTTTTACTAGAATCAATTTAGGTGATGATAACAATTATCATAAACTTCATCAAACAAAAACTAAGATTGTGCATTAACTGTAATTCTTGTTCTACATTTTGTATGTTTTGATGTTCATTTTGTAGTTTATCTTTTTTTTTTTTTTTTCAAATGATCCAATCGAAAGGTTCCTATCACTTAGTAGGGTATGTTGACTGAACTCTTTCGATGCGGTGATGTTGGCGTCGAGCTCCAAGAGGATGAGAATCTTGAAATCATGAGAAAAAGAGAACACTTAGGGTAAAGGTAAAAGTGTTTTTAACATTTTGAGCTCTAATACTTAAATCAGAAATCGAAATCAAGAAAATAAAAAAGAAAGAAAAATAAAGAAATAAAAAAAATGTTAAATTAGATAGATAGCACTTAAGTGATTATAGATTAAAAATAAATGATTTGTGAAATAAAATAATAATGTAATCGAATTGACGTAATATTATATATATTAGGTCAATCAAAAAATAAAAAATATTTTGATTGTCTGCTAACAATTTCTAATAAAAATAAATACACAAATTTATCCTCTAAACCTAAAATATTCTTTACATATGAGTTTCAATTATAAAATGTATTCCTCGATATAATAAGATCCTCAAACTATAAAATTTTTAAAAATATAATTTTAGACTGAACAAAATAAAAAAAGATTATTATTATAATCACCTCAACCAGTTTGTAATTATGATTTAAAATATATAATTTACTTCTATTATGAGTTATACTTCAAATTAAAAGTCATAAGAAAAAATGGTTATTTCATTTTTCATTCATATACTAATTTTCTTTCCATAATGACTCGTTTTTAAAATAAACTTTAAGCCTTAAACTAAATTTTTAAATTTGAGGTAGACTTGACTTCCGAAATTATTATTTTGTTAAATAAATAATATATTTTATTTAAATTTAATTAAAATTAAGTTAAAATTATTAAAATGTTAATATAAAAATTATTTTTATTGTTCTGAGCTTAGCTCAAAAACCCTTCTACTTTACATGGTTGGAGTCATATATTGGGCTCAGCCGAACCCAAAAGAAGAAACTGAACCATAAACCTCAGGGCCCACCCAAAATTTCCTAATCCATATATAAAAATCCTATTTCAGAGGCGAAAAACCCTAACCCTAACCCTAACTCTGACCTTCACTTTCCTATCGGCAAACTACAGCCATCCACTCAGGCAACTCCATTGATTGAAACCATGGGCCGCGTTCGCACGAAGACAGTGAAGAAGTCGTCTCGTCAGGTAATCGAGCGGTACTACTCTCGCATGACCCTCGATTTCCATACCAATAAAAAGATCATCGAAGAAGTGGCTATAATACCATCCAAGAGGCTACGCAACAAGGTCGCCGGGTTCTCCACCCATCTGATGAAGCGAATACAGAAGGGTCCCGTTCGTGGCATTTCTCTGAAGCTCCAAGAAGAAGAGCGCGAGCGACGCATGGATTTCGTCCCCGATGAATCGGCAATTAACGTTGATCACATAGAAGTTGATAAGGAAACTCTTGATATGCTTTCGGTTCTTGGGATGGCTGATATTCCTGGGCTTGTTAAGGTTGATCCGGTTGCTGTTCCAGTTCCTCAAATCGGCTTCGGTCGCGGTGGTGGACCTGGAAGGAGGTTTTAAGTGATGGGTTTCCATGGATTTGACGGGTTTTTAATCTTTAGTTCGTTATTATTATTTTTTTTTTGTTGGAACAATTTTTGTTGCTATGTTAAATGGCACTCAAATTTATTAAGTCTGATGTGTAGTTTCTTTTAGAAGTTTTTTGAAATGGGTAATATTTAGTTTTTGCCATTGTTATGGCTTGATTTTTATTTTTTCTTCGAATTTCATTTTAGATACTCAGATAGTATTTAGCTCTTGACTGCTAGAAATGGTGAGTGTGAGATTAAGGCCCCTATTTAGCATTGCAATTTGGAGTTTCTTTCAATCATAATGCTGAGTGACGCTGGATGAGGTGAAATTTTAAGGTAACGAATACCAATTCTGGTTATATGGAGTCTTTTTGCATTCTTAAGTTCTTGTTCTGCGATATCAGTGGCAATTGCAAGCAAGAAACTAAAAAGATGATCTTTGCTTTATTAAGTTAAACTGAAGCGTGGTTCAATTCCGCGGCTGTATTCTTTTTGCTCTTGTCATGGCACCCATCAAAATGATGGATTTGATTTAACCAACTTCCATAATCTTTGGATTTAAATTTTCTGTCTCTGAACTCTGCCTATAGAGAGTTTCTTTTCAATCACAATTTCATGTTCTGCAAATTTCAATGGAAGTTACAAGCAATAAAAGAAACTAGAAGACAATTTTTGCTTTAATAATTTCAAGTATGGTTAAATTCCACAGTTGGATTCTTTCTGCTGTTCCAATGGCATCCATTAACTTGATGGAGTTAATTTAGCCAACTTCCATGATTTTTGGATTCTCATTTTGTGTTATCTTTCCATTCTGTGGTCATGGTTGGATTAATGTTGCACATGGTTAAATACATTGAAAACACAAACTAATTTGGTTCCTTACAGCAGCTTGTAGATTTGTCAGTTAATTATAAATTAGTGTTAGAGCCTTGTAGTTGGAAGTTTGGAACTGGAATGTGTCTTTAGAAGTCTTTGATGAACAAACAATTTTGTATATATGTGATTGTGGCATGCTCAGAAAAATTGCAAATTTGCAACACTCCATTTTACAATCATATAACTCTCCAAGTATTTTTATACAAAAAAAAAAAATGGAACTACTTTTCCAGTTTGCAGAAAACACACTAAGTTTAAAACATAGTATGACCACAAATATTTGACAGAAAACAAACCCTTATAAAAAAACACCTAAGAATATGTGATTCTTTACTGACTGAGACGGGGGATCATATTCATTTCTCGCTTTCCTTTGGTGATTTTGGTTTTGATTCTTTTGAATGAGAAGATTTACCAATTATTGCTTTCTTCACCTTGGAAATTGATTGCTTCACTTTTGATCCAACACCAGATAGTATGTTATGAGATTTCTTACGTGGTTTAGTGTTGGTATCTCTAGGTGCTTCTACCATCACAGGAGCATCCGAGCCAGAGTCTGCCTTATTGTGTTCATCCCCTTCCTCTCCTTCATCTTTCTCTTCATCGGTTTTTGCTTCTTTAGCTTGAATAGCTTCTGCTTCTTCCACAGGTGGTTCTTCCTTGCTTACTGTTAGTTCCATCTCTTCAATCACATTTTTAGTCACTTGTATTTTTTCTCTTGTGGATCTTTGGAGTAGGTCAGACAATGATAGCTTAGCTGAATCCGCTGATTCAGGTTCCTGGGTTATTTCCACACCTGAATTATCTGTCTTTTTCTCTTTTACAGGATCAACTCCTGCTTCTGAACAAATTTCTTGAGTATTTCCAGGTTCCAAATCTCTTGCTTCAGCTTTGTCTGAGATTTCTAAAGCTCTAACCTGCTGTTCTGTTGGAAAGTGTTCCTTGCCACTTGAACTTTTGTTTCTGCTCTCGGTGGATTCTTCTTCTCCTGGAATCTGTTTGTCAAATGTTACATTAGTGATATATCTAAGCTAGATTTCCGATATAGAATGAAATACATACCTGCTCAACATGATTTTTTTTTCAATTAGTTTCTTTACGTTATGACTTGTGTTTAGACTCCATTTGTGGACCTTGAAAAAGATTGAGGGTCCAGATGATAAAGTAAATTTCCTTTTTTTTTTTTTTTCTTTTAAAACCCCTTAAACTAGATTCAAGCTTCAAGTTGTTTCATTGCCTTCTAGTCATAAAGTGATCTCACTTCTCTTACAAGACTGTGTTCTCACCTGTTCTCTTACAATTGTGGCTTCTTCCATTTCAACTGGAACTTGTTCTAGATCCTTCACAGTTTCATCTTCAGCAACAATCTCTTTCTTAATATTGTTTGCACTGTCCTTTAGAGTTTCCATAGAGAGCTGTTGGTAAATTAAGATTCAATATCAAAAGATAGAGGCAAGAAAAGAACAAGAGGATTAAAAATGAGTGCCTTTAGAACAGACCTTTTCATTTTGAATTTCGTATGTTTGGATTTTCAAGGTTTCATTTGTCTTGTCTCCAGTATGTTCATCCTTCAGCTCATCTTCTTTGCTGCCATCTTCAAAATGAGAAACCGGGTCCTCCTTAATCTGTCATGTTGCTCCCATCATTAGCAGTTGTTTGTTCATAAATGATTACAGCCAAACAACAAGAAAAAATAGAACAAATAAAGAATGCATGAAATTATTAAGGTTTAAATTAGTTCTGTCTAACCTTTGTTGATGGAGCCTGAACAGCAATAGTTTCTTGCTCCACAACAGCTACTAGCTCCTTGTTTTCTTCCTTTTCCACGCATATCTCGCCTCCTGTCTTTGTATCAGAAGAACATTTATCTAGAGCTTCCACTTCCTTTAGTTCCTTTTCTTCTACTACATCGACTTGAGTTGTAACTCTCTGCTCTCCTTCCACAGAAGGCAATTTGGATGATGGAGCTGGAGATTGCTCCTCAGGTTTCTCCTCCCCTAGAAGAATTTTAGAAGCATTAATTTCAACTTTTTCTTCTCTCTCCACAATCATGTCATGAGTCACTTGCAAAGTTTCCTTTATGGAGCTTTCAACATGATCAGATGATGATATCTTAGTCAAATCATCCACTGATGTAGACTCCTTGGTTATTTCTTCAGCTGAATTATCTGTTGTTTTTTCTCCGCCATGTTCAACTACTTCTGGATAAATCTCTTTGACATCTCCAACTTCAGCATTCTGTGAGGATTCTGCAACTCTGTCCTTCAAATCTATTGGAACATGCTCCTTGGCGGTTGAGCTTGTATTCTCTGTGTTCTCAATGGGATCTAATTCCCTTGGAATCTGCTGATCAGATGCTATATTAGTTGTTACCTCGGGCTGCTGAATATCATCAATTATTTGATTGCCTTCTGCCACTGAAAAATCTGTGCTTGATCCCTGATAAAAGATGAAACATAGAGTTGCTCAGTATGATTAATTTCTATTAGTTATTTTCCTTACTTTTGATGTTTAGACTTCGTTTGTGGCTCCTAGAATGATTGAGAAACCTGATTAATAGAAATTTAAAATAATAACAGAAAAAAAGAATAATTCTAGCTTCAAGAATTTTGCTTGCCTTTTCTCTTATGTAAGATCTAAGTTATTCTACTGCAGTCTCTTTATCTCATAATATTTTGATTTCATAAGGTCCTTCAATGAGCTAACCATGTTTTATGCTAAAACCTGGAATCTCTTTCATCATTTGAGCAGATTCATGAAATCAACAAGATGGTTGCAATTACTATTACAGTTACATTTGCATAAAATATTATTCAATGCAAAGTTTGAAAGGAGGATTCAATGTAGTCTGACCTGTTCTGTTACTGTTGCGGTTTCAATGCTGGCAACTGAACCTTGGCCTGGATCCTCAACAATTTTATCTTCTCTCTGCTTTTCAATTATCTCATTTTCACTGGTCTTTTGAGCTTCCACATTGAACTGTTATAGACTAAAGCTTCAATATAGATATAGAAAAGCAAGAAACGATTTAGATGAAAAAGGTTTAGTTTCTGTTTCCTGACCTCTTCAGATTTCTTGTCTTCAATCAGTTTATCCCTTTGCTCATCTTCTCCAGAGCCATCTTTCGTCAGCTCCTCCGAATGGGAAGTTGAATAAGATGTTTCAGTAACTTCCTTGTCCACCATGACCTGTCATTTTTGCCCCTCAGTTAATACTTAATAGTTGTTAAGATAATAAATTTTAAAAGCAGGAGAATAACAGAAACGAGAATGAATAGGAAATACATGAAATTATTAAGGTTTTGAGCTAGTATTGCTTACCTCTTCTTTTGAAACTTCATTCGGTATAATTTCATTTCCTTCATTTGTTTTCTCACATTGATTTTCTTCACCCACTGTCTCATCTCTTGCTTTGACAAGTTTCTCTTTGATTGCAGCATCTTCTGTTTCAGTGAGTAATTCAATGTCAAAAGCCCTTTCATGTGTCTCCTTGTTGAAATTCTGGGCCTCCTCAATCTCTCTTGTTTGTTCTGGAATCGTCTCTGGACTCTCATCTTCTTGCAATTCTGTTTCCTTGGTTTCATCTCCTTGGACCTCAGAAGGCAATTTAGAGGTTGTAATATGAAGGTGATCTTCTGGCTTCTCTCCTGGGAGAGTATGAGCAGCAGTTGCTCTATCTTCTAAGGCACCTTGAAGCTCTCCTGCATATTCTGATTGTGGGGTTTTGTCATCTTCCAGTATTTCTGCTTCTTTTATTCTCTTTTCTTCTCTTACAGTTCCATGCTCCCGTGATTCCTCTGCTATAACCTGACTAGGATTAGTTTCACCTTCCAACACATCTCGGGGCTCCTTTAATTCATTTTTTTCTGAGCATATCTCTTGTACTGTCTTTCCTACATCAGAGTCTCCATTTCGCATCTCTTCTTCCTTTAATTTCTCCTCTTCAGTCTTGTCAACTCCATTGATGGTTTCATGCTTATGCTCCTCTGATGGCAATATAACAACAGGATTTGGAATTTGCTCCTCTGGTTTCTCTGTTGGGATAATCTGAGCAGAAGTGTTGTCAACTACTGCAAGAGCTTCATCCTCCTGAAGCTGTTCCTTTTGCAAGGATGCATTTTCTCCATTAGCATCTTGTAAGAATTCTGCTTCCTCTGTTTTGTCACTTTCTATCTTCTCAGCTGTACTTGTACTTCCACATTTCTCTTCCGTTGAAGGCAGTGGAGAGGATGGATTCTGAACTTGTTCTTCTGATTTCTTTTCAGGGAGAGTGTGACCAGCAGTCAGTTCATCTTCTACAACAGCTCCTGACTTAACGGACCTTTCCTTTTGTGAGCATATCTCTACTGTTGTCCTTGCATCTGAAGCTTCTTCTTCAATCTTGTCTTTTATGATTTCCCCTTTGTTTGTTTTCTCATCTTCTGTCTTCTTAGTTTCATGCTCTAGTTCTTCACTAGTTGTAGCAGAGGTTGAAATATGAAGTGGCTCTTCTGAGAAAGTCTGACCTGATGTAATTTCTTCTTTTGGAACTGCAGGAGGCTCATTTGGCTCTTCTTTTTGCAAGCATATCTCTTCTGTTTCTCTAGCTGACGAATCTTCACAATTCTCATCTTCAAGCTTTTCTGCTTCTTTCCTTTTCTCTTCTTCTTGCTTCTCAACAGTGCCTATTGCTTCAATCTCCAATGATTCCTCTATTATTGAAGCCTGAGCAACAATAGTTTCTTGATCCACAACAGCTTCAGGCTCCTGAAGTCCTCCCTTTTCTAAGCATGTTTCTTTTCCTAGCAATACCACTTCCTTCACTTTTTCTTCTTCTTCTTCCTCGTTGGCAGTAGTTCCATGCTCTATGTTCTCAGCAGGCAATGCTGAAGTCAAAGATAGCTCATTTGGTTCCTCCACTTGGAGAGCTTGAGCAGTAGCTATTTCGTCTTTCTTAGCATCTTCAAGCTCCTGAAACTCTTCTTTTTCCAAGCATATTTTTGCTGTTTTCTTTGCATCCGAAGAATCTTCTGAAATCTTATCTTGAATGTCTGCTTCATTTGTTTTCTCTTCTTCCGTCTTCTCAACAGTGCTTATGTTTTCCTCCTCCTTCTCCTTGGAAACCAATGGAGAGCTTGTGGTCCCTTGCTCTGGTTTATTAGCTGGAAGAGTCTGCTCACCAGTTATTTCATGTCCTGGAACAACATCTTGCTCTGTGAGTACTTCTTCCTTTTTTTTGCCATATTCTATCTCCTCACTTATGGCTCCAGTTCCATGCTCCCTTTCCTCAGAAGGCAATGTAGAAGATGTAGTTTGAATTTGCTCCTCTGGTTCATCATTTTGGAGACCCTGGTCAGCAATAGTTTCTTCTTTTGAGACCGCCTTAGCCTCTTTTTTTTCTTCATTTGGCGAGCATACCTCTTCTATTGTCTTTGTGTCAGAAGAATCTTCTAGACTCCCATGTTTTATTTCAGCATCCTTCTGTATCTCTTCTTCAATCTTCTCAATTGGGTGTGCAGTTCTGACCTCTTCATCCTCAGAAGGCAATCTGTCAGCAGAAGTTTGGAGTTGCTCCTCCAGTTTCTCTTCTGGAAGAGTTTTAGGGGAACTAGTATTATCTTTCACTATGGTTTCTTCTTTCTTAGCATCTTCAGCAATTGTTTCTTGCTCCACAACAGCTTTTAGCTCCTTGTTTTCTTCCTTTTCCAAGCATATCTCACCTCCTTTCTTTGTATCAGAAGAATCTTTATCTAGAGTTTCCACTTCCTTCAGTTCCTTTTCTTCTACTACGTCAACTTGAGTTGTAACTCCATGCTCTCCTTCCGCTGAAGGCAATTTGGATGATGGAGCTGGAGATTGCTCCTCTGGTTTCTCCTCCAATCGAAGAATTTGAGAAGCATTAGTTTCATCTTTTGCTTCTCTCTCCTTAATCTTGTCTTGAGTCACTTGCAAAGTTTCCTTTATGGAGCTTTCAACATGGTCAGATGATGATACCTTAGTTGAATCTTCCACTGATGTAGACTGCTTGGTTATTTCTTCACCTGAGTTATCTGTTGTTTTTTCTCTGCCATGTTCAACTACTTCTGGATAAATCTCTTTGACATCTCCAACTTCAGCCTTCTGTGAGGATTCTGCAACTCTGTCCTGTAAATCTACTGGAACATGTTCCTTGGCAATTGAACTTGTTATCTCTGTGTTCTCAATGGGATCTAATTCCCTTGGAATCTGCTGATCAGATGCTATATTAGTTGTTTCCTCTGGCTGCTGAATATCATCAATTATTTGATTGCCTTCTGCCACTGATAATTCTGTGCTTGATCCCTGATAAAAGATGAAACAAAGAGTTGCTTAGTATGATTAATTTCTATCACTTATTTTCTTACTTTATGACGTTTAGGCTTCATTTGTGGCTCCTAGAATGATTGAGGAACTTGATTAATAGAATTTAAAATAATAACAGAAAAAAAAGAATAATTCTAGCTTCAAGAATTTTGCTTGCCTTTTCTCCTATATAAGATCTAAGTTATTCTACTGCAGTCTTTTTCTCTCATAATATTTTGATTTCATAAGGTTATTCAATGAGCTAATCATGTTTTATACTAAAACCTGGAATCTCTTTCATCATTTGAACAGATTCATGAAATCAACAAGACTGTTGCTATTACTATTATAGTTACATTTGCATAAAATATTATTCAATGCAAAGTTTGAAAGGAGGATTAAATGTAGTCTGACCTGTTCTGTTACTGTTGTGGTTTCAATCCTGGCAACTGAACCTTGGCCTGGATCCTCAACAGTTTTATCTTCTATCTGCTTTTCAATGATCTTATTTTCACTGGTCTTTTGAGCTTCCACGATGAACTGTTATAGATTAAAGCTTCAATATAGATATAGGAAAGCAAGAAACGATTAAGATGAACAAAGTTTAGTTTCTGTTTCCTGACCTCTTCAGATGTCTTGTCTTCGATCAGCTTCTCCCTTTGCTCATCTTCTCCAGAGCCATCTTTTGTCATCTCTTCCGAATGGGAAGTTGAATATGATGTTTCAGTAACTTCCTTGTCCTCCATGACCTGTCATTTTTGCTTCTCATTTAATACTTAATAGTTATTGTGATAATAAATTTTAAAAGCAAGACAATAATAGAAACGAGAATGAATGGGAAATACATGAAATTATTAAGGTGTTGAGCTAGTATTGCTTACCTCTTCCTTTGAAACTTCATTCGGTATGATTTCATTTCCTTCATTTGTTTTCTCGCACTGATTTTCTTCACCCACTGTCTCATCTCTTGCTCTGACAGGTTTCTCTTTGATTGCAGCATCTTCTGTTTCATTGAGCAATTCATTGTCAAAAGCCCTTTCATGTGTCTCCGTGTTGAAATTCTGGGCTTCCTCAGTCTCTCTTGTTTGTTCTGGAATCTTCTCTGGACTCTCATCTTCTTGCAATTCTGTTTCCTTCGATTCATCTCCTTGGACCTCAGAAGGCAATGTAGAGGTTGTAATATGAAGGTGATCCTCTGGCTTCTCAACTGGCAGAGTAAAAGCAGCAGTTGCTCCATCTTCTAAGGCACCTTGAAGCTCTCTTGTGCATTCTGATTGTTGGGTTTTGTCATCTTCCTTTGTTTCTGCTTCTTTTATTTTCTCTTCTTCTCTTACAGTTCCATGCTCCTGTGATTCCTCTGCTACAACCTGACTAGGATTAGTTTCACCTTCCAACATATCTCGGGGCTCCTTTGATTCAATTTTTTCTGAGCTTATCTCTTGTACTGCCGTTACTCCATCAGAGTCTCCATTTTGCATCTCTTCTTCCTTTACTTTCTCCTCTTCAGTCGATGGCAATGTGACAACAGGATTTGAAATTTGCTCCTCTGGTTTCTCTGTTGGGATGGTCTGAGCAGAAGCATTGTCTACTACTGCAAGAGTTTCATCCTCCTGAAGCCGTTCCTTTTGCAAGGATGCATCTTCTCCATTATCTGTAAGAATTCTGCTTCCTCTGTTTGGTCACTTTTTATCTTCTCAGCTGTACTTGTACTTCCACATTCCTCTTCCTTTGAAGGCAGTGCAGAGGTTGGATTCTGAGCCTGTTCTGATGATTTCTTTTCAGTGAGAGTGTGACCAACAGTCAGTTCATCTTCTGCAACAGCTTCTAGCTCAACGGACCTTTCCTTTTGTGAGCATATCTCTACTGTTGTCGTTTCATCTGAAGCTTCTTCAATCTTGTCTTTTATGATTTCCCCTTCGTTTGTTTTCTCATCTTCTGTCTTCTTAGTTTCATGCTTTCGTTCTTCACTAGTTATAGCAGAGGTTGAAATATGAAGTTGCTCTCCTGAGAAAGTCTGATCAGATGTGATTTCTTCTTTTGGAACTGCATGAGGCTCATTTGGCTCTTCTTTTTGCAAGCATATCTCTTCTGTTTCTCTACCTGACGAATCTTCACAATTCTCATTTTCAAGCTTTTCTGCTTCTTTCCTTTTCTCTTCTTCTAGCTTCTTAACAGTGCCTATTGTTTCAATCTCCAGTGATTCCTCTGTTATTGAAGCCTGAGCAGTTTCCTGATCCACAACAGCTTCAGGCTCCTGAGGTCCTTCCTTTTCTAAGCATGTTTCTTTTTCTAGCAATACAACTTCTTTCACTTTTTTCTTCTTCCTCATTGGCTGTAGTTCCATGCTCTATGTTCTCATCTGGCATTGCTGAAGTCAAAGATTGCTCATTTGGTTCCTCCACTTGGAGAGCTTGAGCTGTAGCTATTTCATCTTTCTTAGCATCTTCATGCTCCCGAACCTCTTCTTTTTCCAAGCACATCTTTGATGTTTTCTTTGCATCAGAAGAATCTTCTGAAATCTTATCTGGAATGTCTGCTTCATCTATTTTCTCTTCTTCTGTCTTCTCAACCGTGCTTATGTTTTCTTCCTCCTTTTCCTTGGAAACCATTGGAGAGCTTGTAGTCCCCTCGTCCGGTTTATTAGCTGAAAGAGTCTGCTTCCCAGGTATTTCATCTCCTCGAACAACATCTAGCTTTGTGGGTACTTCTTCCTTTGTTTTGCCATATTCTATCTCCTCACTTATGGCTCCAGTTCCCTGCTCCCTTTCCTCAGAAGGCAATGTAGAAGATGTAGTTTGAATTTGCTCCTCTGGTTCATCGTTCTGAAGACCCTGGTCAAGCAATAGTTTCTCCTTCTGAGACTGCTTTAGCCTCTCTTTGTTCTTCATTTGGCACGCATACCTCTTCAATTGTCTTTGTGTCAGAAGAATCCTCTAGACTCTCATGTTTTATTTCAGCATCCTTCTGTATCTCTTCTTCAATCTTCTCAATTGGGTGTGCAGTTCTGACCTCTTCATCCTCAGAAGGCAATGTGTCGGCAGAAGTTTGAAGTTGCTCCTCCAGCTTCTCTTCCGGAAGAGTTTTAGGGGAACCAATATTATCTTTCACTATAGTTTCTTCTTTCTTAGCATCTTCAGCAATTGTTTCTTGCCCCCCAACAGCTTTTAGCTCCTTGTTTTCTTCCTTTTCCAAGCATGTCTCACCTCCTTTCTTTGTATTAGAAGAATCTTTATCTAGAGTTTCCACTTCCTTCAGTTCCTTTTCTTCTGCTAAATCGACTTGAGTTGTAACTCCATGCTCTCCTTCTGTGGAAGGCACTTTGGATGATGGAGCTGGAGATTGCTCCTTTGGTTTCTCCTCCACTAGAAGAATTTGAGAAGCATTAGTTTCATCTTTTGCTTCTCTGTCCTCTAGAATCTCTTGAGTCACTGGCAAAGCTCCCTTTGTGGAGCTTTCAACGTGGTCAGATGATGATATCTTAGTCAAATCTTCCACTGATGTAGACTCCTCGGTTATATCTTCACCTGAATTATCTGCTGTTTTTTCTCCATCATCTTCAACTTCTTCTGGATAAATCTCTTTGACATCTCCAACTTCAGCCTTCTGTGAGGATTCTGCAACTCTGTCCTGCAAATCTATTGGAACATGGTCCTTGGCAATTGAACTTGTTATCTCTGTGTTCCCAGTGGGATCTAGTTCCCTTGGAATCTGCTCATCAGATGCTATATTAGTTGTTTCCTCTAGCTGCTGAATATCATCAAATATTGGATTGCCTTCTGCAGCTGATAATTCTATGCTTGATACCTGATAAAAGATGAAACATAGAGGTGCTCAGTATGATTAATTTCTATCAATTATTTTCCTTACTTTATGATGTTTAGACTTCATTTGTGGCTCCTAGAATGATTGAGAGACCTGACAAATAGAAATTTAAAATAATAACCAAAAAACAAAAGGAATAATCCTGGCTTCAAGAAATTTGCTTGCCTGTTCTCCTATATAAGATCTAAGTTATTCTACTGCTCTCTCTTTATCTCACATATTATATTTTGATTTCTTAAGGTCCTTCAAAGAGCTAACCATGTTTTATTCTAAAACCTCGAATCTCTTTCGTCATTTGACAGATTAATGAAATCAACAAGACTTGCAGTTCCTGTTACAGTTACATTTGCATGAAATATTATGCAATGCAAAGTTTGAAAGGAGGATTCAATGTAGTCTGACCTGTTGTGTCACTGTTGTGGTTTCAATCCCCGCAACCGAGGCTTGGCCTGGATCGTCAACAGTTTTATCTTTGATCTTCGTTTCAATTATCTCATCTTCACTGGCCTTTTGAGCTTCCGCTTTTTGCTGTTATAAATTAAAGCTTCAATGTAGATATAGAAAATCAAGAAACGAATAAGATGAACAAAATTTAGTTTCTTTTTCCTGACCTCTTCATATGTCTCGTCTTCAATCAGTTTATCCTTTAGCTCATCTTTTCCAGAGCCATCTTTCGTCAGCTCTTCTGAATGGGACGTTGAATAAGATGTTTCAGTAACTTCCTTGTCTTCCATGACCTGTCATTTTGCCCACTTAGTTAATAAAATTTTACAAGCAAGAGAATAATAGAAACGAGAATGAATAGGAAATACACGAAATTATTAAGGTTTGGAGCTAGTGTTGCTTACCTCTTCTTTTACAACTTCATTCTGTAAGATGTCATTTCCTTCATTTGTTTTCTCACACTGATTTTCTTCACCCCCTATCTCATCTGTTGCTTTGACAATTTTCTCGTTAATTGCAGCGTCTTCTATTTCAGCGAGTAATTCATTGTCAAAAGCCCTTTCATGTGTCTCTCCGTTGAAATTTGGGGCTTCCTCAATCTCTCTTGTTTGTTCTGGAATCTTCTCTGGACTCTCAGCTTCTTGCAATTCTGTTTCCTTGGTTTCATCTCCTTGGACCTCAGAAGGCAATGTAGAGGTTGTAATATGAAGGTGATCTTCTGGCTTCTCACCTGGCAGAGTAAAAGCAGCAGTTGCTCCATCTTCTAAGGCACCTTGAAGCTCTCTTGTGCATTCTGATTGTTGGGTTTTGTCATCTTCCTGTGTTTCTGCTTCTTTTATTTTCTCTTCTTCTCTTACAGTTCCATGCTCCTGTGATTCCGCTGCTATAACCTGACTAGAATTAGTTTCACCTTCCAACACAGCTTGGGGCTCCCTTGTCTCATTTTTTTCTAAGCTTATCTCTTCTACTGTCTTTCCTCCATCAGAGTCTCCATTTTGCATCTCTTCTTCCTTTACTTTCTCCTCTTCAGTCTTGTCAACTTCGCTGATGGTTTCGTGCTTATGTTCCTTTGATGGCAATGTAACAACAGGATTTGGAATTTGCTCCTCTGGTTTCTCTGCTGGGATAGTTTGAGCAGAAGCAGTGTCATCTACTGCAAGAGCTTCATCCTCCTGAAGCCGTTCCTTTTGCAAGGATGTATCTCCTCCATTATCAATTTCTAAGAATTCTGCTTCCTCTGTTTTCGCACTTTCTATCTTCTCAGTTGTACCTGTACTTCCACATTCCTCTTCCTTTGAAGGCAGTGCAGAGGTTGGATTCTGAACTTGTTCTTCTGATTTCTTTTCGGTGAGAGTGTGACCAGCAGTCATTTCATCTTCCACAACAGCCTCTAGCTCGACGGGCCTTTCCTTTTGTGAGCATATCTCCACTGTTGTCCGTGCATCTGAAGCATCTTCTCCAATCTCGTCTTTTATGATTTCCCCTTCATTTGTTTTCTCATCTTCTGTCTCCTTGGTTTCATGCTCTTGTTCTTGACTAGTTAAAGCGGAGGCTGAAATATGTAGGTGCTCTTCTGATAAAGTCTGACCAGAAGTAATTTCTTCTTTTGGAACTGCATGAAGCTCATTTGGCTCTTCCTTTTGCAAGCATATCTCTTCTGTTTCTCTAGCTGATGAATCTTCACAATTCTCATCTTCAAGCTTTTCTGCTTCTTTCCTTTTCTCTTCCTCTAGCTTCTCAACAGTGCCTATTGTTTCAATCTCCACTGATTCCTCTGTTATTGAAGCCTGAGCAACAGTAGTTTCTTGATCCACAACAGTTTCAGGCTCCTGTGATCCTTCCTTTTCTAACATTTCCCCTTCCTTCACTTTTTCTTCTTCTTCCTTATCTTCAGAAACATGATTTCCATCTGAAGCTAATTCAATTTTCCCCAGTTCATATGCATTTGAAGTTTTGGAGGCTTCACTCTTTGTCTCTACAAGCTCAAGATCACTGTTTACTTGGTCCAACTTTTCCACTGTTAGGCTTTTCTCAGCTTCATCAATCTGATCTTTGGGCATGTAAAATGCCTCAGGATCTCTCTTGATTACGTCAGCTTCATCCTTGTCTACAGTTTCCATATTTAGAGTCTGCTTTTCCGCTTCATCACTATCCTTAGGTGGGACTTGCGGTGCCAAGTCAGAGGATATTTCTTCAAGCTGCAAATTCTCTACTCTAGTCACTTGATTAGCATCACTCTTAATAGTTTCTGGACTCACGTGGACTGAGCTGATATGCGATGTACTTACAAGCTCCCCATTCACCTCAGTGTCATTTAAGCTTGTCTCTGCTATTACTTCTGTCACAGCTTCAATATGACTCTCGTCATCACAGAGTTTTGACTCATCGATAAACTCCTCAATTTTTTCTTCTGCTTCTCTATCTTCATCCCGCACACTTACAGGGTCGCCAGGCTTTTCATCCTGTGTCCTTTCTTCTAATTCTTTTATGACGTGGGATGCTTCTCCGTCATTGGTTGAATGTTCTTCAGCCTCTGACTTTTCTGCTTCTATCTGTTCCTTGGAGCCTGCTTCCTTGAGACATTCAGTTGAGACTGAACTGTAGTCTTCCACCTGTGAATAAGTAGTTAAAATGTTTAAAAATTTAACATCTGAAAATGCCATGTGAATAACTATTCATTATATATTACTGAGATGACCTTATTAGTTGTTTCATTTCCTTTTGAAACTGGATGAAATTCATTTGAGCTACTTTCTTCCTCCATGACATGTTCTTTGATGTCTTCACTATCATCAGCTTTCTCAACTTCCTTATCAATCTGCTAAAAATTAATATTTGTCAATATAACAAAAGTACACCTCCTTAAATAATCATGAAGACAAAATATTCATAAGTGTTCGTTACCTCTTCAGACAAAATGACAGCCTTGGTAACCTCGTTTGCATTTTCTTCTCTGTTACTATGGTCTTCATCCTCCAGTTTGTCTTCCAGTTCCTCTTTTATCTGTTTTTCAGTTTGCTCCACTGGTTTCTCCACTAGAAGAATTTGAGAAGCATTAGTTTCATCTGTTGCTCCTCTCTCCTCAATCATGTCTTGAGTTACTTGCAAAGTTTCCTTTGTGGAGCTTTCGACATGGTCAGATGATGATATCTTAGTTGAAGCTTCCACTGATGTAGGCTCTTCAGTTATTTCTTCACCTGAATTAACTGCCGGTTTTTCTGCACCATGTTCAACTACTTCTGGATAGATCTCTTTGACATCTCCAACTTCAGACTTCTGTGAGGATTCTGAAACTCTGTCTTGCAAATCTATTGGAACAAGTTCCTTGGCAATCAAACTTTGTATCTCTTTGTTCTCTTTGGGATCTAATTCCCTTGGAATCTGCTCATCGGATGCTATTTTAGTTGCTTGCTCTGGCTGCTGAATATCATCAATTATTTGATTGCCTTCTGCGGCTGATAGTTCTGTGCTTGATTCCTGATAAAAGTTGAAACGTAGAGCTGCTCAGTATGATTAATTTCTATCAGTTATTTTCCTTATTCTATTATGCTTAGACTTCATTTGCAGCTCCTAGAATGATCGAGTGACCTGACGAATAGAAATTTAAATAATAACAGAAAAAAAGAATAATTATAGCTTCAAGAATTTTGCTTGCCTTTTCTCCTATATAAGATCTAACTTATTCTACTGCACTCCCTCTCCCATAATATTTTGACATTCAAAAGGTCCTTCAATGAGCTAACCATGTTTTATACTAAAACCTGGAATCTCTTTTGTCATTTGAGCAGATTCATGAAATCAACAAGAATATTGCACTTTCTGTTGCAGTTACATTTGCGTAAAATATTATTCAAGGCAAAGTTTGAAAGGCGGATTCAATGTAGGCTGACCTCTTCTGTTACTGTTGTGGTTTCAATCCTGGCAACTGAACCTTGGCCTGGATCCTCAACAGTTTTATCTTCAATTTGCTTTTCAATTATTTCATTTCCGCTGGTCTTTTGAGCTTCCAAATTGAGCTGTTGTAGATTAAAGCTTCAATATAGATATAGAAAAGCAAGAAACGAAAAAGATGAACAAAGTTTAGTTTCTGTTTCCTTACCTCTTCATTTGTCTTGTCTTCAACCAGTTTATCCTTTTGCTTATCTTCTCTAGAGCCATCTTTCGTCAGCTCTTCCAAATGTGAAGTTGAATAAGATGTTTCGGTAACTTCCTTGTCATCAATGACCTGTCATTTTTGCCGCCTCAGTTAACAGTTGTCAAGATAATAAATTTTACAAGCAAGAGAATAATAGATATGAGAATGACTAGGAAATACGTGAAATTGTTACGGTTTTGAGCTAGTATTGCTTACCTCTTCTTTTGAAACTTCATTCAGTATGATTTCATTTCCTTCATTTGTTTTCTCACACTGATTTTCTTCCTCATCGGCTGCTGTTCCATGCTTTATGTTCTCAGCAGGCAATGCTGAAGTTAAAGACTGCTCATTTGGTTCCTCTACTTGGAGAGCTTGAGCAGAAGCAGTTTCATCTTTCTTATCATCTGCAAGCTTTTGAAACTCTTCTTTTTCTGAGTATATCTCTGCCATTTTCTTTGCATCGGAAGTATCTTCTGAAATCTTGTTCAGAATGTCTGCTTCATTTATTTTCTCTTCTTCTGTCTTCTGAACCATGCTTATATTTTCTTCCTCCTTTTCCTTGGAAACCAATGGAGAGCATGCAGTCCCCTCTGGTTCATTAGCTGAGAGAGTCTGCTCACCAGTTATTTCATCTCCTCTAATGACATCTAGCTTTGTGGGTACTTCTTTCTTTGTTTCGTCATATTGCATCTCCTCACCTATGGCTCCAGTTCCATGCTCCCTTTCCTCGGAAGGTGATACAGAAGATGCAGTTTCAATCTGCTCCTCTGGTTCATCGTTTTGAAGACCCTGGTCAGCAATAGTTTCTTCTTCTGAGACTGTATTAGGCTCGCTTTGGTCTTCATTGGGCAAGCATACCTCTTCTATTGTCTTTGTGTCAGAAGAATATTCTAGACTCTCATGTTTTACTTCATCATTCTTCTGTATCTCTTCTTCAATCTTCTCAATTGGGTGTGCAGTTCTGACCTCTTCATCCTGAGAAGGCAATGTGCAGGCAGAAGTTTGAAGTTGCTCCGCCGGTTGCTCTTCTGGAAGAGTGCTAGGGGAACTAATATCATCTTTCAAAATATTTTCAACTCTTTGAGATATGTAATAAGATGATGTTTCTGGTTCTCCTTTGGTTTCTTCAACTTTGTTGGCTTCCAGTTCTTCTGCTGTTAGGCTGTTTGTGGTTTCTGCGTCTTGTTCTGCGCCCTTGTCACCAGAAACATGATCTTCATCTGCTGTTATGCTTTTTTCAGTTTCAACCTGATCATTAGGCATGTAAAATGCCTCAGGATCTCTCTTGATTTCATCAGCTTCATCCTTGTCTACAGTTTCCATATTTAGGCTCTGCTTTTCCACTTCATCATTGTCATTAGTTGGGACATGGTGTGCCAAGTTAGAGGATATTTCTTCAAGATGAACATTTTCTACTTCTCTAGTCTCTTTGTCAGCATCACTCTCAATAGATTCTAGACTCACCTTGACTGAGTTGGTATTAGATGTATTTACAATCTCCTCATTCCCCTGTGTGTCGTTTAAGCTTGTCTCTGCTCTTACTTCTGTCACAGCTTCAATATGACTCTTGTCATGACACAGTTTTGAGTCATCGCTTATCTCCTCAATTTTTTCTTCTGCTTCTCTATCTTCACCCTGCACATTGACAGGGTCTCCAGGCTCTTCATCCTGTGTCCGTTCTTCTAATTCTTTTATGACGTGGGATGCTTCTCTGTCATTGGTTGAATGTTCTTCAAGCTCTTTGTTTCCTGCTTCTATCTGTTCCTTGGAGTCTGCTTCCTTGAGACATTCAGTTGAGACTGAACTGTTGTCTTCCACCTGTGAATAAGTAATTAAATTGTTTAAAAATTTAACATCTGAAAATGCTATGTGATAACTATTCATTTTGTATTACTGAGATGACCTCATTGGTTGTTTCATTTCCTTTTGATTGTGGATGAAGTTCATTTATGCTACTTTCTTCCTCCATGATATGTTCTTTGATGTCTTCACTATCATCAGCTTTCTCAACTTCCTTGTCTATCTGCTAAAAATTAATATTTGTCAACATAACATAAAGTCACCTCCTTAAATAATCATGAAGACAAAATATTCATAAGTATTCTTTACCTCCTCAGACAAAATGACAGCCTTGGTAACCACATTTGCGTTTTCGTCTCTGTTAATATGGTCTTCATCCTCCAGTTTGTCTTCCGGTTCCTCTTTTATCTGTTTTTCAGTTTGCTCCACTGGTTTCTCCACTAGACGAATTTGAGAAGCATTAGTTTCATCTGTTGCTTCTCTCTCCTCAATCACGTCTTGAGTTACTTGCAAAGTTTCCTTTGTGGAGATTTTGACTTGGTCAGATGATGATATCTTAGTCGAATCTTCCACTGATATAGACTCATTGGTTATTTCTTCGCCTGAATTAACTGCTGTTTTTTCTCTGCCATGTTCATCTCCAACTTCTGACTTCTGTGAGGATTCTGCAACTCTATCCTGCAAATCTATTGGAACAAGTTCCTCGGCAATCGAACTTTGTATCTCTGTGTTCTCTTTGGGATCTAATTCCCTTGGAATCTGCTCAACAGATGCTATTTTAGTTGTTTCCTCTGGCTGCTGAATATCATCAATTATTTGATTGCCTTCTACGGCTGATAGTTCTGTGCTTGATTCCTGATAAAAGATGAAACACAGAGTTGCTCAGTGTGACTAATTTCTATCAGTTATTTTCCTTATTTTATGATGCTTAGACTTCATTTGCAGCTCCTAGAATGATTGAGAGACCTGACAAATAGAAATTTAAAATAATAACAGAAAAAAGAATAATTCTAGCTTCAAGAATTTTACTTGCCTTTTCTCCTATATAAGATCTAAGTTATTCTACTGCACTCCCTCTCCCATAATATTTTGACTTTCAAAAGGTCCTTCAATAAGCTAACCATGTTTTATACTAAAACCTGGAATCTCTTTCGTCATTTGAACAGATTCATAAAATCAACAAGACTGTTGCACTTTCTGTAACAGTTACATTTGCATAAAATATTATTCCAATCAAAGTTTGAAGGGAAGATTCAATGTAGTTTGACCTCTTCTGTTACTGTTGTGGTTTCAATCCGGGCAACTGAAGCTTGGCCTGGATCCTCAACAGTTTTATCTTCAACCTGCTTTTCAATTGTATCATTTTCATCGGTCTTTTGAGCTTCGACATTGAGCTGTTATAGATTCAAGCTTCAATATCGATATAAAAAAGCAACAAACAAATAAGATGAACAAAGTTCAGTTTCTGTTTCCTGACCTCTTCATATGTCTTGTCTTCAACCAGTTTATCCTTTTGCTCATCTTTTTCAGAGCCATCTTTCGTCAGCTCTTCCAAATGGGAAGTTGAATAAGATGTCTCTGTAACTTCCTTGTCATCAATGACCTGTCATTTTTGCCGCCTCAGTTAATAGTTGTCAAAATAATAAATTTTACAAGAGAATAATAGATACAAGAATGAATAGGAAATACATGAAATTATAAGGTTTTGAGCTAGTATTGCTTACCTCTTCTTTTGAAGCTTCATTCAGTATGATTTCATTTCCTTCATTTGTTTTCTCACACTGATTTTCTTCCTCATTGGCTGTAGTTCCATGCTTTATGTTCTCAGCAGGCAATGCTGAAGTCAAAGACTGCTCATTTGGTTCCTCCACTTGGAGAGCTTGAGCAGAAGCAGTTTCATCTTTCGTAGCATCTTCAAGCTCCTGAAACTCTTCTTTTTCTGAGTATATCTCTGCTGTTTTGTGTGCTTCAGAAGTATCTTCTGAAATCTTGTCTGGAATGTCTGCTTCATTTATTTTCTCCTCTTCTGTCTTCTCAACCATGCTTATATTTTCTTCCTCCTTTTCCTTTGAAACCAACGGAGAGCATGCAGTCCCCTCTGGTTTATTAGCTGAGAGAGTCTGCTTACCAGTTATTTCACCTCCAGTAATGTCATCTAGCTTTTTGGTTATTTCTTCCTTTGTTTCGCCATATTGTATCTCCTCACCTATGGCTCCAGTTCCATGCTCCCTTTCCTCGGAAGGCAATGTAGAAGATGTAGTTTCAATCTGCTCCTCTGGTTGATCGTTTTGAAGACCCTGGTCAGCAATTGGTTCTTCTTCTGAGACTGTTTTAGGCTCTCTTTGTTCTTCATTGGGCACGCCAACCTCTTCTATTGTCTTTGTGTCAGAAGAATCTTCTAGACTCTCATGTTTTATTTCAGCATCCTTCTGTATCTCTTCTTCAATGTTCTCAATTGGGTGTGCAGTTCTGATCTCTTCCTCCTCAGAAGGCAATGTGCAGGTAGAAATTTGAAGTTGCTCCTCTGTTTTCTCTTCTGGAAGTGTACTAGGGCAACTAATATCATCTTTCAAAATAGTTTCAACTCTTTGACATATGTAATCAGATGATGTTTCTGGTTCTCTTTGGTTTCTTCAACTTTGTTGGCTTCCAGTTCTTCTGCTGTTAGGCTTTTCGTGGTTTCTGCATCTTGTTCTGTGCCCTTGTCTTCAGAAACATGATCTCCATCTGAAGCTAATTCAATTTTCCCCAATTCATCTTTGTTTGAAGTTTTGGAGGCTTCACTCTTTGTCTTTTCAAGCTCATGATCGCAATTTAGTTGGTCCACCTTTTCCACTGTTAGGCTCTTCTCAGTTTCAGCCTGATCGTTGGGCATGTAAAATGCCTCAGGATCTCTCTTGATTTCGTCAGCTTCATCCTTGTCTACAGTTTCCGCATTTAGACTCTGCTTTTCCACTTCATCATTGTCATTAGTTGGGACTTGGGTCGTCAGGTCAGAGGATATTTCTTCAAGCTGCACATTCTCTACTTCTTTAGTCTCTTGATTAGCATCACTCTCAATAGTTTCTAGACTCACCTTGACTGAGTTGGTATTCGATGTATTTACAATCTCCTCATTCATCTCAGTGTCGTTTAAGCTTGTCTCTGCTCTTACTTCTGTCACAGCTTCAATACGACTCTCGTCATGACAGAGTTTTGAGTCATCGATAATCTCAATTTTTTCTTCTGCTTCTGTATCTTCATTCTGCACACTTGCAGGGTCTCCAGACTCTTCATCCTGTGTCCTTTCTTCTAATTCTTTTATGACATGGGATGCTTCTCTGTCATTGGTTGAATGTTCTTCAACCTCTGAGTTTTCTCCTTCTATCTGTTCCTTGGAGTCTGCTTCCTTGAGACATTCAGTTGAGACTGAACTGTAGTCTTCCACCTGTGAATAAGTAGTTAAAATGTTTAAAAATTTAACATCTGAAAATGCTATGTGAATAACTATTCCTTATGTATTAGCGAGATGACCTCATTAGTTGTTTCATTTCCTTTTGATAATGGATGAAGTTCATTTGTGCTACTTTCTTCCTCCATGACATGTTCTTTGATGTCTTCACTATTATCAGCTTTCTCAACTTCCTTATCAATCTGCCAAAAATTAATTTTTGTCAATATAACAAAAAGACACCTCTTTATATAATCATAAAGACAAAATATTCACAAGTGTTCTTTACCTCTTCAGACAAAAGGACAGTCTTGGTAACCTCGTTTGCATTTTCATCTCTGTTAACATGGTCTTCATCCTCCAGTTTGTCTTCTGGTTCGTCTTTTATCTGTTTCTCAGATTGCTCCACTGGTTTCTCCACTAGAAGAATTTGAGAAGCATTTGTTACATCTGTTTCTTCTCTCTCCTCAATCATGTCTTGAGTTACTTGCCAAGTTTCCTTTGTGGAGCTTTCGACGTGGTCAGATGATGATATCTTAGTCAAATCTTCCACTGATGTAGACTCCTCAGTTATTTCTTTACCTGAATTAACTGCTGTTTTTTCTCCGTCGTGTTCATCTCCAACTTCTGACTTCTGTGAGGATTCTGCAACTCTATCCTGCAAATCTATTGGAACAGGTTCCTCGGCAATCGAACTTTGTATCTCCTTGTTCTCTTTGGGATCTAATTCCCTTGGAATCTGCTCATCAGATGCTATTTTATTTGCTTCCTCTGGCTGCTGAATATCATCAATTATTTGATTGCCTTCTGCGGCTGACAGTTCTGTGCTTGATTCCTGATAAAAGATGAAACACAGAGTTGCTCAGTATGATTAATTTCTATCAGTTATTTTCCTTATTTCATGATGCTTAGACTTCATTTGCAGCTCCTAGAATGATTGAGAGACCTGACAAATAGAAATTTAAAATAATAACAGAAAAAAGAATAATTCTAGCTTCAAGAATTTTACTTGCCTTTTCTCCTATATAAGATCTAAGTTATTCTACTGCACTCCCTCTCCCATAATATTTTGATTTTCGAAAGGTCCTTCAATGAGCTAACCATTTTTATTCTAAAACCTGGAATCTCTTTCATCATTTGAACAGATTCATAAAATCAACAAGACTGTTGCACTTTCTGTTACAGTTACATTTGCATAAAATATTATTCAAATCAAAGTTTGAAGGGAAGATTCAATGTAGTTTGACCTCTTCTGTTACTGTTGTGGTTTCAATCCAGGCAACTGAAGCTTGGCCTGGATCCTCAACAGTTTTATCTTCAACCTGCTTTTCAATTATATTATTTCCACCGGTCTTTTGAGCTTCGACATTGAGCTGTTATAGATTCAAGCTTCAATATCGATATAAAAAGGCAACAAACAAATAAGATGAACAAAGTTCAGTTTCTGTTTCCTGACCTCTTCATATGTCTTGTCTTCAACCAGCTTATCCTTTTGCTTATCTTTTTCAGAGCCATCTTTCGTTGAATAAGATGTCTCAGTAACTTCCTTGTCATCAATGACCTGTCATTTTTGCCGCCTCGGTTAATAGTTGTGAAAATAATAAATTTACAAGAAAGAGAATGATAGATACAAGAATGAATAGGAAATACATGAAATTATTAAGGTTTTGAGCTAGTATTGCTTACCTCTTCTTTTGAGGCTTCATTCAGTATGATTTCATTTCCTTCATTTGTTTTCTCACACTGATTTTCTTCCTCATCGGCTGTAGCTCCATGCTTTATGTTCTCAGCAGGCAATGCTGAAGTCAAAGATTGCTCATTTGGTTCCTCCACTTGGAGAGCTTGAGCAGAAGCAGTTTCATCTTTCGTAGCATCCTCAAGCTCCTGAAACTCTTCTTTTTCCGAGTATATCTCTGCCGTTTTCTTTGCTTCAGAAGAATCTTCTGAAATCCTGTCTGGAATGTCTGCTTCATTTATTTTCTCCTCTTCTGTCTTCTCAACGATGCTTATATTTTCTTCCTCCTTTTCCTTTGAAACCAACGGAGAGCATGCAGTCCCCTCTGGTTTATTAGCTAAAAGAGTCTGCTCGCCAGTTATTTCACCTCCAGTAATGACATCTAGCTTTTTGGGTACTTCTTCCTTTGTTTCGCCATATTGTATCTCCTCACCTATGGCTCCAGTTCCATGCTCCCTTTCCTCAGAAGGCACCCTTTCCTCAGAAGGCAATGTAGAAGATGTAGTTTCAATCTGCTCCTCTGGCTCTTCGTTTTGAAGACCATGGTCAGCAATTGTTTCTTCTCCTGAGACTGTTTTAGGCTCTCTTTGTTCTTCATTGGGCAAGCAAACCTCTTCTATTGTCTTTGTGTCAGAAGAATCTTCTAGACTCTCATGTTTTATTTCAGCATCCTTCTGTATCTCTTCTTCAATGTTCTCAATTGGGTGTGCAGTTCTGATCTCTTCCTCCTCAGAAGGCAATGTGCAGGTAGAAATTTGAAGTTGCTCCTCTGTTTTCTCTTCTGGAAGTGTACTAGGGGAACTAATATCATCTTTCAAAATAGTTTCAACTCTTTGACATATGTAATCATATGATGTTTCTGGTTCTCCTTTGGTTTCTTCAACTTTGTTGGCTTCCAGTTCTTCTGCTGTTAGGCTTTTCGTGGTTTCTGCATCTCGTTCTGTGCCCTTGTCTTCAGAAACATGATCTCCATCTGAAGCTAATTCAATTTTCCCCAATTCATCTTTGTTTGAAGTTTTGGAGGCTTCACTCTTTGTCTCTACAAGCTCATGATCACGGTTTAGTTTGTCCAACTTTTCCACTGTTAGGCTTTTCTCAGTTTCAGCCTGATCGTTGGGCATGTAAAATGCCTCAGGATCTCTCTTGATTTCGTCAGCTTCATCCTTGTCTACAGTTTCCACATTTAGACTCTGCTTTTCCACTTCATCATTGTCATTAGTTGGGACTTGGGGCGTCAAGTCAGAGGATATTTCTTCAAGCTGCACATTCTTTAATTCTTTAGTCTCTTGATTAGCATCACTCTCAATAGTTTCTAGACTCACCTTGACTGAGTTGATATTCGATGTATTTACAATCTCCTCATTCACCTCAGCATCGTTTAAGCTTGTCTGTGCTTTTACTTCTGTCACAGCTTCAATATGACTCTCGTCATGACACAGTTTTGAGTCATCGATAATCTCCTCAATTTTTTCTTCTGCTTCTGTATGTTCATTCTGCACACTTACAGGGTCTCCAGACTCTTCATCCTGTGTCCTTTCTTCTAATTCTTTTATGACATGGGATGCTTCTCTGTCATTGGTTGAATGTTCTTCAACCTCTGAGTTTTCTCCTTCTATTTGTTCCTTGGAGCCAGCTTCCTTGAGACATTCAGTTGAGACTGAACTGTAGTCTTCCACCTGTGAATAAGTAGTTAAAATGTTTAAAAATTTAACATCTGAAAATGCTATGTGAATAATTATTCATTATGTATTACTGGGATGACCTCATTAGTTGTTTCATTTCCTTTTGATACTGGATGAAGTTCATTGGTGCTACTTTCTTCCTCCATGATATGTTCTTTGATGTCTTCACTATCATCAGCTTTCTCAACTTCCTTATCAATCTGCTAAAAGTTTATATTTGTCAATACAACAAAAAGACACTTCCTTAAATAATCATGAAGACAAAATATTCATAAGTGTTCTTTACCTCTTCAGACAAAATGACAGCCTTGGTAACCTCGTTTGCATTTTCGTCTCTGTTAATATGGTCTTCATCCTCCAGTTTGTCTTCCGGTTCCTCTTTTATCTGTTTTTCAGTTTGCTCCTCTGGTTTCTCCTCTAGAAGAATTTGAGAAGCATTAGTTTCATCTGTTGCTTCTCTCTTCTTAATCACGTCTTGAGTTACTTGCAAAGTTTCCTTTGTGGAGCTTTCGACGTGGTCAGATGATGATATCTTAGTCAAATCTTCCACTGATGTAGACTCCTCGGTTATTTCTTCACCTGAATTAACTGCTGATTTTCCTCCACCATGCTCATCTCCAACTTCAGACTTCTGTGAGGATTCTGCAACTCTATCCTGCAATCCGATTGGAACAAGTTCCTTGGAAATTGAACTTTGTATCTCTGTGTTCTCTTGGGGATCTAATTCCCTTGGAATCTGCTCATCAGATGCGATTTTAGTTGCTTCCTCTGGCTGCTGAATATCATCAATTATTTGACTGTTTTCTGCGGCTGATAGCTCAGCGCTTGATTCCTGATAAATGATGAAACATAGAGCTGCTCAGTATGATTAATTTTTATCTGTTATTTTTCTTATTTTATGATGCTTAGATTTCATTTGCAGCTCCTAGAATGATTGAGGGATCTGACAACTAGAAATTTAAAATAATAACTGAAAAAAGAATAATTCTAGCTTCAAGAATTTTGCTTGCCTCTTCTCTTATATAAGATCTAAGTTATTCTACTGCAATCCCTCTCCCATAATATTTTGATTTATAAAAGGTCCTTCAATGAGCTAACCATGTTTTATACTAAAACCTGGAATCTCTTTCGTCCTTTGAACAGTTTCATGAAATCAACAAGACTGTTGCACTTTCTGTTACAGGTACATTTGCATAAAATATTATTCAAATCAAAGTTTGAAGGGAGGATTCAAAGTAGTCTGACCTCTTCTGTTACTGTTGTGGTTTCAATCCTGACAGCTGAAGCTTCGCCTGGATCCTCAACAGTTTTATCTTTGACCTGCTTTTCAGTTGTATCATTTTCACTGATCTTTTGAGCTTCCACATTGAGCTGTTATAGATTAAAGCTTCAATATCGATATAAAAGAGCAAGAAACAAATAAGATGAACAAAGTTCAGTTTCTGTTTCCTGACCTCTTCATATGTCTTGTCTTCAACCAGTTTATCCTTTTGCTCATCTTCTCCAGAGCCATCTTTCGTCAGCTCTTCCGAATGGGAAGTTGAATAAGATGTTTCACTAACTTCCTTGTCATCAATGGCCTGTCATTTTTCCTCCTCAGTTAATAGTTGTCAAGATAATAAATTTTAGAAGCAAGAGAATAATAGATACGGAAATTAATAGGAAATACATGAAATTATTAAGGTTTTGAGCTAGTATTGCTAACCTCTTCTTTTGGTATGATTTCGTTTCCTTCATCTGTTTTCTCACACTGATTTTCTTCCTTATTGGATTTAGTTCCATGCTCTATGTTCTCGGCAGGCAATGCTGAAGTGAAAGACTGCTCATTTGGCTCCTTCACTTGGAGAGCTTGAGCAGCAGCAGTTTCATCTTTCTTAGCAACTTCAAGCTCCTGAAACTCTTCTTTTTCTAAGCATATCTCTGCCATTTTCTTTGCATTGGAAGAATCTTCTGAGATCTTGTCTGGAATGTCCGCTTCATTTATTTTCTCTTCTTCTTTATTCTCAACCATGCTTATATTTTCTTCCTCCTTTTCCTTTGAAACCAATGGAGAGCATGCAGTCCCCTCTGGTTTATTAGCCGAGAGAGTCTGCTCACCAGTTTTTTCATCTCCTGTAATGACGTCCAGCTTTGTGGGTACTTCTTCCTTTGTTTCACCAAATTCTACCTCCTCACCTATGGCACCAGTTCCATCCTCAGAAGGCAATGTAGAAGATGTAGTTTCAATCTGCTCCTCTGGTTCATCATTTTGAAGACCCTCGTCAGCAATAGTTTCTTCTTCTGGGACTGTTTTGGGCTCTCGTTGTTCTTCATTTGGCAAGCATACCTCTTCTATTGTCTTTGTGTCAGAAGAATCTTCTAGACTCTCATGTTTTATTTCAGCATCCTTCTGTATCTCTTCTTCAATGTTCTCAATTGTGTGTGCAGCTCTGATCTCTTCCTCCTCTGAAGGCAATGTGCAGGTAGAAGTTTGAAGTTGCTCCTCCAGTTTCTCTTCTGGAAGAGTACTAGGGGAACTAGTATCATCTTTCAAAATAGTTTCAACACTCTGAGACATGTAAACGGATGATGTTTCTGGTTCTCCTTTGGTTTCTTCAACTTTGTTGGCTTCCGGTCCTTCTGCTGTTAGGCTTTTTGTGGTTTCTGCATCTTGTTCTGTGCCCTTGTCTTCAGAAACATGATCTCCATCCGAAGTTAATTCAGTTTTCCCCAGTTCATCTTTGTTTGAAGTTTTGGAGGCTTCACTCTTTGTCTCTGCAAGCTCATGATCACTGTTTAGTTGGTCCACCTTTTCCACTGTTAGGCTTTTCTCAGTTTCAGCCTGATCATTGGGCATGTAAAATGCCTCAGGATCTCTCTTTATTTCGTCAGTTTCATCCTTGTCTACACTTTCCACAGTTAGACTCTGCTTTTCCACTTGATCATTGTCTTTAGTTGGGACTTGGGTTGCCAAGTCAGAGGATATTTCTTCAAGCTGCACATTCTCTACTTCTTTAGTCTCTTGATTAGCATCACTCTCAATAGTTTCTAGGCTCACCTTGACTGAGCTGATATTCGATGTATTTACAATCTTCTCATTCACCTCAGCGTTGTTTAAGCTTGTCTCTGCTTTTACTTCTGTCACAGCTACAATATGACTCTCGTCATGACTGAGTTTTGAGTCATCAATAATCTCCTCAATTTTTTCTTCTGCATCTCTATCTTCACTGTGCACACTTACTGGGTCTCCAGACTCTTCATCCTTTCTCCTTTCTTCTAATTCTTTTATGACATGGGATGCTTCTCTGTCATTGGTTGAATGTTCTTCAACCTCTGAATTTTCTGCTTCTATCTGTTCCTTGTTTTCCTTGAGACATTCAGTTGAGACTGAACTGTAGGCTTCCACTTCCACCTGTCAATACATAGTTAAAATGTTTAAAAACTTAAAATCTAAAAAGGCTATTTGAATAACTATTCATTATGAATTATTGAGATGACCTCATTAGTTGTTTCATCTCCTTTTGATACTGGATGAAGTTCATTTTCGCTACCGTCTTCCTCCATGACTTCTTGTTTGATGTCTTTACTATCATCAGCTTTCTCAACCTCCTTATCAACCTGCTAAAAATTAATATTTGTCAACATAACAGAATGACACCTGCTTAAATAATCACAAAGACAAAATGTTCATAAGTGTTCCTTACCTCCTCAGACAAAATAACAGCCTTGGTAACTTCGTTTGCATTTTCTTCTCTGTTAATATAGTCTTCATTCTCCAGTTTGTCTTCCTGTTCCTCTTTTATCTGTTTTTCAGTTTCTTGATTCTGAACATCAGTGCTGGTTTCAGGGAATGTTTCCTTACTTTGGTCTTCGGCCACTGGTTCAAAGTCAGATTTGGGCTTTTCTTCAAAACCTTCTAGTGCTAGCTCAGCATTCTGTTTGAAATTGATAAATTAGATGAGTGTTAGAGAAGTCTGCTACTTAAATGAAGAGAAACAATTGAATGGTGATATGACTTCTGAATGAGATTGAACATTATACACAACCGACTTATTTTTCCAATATGGAAAATACATAAATTTTGGTTTTTGTCTTCTTTTCTTTAAGAAAAGAACTTGAATCTCTGTCATAATTGTAAAATGAAAATGATCAAAATTGAAATGGCTTCCATTTTCATATCTTCAATTTGATTTTGTTCTTCAAAAAAAAAAAAAAAAAAAGAGGAGTGAAACGAGTAATTTTCACTAACCTTTGCATTATCATTCACGTTAACCACCTCAGGAATCTGATCATGAGCTCCTCTTGTGAGTTCAGTGTCGTCTTTTCCAATTTCAGAATCTTCCTTCAAGCTTTCTGGTTTTTCCAAGTTCTTAGCTAAATTCTCTTTTTCTTCTATAGCCTTTTCACCATCCTTGCATGAGGTTTCTCCCAAATCTGTGGCTTCATCCAATGACTTTCCCTCTTCAATTTTCTCTCTTTCCAATCCTAAATCTGATGATTGTTCATCTTGCAGTGTTTTTGCCTCACAAGCATCAGTTTGATTCTCTAGTTCTCTAGGTTCTTCCACATTAGAGACGTTGGTTTCTGCCACAGAGCTGCATTTTCCAGATTCCTTCTCTGTACGCACAATTGGTTCCTGAGCCATGTGATCCATGACTTCATGTCCGCTTTCCTTTCCAGTATCTTCAGCCTCTGCTTTAGGGACATCTAATGTGGGATTATCCTCATTTTGCATTAATATCTCATCTGTTGCTTGTGACACAGGAGTTTCTGAGCACTCGTATGGAGCCTGATCTTTTTCTGAAGTTTCATCAGTTATTTTCTCTACAGTGAGTGTGGCCTCATATTCTTCTGAAGGCGAGGTAGATGGTTCCTTCTCTTCATCTCCTAATATCTCTTTCGAGGGAATCTCCTTCGTGGTCATCTCCATTTGATCTTCACTTCCTGCATTTGGAATTTTATCCTGCATTCCATCTTCTTCTTGGAGACTGTTCATGTCCTTCTCGCATGTTATGGAGGAGTCCAGTGGTTTCACATCAATGTCAGTACTCTCTACACCAATCCCTTCATGTTCAGTCGTTGCTAGGTCATCCTCTACGACAGAAAGAACATTCTTTCTTTCATTCTTTTCCTCTTCTGCTTCAGCTTCCTTTATGTTCGTTTCTTCTGTTCCTTCTGCACATGATGTGGAGTCCAAATCAGCAGTATTGATGCTTCCTTTTACTGAAGTTTTTTCTTCACTGTCCTTTTTGGACTCCTCGAGCTCAAACGAAGAACTATGGACAAGGTCTTCTTTGACTTCAATTGGTGTTATTTCTTCTTTTGACTCCTTTACATCAAACAGACTAGGATCATTATTTGGCTTTGTTGTTTCCTCTATAGAGTCAGTTTGCTCAATGTTTGAGTTGCTAACCTGTAAAACAATTGACTGTGTAAGTTAGCAAGTAAGAATGATTAAAAAGAAAAAACATTGTTGGACCTAAATCAACTTTCATTTATTAGCCGACCTCTTCTGTTAACTTCATTGGGCTGCTTTCACCTTCCTTTATGCTTTCCTCAGCAATTTCATTACTAATTGATGAGTTGGAGATGTCAGCTATAGGATATTCCTCCAAGTCTGGATTTTCTTTTGTGGTGACTGAAGCTGCCGTTTCTGATTCTTTATACACCTGCATGACAAACAGAATTTCAACTTAAACATGACAAAGTACTAGAAGGTAACAGATTGGATTAAAAACAGAAAAAATCACATCAGGCCAAGGGTCGTTCTTTGTGCTAAGTTCATGAATTGAAGTTATCATTCTTGGAGATCTCTATCCTTTAGACTGATTTGGAGGTTTGCTGGCCTACTTGCTGATGTTATGGTCTGCATCAGTGGCATAACACCTCTCTGATTGGTGAACTCTTTTTTTGCCCCTTCTTTTTCCGATTTTAAGCAGAATTCACTTTGCTTCTTTTTCTTTTACATTGCAGGAACTGAGGAAAGATTCGTGTTGATGATCTGGTTTATTAATGTATTGATAGAAGTTAATAAGGTTATACTCTGTTGGTTCTTTAGGCATGTGCATCCTTGGATGAATGTGGATAACATATTTATAGTCAGAATACTTTATTAGAGTTTCCTAAAGATTTAATTTACTTCCACTCAGGATAGCCAGCCGGAGCTGACAGTTGCTTTCCCTCTCCCCTTCTAAGATGCAAGGAAAATAAAGGGGAAAAACCACTTGCTTTAGCATTAAAATGAAAAAGATCTTAGTTCCTTTTCCCTTTTTTGTTGAGATTTTTTTGACAAAAAATATGCAGTTGTATTGTCCTCATGGCTGTTTGAATGCCTTAATTTAGAGGAAGTATATCTGTTGTATTTTAGCATCTTTCAGAAATGGTCCAATATGAAATACCGAGCACAAAAACTATACATTCCATATATAACTGACCTCTATTTCTGGTTCTCTTTCCTTGTTTTCTTTCTCCAAAGAGTCCTCCTTATCTGTTGCTGATGTGGAAACTTCAAAGTTGTTCTCAGCTTTACTGTCATCCTCTATTTTCTGCATTTCAATGTTATAAAACTTCATCAGTGGCTTGAATTGAATGGACCAGACCTTTTGAATTGAAGTAGGATAAAGCAAAAAAACTATTTAATGCACAGCCCTTTTGATGGGGTACAAGACTTTCTGGTTGTGCTGTTTTGCATTTTGTGCATCTATTTACCTCTTCTATGGATGTCACTGCTGTGGTATTCTCTTCTTTAGATGTCTCTTTCATTGTCTCTGTCAGCAGTGTAGCCTGGTCCTTGTCTTCCTGCAGAATTTGTTTTTCAGCATTCTCAACTGTGTTGTCTGTTTCCTGCTTTTCACATACCTGAACAAAAAATATATTGAAAGATTGGTGAAACATGGAGGTTTCAGCTTTCAACTTAACATCAAGACCAAGGCTCTGCAAAATTTTAAAAACCATCCAAATCTCACCTCTACTTCAGGTGTCTCTTCTTTTTCATCTTCTTCATTAGATTTCGGTGAGTCAACTATAATAGCACATTCTTCCTTTATGATGGACTTTGGACCTTCACAAACCTGCATGAAGAATAAGGTTAACTTTTATTAACAATTATAATGATGATCTCTCCTTTTTTTCCCTTGCTTTTTCAGGAAAAGAGTTTAAAATTAAAAAATATATATTGTAATTGAGTTAGTATTCATTCTTTAAAATTAGACCTCTTTAGTTTCTTCCTGTTTCAAGTTATCTTCTATGTTCTCCATGGCATCCTTTGATTCAGGTTTCTCTGCAGTACAATCTTCTAACTCCCGTTGTATCCCCTCTTCTTTGTTCTCCAGAGCTTCATTGCTCTCTGAACATTTTTCAGAGCCCAAGAGATAAACCTCTTTTACATTCTCCTTATCCATTTCACTTGTTTCTGATTTCAAATCTGTGGTTGCTGCTGCTTCTGTGAATATATGCTCTGGATTTGTGCTATCTCTGCTTTGACATGCCTCAGATACATCTCCATCATCTTCTTGCTTTTCCTTGGATGCTCCAATTGCTTCATGGACTTGTTCTTCAGGTTGAACATCGGAGAACTCGTACTGCTTTCTGTCTTCCTTTTCCACTGGTTGTCCAACTAATGAATCAGCAACATGGAAATCATCAGCATTCTTGTTTGAAATCTCAACTTCCACGGTTTCAGTATTCTCATTTACTTCAATTTGTAGTTGATCCTGTAGGAAGCACAGAATTTATGTTAAACCCTGGCAATAATATATATGATTATGACACCGTTGATATTAAAAATGAAAAGAAAAAAGTAGTATGAAAACTGAAAACTGGAAATTGTTTTGACCTTTCTTTTTGATTCTCCATTTTCTCTGTCAGCATCAGTATTGGTCGGTTTGTCTTCCATCCCTTCTCCCTCGAGTCTTTCTTCATGATCTTTGACAGATGTCACTTCTTTGATGCTTGTGCTTGTTTCTGCATTTTCCTTCTCTGATTTTCCCTCCTGACTCTGCTGTACAAAATCAACATTTTCTACTTCACTATTATCTCCTCCAGGCATTGGAACAGTAGAATCCTCTTCCCTTTTCAGTTCATCTGAGGCCTCTGTCATCGCCGGCTCTTTGTCTGTGGCCTGCACAACTTTCACGTCCACCCCAACATTTTCTGATTCAGAATTTGAATAATCTTTACATAAATTACTCGACATGCCTGAATCTTGGTCAGTTTTCTCAGTGATTTCACTTTGTCCACTTTCTTCTGTTGGACTCTCAACAGTATTCTCTGTCCCAATATCAGAGCCTAAGTTGCACGTGACCTGATTGTCTACTTCTTGCGAACATAGCTCTTCTGTTTTCATGACAGAAGTATTTAACGCATTCTTATCTTGTATGCCATCATTTTCTCCAGTGATGCATTTGATCTCCTCACGTGATTCTATTGTAGCTTGGCTTTTGTCTTTGATTATGATACTGGAGACCTCTTCAAGTTTCTCATCCACTTCTGATGCAGGTTCATGCACGCAAGCTACATCCTCAATTTCTGCTACTGTTGAGGTTGTTTCATGTTCCTTGATCTCTGAACTTTCTGCTACTGTTGAGGGTAAGGTGTCTCCAACGCTATCAGAAATTATTTGATCCTTTCCCACTATGGCAGGCTGCTTCTCTGGTTCGGTGTCTTTGACTTCTTTAACAAGATTGGAGTTATTGGCCTCAGTAACTGGCTCATTAACCTCCTTCAAGCTGTCAATTATTGGATCAGGAGTGTCAATTGAAGCTTGTTTCTTGAGCTCTAACTTGGTGCTGGACTCAATATCAGCATTTTCATCTGTCCTTGATCCTTCATTTTCTTGTGAGTAATTTGTTTCTTCTTCCAAGCTCCCACATGTCTCTTCCACTGAAGAATCTCGGTCAGCAATTACCTCAACCTCCTCCACTCTTTTCTCTCCTACAACATCGAGGTTCAACTCATCAATGCCATGAACTATGTCACCCTTTTCCATTCTGTCTTCTGTTGCTTCCTTCACTTCATCCACAGTTCCTGCCACTTCGTCAAGCTGAATCTTTTTGTCAACCACCATCTTTTCTTCATCCTCTGGTATCTTCTCTGCTTTAAATGCAGTGTCATCAACCTCCCTGTGCCCTGACATTCCACAGGTCTCATTGGCAACCGTGGAAATCTCAGGTGATATTAAAAAACCTTCACCCTTAGAGATTTCAGGATTGCCTTCAGAGACTGTATTCATGGCTTCAACCCCATTATTACTGGCTACTTCCATGTTTTCTGCTTTAGCTGAATATTCATCAGTTTCAGCAGGCTGGATCGATCCACCTTGGAATTTCTTCAAGCCGCCTGGTAGAAACTCGACAGCTTTGTCACACAGTTCCAAGGTCAACTGTTTGCTCTCCTCTTCAGTTTTCTGCATGCAGAATAAATATGTTTTTTTTAATTTACATTTACAGAATGGTGGTAGAAACCTGCATTTTTATTCTTTGAAAGAATAAGCTTCTTTGGTAACAATATTAGATTTGGAAAAGTTATCCATTTCTGTTCTTTTTTTTTTCCTTTTCCAGTGTGAACAAATCTTATTTTTGGAAGAATAGGCTTCTTTGGTAACAATATTAGATTTGGTAAACTATTCCAATTCTGTTCTTTTTTTCCCTCCCAGCTCAAACAAATCTTATTTCTGAGAAAATTGTCGGAGGCACATATGGAATGAAGTCAACAGGAAAAAAGGCAGTACTTCTCCGGTATGGTAAAATCAACTTTCAGTTATGAAACTTCAGCATGCTGCATTATACTATTCATTTTGAACTTTCTTTTATTTTCCCCCTAAAATGACTCATATTGAACTACCATTTCATAATAACAGAAATCAAATGCAAGTGTACCTCACTACTTTACATTCATTTAATCAAATTATATGAGGAATAGGAAGACGAAGACAAGGTTTGACCAAAGAATTTTCAAATAATAGTGACATTAGAGCAAGTTGGCTGTCAGATTGTTATATCAGAATCAGATCCTTAATATCTTTACCTACCTTATTCAAGTTTAGGCAAGTAAATCCGATTTTAACAAATTACTATGTTTGTGGATATATTTCTATATTGGTAATGCTTAAGACTTAATCAAATAGTTTGTGAGGAGTTTGATGCTTAAACTTACATGAGGTAGACTTCTTTTCATCAATAAGCCGGTCATTCATTCGCTCTAATGGATATTTTGTTTTTGTAAATCAATATAAGTAAGCAGTTATGTTATGCTGATGCAACTAATCATCAAATGTATTTGTTTGAACTTTCTACTTATTCTGTATGCAGATATTCACCTGAATTATTATGTTTTTTGGCCAAAAGATATTCACCTAAATTATTGATTTTAGGATTTGTAAAGAAGTGATCTTTATTAGTTATTTGCGAAAGCCAATGTTTTTGATCTGGCATAATCCTGAAAAACAGAACCCGAAGCTTAGCTTAATTGGTTCATGCAGTTACCATTATATATCTAACAAGTTGGGATTCAAATCTCACTACTTGTAACTCTTTTCCCCTATTTTCAGGCTGCGGACTCTTTTTGTCAAAAACCTTATTTTCAAGTTACAGCCTTTTTTGTACAAAAAAGTACTTAAAGGGAAAATAACTTTTTAGCTGCATCCATTTTTTATTTAGCTATGCAGAAAAGCAACTACTATTAATCCTAATGTTCTAAGCAGTATGTTCTTTTGAGAATTGAGACTGAAGTTGATACTATTATCCACATAACTTTTAAGCAGTATATTCATTTGAGAACTGAGACATCTAATAATGGCTCGAAACAAAAAATCAGAAACTCAAGACTTAGTTATGGTAGCTATAAAGTTTAGTAAGGTTATATTGATCTGTTGGGCTTTGTTGAATGGAAAATATGCTTTGAGTCTTAGCTATAAGCTATGTTCTTAAAAACTTTTCTAGAACTGATGATGCTGGTTAAGCTAAATCTTGGCTGTGTTATCAAGTTGACAGAAGTTTCGGTGAAGCTCAAGCAACTGTTCTTATGAATCTGTTGTATCACTTCAGAGGTTTTATTCCGTATGGATCAAAAGAATATAGTAAGTAAAGATACTGGATCTAATCTTTATTTTGAAAACCAAATAGTTTGATAGAAAGAAAAAAGAGACCTACAGATATTGATTGCTCTATTGGAAAAGGAAGGAAAGACCAGATCACCTCTTTTTGGTCTTTATGCTGATTAAAAAAGGAGAGCATATGCTTCATCATAAAAGAATAATAAAAAAGCTCAGAGCTCATCCAGTTTTAAGTGTTTCAAGAACGTCAAAAGTTGAAAAACTGCTATACAAAGATGAAACCAGATGCATGATCACCTTTCTGATTTTACCTGTTCTGAAACTGCAGTATCCTTCTCGATCAAAGACATGTCATCTTGCTAACTTCCTATGGTTATGTCATGCATGCTATGTAGTAAAGTTTGATTGCAAAGTATGTATTTCAGTATTCAGAATAGGCAGAAGTAGTAAAAGAGTATATATGCACTTCAAAATTATTAGTTAAATGGAAAATAATCACAACATAAATCATGTAAGAGGAAAGAACTGTACCACTACAGAAATGGGTTCTGGAATGATCTCTGCTTCAGTTGCCATCTTTTCATGCAGAAGTAATCGAATTCGAATCCGAGAATTCTAGAGAAACTGCCTATGATTTGAAACTTTCATTACTGTAAATTGGTGGATGATTGTTAGATATCTATATTGATCTGCTGATGGATATATTCTTTAAAGTAGGCTATAAGCTGACAAATGCCACTTGGTACTCGCTAATACACATGCTAGTTGGCCATACATGCAAATTGGCCCTACTGATTGGTCACTCACATGCCTTGGGATGGCTAATTCAGCTCTGTTGAAAATGCAAAATATCAGCTTCCGGTTAGATCAATTGATTTTAGAATGAAAATTGTTGAGATGTTTCCACTTACAGAAAGAAGCTGCCAAATCCTTTTAACAGTTTCTTTTTTGTCTGAAGGCAATGTGATCAGCTATCTTGTGGGCGTTCCAACACCTTTGGTAAATAAATTTGTGGCTAATTCTTCACAATTAACTTTAAAGTTGTGAACTTAATGCTCTAACTCTCCTTTTTCTTCACTTTCCCCTTTTCCATTTTTGCCAGGCACATTGACTACAAGCTTGACCATGCAAAAAAACACCAAACTGTAAAAAGATCTAGATCAAGTTAGGTCTTCTCAGAGTCTTTCCAAGGGAATTTTTAAACAATTCTGAAGCAGTGGAGTGGAATGAGATTGAAGCAGAAGATGAAAAACTAAATTAAGTCGAAGGCTAGCTTGGTATGCTTATATCTAGATCTGATAATTCTGTGTATATGGGATTTATTTGTTTTGTATCAAACACGAAAATTATCATGTCATAATTCGTGTTGACACATCAAATATAAAACCCAATTTTTAGTTTTTGTCAAACTTATATAATTTTTTTTTATCATTTTCGTGTCGTATCTAAAATTACTATATCACCCTTTTGCAAATACAAATCTAACTTTTTGTTGCCTCTATATTAAGCATAATATTGATATGAAAGTTTTTCTAATTTACCTACTTGAAACAATGAAAGATATCAATTTTATGGTTACTTTGATTGTAAAAAAGGCATTGAATTAGAGAAGCAGCAAACTCTCAATATCAAAAGTGGTTGTAAACTGGTAACTTTCATTAATTTTTTTAAAAATTATGTATTACCTAATTATGACAATATGATAATCATGATAATTAAGAATTTTCAAAGCAAAATGCTTATCTAATCAAAGCATAGTTAGATTTTGATTATAATTGTCTTATATATAATAGTCAATAATTGGCTACTTTGAGTGAGGTCCCATCATTTGGTGCCCAGGAATCTGTCTCACTAACCATGAACTTCCCATAAATAATATTTTTATGAAAAAAAAGGGATGCTTTTTCCTTTTGAGTATTGGTTGAAATTTTGCTTAGAAATATATATCTTTTTTATGGCAATGGCAATGAAATATGTAAAGGAAGGCTGTTGAAATTGAAATGTCCATGATAACAACTTTAAAGGGACCGCTTGCTTAATTTCATGCCTCAATTATTATTACTGCTTTGGTAGTTTTTGAAGGTTTTTTTTTTTTTTTTTTTTTTACGGGTGCATAGTTTCATGAACGAAAATATATCATTTACAATTACTGTAATATAATTAATTAATCATAAGTTAACATTATATGTGATATATCAAAAAAATTATACAAAATTCAAGTTTTTAAGTGATGAATTATGCATAATTTTTTGTTATGATTGATTAATTTTAATATTATAAGAAACAAAATTATAAGTGATATGAATCCTTCATGTACGTGATGATTCTAAATTTTATTTTTTGAAATAGTGAAAAAGTACAAATTATTGGGTTTGTTGATCCAATTTAAGTCATATAAGCAAAGTAATTTTCAAAGTATAAGCCAATCCTTTTCATATTTATTGAACAAATTGATCATACATAAAAAAAAGTAATTTGTGAAATAAATCAAAATTAATAATAGCTTTTGACTTTTAAACAAAAAACTTGAATCTTTCAAACTTAAATCATACAAGCAAAGAAATTTTTAATCTTAATAAATCTAATTTTTTTAATTGAGCAATAAAATAAAACGTTGTAAATATTAAATTCTGAATTTTAAATATATGATTTAACATCATCTCGTAAAAGTGATATATAAATTAATTAAACTAAATTTAAAATTTAAAGCTTAATAATAACAAATTGATTATACATGAAAAAAGTAATACGTGAAATAGACTAAAATTTTATTTGGATAGATAATGAGATTAATTACGGTGAAATTAAAAATAATAATAAAATTTATTATAATTATAATTAAAAAAAATATCGTAAATATGATTAAAAAAAATTTAATAAAAAATTTATGTTGATTTAATCTTATTAAAATTAATATTTACATTCAATTAAAGATATAATAAATTTAATCATATAATATAAAAAATACGATGAGTTCCAAACTACTATTAAAATTAATAATCGCTATTGACTTTTAAAAAAATACTTTATTCTTTATCATTGAGCTCATTCTTATCTCATTTGATTGCCAATAACAATACTATTTGATTTAGGCATTCTTGCGATTTTTTCAATGGTTGCTGACGTGTAAGAGCTCAAAGACATCTCGACTCCACGTCAGCTTCCATTAGATTAAAGAGAATTCCAAGCTGTCAAGTTCCAAGTAGATAAAATTCTCAATTACGTGTTTGTGTATAATTGTTTCATGTATATCAATATTTTGAATTTTTAAATAAATAATATTTGAAAATTTTAAAGTTAACGGAAGAACAATTTCATTGAAACCGACCAAACAAAAATTTATTGTCTTCGTCTGCCGCCCCTGACGTGGATAAACATTCATTCCACCAACTTGCGTTTTACCTTTTCAGCTCATGTAAAAATTTTTTTGCAACAAAAATAATTAAGACAGAATTACTAGGATGTCTTTTTGTTTTGATCAAATTGTTTAAGGCTCATTTTTTTTTAATAAAAAAATTTTAAGTTTAAGTCATATCGATAATAATTTATTGAAATAATTTTAATTATACGATTTATAATTATTTATTTTAAATTGTCAGATATAATATATTTTATTGTGATTCGAGAAATCGAATAATTTTTTATTTTTATTTTAAAAAAAATTGTACCCTCTTTAATTTTGATTAAAACAATAAATAATTGAGAAATGTTTTTGACTTCAAAGGACAATCAATAATTCATGAAGGACCACAAATATCATATATATATATATATATATATATAAAAAAAAAACTTTGATTTTGCTAGAAATTTGAAGAATTTGGAAAATCAATAGAACCAAGTTGTTTCTAAATTTTCTCATAATCCAAACAAAATTTGCTTCAAATTCTAGTTAATTTCTCTATTTAGAAAATTTTGGCTTAGATTACCACTTTCACTAGGTATTGCATCTGAATTTTGTCTAAGCTTTTTCAATTTCTTCGTCTTTAATGGAACAAAATTAAAGAGCTCGTTTTTTTTTTTTTTTTACGCATTTACAATTGAAAGAAGGGTTCACTTTCAATCAAATTCTATTTGATTTGATATTTGAAGACATTTATTAGGATCAAATTCTGTATCACTAATAAACAAATCAAATCAACGTAAATTTATTTATAATGAGATTTGAATTTAGAATTTTGAAATTTGTTTGATAATAAAACAGACAAATATATTGTCATCACAATTGAGCTAGTGAAGCATTCAAATCAAACAGAAGTACGTTGTTTTGCTCATGTTTTTTTCAGGTTGGCCGGTTTTACATCCACCAATTATGAATTACTATGAACAATGGAGCAAACCATGAACTTGGTTGGCCATGTCAGTGTCTCAAACTCAATAAAAAATAGATACGATGATTTATATATTTATATTATATAAAATATTAAAATTTATGTATTCATATAATATTTTATATAAATTATAATAATTATATATTATAATTTATATTAATATAAAAATATAAAAATATATTTTTATTTTATTAATCATATATAATTATTACAAAAATTTTAATCGTGATATTTTATTTTTTATCATATTTATATCATATCAATATATTAAATTTTATATTATTAGATTTAAAAAACAGCCCAAAGCGTCCCATTCATTTGGTCATGGTCGGTCAATAAAGGGGGAGAATGTAGATTAAATAATACAGATAATGGACGGTTCTTTCATGGGTCCATCTTTGATGTGAACTACTCTTTATCTTTACCTTCCATCAAAACCTTTGATAAAGGGCTTTTGTTTTAACCCTAATTTGAACCAAAAATTCATGGAAATTTTGGTACCAAAAAATTGAATGGTAGATGAATGAAAATGAAACAAACCTGCAAGAACATTTTCTTTTGACTTGGATAACCACAAACAATGACTAATAATCTAGGAAAATGAAAGTTGGAATTGATGATATTAGTATAGATTGGATGAATTGTAAGAATAATGCTATAAACTATCATTTAAGAATGTCAATTTCTACGTTTGAGATATGAAAATGATGAAATAGTTTAAAATTTATATATGATAATTTGAAATATGACACAATGATACAATATGAAAATGATACAAATAGAATATATATAAATAATATGACTTAAAATAAAAAAAATTATAAATAGATTTAATAAAATCAAAAAATTATATTTTATATTTTCATATTTATACGAACTGTGACATGCGATTTTTGTATAAAATACGATATAAATATAATATTTTACATGATATGATAATACGAATTATCAAATCTATTAAAATTTTAACATACAATTAATTAAGTAGATTTAATAAGTGATGTTTTGTCTTTAGCAAAAAAAAAAAAAAAGTTAAGTAGTGATTTGATTCGAATGGTTTTTTACTCATAACCAATTAGCTTAATGGTTTTAGAATCGGCTTCACAGCTAAAAATATTAAATTTCAAATTTTAATCATAATACAAAAGATTTTTAAAAAAAGTTATATTTTATTATAAAGTTTGGATTAAATTAAGATACCAAATCCAAATACTATTTTTGGTAAATATGATCTAACTTTGTAGAATGGTAGGTTAGCTTCACTTGTCACCATAAATCTCTTTTTTTTTTTTCTTTAATTGCAAGGTTGGAATCTAAAGATTTTCTAGTTGCAAGTTTTTAAGTTTTAATTATCCAAATGGACAAAAGCTTTTTTTTTTTTTTGGTGTAGATATATAGGGTTTATTTAGTTTTGTATTATTTTTTAGAGTTCATAAGCTTTACACCTATTGGTTGGAGTCTTCAAGCCAAAATATGACGTGCTTACTTCTTAGCAGTAGTGTATCTAAAATTAAACAAGAAATTACTCGTGGGAGTCAAAATATCAAATTATTTGCATAAGATTTAAATTGTTCGTAAATGTTCGGGTCAAGTCCAAATTTTAAAATTTGATTTGAATTAAATTCGATCCATAAACATGCTTAATTCAAGACTATAGAATTTACCTTATTGTTGGATGATAAGTTTTATACTATTATTTTACACAAATAGTGTCAAACAAAGGAATGAATAATGGTTAAAAGTAGAAGATGAAAGAGTTGGAATACATATATATTGTATCAAATAAATTGAGGATTTATTTGAATGGATAATAAAATTGATTTCAATGAAATTAAAAAAATAATAAAAATTATTATAATTATAATTAAAAAATTTATATTAAATTTTATTAAAATTGATATTTAAATTTAATTGATAATACAATCAATTTAATCGCATTGCATTAAAAATGTAATGAAATCTATAATCTTATTGAAAGTCTAAAATTCTAATTCAACGGCTGGAAAATTTTGGGTCCAAAAATGATACGGACCCAAAGGATGAGGCAAGCAGGTGATTATAGCCTCGAAGAATATAGGGTGGCGGGCAGCCAAAAGCTGTAGGTGGAGCCATGTCAGCTCTCTTATATATTACTAGGATTTGCTTGTTTCCTTTTTGGATCGATGGTTAAGGCTGGGTGGCCATGCCGGCCATTTGCCACCGGCCCCCACCACTGAAAGGGGCAGGGGGCCAAGCCAACCCAATGTCGTCATTTTTGTGAGCACGCTTCATACCACGAATATGAAACAGGTGAATGTTTCCACCAGATTCGATACCCTCCAAAATTTATTCATTTGGCTGTTTTTTTCTTTGAATTTAGTATTCTAAATTTCTCTTATTGTCAACTAGTAGAAAATTTGAGACTACAGAAGAATAAAAAGAAGAAAATTTGGTTTTAAGACATCAAGGGTACTGTTTTAAAAACTTTTCAACTAAAAATACTATATAATAATATAATATAAATACAATATTAAAATATAACGTAAAAGTTATACGATTTAAATTTTTAATAATAATTTTATATGATTTATCATAATTAAAATAAATATTTTATATTGATATAAATTATGATATAAAATTTTTGTATAAAATATAATATAAATATATGAATTTTAGTATTTCACATAATATGAATATACAAATATGTTTATAGGATTTAATAAAACTTTAAACTCTTAAAATTAGACTTAATAAATTAATTATAAAAAATTTTATTTATATTAAATAAACAATTACAAATTTTTATTCAAATAATTATAATAATTTGTATAGTTATAGATTTAAATCCTATCATTGATTTCTTTTTGTTACCTTAATCTCATAACGTATGAACACTGTAAAATACAACATACTCTTAATTACCATGATTTTGAAACGTAACAACAGTTATACATGACCAAATATCAGAAGACAAAAAAAAAAAAAAAAAAAGTTGTGTGTGAATAATAATCTCATGGGAACTAAATTTGAAATATTTAACTGCATTTTCATTTACTACATTAATGTTATAATGTAAAGAGAATTATTGAAAGAAAGAAGAAAGGAGTAAATTAAAGAGGATCAGCTCAGGGCTGAAACCTAGAACTATAGTGGACACTAGCTTTATAAATGAACCAAAATTTTTTTTTTTGGGATGATGGAATAATTTCACATTAAATTCTTTTTATTACTCAAATTAAATTCAGCATTTAATTTTGTTTTGGATGCGGTATGGACTTGCTTTATACTACTTTTTTTTGTTTAAAAAAATTACCTTTTGGTTCAAACATGCACAATTAATTTTTTTTTTTGACAAAAAAAAATTTAAGACAAAGGGAGGCTTTCCGAGGTTAAGGTGAGGGTAGATCATAAATTTTAAAGAGAATTTATATTTGATTTGTATATCGTCAATCAAAAGAGATTATTCATAATTAAATTCAAATTTAAATTTTATAAACAAAATAGTCCAATCTTACTATCTCAACCAACTTTGGTTGATCAATTAATACTGGTCATAACTAGCCAAACAATATATTATTGAAGAACACTTGCTGGATTTGAAATTATAAAAAAATAAACTAAAAAATTTAACTTTAAATTTTAAAAAACATGTGAGGTTTTTTAAAGATAAGGTATAATTAAATTTCATAAAAAAATTTAAATTTTAAATATGACAAATTAAATAAAGTCATGATTCGAATTTAAAATTTAATTTAAATTGATTTATATAATTAGATAATATTTAAAAGGTTTAGTATTTAAATCTCAATATTTTTAATATATTTTTTTATTTTTAGATCATAATTTTTTTTTTAGACAAAAATTTCACAAAATATTGGCTCATTTTCCTCTCATTTGGACTATGATCAATCCTTCCATAGACATTTTAATGGGCTAATAAAAAAAAAATCTCAATTCGTCTCATTCTCAGCCCATTTTACTTACTACTAACGGAACGACGTCGTGTATGAATTCCTTTTGCCAATACGCCGGTGATTGTGCCTTGTCTGGGCAGCATCACTTCCTAGAAACCAATAATGTCAAAACAAAGGGCAAAATCGAAAACTCCCACAAATCTCGGCGGGAAAAAGAGCCGTTGCTCATTAGACTACCAATATTTGGCGCCAAAAAATTTATCTTCACTCGGTTTCGGCTGCCCGTAAATTTCCGGGCAGCCATCCTTCTTCTCTCTCTCTCTCTCTCTCTCTCCGATCTCCTTTTAAGAAATCAAAGCTTAATATATACTTCTCTTTCATTTATTTTTCCCCTCAAAAACTCTCTTTTTCCCTCATTCAAAGCTCTCTCCTTTTCTCTGTTTCTTCATTTGTTTTGATACGTTTGATCAAAAACTCATTTTTCCTCTTCTTTGTTCCCATTTTCTGGCTGATTTTAGTCAAAGATTATAGCTTTTCCCCTGCTTTGTCTCTGTTTCCTTTCACTTGGATTCCTCTGTTTTTGCTCTGTTTTAAGTCATACTCATAAAAAAGTAACCATTTTCTCACCTTGTGTTTTGTTTTTGCTTCAAAGTCCCTTCTTTGGTTTTGATCACAAATGGGGTTCTCCAAAAAGCCACAAGTAGATGGAGTATTAGACTCAGAAGGGAAGAAATGGGTAATAGCCGGTATCGCCATAAGGACTTCATTGAAGCCAATAAACACAAAACCAAGAGGAAAAGAAAGTGAAGAAGAGGAAGAAGAACCTTGTTCAACAACTCCAACTTCAAAAGAAGCAAGAATACCGGACAAATTTCCTTGCCCTCCAGCTCCAAGGAAGCCTAGGCTTCCTTTAAGATGCCATTATAATGGAGTTAGGGAGTTCTTTACTCCTCCCGATTTGGAAACAGTTTTCAAGCGCCATGTTGAGAAAGCAAATTGAGTTTGAAATGACTACTTTTTAGAGTAAAAGTTCAAGTTTTTAGGTTAGGAGGTTTTTTTTTTTGTTTTTTTTTGGGTCTTTTTGCATTAGTAACTCTTTCTCTAACCAATATAGTGGAGAGGAGTTGAAGGTGTACAAAGATATGATAATTTGAATGAAATGAGTAGTGTAGTTTAGGTCAGTTGAGTAAAGCTTTCTCTATATGTATTCAAGTTTCTTGCTTTTAGCTAATACTACTAGCTGGTAAGTTCATACTTCATCTCTGACTTTGGTGCTTGATTGCTTGTGTTGGAATGGTTTGGATTATGGAACTTCTTGTACTGCTCTAGATGTTTGAATTGAAGCTTGAAGACTATAAAATTAGTGGTGATATCCAAATGAATGATTTTGGGTTTTTTTTTTGGTTTGAAATATTGGAGGTTTTGGTCATTCAAGTTTAGCTAGAGAATCTTGTAATAGTAAGCAGCAGTAACTTGTAAGGAAGAAAGTGGTTATTTTGCAGGTTTAGCCACAGACTAGTGACCACTGTTGGCTTCAAAATTTGCTCCACTGCATTCTATAATTCATCACAAGCTTCTTCAGGTCTTTGGTCATCAAATTCTTTGCTCCCTTCACTGCACAGGGCAAGCTCTCAGTAAATGATTGGCATACATATTTTCAGTAACAAAAAAATGTGAAGGAATCTTCATTTCAATCTTGCACTTATTCCAAGCTTCTTTCTCTCTCTTTTTGTGACTCTGCACAAAATTACACACGTGTAGAGTACATAGGGTTTTCAGCATACCAAAGTCCAAAAGTTGTCCCAACAAACAAATATTGAAAAGTAAATCTTTTGCATGGCTGAGAATGCTGCTGCAGGGATGTTTCAAACCATAATTTTGTGATTGACTATGATCAATCCCTCCCTGTCCTCCCAATCTTAAGTGACCCAAGTACCTCTTTTATGCTCTGCCAAAACCATCTTTTATCTTCCTATATGCCCCACTCAACCTGACCCACCACCCCTACCCTTGAACTCCATGGCAAACCTACGCCAAGTTGTTCTGCTAAGAGTGCTAATGCTTTCTCTGATTGTAAAATGACAAAATAATATTGAGTGATAGATTAGAATCCTATGTGGGATTTTTTTTTTTTTGGCAACCAGAAACATTTTTAACTCGTCAGGCCTTAATTTTGGAAGTATTATCATGTACCATTCAAATTTATTTCTTTCCAGCTAATGATGCCTTGTTTGTCTCCAAGGTGTGGCAATGGCAGAGATCTTTAAATCGGCAGGTTTCAAAGTTGGTTGATTGTATTTGTAAAGTTATGCTAAGGGAAATTTGTTTTTTTTTTTTTTTTTTTTTTTTCCAGTTTTCATCAAGTTAAAACCATGGAATCCGATGTATGGGAAAGCAATTGATGGCAAGTACAGCTTATTAACTTAGGCTATTATCATTTCAAAGCTAGTGGATAAGATTTTCAGCCATGTTTATTATACAAAAGAAACACCTCTATTTGTCTATAATGGAGTAGACAGGATATCCTGTGCATGATCAAGGGATTTGTCTAAAAGATGATAATGGAGTGGAGATCACTGGGAGTTTAACCTTATCTCAGGGTTTTCTTTGCATATTAAACAAATGCTTTCTAGGGATTAGCTTCCTTTATGAAAGCATATAGTATTAAAGCTGTACTAAAAATTTTAAGGTCTTAACTTTGTCAGATTCCTTATATATACTACAGTATTCAGCACCTCTTAACTCTGTCAGATTCATTATATATACTACATTATTCAGCACCCCTATCATCAAGCTGAGCAAGGTCAATACAATGAAAAGTTTAAACTCGATTCAAAATAAAAATTAAATTATTTAAACTTATTTTATTAGATTCATTTAATAAAAATGAGCTTGATTTTTATACTTGATTTTAATCTCGATTATGTGTTTAAACTCGAATTCAAGTTTTAATTTATATATATATAAATAAAGGTAAAATAATAATTTTTAAATAAAATAATAAAAATATATTAAATTTAAAAGTTCATTAAATTCATGAATTATTCAATTTGAACATTATGAAATTTTAACTCACTCAATAAGTTTACTGCTTGAGTTTAAACTCCACTCAATAATAATTAAATTAAAATTAAATTTTATTTAAATTAAATTCAAATAATTTGTGAGTATTAATGTATTATTTATATTTCTACCAATAAAGATTAAGGAAATGAACTCCACTTCTTTTGTCTATTAGGATTCAATTCTTGTTGGAAGCATTTCTAGAATAGTTTTTTTTTTTTTGTATTAGATTTATGTGAGAAAGTGCATCATTAAAACCATCTGAAAAAAGATTAGGTTTAAGTAACACTTTGGGATATGACCATTTTATTAGAAAAAAAAAATTCATCCTAAATAAATGTCACTTGAACTTGGATTGCTTGTATTAGGTTTCTTTTACTTAATAATTACTTATGGCTTTTCCTCTTGTCCCCGCATGGGGAGCAACAGATTTGATCTACTAACTTTATTTTCCTGGGTTGTTTAAATGTATTTGAAAATAATTTGAGAAAAAGTCTATATATAGACCATTGAATTACCTTCTCTTTCACACACACACACACACACACAAAAAAGTTCAATTAAATTGTTTGTGTCGAGTTTTGAGTTGATTAAAATTTTAAACTCATAAAAAAAAAAAGCGGTTAAAGATAAAAATAATGAGTGTTTCTCGTATTTACACTACGACATTTAAATTAGAAGTTAGTTATGAAAAGCTGAAAAAGAGTAAAATAAAAAAAAATACGAAAAAAAATAAGATGATTAGATAATATCTAGATGATCCTATTTATAAATAAAATATAAGAGGTTCGTGAGATAAATGAGTAACATGATTGAGTTGATGTGATAATATATATATCACATCGATTTAAAAATCGAAAATACCTTTAATTATATGCTAAATGTTTCTAATGAATGAAAAGATTATTTTACCATTTAAACAAAAAAAAAAAAGACCCTAACATAAATCTTTTAAAATCTTGAATCAGCTGTAGGATCAATGGCTTTTTAAGGGTGTCTTTTTGTTCTTTTTGACAACCCAAAATTCAAAAGAAAATGTTAAGTATTTTTGCCTTATTCCATTTTTAAAGAAAAGGGTTTCATGCAAAAAACCAATTAAACAATTCTTTGATCAATGAAAATAACTGCTCTTGTCTCATAGTGTTCATCTTAAATGGACTAAAATTTTCCTGGTGAATGACTTATGCCTGTCCTGATCAAATGCTTCTCACCAAATCTTACTTGGGGCAACTTCTTGATTTACTATTTTATTTTTCTTGTCTGTGGGGACCAAACACAAAAAACCAGCAAGCTTGATGAGGACATCAGGATAGCTATTTGCAGCTCAATTTATTGCTCAGTTTTCAACATCTTCCATTTCCTGATCCATCAACCAATTGGCACATTGTTCAACTCTACTAAACTATTCTCATAACTATAGTCTCAATAATAGAACTAGATTGACCAAATTCACCTGGATTCATAAAATAAAGTATTTGTCACCAATAATGCTGTTTATTAATGCTAATTTATTGCTTAATGTGGAGATCCGTGCTCAACTGAGATATATTGTTCATTAATTTGATCCAAAAATTTCATAATTTTATCTCAAAAAATATTTCTTAAAAGCACAATTTCAAGTACATGCATATATATATATATACCGTGAAACTAAAACAGTTTTATATATTTTTAAATTTTTGATTTTAATAGATCCAATAGATAAGAAAAACAAATAAAAGTAAAAAAAAATGATTTAATTTTATCTATTGTATCTATTGAAATCAATAATTATATATATAAATAAAAAAATGGTTTACTTTTATCTATTGTATTTATTAAAATCAATAATTAAAAAAAATACATAAAACTAGAAAGTTTTATATTATATAAGTTAATCTCTTATTTATTTATGTATATATTATAATGAATTCTTACAATATGTCGATGTGGGATTGAGAATATAAAAAAAAGTTATCTTCTTCAAAATTCGTTCTTCATACCTAGGACACACCAATTATATGTGTGTTTCTCTTTAACTTGGAATTGATTAATACAAGTTGGAGAATTATTGTTCCATTGGTTGCATTATTTAAAACTTAGTGAGTTAAAATACTCAAAGCCATTGGCCATTTGGCATCATTGTCTCCCACAAGAAGGTGAAGAGAAACAGATGGTCATTATTGGCTAGATGATGAGAGGGAAAATTTGAGAAACCCTTGTGAGCTTTTCAATCAAATACAGAGTCTAGGGAATACTTGGTAGATAGTGTAGGAGAATCTTGATAAAACTAAGAAAATTGTTGGTGATCAAATATGAGTTTGGTTAATTGATGTTGTAGTCATTTTTCAACTATAGATAGATAAATTGTAAACTAAAATAATAAAAAAAAAAACTCTTAAATTTTATAATTTTATTTAGATAAATTCTTATATTTTTATTTTATTTAAATTAACTTTTAAACATTTAATTTGTACCAAAGAATCTCCTAAAATAAATTATTATTTCATTTGAAATAAGGATTTATTTAGATAAAAATCATAGTATGAATGCTTATTTGGATACAATAAATGTATATGAGTTTATTTAGGAAAATTAAAATAATTCAAAGGCTTTTTAATATTTTAACCCATTATTATTTTAGGAAAGATTTTTGCATTTAATACATTATTTTCACCTAATTCAATGCATTTATTACAAATTTCTTTCTTTAAATATCATTTTAATTGATATCATTATGCACTAATTAATGAGTATTTATAAATAATAGTCAATATTAATATATTATTTTAAATTATTTAATACAATTTTTTATTAAATTTAAGAGAAGATAATGAATTAATTTTAATTTTTTTTTTATAAATATGATCTTAACCACAGTCAATAAACACTTTTTAACATTTTCCTTCCATTAAATTCCTGTTGGGGCCTTATTATTTGCTACAATTCATGGTTAAATGTTTAGACTAATAGGCATAAAAACTGAACATATACACTCTAATATCAATGCATACCAAAACTTGTTCCACTATTTACAACAATGTTATTTTGAGTCACTCACAAATGGATTTAAATGAGTTTATAATTCATATTTCAAACATGTTTCATACTTATATCTAACAAATTTTACAAGCATATAAGAAAAATTTTTCTTATAAAATAAAACCATGGTTTATACATGAAAATTGTAAACCTTGTAGACTAAAAGAAAGTAGTAAACAAATAGAATAAATGGTGGGAAAAAAAAAGAGAAAATAAAAACATTATCGACTTAGAGTTTAATGTAAATTATTCGTACAATTATTTTTAAAAAATATCATTTAATAATTTTAAAATTCAAATCTCAACAAATCGCTTATTTTATTCAAAACTATGACCTCTTTTATACAATAAAAAATAAAAATATTATCCTTTTTAAAAGGAAAAAAGTTACAAGGGGATATTGTTGTTATCTAATTTTTCAATCAGTTTGACTCATTGGTTTGTCTAATTTGAGGTTCAATCAATCACAAAATCTATGCTATTTCCTTTCCATCCCATTAAGGAAAAAAAAATCAATACAAGTAACTTCAACATTATTGACTTCAATTTTATTATTGCAAACTTTTAGCCCAAAGAAAACTGTAATCTATAAATGGAGAATATAGTTACATGTGTTGAAGTTTTAAAATTTTTTTTTTTGTTTAGGGAAGGGCAAAGTCCTTATAAGTAGATTTGATGATGATTTATATATTTATATCATGTAAAATATTAAAATTCGTGTATTCATATTATGTTTTATAAAAAAATTATACATCATAATTTATATCGACACGAAAATATAAATTATTATTATTTTTTGTTAAAACAATATAGAGTTATTGTTATAATTTTAAATCGTGTAACTTTCGTGTCTTATTTTTATATCGTATTTATATCATATCACTGTATAATATTTTAAATTATTAAATTTATTTATAAAAAAAATAAAAAAAATTTTGGCTCAAAATCAAAATTTTTATATTTTGAAAATCTCTTTACACATAAGATCAAAGAGTGAAGCAAAATTTTAAATTTAAATTTATCAAATATTATTTTTTAAAAATAATTATATAAATTAATTTAATTAAATTCGAAATTAATGTAATTTATACACCGTAATAATTGGTTTACACACTTTACAAGATTTTAACAAAATTTGTTCCTATAATTGAGCAAATTAATGCAGAAAGAAAGGAAAGATTGGTCCAACCCAAAATGAAGTTTGAGAAAAAAGGGGAATCCAATGTAGAAAAAAACGAACGGCCGATAGAGTAGCCAAGTACACATGGGCAGAACCAGGAATCCAAAGAAGCGAATAGATTTTAAACCCATAAAAAAATTATGATGACAACACTAATACCCTACCTCTATGACAGACCAATCATCGGCTTTCTTTTTTGTTTAGTCCCCGCCGTCCTTGTGTCTGCCCGGAAGGAGGTGCCCGTATTATTTTTTGGCGGGAAAATTGCCGTAAGGATACAAATTTTAGGGATTGTTCCCGCCAAAAGATTAATGAATTTTGTCCGGGAAAAGCGCGGCTATGACGGCTGGGCCTTTTTTTTTTTTCTTTACTGATAAGAATCATGGTCACTGTTTAAGGCGGCTGCCATTTTTGTGGGCTGAATCAGTGTGGCCGCTTGGTTTTCAATCCAAACTGTCAAAAGGTTCGTAGTGGGCCCCTTTTAATGGGTTCCACTTAATTAAAGCCGTCCACTTAGTTGACTTTTTTCCTTCCAGTGATTGATTGGTCTTTGGTAGGACCCTTAAGTGGCTTGACCAATAAAATTTTGATCTCTTGATCAATGAAACAATTCTTTTTTTAAACATTAGTAGATGGGAAATTCAATTCCATTTTTTTGAACAAAGAAAAGCATTTGACTGTCTCACCTTAATTTTTTTTTTATAATTTGTTAATTAGAATTAATCCTTGCGATTTTTCGTTGATAAGTGATTTATAAATTTTAAAAAGTTATAAATAAAAATTTAATAAATTCATTAATTTTAATTGAATTAACTATTTATTCTAATTTTTAAAATAAGATAATTTTTTTATTCCTAAAAATTTTTTGAAAAAAAAAATTAGTAAAGAGAAGATAAAATTTAAAATTTAAAATTATTAAATATTATATTTGAAAAATCACTAAATTAATTAATTAATTAAATTTCATAATTTTCACAAATTATATATGATGGTAAATTGATATAGTTTTAGATGATTTTTAATAATTCTTTGTTTTAAAAAATATATATTATTATTAAATTAAATATTTAAATACAAATAAATAGTGTCTGATGAGGGTTTTTTTTTTTTTTTTGCCCCTTTCTGGTCAAAAACGCGTACACTTTTACGTCTAATTATTTTTTTTGGTACCCTTTTTACTTTATTTACGCTTTTGTTTTATTTTATTATATACACATATTTCAAACTACACGTGTAGTGTTCAAAAATTATTACTCTCAAAAAGAGTAAAAAAGTTTAAGGTGGTGAATGTGGGTCAAATAATAACGTTATAAAAAGCCACATTAGCGGCCCATTTGGTAAAAAAAATTCTTACAAGTGGTTTTGTAACTTTGTTAGAAATTGAATTGATATTTTATTCAAAGATTAAATTTATTCAAATTATTATACATAAACTGAAATTTGATTTTTACAGAATAAAAAAATTAATTCCATAATTTTAATATAATTTATAATTTAAATTTGTCTATGAATCAAGTCAAATTAAATTAAATTAATTATTTAAAAGTCACGTCTAAAACTTAATCTAATCAGATCTAAAATTTTAAAATATATATTAAAATATTAAAAATATAAAAAATAAAAATTAATTATTTTAAATATAATTTTATTAATTCAATAATATTTTAGATCAAATCAGACTCAAAATTCAAAATTTATATCTAAGACTTAACTCGAGTCGAATTAGATTATAGGTCAAACGGATAGCTTATCTAGGTCTATCATCTATAAATAGTTATACTTTGTGATTATCAAATGAACTGGAAATTAATTACAATTTGACAAATCTGATAAATTAAAATGGTCACTGTTTAAGGCGGTTGCCATTTTTGTGGGCTGAATCAGTGTGCCTACAGGGTTTTCTTTTCAATCCAAACCGTCAAAGCTTCATAGTGGGCCCCTTTTAATGGGTTCCATTTGATTAAAGCCGTCTATTTGGTTGACCTTCTCCCTTCAAGTGATTGATTGGTCTTTGGTAGGACCCGTAAGTGGCTTGATTAATAAAATTTTGATCTCTCGATCAATGAAACAATATTTTTTTTAAATATTAGTAGATGGGAGATTCGATTCAATTTTTCGAGCAAAGAAAAGCATTTGACTGTCTCACCTTAATTTTTTTAATTTATTAATTAGAGTTAATTTCTTATGATTCCTCAATCTAGTTGAGATTGGAATAATTAAGGCATTGTTAATCAGTTGGGTGGGCAATCCAATTTGAAACGTTTCGATTTAATCCATTTTATAAAAAATTTTTTATTAAATTAAGTTTTGGATCAAGTTAAGTTTTTTTATTTTTATTAATTTTTTAGAAAAAAATTAAAATTTTATTTTAGGCAAATTTTTCTCTCTTTGACGAGATATATATATATATATAAAATATTTTTTATTATTATTTAATTTTATATTTATATTTTTAAATAATATTTTATTAATATCAAATCAAATTAAATATTCAAAATAATATTATAATATTTTAATATCAATTTGAGTTTGAATTCAACTTCAAATTTAAATTCGAATTTTTAATATATAAAATTAAATCAGATTCGGAACTAGTAAAATCGGTCCTATCTCAGCCCGTTGTCATCTACTCTAGTTAAGCTTGGAATAATTAATGCTTCGTTAATCAGTCCCAACTAGGGTTTGGTTAGACGGTGGTGGGAGCAACTCTTACTGTACCGTAGTTGCGTTTTATGATTGGACCTCTAAGGGTTAAATAAATACTATGACATGCACAACGCGATGAGAGTTCTCCCACTACATATCCAAATTATCCCAAGTAGCTGAATACTCTAGCTCGTGGGCCGAATAGAAGGAATCTAAAGAGAAGAAAAGTTGGCTAGTAACCAAGATACCTCATTCATTTAAGATGAAGACATTTATCTAAAACATTAACTAGGCATGGTACTGGAGTTAAAGATAATCCAGTTACAAGAAGAAACCAAAAGGATGTTAGTTGAAGCTGAAAGGAAAGATATAATAGCCAACCGACCATTCACCGAAAGTAAGGATCCATTGAAAGCAACACCATGGGAAAGAAAAACATGTCAGGAATGCAACTAATCAATTACAATAATTTAAAATGACGGCCAAAGATTCATCAGAATCCTTGCTTATTAGCAATAAGCTAGGCAAGCAGAACTAGGCAGGTGACCGGATGGTTCTAATGAACATAAAGCCACCAAGAAACATTTTTTGTACCTGAATCACTTTGTAAAAACCAGATGTGAGGATGATCTGCCTTGGCTTCCTGGACGTATGCTGCTCATTGATGCTTAAAGTCAAGCTATTGCATGTTTTAGCTTAGCATCATACTCGAAACTCTAACTGAGAGCAACAAATTCTAGCTATTCCTGATGAAGCAGTCCAGGCAAACGAATTTCCCACTGATGTTTAAAGTCAAGCGATTGCAGGCTTTAGCTTAGCATCATACTCGAAACTCTAACTGAGAGCAACAAATTCTAGCTATTCCCAATGAAGCAGTCCAGGCAAACGAATTTCTCGTCACCAAATCTCTCCATTTATTACAGAGTTTAAAGCCAAAACACCATTACATCTGCTCTTTCTCTGAAGATGATTGGATTGGTTCGTAAGAAATTCTCACCCATTTGGGCTGTTGACACTTCCAAGCTATCATATCAATGAAAATATCTTCCTTCTTTATATTGTATAACTATAATATGATACGTTTCCTGATATAAACATGTCAAAGGGCTGAATTTGCCCTTATATCCCTCCGTTAAGATGACATCAAAGTGCTTCAAGAAACTAATTTAAATTTCCAAGCAAAGGAGAGTAATTTATTGTTACAAAAGCTCATTTGTTTACAATTAAGTGAGATAACCACAACAAATTTCTATAGGTGAACAACCAGAGAACCGGGGAGGCTAACTGGCTGCTTTCGATCTACTATTAAGAGAACATTTGATTCAAACAAATACCTTGCCCCTAGAGCACTAATATATCTGGCAATTGCTGATTGCTAAAGTTACCAACTTGATTCACTAGACGCAAAAGAGTGAAAACATTAATAATCAATGCATTCATAAACATATAAGTACCATGAATACGAACATGATTTATGGCATAAGTAGAATTGTTGCAGTGCCAATATTCCAAAAGGAACCAACATATCATAAGTAACAATGACATTTTCCGTGTTTTGGTTTCCAAATTGAAGAACATTCAATTTAATTGCAGTTATCTTATTACAATAACAAACATTTTTAGCTTGATTATTTAGAGAGCAATGCAGCTCTTTCTATTCCAGAACATGAAATGAAATATTTACAGCAAACAAGCAAGTTTTGTGGTATATAGCAGTTCTTGTTGGAACTTCAGGAACTTAATTATGTACTTCAATCATCGAATCATCAACCAGCAGTTACCTCTATAACTTTATGCAACGCCCATGTCCTTGCAACGTTGGAAACCTTGCTTTCCTCCACCTGCATCTGTCTCATATGTGGACAGTTCAAGACAAAGAACTCGACTGCCTGAGCTTCAATCCCAGGACAATTCATAATATCAACACTTTGCAAACGCTTGCAGGTCTTAGATACAGAAACCAAGGTCATACTAGTCAGCTTTCTGCATCCTCTCAACTTCAATTCTGTCAGATCATTGCAGGAAACTAGCATAGAAATGAACTCCTTATCAAGCAACATCTCATTATAAGACAAGTCCAATTTCCTCAACATCCTCAAATTTTGCCCGAGTGTGGCTAGCAACCCATGTTCTCTTTCAACAACATCACAATTTATTAACGCCAATTCTTTAAGACTAGAATGCAAGGCAGTCCCAAGAATCCTTAGACCTTCGCCAGTAACAAGACAGGAACTTTGAAGCCGAAGTGTTGAGAGACCTCTTAAATTCATGGCAACAGCTAAGAGGTGATCGTTATTGAGGTCTAGCGGCAACCTGAGGTCAAGTTTCTGCAAATTACACCTACAAGTGTTTATGAATTCCAGCAAACCATCTCCGCTACCTCCATCATAAACCAGCAGAGAATTCAGTGAAGCACAATTCTCTGCCAATCTTAATAACACCCCATCAACTATACTCCTACATTTCCTTAATTCAACTTCTTGAAGACCTTCCACGCATAAGATAAACGATGAAAAAGACTCTACATCACCAACACTCTCACAGCTCTTTAGCTGCAATTTCTTAAGCCTTTTACAATTCCTCCATAGCCAACCAACACCCTTATCATCTGCCTGAATTCCTGACAAACAAAGACTTTCTAGACCAAATTCCGCATCCAATTCCTCATTTAAACACAGCCCAAATCGCTTACCTTCATCATCAACACCATCAGTTGAGCATACATATAAACAGAGCTCCTTCAAGCAAGAAAATGAAACGACCCAGTTGAGAAAAAGAGGCTTAGATAAAGAAACGGTAATACAAGTAAGGTGGGAACAAGCTTTTGATAGTGACAGCAAAGAAGAAACAGAAACTGGACCAGCTAAGAACCTGAGATGATGCAGGTTAGAACAACAAGAAGAAACTACGAAAAGCAGGTGATCAAAAAAGGCAGTGCTTGGATTGTTGTTGGATAAAGTGGCGTTGGTGATGGCATCAGACAGAACAAGAGAGAGAGAAGAAAGCGAAGGGTAATAGGAAAGAAGAGAAGATAAAGAAACAATCACAGAATTGTGCGGAAGAAACCTGAGAGAAAGAGAAGTTTTTGAGCTTCTGTAAAGGTTAAGCCAACGCTTGGAAACTAAAGAAACTGATAAAGAAGATGATGGCGTTGATGGCAGTCTTCTAAATATTTCTTGTAGAAGTTCATCACATAACATGTTATCCATAATCTCTCTTTGCAAATTCTTCAAACTTCAGAGCTTTTTTCTGGGTTTTTTTTTTGCTTGTTTTTCTCCTTGAGATACCTACCAAGGAGCTTTTATGTTTTGTGAGGCTTTTGAGTTGTTTTGGTTTTATTTTTGGTTTTGACAACTGTTTTCCTGGCTGTGATTTAAAGGTCGAATTGTGATGATTAGGTGAGAGAGACCATTGAGTTGGATTGGAGAGGGAGGTTCAGATTTTGGCCAAGCGCAGATCGAAGCGCGTGTACGGTATGTTTTTGTTGGAGTTAAGTTAAGAATGGCAATCCAATCTGTCCCATTTCGACTTGATTCGATTTTGTTTAAATTTTTTTTAAAATTAAGTTTTTGGTGAGATTAAATAATAATAAAAAAATTAAAATTAAATTTTAAATAAATTCATTCTGTCTCGATTTAATATATATAAAAAGTTTATTTTTAATTAATTATTTATATATATTTAATTTTATATTTACATTAAAAATAATATTTTATATTAAAAATATTTTATTAATTTTAAATCGAATCAAATCTAATATAATATTATATAATATCGGATTAAATCAAATTTAAATATAAAAAAATATAAAAAATATTTATTCGAATCAAATTAAATATAATATTATATAATATCGAATTAAGTCGAATTCAAATATAAAAAAATATAAAAAATATTAATTCGAATTAAATTCAAATATTACAAATATAAATTAGATTAAATTTGAAACGAACAAAAATCTAATCCATTGTCATCTCCAGTGAAGAGTCACATATCTTCTCCGTAATTCCTCCTTAAAAACAGTAATTGTTTCTTTTAAGTTAAAAAAGAGACCAATTTTGAAGATTGGAACTTAGGAGTTAATGCATTGAGGGAATTTTTTTTTAATGCTTTTTGAAGTTTTACTTTTGCCTATATGGCATTTAGTTACTTAGATTAATAAGATTTTTCTCCATTAAATACTTGGCCTTTTCATCTTAGATATGTTAGTGTTCGAAATAACCATTGATTCTAATTTACCCAAAAAGTATTTATAATTAATGATATGCTTGAATTATCAAAATTTTCTTTTTTTGAGAAATTATAAATATTTATGATGTAAATTTTAGACTTATAATACATATTTTTTAAAATATAATAATCTCTTAGTTTCGTTAGTAAAATTAAAAATTTTATTATTAATATATTAAAAATGATTTTTTTCTTTTTGTTAATTATTAGCTTTTTTATTTTAATATATTTTGTTTTTTTATTTTGTGTGTTCAAGTTTCTTTGTCAATTTAAATTTTTTTAATCTTCAAGTTGAAAGAAGATTCCTTTTCATATTTATACATTTTTAAGTTGTAATGATCCAATCATACCAAAAATTTATTTTTTTAATCACATTTTTCTCTCTAACCTAACAAAAAGTTTTAAAAATTTACCAAATAAAAAAGTATTTTAACCACCTTATCTTAGGCCACACTTTATGACTTATAAAATCATCAAAAAATTTTTTACTTAGAGGCAAAGGCAATTTCACTTACTTTAGCAAGCGCGTTGGGCTTGGTATTAGCCACCACGTCACAGCAACCTTTTTTTTTCTCTCACATCATCATAATTGAAAATTGAAAATTGAAAATTGGCTTTTTTTTTTTCCTTACATCTTTACAGATAATTTCTCTGTGTTGTTTTTGCATCTACGCTTGTCAATTCTAACTAGAATTCCATTCCCAATTTTTTTCCTTAAAAAAAATTCTGTTTTAATGAAGGCAAAATTTTGGTTTTTTTTTATACACCGTTAATATAAATTTTTTAACTTAATTGTTGAGAAACTGATACATTTTCTTTTATTTTTTTTTAATATAGCTTAAAAAATAAGTCAATGTAATAACTTTATTTGTAAAGTCTAAAAGTTCCATCAACAATGGATGAATTAATTTCCTTGATTAGATTCTTAAAATATGGTTGGAGTTTAAAAAAGAAATCTAAATTAGGTAAAACAATGAGGTTAAGCAGGGTCAACTGTCTTTTTCCTCTTAAAATTTTTAATTTCTAATTTTTTTGTTTTCTCGGAAAAAGCTAGGTGCTTTGATGTATTCTTGGAGTTTCCTCAGAAAGGGATGTAACTTGTTGTTTATTAACATTTGGTAGCAATGCCTGAGGCCAGAACCTCAGCCGGTTTCCCTCCTTTCTTCCCAGCCCTTATTTCTTGTCTAAATTCTTATTCTTGCAACCTTTTTTTGTCTCCTTCTCTTGATTATTACAGCTTAACAATCAACTACCTGTCTAAAACAACATAAAGTTTGCAGTTTAATCATGTATTGAATGCATTCGGACTCGTGTATGTATGCATGTGTATGGAATGCTCGAGCAGAAGCATCGAGCATCCTATGACTTTAGGAGCACAAACAAAGCAATCAAAAATGGATTCACAATGACAAGATTTATAAACCAATACCTAAAATTCCCATAGCAGCATAGAATCAATAGACATCAAATTGCAGTCTTTATGAGAATTACTTTTGCTTTTGTCACAGGTTCCTTACCTTTTCAAAGTGGGGATGTTGAATATTGTCCTTAGAAATCTGGCATCTTCTTTGTTCATCCATGAAAAATATATCACTTTAACTGGAAAAAGTTGGTAAATAAAACAAACATATTCAGTTGGGAGCTATTGGTGAGCAAGGCATCTAGTCCTTATCATTTTCTTTCTTCTACTTAAATTTACTGTCAAACAGCATTGCAAAGCAAACACCTTTTTTAAATGGTACACTATCGGAAATAGGCAAAACAACAGATGATTCCCTTTAACCCAAAGAAATTATGTCAACATGACCAATATTATACAATAAAATCTTGCCTAATTTTCTCTTTCATGATTGATCTTTTTCATGGAAATTTCGACAAGTTGAGCAATCATATACATGCATGCCAGCATTCATTTGTGTATGGAAGAGTATGCACCTAAATAAGGGCAATCTAAATGTAGAGATGCTTCCTCCTTTGAAACCCAAGTGTACCTCTGCATTGGTGGGCCACTTGAGCTTACTTGCATGCCTTAGACTCTAGCTGTGAGAGGAAGTTCGAATAAATTCAGCACAAAAACAATCATAAAGACCAGATCAATCATCTGTGTCATACCGCCATTTCTTAAAAGACCAATAACAAGTATGTCAAACCTCATTGTTATCCTACCAGCCAACCAGCTAATTCCAAAATCAGACCCATAACATCCAAGTTCCGGAACATTGTGTGGCTTTGACAGAAAAAACTCGTGTGCTCTCTCCAGATTAAGTCCATTTTCATTAAAAGTTTACAGTTAGGTAAGACGGCAAACATTGAACTAAAAAACTCTGGATCTTCAATTTGCAGGTCTTATCAGAATTAAGACATGTCAACAAGTATGAAGCAAAATGTGAATGCATAATACCCAGCATGGCAAGTGTACCATGCCAATGAAGAGATATGTAGCACTGTTCCATGCCCAAAGAGACTCAACCCATATCCAGAAGGCACCAACATTGACACTGCCAAAACCATCAAGCATCCCTTTCAACAGAAAAAAAGCAGCTGGAGGAAAAGCAATAAGCCCTAAAACCAGATTGCCAATCATCCTGGAAAAACTTCTCAAAGTTCCAGCTCTAACATCAAGCTTTAAAGGTCGAGCCAGCAAACACATTGGTACCATCAATAAAGCACCAATTTCAGCGGTAGCAAAATTAATGACTGACATGAGCCCCAAACCAATGAACACTGATGAGATAGTCACCGACTTCACAAGAGCCCATTCTTTTTCTTGAGATGCTTTAGCACAAGATAAAGGAGAAGCCAGAACTGAGTACAAGGTTAGAAAGCTGAGCATTGAAAGCAAAACCCAGATCATGAAGCTGGTAGTTGGGGTGCAATCAGGTATTTGGCAGATGACATATGGAATTAATGAAACAATAGCACCCCATAAGTGAACAAGAAAAACTAATTTTGCCGAATTAAGCCACATCCATGATCCAATAGTGATACTGTGCTCATCAGTATCAAGGCTTGCAGATGGAGTAGATTTATCACTTTTAGAACAGTTGCCCAAACTACTTGCATCAACATAGAGAGAAGCCGCAACTATAGGAAGTGGTGCTATGAGAAGTGCAAATGCAATCATGTAAACCCCTACAGACACAAACTTACTAGGAGATGTTAAGAGGTATAAGAAAAATGATTGGTGAAACTTCTCAAGGAGGTTATTGACTGATCGTATAACTCCTTCAATCAACCTGCACCAAGCAACATGAGATCCTTCAGAAGAATTAAAGTGACAACAAAAAAGTTATATACGACGATCTACAAATTGTAAAACCTATCTAGAGGCAAAGACCAGTTTATAGAACTTCTTAACCAGAATCATTCACATTATCTGGAGTTCAAAATTTCAAGACAACATCCTGTTGAAAGCTACTTATTGATGAGAACTACAAGTATAAATGGAAAGCAATAGGATGGAACATTTACCGGCCACCTCTTAGAAGAATGTCACTGTGCCTGACTTTATCTGATGAAAATTTAGGTAAAATCTCCAATGTAATTGCATCAATTTGGTAGTCACGGAACGCACCATGAGGGCCTGTTGGTAAACCTAGAGCCTAACAAAACAAAAGCAATACGGAGAGAGTGAAAGTAAACATCTACTCAATGAATAGAGATAAATGTGCAACTCCTTGGATTTATTCTTCTTCCATTTGATATCATTGGAAGTAGAAGATTTGTTAGAAGTATGAACCAAAAAAGGAGGAAAACAATGGATAAAAGCAGAGATAACCACATAACAACGGTATTCTACCTGATAATACAATGAACTTGCAAGTGTAGCAGTGCCTTCAACGTACTCTGTTGCAGTGATGCCAAATTTCCATTTAGGGTTTAAGCTTTTAGCTACTTTTCCTAGAGATTCAAAGATTTCACCCAAAATTTTGAGCCAACTGGAGTTAAGAAGGGACCACAATTTCTCCACCTTTACATGCAAGCCTTGCCTGTGCACTGCCAAATAATTTACAACATTGATGAGGTCCAAGTTTGGCATCTGCCCATTAGATGCCTCAGCATAAATACTAATAGTGTCTTCAAATTGGTCACTTTTATTTCTGACCTTCAGGACCAGAGCAGCAGCCATAGTCCCAGCACGTTTAAAACTACTAGAGAACTTACTTCCAGTAATAGAGTTAACTTTCAAGTCATAAAGATTATCAATATCTGGACACATCTCAGCATCTAGAGTACTCAGGCTGCTAAATTTAGGAGTCTGATAATCTCTTAACCAAGCAGAAACTGCTGCATATTCTCCATACCGTGAATCGGCAACAAGCCATATAATATCCTTGGCTAGCCAAGTAACTTGAGAGAGCAAGGAAAATACTGAGTATGCAATGCCTATAGATAAAGCCTCACCAAGACCACTCTTTAGGGCGTTGTATGGTGTTACCAAGACGATAGCCTCCTTCCCATCACCACGAGGAGCTCTTATGATCCCAACAGTGTTGATACCATATGATGAACAACTGTAGTTCTCTTCTATTATGCCAGAATCCGGACTAGAGAAAAAGTGCAGCGGATGAAAGTGATTCAATTGACGGTGGAATTTGTGAATACTAGCTTCAGCACCCAAGTCTAACATGTACCGTGCTATGATTCTTTGGCTTTCTCTGAAATGGCAATAGAAACAAGGTAAACAGAATCAGACCACATTTCTTTTACCTATTTTTTCCATGCATTGTTAAGTCAAGTAGGGGATGACGACAAGCTCGTAATCCAAAAAAGTGAATATCAAGATGTCAAGAGAAAACAGAAAGAAACGGCAACTAATCTCCATGTAAAGAAAACAGATTATCCAATGTCTAACACTAAAAAAGACAAATTGCATATTAAGTACGTCACAGGAAAAGGATTCAGAAAGCAAACCAAAAAAAAAAAAAAAAGGCAAGTTCTACTTTATTTTAGATCAAATATATAAGTAGGTTCAGATTCAAGTAGCCCTTATTAAACTCCGGTCAGGTCATTTATTGCCTAAAAGAATTTTTTGGCTTAGCCAAAAGAAAAAAATTTAACTGCCTAAAACAATTTTTCAGAAGATTTCAATTTCATATGTTCAGAGGCAGGTTTGTATCTGTCAGTTTAGCTTAGTCCGGGTTTAGCTGAATAAGACATGATTCACAGCAATAAACAAGAACTAGAAATAAAGGGATACTACATCATAGATGAAACAAGTACGGACATGACGACTATAACTTGCTCATAAACATGAAAATCTCACATAATCTTGTAAATGCTACATGCTACAACATTCAAACTCTTTGTGCATAGAATAAAAACTCCGCAACAAGATTTTAAAACCCATATACACATAATCAGTGCGCACATTCCTGTTTCCGAAGATTTCAAGTTTGAACTAGTTAGATCGTTCACCAATCTATTTCCTTCCAAAACATGCTGATTAGCAAGCATGGGACTCGCAGAACCTGCATAAATAATACCAAAGCCACACATTAAACAAAAAAAAAAAAAAAACCACGGATCCAACAAAATAAAACACGATTATAACACCTATTAAGGAATTCAATGCTTGTAAAATGAATCACATGCATAACAAAATTAATATGAAAAATAAACTTAAATCATCTTTTTCTTTTGAGTGGATGAATCCAACGTTATATTTTATCATTTTTGGATCCAAATAAACAGTAAATTTCACTCAACTTAACTTCAATACAGCTAAAATCGCTACTTCAACTGATTTCATTTCAATTATTTAAACTGAAAAAGAAAGCAAGGAAAATGGAGGGGAACCTGGCATGAGGGCATTTTCGGAAATGTAAGTGTTTTTAGCAAGAACAGGTAAGAGAAACAGAGCCAGAACCCCAGCAGTGCAGCAAACGACACTGAAATAAACATCAAAAGATTCAAAACGGCAAACCATTAATAATAACTGATTTAAAACAAAAAAGTCAATATAAGGTGAAAAATAAATCAGTTTACCTGACGAGAAAGCTGTGAGCAATAAGAAAGATCCCGAGGCGAACGATTGGCCTTATCCTGGGCTTCGGTTTTTCGTTGCTCTCACTTTTCTCTTTGGTATCGGCCATGACTTTTTGTTTTGAGGAGAGCTTTGGTTCTGTCGATGTAATGTTAGATGTTGAATTTGAGAGATTACCCTAGCAATCTTCTGAGTGTGAAGAGCGAAAATCAGGAAAGTGGGGCTTAGAAGAGCCGACGAATGGGAGAAAGGGAAGTCTTTGAGCTTCGATCGGAAATAGATCGGAGCATAGAAACTTTGGAGGTTGTTGGGCCGTTCTTTCGGGATGTCGTAGTTTCGGCCCGTTAAGTTTTTATTTATGCTGAACATTCGGCCCATTTAATTTTTTAAAAATTCTTAACATGCACTTAAACCTATAAAAAAAAATCGAAAATCAATTCCCAACCATAATTTTTTATTAGATTTAGATTAAATTTAAATATTAAAAAATATATATATATATTATATTTAAATTGAATTTTAGATCATGAACTAAAAAACAGAAAAAAAATAAATTAAATATTTTATGTTTATATTTATTTAAATATATTAAAAATAATTTTAAAAATTTAAATTTTAAAAATTTTAAAACCAATGAATCAATCTAGATAAAATTTAATTTTTATATTATGAAAATTCAAATTTAATTTTAAAATTTTAAAATTTTATATATTATCTAAAAATAAATAAATCGAATTCAAACCATTATTATTCATACTTAATTGAAAAGAGCATTAAAAATCTTTTTTGAATCTATAATTTTTAAATATAAATTCCAACACATATAAACCAATTAGCATTTAATTTTTCTTTTATGATGATATATTTAAGCTCTTTTTGTTGCTTTTTTGTACATAAAATAAAATAATGATTTTTTTGAAAAATATGACCTAAGTTTAAATGATTTTAATTTTCAAAAAAAATGTTTAAATGATTTTAAATATTTTATTGTCCTTTTTTTTACTATTAAATAAGAAATTATTTCTTACAATTATCTCGTTCTTAAGATAATTGAAACTTTTTTTTTCTTTTTAACTTTTATATTAATAATATATTTTCTATTATTTTAGTATTTTTTCTTGTCCAAAGAAATTATTTTCGTATTTCACACACATAGTAGTGGGCATATAACTAATATTAAATAAATTTTCTATTAAAAAAGAGGTAAACCAAGATTTTCTCTAAAGCTTTATACTTTTTTATAAGCCAGGTTTGCCCGGGCTTGAATTGGGCATCATCGACCTCGAAAGCCCAAGCATTCATAGGCCCTTTTTATATTTGTTATTTAAATAATACCCTAAAACGACATCGTTCCATCATATGCTTAAGCGCACCGTTTTGTCGCCCAGGCTCTAAGGCAAAGTCGATAACGGAATCATTGCCGATAATAGTTGCTCCGAGAAGAAAACTGAACTGCCAGCACGCTTTAGCTCCCAAAAGAGTTGCTTTTTCCTCTTCAAAACGAAATGATTTTTATCAAATAAATACCGAAATCACCCTTACCGTTTCTCTGATTTTACACTTCCAATGGCCATCTCTCTTTCCTCCTCCATTCTCAACCTCAAAACCAAACGCCAATCTCCGCTCTACCTCGCATTACCAAACCGACACCGTTTCAATTCTCTAACTTCCCAGTTTTCACCTCCAAGCAGAAACAACAATGCGGATTTTCAAAAAGTTCTTCCAAAGAAATGCTCAGCCGATTTCGGAGCCCTCCGTCCACGTGGCAGCTGGTGGAACCTCCGTAGTATCGAATCTCCAAAATCCTCTCCGGCGAAGCCTGTTACTGTTTGGATAGCTCTTAATCGAATGTGGAGCTTGATCGGAGACGATAAGTGGATCATCTTCCTCGCTCTCAGTGCTTTGATCATAGCTGCTGTTCGTGCAATTCATAGTCCAAATTGAAAATTTTATATATATTTTTTTAAAAATTGATTTATTTCTCAATTTAAAAGAAATTTTCAATTCCAGGTTTCGGAGATTTCGATGCCTAGGATATTGACGGCGTCGATATTTTCTGCTAACGGCGGCGAGTCTTCAGCGTTTTTTAGAAGCTCCCGTATGTTGATTTTACTGTTACTTATCTCAGGAATTTGCAGGTATTTTTATATTTTTAAAATTTAAAGTTTCTTAGCATTTTTATTTCAAAACAAAAAAAAAAATTAGCATTTCGTTTATTTGAGTTATTTGTTTGAAACTTTGTTTCTTTTTTAGCTTATTTTTATGTTAATTTCAGTGGCTTGCGAAGTGGCTGCTTTGCGATGGCGAATACGATCTTGGTGAGAAAATTTTGACTTCAATTTTGCTCTTTTGCTTTTGAAAGAAAATGGAAAAAAGCGTGATTTTTATGGTATATGGAGCTATTACATTTCAATTGTTAACTTCATTTTCGTTGTTTGTTTGTTTGCTAATGAAAATGATTTTGCTTTAATTTCCTAGTAAAATCTGAGAAAACAAAAAAAAAAAAGCAAAAGTAGTAACCAAACATGGCCTTACTTTTCCTGTTACTACAATACTTTATTTGCAGGTTAAGCGTCTTAGGCAAAGTTTATTCGCATCTCTTGTTTTTCAGGTTCGTGATCTAGTTGAGAATCATAGTACTTAGGGTTGTGATGCATATTAAATTCATGAATAACGAATGTAGATATGTCTTGTTTGTTTGTTTAGTAAAATAGTATCTGCTGCTGGTGCTTTTGATGTAGGATATATCATTTTTTGACATGGAAACTGTTGGTAGTTTGACAAGTAGGCTTGGTGCAGATTGTCAGCGATTCTCTCATGTTATTGGGAATGATATTCATCTGATAATCCGCAATGTTATTCAGGTTTTGGTTTTTTATCATATACTACATTCATTGTGCATATTTGTTTCAGGGTAGAGTTTGATTACTTTTTTCCTATTGAATATTTAGGGAACAGGTGCATTGATCAATTTACTGACTTTATCTTGGCCCCTCACATTACCAACGTTGATGATATGTTTTGTTCTCGCTATATTATTTTCATTTTATGGCCAGTGAGTATTGTTTCTCTTTTCACCTTAATTCAGCTTTCAAATTGTCCTTTTCAGCTGATTTAGAATGTTTATTCAGTTTGAACCAAGTCCTTCCTATCTTTTCTAAACTGCATCAGGATCTGAGTTTATGATAGATTGCTCTGTTCTACTGCAATGATGCCTATGGAACTCTATATATGTTGTACTTATTATGCATAAGCTGAATTAGCATGGCTGGTGTTTTTGTTAGGTACCAAAAGAGAGCTGCAAAGTTAATGCAGGAGTTCAATGCATGTGCCAACAATGTAAACCACGAAACTTGTTCTGATTGCTTCAAGATTTCTGCCACTCGAATAACATTCCAAATTAACCGGTATCTTGAATGTAGGTTGCTGAAGAAACACTTTCTTTAATGAGAACTGTCCGGGTTTATGGAACAGAAGGAGAAGAACTTGCAAGGCAACATTCTCTTTAGAATTACTCCACTAAGCATTCCAAATTTTATGGGTGTACTTTTTCCTTTTTGATTCACACATCTTTGGAAGGCATAGAAGTTGACAACCAAGTCTTTCACGTACGACAAATGTTAATTTTATCGTTGATCCCATTTGGTTTTAGGTACAAGCAGTGGCTAGATGAATTAGCTTTTGTAAGCATTCGAGAGAGCACGGCGTATGGATTCTGGAGTATGAGTTTTCTCACCCTTTACCGTTCAACACAGGTTATTTTCCATTCACCCTTTACCTTTGCCTCTGGTTGGATGAATCACACTGCAAATGATGAAATGTAGGAAGATGCATCTTAGTGACCAAAAAAGAGTTCTAATGTGAATGAATAACTATTATATGACTCAAACTTTTATTTCAAATATTTATATTGCAGGTTCTTGCGGTGCTGTTAGGAGGAATGTGCATCATGAATTCCCATGTATCACCTGAACAGCTTACTAAGTACATATTATACTGTGAGTGGTTGATTTATGCTACTTGGAGGGTGGTAGACAATTCATCATCGCTATTGCAATCCATTGGAGCTTGCGAAAAGGTCTTCCAATTAATGGATCTCTTGCCTTCTGATCAATTCTTATCAAAAGGCAAGTGTATTGTGTCTCCTTAGGGGAATATTCCATAAGCATAGATATTGTTTATTGTCTTGCTTCATTTGGTTTAGCTTTCATCATATAACATGCTGCGAGAGCTAGTCTTTGCACTAACTCTTGCCTCTTATAATAACTCAAATTAAGTATTCTGCTTCAAATTGTTGAACAATTTGGAGAACCTTGCATCATCTTATCTATATATTCTAAAACATTTAACCTGAAAGAAATGCTCTCTTTTATTGTTCATGAAAGATTCTGGAAATGGAAAACAAATCCTGATAAATTTGAATTTTTGACTGTTTCAAACTCTAGTAATTTGAACTGAAAGTTCATTTTAGATTCAAAGATTTATTCTCAATCTGTTATTTTCATTCAAACCAAGTTTTCTTTCAAATAATTAATTCTTTTAAATTGTCGTGCACATTGTTTACAGGAGTGAAGCTGCAGAGATTAATGGGGAATATACAGTTTGTGAATGTAGTTTTCCACTATCCTTCAAGGACCACAGTATGTCTCATGTCCTTATAAAGTACATGAAATCGTAAATTTTTATTTCCTTCCTCTGTGTGCTATAATTGTCATTATCTTAACAATAATCATTAAAGTTTTATCAAATTCTTCCTTCAACTGGGGAAGGGATTCTAAAGGGATGTGGGAGGCCCATCTACCGTTGAACAACCCTGCAATTAATCAAAAGACATTTCACATAACTAAATTGGATCAAGATAAGCGTAACAAACACATCACTTTGATTCACAATTTTCAATATTCATGCTTTTTCGCTGCCTCCCGTTCCTGATTTTCCCTTTTGATAGACTGGTATATGAGAAAAAAATGCTCTGGTCTTTAATTTTCCAATATTTGAGCAGGTACCCATACTAGATCATCTAAACCTTTCTGTACAAGCAAATGAAGTGGTTGCAATTGTAAGAAATTTCGTTGCTTGGTTATTTACTATTCTTCCAACGATGCTAAAACAAGGATTTGTGGTTTGACAACTCATTCTTATCTTGACAAGGTTGGTTTAAGTGGTAGTGGAAAAAGCACATTCATGAATCTTCTGCTTCGTCTCTATGAGCCAGTTAATGGTCAGGTTAGCTTTGTCATTCTCTTATATTATGTTCCTCTATATCACCGTAATTGTTCAGTGATTTGTCTTGTGTTTGAAGTTAATTATTCTATTTTTAATACTCTCTTGTAGTTTTATGATTTTCTTCTCTGTACTCGTTTTTTGTTATGCACCTAGTGAATTACTGGAATTCTAGAAGTTTGGTATTAGGCATACCTGGTGATTCATGTATTCTTCGTGTATTTGTGCTGAGTTTTACACAAAAATTGTTTGTCGCAATTCGTGTCGACGCAAAAACATGAAATACATTTTTTAGGTTTTGTTAAACCCATATATAGTTTTGCTAAAATTTTAAACCATATAACCTTCATGTCCTTTTTTCATATCACGTTCGTGTCGTATCACCATGTCATGTTTTAGATTGGCAGGTCTTAGGGATTACATGCTAAGTGCCTCTAATTGCAGATATACATAGATGGTCTCCCAATTAAAGAGCTGGACATCAAGTGGCTGAGAGAAATGATTGGATTTGTTGGACAGGTTAGATTACATATTATTTTTTGCGTGATGCATGCTTGAATATAGCTATGCACTACATTCTAAATCTGTATTTCAGTCAGGACCCCCATCTGTTTAATATGGATATCAAGTCAAACATTAAATATGGTTGCCCAAGAGATGTTAAAGAGGAAGATATAGAATGGGCAGCAAAGCAGGCCTATGCTCATGAATTTATTTCATCTCTTCCTCATGGTTATCAAACCATTGTTGATGATGATTTGCTCAGTGGGGGACAAAAGCAACGAATTGCTATTGCTAGGGCCATTCTAAGAGACCCTGCAATTCTTGTCCTGGATGAAGCCACCAGTGCTCTGGATGCAGAAAGTGAGTACTATCTCAACGTAAGTACTTGAAATTCATTTTCCTGAAAGGTAAAACTAAAAGTATAACCAAATTTGCCTTAGGTCGAGTGAGTTACTGATGCATCGCCTTCTATTGTCTTTAGGGGGTTCTTCGTGCACTGAGAAATGAAAGTATAGCAAAAAGAACTATTATTCTCATAGCACACAGGCACAATACTTCCTCTTTTTTTTTTCATCTCCTGTCATTTCAATTTCTATTTTTAGTTTTGATCTTATTTGCAACATGGGAACTAACTTTGTAGGTTGTCTACTATTAAGACTGCTGATAGAATTGTTGTAATGGACGGTGGTCGAGTTGTTGAGGTAGGATCCTTTTGTCTATTCGATTCCAAACAAGCTTGTATCTTTTAGCTTTCTCTTGAATGAAATCAACTATAGCCAACTTATGCATCTCTTGCTTTATTTGTGGTCAGATGGGCTACCACGCTGAGCTTTTACTAAAGGGTGGGTTGTACTCGCGATTAATCAGAGTCCAAGCAGAATTCATGGCTTGATTATAAACCCTCCGAGCTGTTTTGGGTGTATCTCACAGTTGCTGTTCCAAGGCTGAGGACATCAAGTACCCCCTATTGCATTCATCACTCTTATGAACATAAAATGTCTCGTATCATAAGATGCCAGCACTCATCTTGAAGCTTTAGCTGTTTCTATCCTTCTGCCCCAGTTATGCACATCGATTCTTGATGGCGAGTTGAGGCCCCCCTGCCCTTTTCTCCTCCCTCATTCCCTCTCTTCACCTACCTCTTCTCCCATGTTCACTTGTTATCGTCTAAAAGTTAGAAACCTTATTTCCTGTTTCTTTTTTTTTTTTTAAATAAATAATTTAAAATGTTTATCCACTTAAGAAAATATTGGGACCCTCATTTTATAAGAGTTGCTACTACAACAAGGAAGCAAAGCTATAAGTATTTGTTTGTTGATATTGGATTTTTGCCCTAATTCTTGTTCTAGTTCTTTCACCCTTGATGGCTTTGTCATTGAGTAGGGCTCCTAGAGCGACTGGCGAGTCAAATGCTGTGGGATCTTTGCCTTTGTATCTTCAAAAAGCTTTCTCCCCCACCATTCTTTGGCTCCATCCAAGGAACCTTTGTAAGCTTTCTCCTCTTTCTTTCTTTCTTTTCACTTTAATTCAAAACTTTCTTAGGTACCAAGTAGCTGAGGAAATCCAAAAAAAAAAAAAAAGGTTGAAAAAAGAAAGGATTTAAATCTTTTAGTAAAGAGACATGTACACTTACCATTGAGTTATATTGAGAAAAGTAAGGACTCAGACTATTTTTTTACAAAGAAGGTCGCAACTGGGAAAGGGGTTACAGGAATTCGGATTCAAATTAAAAACCTTGCAGATGGCTGCAAAAAAATGTCCATCCATGATGGGTGGTAGAAAGGATCCTTCAAAGCTGTTAATAATGGCAAACTCAAAGCCATGGAGTGAAGTTTTCAATCCAAAATTCCGAATTTAAACCAATGGCAAGCTCTTCCTCGGGGTACCCTTTATCATCCCTAAAGCTTTCAAGTAATCAAAGAGTTGCAGCATTTGACAGAGAAACCTGAAGGCTTACAATAGGTAGTTGGGAATCCAATCTGTTGGGAATTGTTACTTTGGCTGCATCAATTGCTTGTTCTTGGTCAAAGAATTCTTTTCTTTATGATAGGGAAACTCTTTGTTTGAGTTAAAGTTCATATACTTGCATTATATCATGCATTTCTTCCCTTTTCTCAAAGTAAAACCACAAATTAACCAAAAAACAAATCCATTTCTACAAGAAAACAGATGAAAATCATGAAATCATGAGTGATGGGATTAAGACATGACTTGTCTTATTAAAGATTCTCAAGGGCATCAATGGAGAAATCTCCTGGCTGAGGAACTTGCTGGTGAGGTAGGCCTTTCACTCCCTCACTTTCCTTGACTGCTTCCTTCCCATTTCTTTCCCTAACATCCAAATTTTGTTCTTTTTTCAGAGCATCATCATGAAACCCACCTGGTGGCTCATCCGCTGCACCTTTAACTTCCTTCCTGGTTTGAGTGGTTTTCTTGTTTCTGTAGCTGTCCATTGCTAACATCTATAGTACCCATGTTAAGTTTTAAAGATTTCTTGGGATTTTATATAAATTATTTTGGTTTTCTTGAATTTTGTGCCTGCATGAAATGTAACAGGTGTAGTGTTTAGGAGGCAGCTTTGACATGTGTTTTAAACCTGTTGTTTTGGCTTCATGCACAATGCATACTCATCCAATGGCCTATGCCAAATTGCCAAGTGATCTTCTTGTCTTGGATTAAAAGGTGTACAATATTGGAAATTGAAGTTTTTGAAAACATTTTGATATGCAAAATCAGCAAAATTCATCCTAAATTTACAAACTCCTAAAAAGAAAATGTTTTCATTTACATAACTTTACAAGTACTTTTTATTTATGGTGATTACATGGATAGAGTTCTTAATAGGGATAGCAATGGTTTGGGTTAGGACGGATTTTTGTTTGTCTTAAATCCGATCTGATTCTATATTCATAATAATTGAATTCAATATGATTTGATTTTTTTTTTAATTTTTTTATATCGAAATTCGATTTAAACTCGATATTTCGTGAAACTATATTCGATTAGATTCGATTCAAAATTAATAAAATATTTTTTAAATATAAAATATTATTTTTAATATAAATATAAAATTAAATAAATATAAAAATATAAAATTAAAAAATAATTTTTTATATATATTGTGGAGTAGATTGAGATGAATTTGCCTAAAACATGATTTCAACTTTATTCTATAATTATTCAACCTAATTTGAAATCTGATTTTTCTTTTTTAAGTAAATCTTAAAAAGATCATATCAAAATTCGTTAAGCACGAGTTGAGCTATTATCCCTAATCCTTAACTAGTTCAAGCTTGAAAGATAGATCAATGTTTTTGTAATGGCATTTTGATTTTGCTATTTGTTTTCCTTTTGGATAAACCTTGCTAGTATTCTAAAAATATGATTAAAAATATAATAACTTTGTTTTACTTAGCAATAAACAAATTTAAAGAAAAACAATGGTGATGATAGATAGACAGTTCATTTGACAATAGGTAAGAGAGAATTTTAGGTAGGAAGACAACGAGTTGAGATAAATTTTATTTATCTCTAATTTAAATTTATTTTATATTCATGATATTTAAATTTGATCTAATAATTTTTTTAAAAAATTTTTATATTTGAATCAAGCTCAATGTTATATAAAATCATATTTAACTCGATTTGAAATAAATAAAATATTATTTTTAATATAAATATAAAATTAAATAAATAATTAAAAAAATTATATATATTAAATCAGAATAGAATGAATTTATCTAAAATATAATTCGATTTAATCTGATTAAAAATTTAATTAAAAAAAAATTAATCTTATGAGATCGAGTCAAAATTTACTGTAGATGAATTGAATTGCCATCCCTAACTATAAGGGTTTAATTCTAGAACGATATGAACAATTTTTTTTTTCATCACATTGTCAAATAAACCGGAATTTATTTTAGGCTAATAGATACACTAAGCTTTCAACCCAACTTAATCTGGAAAGAGAATACCCAAAAATTCTAAGAACCCAAACAAATTAAAAGCCCAGCAGAACCTAAACCAAGAAACTCACAAAAGCCCAAAAGAGAGCCCAAAATCTGTCCACAATTGGGACACGTGGCAACATACTATTGGCCAAGGCTCATTTTATATTTTTTCAGTTTATTTTTCTATTAATTGGCACATTTAACATTACATGCTGAAATCAGTTTTGTTGCATTTAAAAAGAAAGAAATAAAAAAAATATATAAAAATTAAGATAGTGGCTTATTAAGCATCTTAGCCTTTTATTCATAATTTATTTCTTTAGTTTATTTTTATTTTTTTTGCCTTTAATAGCATCTAATCTTTTTAAGATTCATCAAATTACCTTTTCTCAACTTTCATAAAGCCAAGCTTTTTTACCTTTTACCTTTATATTAAAATTGCATTAGAAATTCATAATGATTAAAATAATATTCCCACTTTGAAGGATTTAAAAGCTACAACTTTGCATAAAGTTGGATATTAAACTAAAAAATCCATTAACAATAACCAGTTTGGATTTTTTTTGAGTATTTATTTTCTTTATAACTTAGTTTAAATTATATTTTAGATTTATTAAATGTAAATTTAAATTAGTACTTAATGATTATTTAAAAAATTATTTAATTTGTTGTCAATGAAAGTTTAAAATTTTAAAATTAATCAAATGATATATATATTTGAGTATATTAAAAAATAATAAAATATTAATTTCTTAATTTTTTTAATTTCATTTGTAAAATTTAAAAAATTTTATTTATCCATATTTTTATTTTTAATGATAAAAACACAAAATTTACCTTTTTTTTTTTTTACAACTGGTCAATTTGGTCAACTCCGAAAAGAGCGAGGACGGTAACTTCACAACAAAACGACGACCAGATTAAAGCACCTGAAAATTAAAACGACAAACACCCTGATAACCCCGGAAACCACGTGACAAGCATAATCCATTTTTGGTAACAAAATATAAAGTAACCTCCCTTTCCCATCACCACCAATCCTCTCACGCCACGTGATCCCACAGCTCTCCTTTTCCCGCTTCAAAGTAAACCCCAAATAAACCTCTCTTCTTGTTAGGGCTTCTTCTTCTCCCGTTTCCTTCTTCCTCACAGAGCTCAACTGTCACCAGATTTCTACTATGCGCCAACCTCTATAGCTCTGGCGTTAGCAAAAATTTTGAGTTTAAAGATGACTCGGCTCAGTTTTTTGCTAATTTTAACGGTTTCGTTAACGGCGGTGACCGTAACGACGTCGCATATGAGCTCTGGTCCTCACATAGCTGACGTCAACATACTTCTACCTCCAAAAATGACAAACCCCGTCGAATACCGGCTTCAAGGAAGCGACGGCTGCTTCAAATGGTCCTTTGCCGTGCAATACATTTTTCCAAAAATACGTACATTTTACCGTATACAAATACGTATAACTATTTATTTATTTATTTTTGCAGGTCGTGGGATCATCATGAGATTTTATCAGTTCTACCAGAATATAATGTCACCAATCATTGCTCGACAAGTGCACGGCTGCGATCGATTGCGCCGTACTCCGGTAGAAAAGAAACAGCCGTTTATGCTAGTGACGTGTACACTGGAAACGTGATTCGGTGCAAAGTTTTCATTGATAATTTTGATAGAATTCAAATATTTCATAATTCTATTAAGCTTGATCTTGATGGACTCGCAACGCTCCGCGTTCGTGCCTTTGATAGTGAAGGTAATTTAAACAAAAAATAGGTTAATGTTCACTTTGGTTGTTGCTTTGTTGAATTAGGAATTAAAAAAAGAATGTAATTTAAGAATAACAAAATGCATGATATTAGTTTTCTACTGACCGATTATGTTACTTTGTTGTTAGATTTTAGGTTTTAGTTGATTGTTTGTTGATTAAGATTTTGCTTTTAGCAACTTTTTAGGAGGCAAATTGTAAGTAGGACAAGTATCAAATTTAGCATTATGTTCTACATTGCTTTTTGCTTTCACTGCAGACAATGTGTTTTCGTCGTTGGTGGGTTTACAGTTCATGTGGCAGCTGATGTCTAAAACTAGTGGATCAGATCATCACCTTGTGCATGTTCCTTTGAAGGATTCTCCCCTAAGTGACTGTGGTGGATTGTGTGGTGACTTAAATATCCAGATACAACTTGAAGAAAAGGTAATTGTATGGTACATTTCAGATAGCGGTGAGGTGTCATGTACTCTTGCGTTTATGTTGAAGCTTATGCTGTGACATGTGCTGCAGGGTGTATTTTCTGATTTATTTGTGGTAAAAGGTATTCACATTGGCCATGAGAATGTTTCAGTACAGTTGCTTGAGCCACCGTTAAAGGGCATGGATGATAAGATTGTTCTAACTGTAGCAGAAGCTATGTCACTAGATCCACCTTCACCTGTTTTTGTCCTCATTAATGCTACCCTTCATTATAGTCTTAAGGTTATCCGTGGGACTGTTCATCAAGGTTTTCTTTTTTGAATCCCTTCGTTAACACTTTCTAGTCATTGAATTGATCGGAATTTCTTAATGCTATCAAGTTTATATGGAGTAAACTGGCTGTTTTTGTTTCATTTGATTGATGTTCTTAGAAAAAGTCTTAAGTATCTTTCCACTGGTATTTGCAGAGGTAACTCTTCCATCTCCACATCATCGCTGGTCTGTTTCAAACCGTTCAATTGCTCAAGTGGACTCTATGATGGGTGTAACTCATGCGCTAACATTGGGTGAAACAACTGTCATTGTTGAAGATACCAGAGTTGATGGCCATAGTCAACTGTCTTCTCTTAACGTGGTCTTGCCAGATACCTTGTGTTTGTACATATCACTATTATCTACTTCTGGTGAACCAGTAGAGGGAATGGAACCCATTCCATCTGTGGCACGTTGGTATGTTGTTTCTGGAAAACAATACCTCATTCAACTGAAGGTTTTTTCTCAGGGACCTTACGCACATGAAATCTACATTACAGAGGTACCTTATGGCTTTTTTATTTTTGCCATTTAGCAGTGATATTGGTGAACTGTATTGTCTTGATAACATCAAGAACTTTTTTGACTGATGTGCTTGGTAATTAGGTTCTCATACTTTCTTCTGTTAATGGTTTTCCTTTTTATCCTCTTCATTTCCATTTGGTTATGCTTTAAGGGTCAATGATTTTTTAGGTTACAGATTTTGTTGTCATTGTCATTTGTTAGCTTGCTAGTGTAATTTTGTATGTTAATTAGTTATTATTTTCTTGGTTATCTTCCACTCAGACTTCCTTTCCTGCATTGCAGAATGATGATATTGAGTTTTATGACAACCAATCTGGGTACTGGAAGATTGTCCCAGTGTTAGAACCTATTGCATCCAGATACAGCCGGAGGAGTGCCAGAATTTTAAAAGCAACTTCAGAGGGACTGGGGAAATTGACAACCTCATTAGTTTATTTTAATGGGCATCTTGATACCAAGGAGGTGATATGTCATTTACTTTCTTGTTTTCTTTTCTTCTTATTCTTTTAAGAAATAAAATCGTAAAGGGCATCAATTTGTTTTTTGATTTTCTTATCTGCATTGATCTCTGTTGGCCTTGTTATGTAGGTTCTCAAGGTTGTGCAAGAGGTGATTGTTTGTGATCAAGTAAAATTTAGCGTGGAAAAAGTTGGTGGTAAATCTCAAATTATTCTCCTTCCTTGGGCACCTGCTGTATATCAGGAGATGGAGCTAAAGGCTACTGGAGGTTGGTAGCTTTTTACCTGTTCAACTTTTGAAATTATTTTTCCAAGTTCTAACATCTTTTAATGGGCTTCAATGCTATTATAGGTTGTGCAAAAGCTGCCAGTGACTACAAATGGTTTTCTTCAGACATGACTGTGGTTTCTATCACTGCTTATGGAGTTGTCCAGGCTAAGAAGCCCGGTAAAGCTACAGTGAAGGTGGTGTCAAGTTTTGACTCATTCAATTATGATGAGGTAATGGAATTTGTTTCTTCTACTGCTTTCTTTGTTCTCATGATTGGCAAAGGTCCTTGTGTAGCATAAAATTGATAAAGATCCTGTGGCATATGCGGTGCTGCTGCTTTTATCAGTGACGTTTAAAATTCTAAAACATATATTATCTTGTTCATTTTATACCCTGTAAAATATTCCAATTTCACATGCTCCTTAATTAGTTAAAGTTTTCTTTTGAAGTTATATTTGTAATGTTTTTAACAGGTGGTGGTTGAAGTTTCAATTCCTTCCTCTATGGTTATGTTGCAAAACTTCCCTGTTGAAACTGTTGTGGGATCAAATCTCCCTGCTGCTGTTACAATGAAAGCATCAAATGGTTATGTGATATTCTAGAATCATTTGGAAATTTCTTTTCTTCTATGCAATCTCTCCTGTTGAAGTTGACTTGCCATTTGCAGGTGCCTACTTTTCTAGATGTGATGTATTTCATTCCTTTATAAAGTGGAAAGCTGGAAGCGAGTCTTTCATTGTTACCAATGCAACAGGAGAGGCACCAGTCTTTGAAAAGCAAGAAAATTCGGAACTCCATGCACTAGTAGATGGTCCTTCATGTTCATGGACTTATGTATATGCTTCTACATCTGGTCAAGCTTTGCTGCATGCAACATTTTCAAAAGAATATCCTCATTTTGATCCTTCTTTTAGTGGGCCCATAGTTTTAAAGGCAACTTCCAGAATTGCAGCATACAGGCCACTTACTCTGCATCAGGCAGGTGATGGGAACCAGTTTGGTGGTTACTCGGTTAATACAGCTAAATCAGACGCTGCTAATCAACTAGAAGATCTGGATAGGTTATATCTTGTCCCGGGAACACAGTTAGATGTCATGCTTCATGGAGGACCAGAAAGGTGGGATAAAGGTGTTGATTTCATGGAAACAGTGGAAATTTTTAATGAAGAACATGCACATGATAATGGGGTTCATAAGCCTCATATTTATAGCAGCCATGGCGGCTTGTACAGAGTTTTATGCCAAACATTGGGGACTTATGTAAGCTTCTCTGCTATTTCCTGGAAGGCCCTTTATGAGTTTCAACTGAAGTCCATACACATAATTTCTTTTCTTACGTCGTGCTTTGTCTAATCCAGAATCATGATATATTTGCTTTTATGGTTTCAAATTGTTCAGAAACTTGTTTTTAAACGTGGAAATTTGGTTGGAGACGATCATCCTCTTCCTGCAATAGCGGAAGTTTCACTGTCTCTTGCTTGCAGCCTTCCTTCCTCTATTGTGGTAATAGCGGATGAACCTGGTAAATATTATTATTTACATTGGACAGATGTGAAATATGACCTTCAATTCCTCCCGCCCCTCTTTTTTTAATTCCCCCTTTTAATCTTGTTGTGTGATTTTGGCTGATGCCACAGTCAATAATCAAGATGTTATTCAGACTGCAATTCAAGCTGACCGTAGCCCAGGGCGAATTCATGTCACCCCTGTTACTGTGGCAAATGGGCAAACAATAAGAGTGGCTGCTGTTAGCATTAGTACCTCTGGAGATCCTTTTGCAAACTCGTCTTCACTGTGCTTGAAGTGGGAACTAGGCAATTGTGACAGTCTGGCTTATTGGGATCATGCTTATGATTCAGAGAGCTCTAATAAGTGTGGTTGGGAGAGGTTTCTGGTTTTGCAAAATGAATCAGGATCGGTACTGCCATGATGTTTGACATTTTTTATTCCTTTCTAGTTCTGGTTTTTAGTTATGCTTAGAAACATCTTTGCCATAGTTAACAGTTGAAAAAGGCATCATTTCTTGTTAAGATGATTCTAAGGATAGCTTTAATTTCCTTCAGGAAGTGCATGGAGAGTTTGATGCTTCATTGTTGTATGCAATTCTTTAAGCAGTGTAGGAATAGGCATTCTAAGTTATGGGGTTATATGTAGTCCTTGTCCTTCCAACATTATTTGTGTATTCATACTTTTCTTCAATATGTTTTGCTCTCTAGAAATTGTAAGGATATTTTTCCTTTAGTGATGATCTGGGTTACTGAAGGATTGGATGTTATGTGTCATGTTGTTTTACTTAAGGGGGAAAGTGGTGGGAGTTCTTTGTCAAAGTGGGGAGGGGGAGGTTGAGCGAAGTGTGGATGCACTCAAATATAACTGTGATAATACTCTTTAAATTAAGCAAAGATATCACAGCACAAAATATTTGTAGTATCTCCCTGCAATAATATCTTAAAGTTGTTAAACATGGAAAAAATACATTCGGGTTCACATTGGCTTCAAATAGATGTTGCTGATATACATATCTACGTTTTTGCAACCTTTCAGTATCTAATATTGGTTTGAACTGATTAACAATCAGGTCATCACTTGTGTAATAATTCTTGGGGCATAATGAGTGTTACATCAATATTCCTGATCTACTATTTTACCTGTTTTGCTTAGAGGTTGTACAAATTTGACAATTTGGATTCTTGCTAGCATCTAGTTCTTCTCATTGTTGGTATTTGTAATTATGTCAATAGACATTTTTGTTCCACCGATGTGTAATATGCTTAGTAGGATTTTATAACTTCTATACTATTTAGATGGTTGGCCTTTTAGTCGTTTTTATTCCCTCCTTAAGTATTCAATACTGGATGTGACTTTTTTCTTCTCATCATGTGTTAAGTTGTTATAAAATGAGATTTTAATTGCTTTTTTCTCAGTGTGTTGTCCGTGCCACTGTTACTGGATTTTCTGGGAGTTCCATGGCTGATAATTATTCTGTTAAATTGCTAGAAAGTTCAAAGAACTTTCTTACAGATGCTGCAAGGTTAGAGGTAGGCCGTTTTGGCAGGTTTATATTCCTATTTTTGTTGCTTAATATTCATTAAATACCTCCTCTGCCATTTTTCCTGCTATGAAGAATCTATTCTGACAAGCTTGGTTCATCCTCTCTCTTTCTTTCTTCTTTTCCTTTTCTTTTTTCAATTGCTATTAATGTTATCTTTTCTTTGGGGGGTTTAACATTGGATAAAAAATTCATTCTAATATTTTGCTTTGTTAACTTTTGCAGCTCGTTTCAACTTTAGGAGTCAGTCCAGAGTTCAATTTGTTATATTTCAATCCTGATGCTAAGGTAGAATCTAGCACCATCCTGCTTAAATAATTTGCTGTTTTCAAATGAATATGTATTACATATACTCTTTTGAAACATGTTTGATGATGTTGATGTGGTATGCATTGTTTTTTAAGCTGATTTGATCATTGTTGATATGCATTGCTTGAGAAACATTTGATAATCTTTTTGTATCACCTATTCATACCTTTTTGCTAAAGGTTATATATATATATATATATATCTTATGGAGTTTGATAATTGAAGAATGGAAATCTTGCAAATGAATCTAATTTTTGCCTTCAAGAAACTTGTTTACCATATTTTCATTTAATTTTTTAACACACTGGTCATTGGCTATCTTGGTTTTCGGGTTTGCATTGTTTTTGAAGCTGATTTGATCATTGTTGATATGCATTGCTTGCTTGAGAAACATTTGATAATCTTTTTGTATCACCTATTCTTACCTTTTTGCTAAAGGTTATATATATATATATATATATATATCTTATGGAGTTTGATAATTGAAGAATGGAAATCCTGCAAATGAATCTAATTTTTGCCTTCAGTAAACTTGTTTGCCATATTTTCATTTAATTTTTTAACAAACTGGTCATTGGCTATCTTGGTTTTCTGGTTTCTGGGCCATTACATTTTTGCAGATCTAATTATTAGCTTGGAATAATCTGTTGCTTTGGTCCACTTGCTAGTTTCTGCATTTGAAATTTTATGAGGATTATGGTTTTGCATATGTAATGACCAATGATTAGCTTGGATTAGAGTATTACTTTGGTTCCCTGGCTATTTGCTACATTTGGAATTTAGTAGATGATTCTTGGTCAGTGTTTGCTCTTAAGGCCTTCAATAAGCGAGTAAGTGAATGGATATCTGATGCCATCTGATGCTTAAAACCATCAATGACTTAATTGCAAAATAAATTTAATCTTTCCATGTCTTTTTGAGTACTTGGGAAAAGATGAATGGTAAAATCTGGGGGATATTGTAATATTGTTGCTATCTATGTAGACCACCAATTTTAACAGTTCTATCCAGTCCGAGTCACAGTATATCAGCCTCCTTTTTAATTTATCATACTGATCATTCGAAAAGAACATTGTGCTACTAACAACATTTATGTAATCATCGTTACTTATTCTAAGGCTCTTAACAGGATTTACTGTCTTGTTCGATCTCCTTTCTATTTGTTAATTATGGTGTTGCTCCTTAGTTGAACTTAGGGGAAAATAAGGTTTTAGATTAGATGATTATAACTATGTTCGGTGAGTGCAATGTTTAACGGTACCTCAATATGTAAAGGATTTTGTGTAATGCCCCCAATCCCACGTTGAAAGAATGTGTGGATATGGTATGATATATAAGTTGAGACTTAATCCCAAATTTGTGAGGTGCCTTTTGTGGAATAAAACCGTGAAACCTTTGGGTCAAAATGGACAATACCTAGCATGTTAGGTGCGGGTCTCCACAAATGGTATCAGAGTTGTCACCAGTCGATGGGAACTAAGTGTTACATCGTGGGATTTACTAAGTGCTATACGGTGGGGAGCCACCTTTAGAATCCCAACCTCTGGTGTGATCTTGGTCCAGTGGGTGGACTAAGCTTGACAGGGATGTCAAGCTTTAAAGGTGGGGAAATTGTAATGCCCCCAACCCCACATTGAAAGAATGTGTGGATATGGTATGATGTATAAGTTGAGATTTAATCCCAAACTTGTGAGGCGCCTTTTGTGGGGCAAAACTGTGAGACCTTCGGGTTAAAGTGGACAATACCTCGCAGGTTGGGTGCGGGTTTCCACATTTTAAGCAGCACATCTTTAATCCTTGTGAGCCTAATTTATTTTCAAACTAACCCTGCTGGTTTAATTTTGTTTTCCAGCATAAGTACACTCTGTTTGTGCTTTCGTTTGTAAATTTGGCCATTTATAAATGTCACTTTCTCCATTTAGGCAAATTTGTCAATTACTGGAGGGAGCTGTTTCTTGGAAACAATTGTGAATGATTCTCAAGTGGTTGAAGTTACTCAGTCTCCACCTGGTTTACAATGCATGCAACTGATGTTATCACCTAAAGGCCTGGGGACTGCAGTTGTGACAGTTTATGATATTGGGCTTGCTCCTAACCTTGCAGCTTCTGTTGTGGTAATCTCTTACTCCATCTTATTCCTGCTTTATGTTTTGGTAATTTGTGGGAATCTTGTATGAAAATCCTTTAATTTTTCCAAAAATTTCATGCATCAATGTAGATACTTTAAAGAGAAGTTCATTTGGAGTACTTAAAATAATTATTGCTCCTGAAAGTAGGTGGTTTACCTTCAGTCCCCAAGTAATTAGGAATACATAATATATTTGACCTTTACTGTATAATGCTACAGTAAATAAAAATGCTTTTTTATTTATTTAAAGTAACTTTTAGGCTGTATTTGGCAAAGTTGAAGGAAAGTCTGAAGGAAATCCCTTTCCATGGATGTTGGTGACTTGTTGCTATTCACATTTGAAAAATTATGTAAAGCCAACTTACCCAAACACATTACTTTGTTGTCTAGAACAGAGATGTGTTTTATGTAAGTTAAGACCTGTAAATTCAGTTATAATTGAATCCCTGTTTTAATTAGAAAAACATGTGGATCTATGATTTTCGAATCTTTATCATGGCTCATCCATGTAAAGTAATTACTTGGATCAATTTAAGTTTCTTCCATTTGCTTTTTGAAATGAAATGCTGGGTTGAAATTATATCATGCTGTTTTTGGAAGAACTTATTTCCTTCTTCATGCCAAGAATTCTGCATTCTCCTACTGATGATACTTCATGTTTGATATCTCAATTTGCTCATAATTTATCATGGTGACATTACAGGTCCAAGTTGCAGATATAGAATGGATTAAGATTATGTCTGGAGAAGAGATAAGCCTTATGGTGGATTCTTCACTGTACCATTTACTTAGTTGATCCTTTTTCCCCATTTTTAACCCAGATAAGTACTTTTTAACTGGTAATTTGATATTTGAAGGAAGGAAGTTCACAGTCAGTTGGTCTGATGGCTGGGGTTGATGATGGAAGCACTTTTGACATTTCTCAGGTTTGAAATGATTTCCATTTATCATTCTCCAGAAGCTATAAATTCCAGATTATCTTTTGTGGAAACATGTTTTAGACTAAATGCTGTAGGAAGTGTTCTGGGTATTTAGCCAAGTGAGTGCAACTGAATCTTGGGTACACATGTACATAGCTAACATCTTTTGTAAAGAAATGCATCTGTTGTCCTCCCATGCATGGGATCCTTCTATGACATTCTTATGGTTATGCTAGAAGTAACAGATATGTACTCTACTCAATATTTTGACAATGTATCTCATAATATAATCTTTTGCATTAAGAAATATATCTTTGTACATATCAGTTTACCCTGTTCAGTAAAGGTTTCTGATGTGTCTATGTCCATACATCCACACGTAAATCATATTTTCTTGTGCTTTCTATTACCCTGATGGGATCCTTTCCTGCAGTACGCATACATGAATATTCATGTGCATATTGAGGATGATATAGTTGAACTTTTCGACAAGGATGATATCTCAACTTATGCTGGTGGATACGTTGGTGCACAGACTTTCAAAATTAGGGCAAAACATCTTGGAATCACAACTCTTTATGTAAGTCATTTTATCCTTGTACCAATATCTTTAATGTTATCATTTCCTAGGGACTCCTTGAGATTTCTCTATCAAGAGTTTGGTTGCATAAATTTCAAGATAGATCTTGATAACAGGTTAGTGCTAGACAACATTCTGGACATGAAATATTGAGTCAAGCTATAAAGGTTGAAGTTTATGCCCCTCCAACAATTCACCCACCTAAAATTTTCCTAGTACCTGGTGCCTCTTACTTGGTATGCTTCTTTCTTTATTTCTTTATTTTTTCTATTATATATGTATATATATATATATCATGTTATTCTGTGACAGTACTTATTGAGCTTCATATCCTCTTCCCCTAAACTCCTTGCACCTCCTTTCCTTTTATATTGGAAATTTAATTCTTTTTTTTTTTTTTCATGTTTTTAATTGTATCTAATATCACATGCATTTTTCATGCTTTTAGCTCACTATAGAAGGAGGTCCAACAATTGGTGCCTTTGTGGAATATACAAGTATAGATGATGCTATCGCAGCAGTTCACAAAACTTCAGGACAATTGACTGCAACTTCACCTGGAAACACTGTAAGATATGAGATATTATACTCATCTGGATCTGATACTTAAAATAACAACTGTTTTGTTTATCTATGAATTTAATGCGATGGTGCCTAACTTTTTAACTTTGCCCTCATGAAGATTGTTTTTAATGATGCTTTAGTTTGTTAAGCACTTAGGAATTAGGATTTTCAAGTTTAAATAAAGTAGATGGTCCAATTTAATGGATTTGGTTTATTATGAATGGGGACCTCTTCTTTTGGGTGGACACTGTTGAATTTTTATACTAACAGTTACTAGAACATTACGTTGTTGTAGATGCTTTAGGTTCTCAATGTTTGCTTTTGTTTCTTCCCCCTCTCTCTTAATTTTCAACTGCCATAAATAGAAGTGGAAAAATCTCATTTGGAATCTGCAATCTTACTAAATGAACTGAGTGCTCATAAGCTGCTCTTGCAAGAGCATATATGCGTATTCCTAACAAGTCTTTGTCAGCTGTTCATGGTCATATTTTATAGGGTTATACAAAATGGACTCACTGCCCGTGCCACAATGTCTTAAACTAGTTCTGTTGGTAAACTTCATCATTTAAAATTCTATGAAGGTCAAATACTTATCACCAGCTTCATCACTGAGACAGCAAAACGCTAGTACTTGACTTTCCCCTTAACAAACTAGTTTATAAAATTTTTAATTTAGATTTGTCTTTTGCTATTACCATCAGACTTTGGTTGCCACAGTTTATGGGAATGGTGGTGGCATGATTTGTCAAGCATATGGCAATGTTAAAGTGGAAGTACCATCTTCAGCCATATTGAATGTGCAAAGTGAACACCTTGCCATTGGCCATGAAACACCAATCTATCCTTTATTTCCTGAGGCAAGTATTGAGAGACTGAAGAACTATTTCAATCAACTACCTATTTCTTTCTGAATTTTGACTGAGTTTTGGTATCTGCAGGGAAACTTATTTTCTTTCTATGAGCTTTGCAAAGATTACAAGTGGACTATAGAAGATGAAGAGGTTGAATTAAGTGTTCTGTAGAATTGTGTTTGTCTGTGATTTATTATTTTATCATCTGATTGTATTTTGTTGAATTTTTTTATAGGTGTTGAAGTTTGGGGTCCCACTTGTTGGTTCGGAGGCAGTTCGGCGCTTCAGTTATGTGGATAAGGAAGAAGTTAGTTTTATCAATGTCTTGTATGGAAGGTATACTTGTTTTAATGAAAATTAGGTTATGTTTCTTTTACATTACAGAAACTGATTATTATTCTTGTGTTATTTACCACACTTCATGTAACCAATAAGTCTTGGCTGATTAAAAAACATAAAAAAATATAATGGATACAGTATGGACATAATTTTGGCCTCGTCAAATAGATACAGGTGATACAGTAACCCTGGGAAGTGATGTGCACTGGAAATTTCATCGTCTTTCTAAAAAAAATTTTGGAAGGTTGGAAAAATTATTCACTGTGAGGCATCCTCTATTAAAGTTTGCTTGATTTTGAGTGCTTGTGGTTGAGTAGTTAATGCTGCATCTTATTCATATGATGAATAATTTATAAATGTTGTTTGCACCAAATTTGTTTGGTTTTTTGAACTTATTAAGGAAATTTTAGATTGATGTTGTCTTTAAGTGAAGGTATGTGATTTAAGTTAAAGCCTTTTGGTTTCTCTATAAGGTCAACATAGCTGTATTCTTCTGAATTTCCCTTGTAATATAACTATAGATTGAAATTAGAATAGCGATTCTATCAAGTCCTAACTCTTGCAAAATGACTTAGGAATAGAAAAGACAATCATGAAAAATTTCCTTTTTGCCTCCTTATAGTAGTGAAATTTGGTCTTACATATTGGAGGCTGGTCTGGAGAATGATAATTCTAGATAATATTCTGTGTGGTTTGCTCAATCAAACAACAATGGTCAAGACATAGGCAATCTAGTTTTATAGCTGAAATTAGGAAAAAAGACAAGCTTAGGGCTTATTATGGATTTTGACATGATTTGAAACTTATAGGCACATTCTTGTAATGCTTAAGGCATGTCCACTGAGCCTCAATGGCCCCTTCATTCAGATTCCTAATCTTTGAGTGATTAGAATTAATGCTGGCAAGTTGAATCTCTTTCTGATCTTACCAAACTATCCAATTACACTCGCTTTTCAAATGAGCAATTATCTCTCTTATCCAGGGCCCCTGGTAGGACGAATGTTGCAGTTTCTTTCTCATGTGACTTTATTTCTTCTGGTTCACACTTGGGGGCGAGGACTTACAGTGCATCGATCTCACTATTGGTGGTGTCTGATCTTCCCCTGGCACTTGGAGCTCCAATCACATGGGTTCTTCCTCCCCATTATACCACATCTAGCATTTTGCCTTCATCAGCAGAATCACATGGGCAAAGAGATAGTCAGAGTCGCAAAGGAAACATAATCTATTCTTTGTTAAGAAATTGGGATGAAGTGACGGAAATTTCACAGCGTGCTGTTTCTATTGATGGGGACAAAATAAAAACAAAAGATAGCAATAATCTTGCTTGCATTCAGGCAAAAGATCGCATCACTGGAAGAACTGAGATTGCTTCTTGTGTGCGGGTTGCTGAGGTATTTTTACAACCTTTTATATGTCCTAAATACTAAGATATCTAGCAAGCAGCTAATACTCCTTTTCCATTCTCTTTTTGACTGTCAAACATTGTTACTGTCCACATGTTTTAAATTTGTATTTATTACCAAGTTACATAGACTAATCTATCACCATCACATCATGCAATTGTGGAGGGAAAACAAAAGTGTCTCAACATGTTTGTGTTATCTTTTTGCAAAATGATTTTATTTCTAATCTTTGCATAAATTAAGTCTTTCCTTATGACCACATGCTTTTAAATTTGTATTTATTACCAGCTAAGTTACATAGACTAATCAATTGCCATCACATCATGCAATAGTGGAGGGAGATATTAAACAAAAGTGTCTAAACATGTTGCATTATCATTTTATAAAATGATTTTATTTCTCTTTGCATAAATTGTCTGTCTTTCCTTATAACCATCATAGAAGAAGCAATTGTCATAAGCTGGCTGATGTTAGCTCATTTGACTATTTAGTCTATAGCTTGATGACTTTGTAGTTTTCTGTAAAATGTATTTGATATTGGGGGTTGATCCTTTTACTATTTGTTTTTTTCTTTTCCTTTGGTTGATGAATACTGATGTTTGCATCACTTCTATTGAGATTTATTCTACATTTTAAAAGTTCATTCTTAAACTCAGTAGAGCTTCTGTATTCCTTTTAGGTGGAGCAAATAAGAATAACAAACAAGGAGTTTCCGATCCATGCAATTGATCTCGCTGTTGGTGCAGAAATTGAACTTTCAATAAGCTATTTTGATGCTCTAGGTATCATTGTTATCATGCTAGTTAAATTATTTGCATGCTGCTATTTTAGATCCTAATTGATATTCTCTTATGGTGTTGTATTTTGCCAGGAAATCCCTTTTATGAAGCATCTAATGTTATTCTCCATTTTGCTGAAACTAATTATCCTGATGTAGCCTCTATTAACGATACCCGTGATACCAATACGATTCATCTCAAGGTCTGTTAGTGTCTTGAGATTAATTCAAAACTTAGGGTGGCTAATAGAGCAATTTTATTCTTTTTATTTCTATTGCTGTATTTTATCATATAGAGTTCATTTGTGTAAAAGATCTCATACAAATGCACAACAATTTTACCTTAAGCAATATCATTTAATCATATGGTTCTGCTTGAAGGCAATGCGACATGGTAGAGCTCTTCTACGAGTATCAATTGACAATCGCCCACAGAAGTCAGACTATATGCTGGTACCTACTTCCCTTTTCTGAACCACAAGCTATATTTTTGTCAGATGAAACATTGCACAACATGTATCTGTGTGTGTGTGCATGAACTACAATTAGTTGTTCATGATCGCTATAAAACTTTCTTTGAGCATTTTCTAAAGACCTAAGGCCTTGTTCTGACATGCATTTTATTCAAATCCGTCACTTCTATTGCAATATGAAAAGCTTTTTACTTTGGCCAAAATCTTTTCATTTGTATTTTCCAATAGCTTCTCTCCAGTTTATCTAAGCTTTAGCCTTTATTTCTTCAGATTTCAGTTGGCGCTCATGTGCATCCGCAAAATCCAGTACTCCACCAAGGGAGTTCTATTAACTTCAGTATAGTAGGTGAGTAGTTTATGGTGGAATATTGCTTCTAGTAAGGAATCTATTATTTTTCCTCTAATACTTGTTTTTTTGTCTATCATATGTGATAGGTTCTGACGATCAAGCTTCAGATCACTGGCATAGTGCCAATGAAAGTGTTATGATTTTACACACACGATCTGGACAGGCGGAAGCAGTTGGAGAGGGTTCAACCCAAGGTACTAAATAACCATTAATAGTATCTTTCACTTTGTTAAATCTACTGGCTTTTAGAAAATTGATGTGGCATATATTTCATCACTTTTTATTTTGATCACTGAGATGCCATTCAACTGGTATAATTTTTGTTATTTGAGTAGTTTCTTTTGAAAGTTCTGGTGTCAAGCTGCAAACAACAGTCACAGTGCTACCTGGAAGCACTCTTGTTGTGGATGCTCCAAAGGAGATGCTGACAAATGTTCCTTTTCCCTCTCAAGGATATAGCTTCTCTGTGAAGTTCAGGTTTGTGTATTAGTTAATACTTTTTAAGTGTGTTATGCCAGCTTGCAGCCTGACTCTGTGGTTAATGTATCAGTGGCTGAGAGTTATTATAAAATTTTAAGTGGTGAAGAAGACAACTAATGGCAAATCCAACTTTAAAGATTAGCAGAAGCATGATAATCATCTGTGTCTTCTGAGATAATGACATTAGTACATTGTTCAAATGAATATAGAATAATTTTGATCTGGAATAAGCTTTCTTTGGGAAGTGATTAAAAACTCTACTTTCCCTTAGTCACGATATGAATGTATCTGTAAATGTAATCTCCATATGTCCCTGTTATGATTTATTCTTAATTCAGTGTGATACAAACTAATCCAGTTGGTTGCTTTATTCTATGGATGGTAGATTCTCTGTGAGAGTGTACATCTCATCAAAACAGCATTTTCTAACCTAGAATTAAGTTAATATTTATTTCTCGTTTTCTGAAATTTAATTTTCATTGATTTAAAAGAAATCATATGGGACATTTTTATGAAACCATAATATTTGGTATAAGTATGTTGCGTATAAATCATGGGACTTGTTCTTCCGTGTGAAGGATTAACGGTTATTTTACCCATTGTGTCTTTTGAGCAAAACAAATAATGATAATAAGCAAAATTCTTAATGTACATCTCTTACGATACACCAGTGATACAAATGACAAGATCAGCACTCTTGGAAGCAGTAAAGAAGCCCCATATGACTGTAGGGTAGACCCTCCTTTTGTTGGGTATCTCTCTCTCTCTCTCTCTCTCTCTCTTTCATGCCAAGTTTGAATTTTGATCTAGCATATAATAATTATATTATTTATAATGGTTTTGTTCACTGCAGCTATGCAAAGCCATGGATGGATCTTGATACTAGCAACTCATTTTGCCTGTTCTTTCCTTACTCTCCTGAGCATTTAGTGCGCACTATACCCAAGTTGAAGGACATGAAACCATATATATATGTCTCCATCAATGCTTCGATGAAAGAACACAGCCATGTTTCTGGATCTGCATCTGCATCTGCACTCTTTGTTGGGGGATTTTCCATAATGCAAATGGGAAAGGTAATTGTTTGATGAGTTATGTATTCATTCAATTTTTTGGCTGGTAAAATTATGTTGAATTCCCTTGATCTTTCTGTCTGTGCCATAAGATTGTTGAAATATTAGTATTGGGTTTATATTTTGAATGTACTGTTTCAGTTCATTTCTTGTGTCCCTTTGGAAAAAGTTGCTTGCATTAAACACAGATTTGGATCATGGATGACTTCATAAATGTTTTGTGTTTCAGAATATAGAGCAATTGAATCTGACACCAGACTCAAACAGGACTATCATAACCATCTTGGGAAACACAGGTAAGATGACTCGGGCACACTCTCTCTTTCTTTTCATCTCCTATCTTGACGTCCTATGCTACCCCCTTCCCCCTTTTTTCTATGCTCTTTTTATATGGACTAAAGGAGTGGACATAATGCAAGTTTACTGATACATCCCCAAAGACTTAGCAGTTGGTGGCTGTAGAGTGAAAATGAGTGTATTAAGGCTATTAATATATCTGAATGAAGAGAGAGAAAGGGTGGCGGTGGTGGGGAAGAGGACGTAGCAATTTTCTGAAAATGACCATAATTTTAAGTTTTGGAAACTGATTTTTTTGGTCATCAGCTTTAGAAACTGATTAGGTACATACGGGGTTTCCTTTTTATTCTACTTAAGTGTAAAAAGATGCGCGAAAGGTTTTGAGTAAGCCAATATATGCTAGGACTTATATTTACTAAGAGAACCCCCACAGGTCATTGATGGATGATTGTTGTGCGTGGCATTCATGTCTGACATATTTCAGTTTTGATAATTAACCTTCTAGAAGTCCTGTTTTATTAGGCTTTTCAAAAGGTCCAATAGTTTCTGTTTTCTCGGATTTTCTATTTAATCTTATAACATCAACCATTGTACGCTAACCTTGCTGATGCAAAAGATGATTGTTGTGCATCACCTTCTCCAGCTCCCTACTTCCAGATGCCAGAACCATTTCTAGTGCTTACATGCCTCTGATGCATTCCACAGTTCCATTTGTCAGTTAAATCTCATTCTACTCATTGTCAATCTATGTAGATGTTGAAATCCACTGGCGTGGCCAAGATTTGTTAATGATCAATCCTATCCAGAAAGAAGAATTTGGTGTTGGTAGCCGTGTACAATATGAGGTGAGATTGCACATTATTGCTTATGTAAGAATAAATTTATTCAGACACATGGTCTTAGCTAAGTGGCAAGGGTGATAAAATTCCTTGCTTCAAGTCATTTTGCTTTGTTCCGCCATCTAAAACACTTAAAGCAGTGTATCTTCTGAATTGAGCAATTGCAGACTCAAAAATGCTTCTGTAAGGAAAATAGTATATAATGGTTCAAAATCTTCTTTCTGTAAGTTGTAGATAAGACTTGGAGTTTCATAAAGCTAATTTAAAAATTATGATATAGGGAATGAACTATTTTGCAGCTATGTTGTTTTCAAACTCCAATCTGTTCATTTCTTGATTTACTTTATTTGCAATTTCAGGTAAAAGTGATAAGTGCCAAGCGATTCAAGGATAAAATTATTGTCACACTCCCATCCAGCGGTCGGCATAGTCTTGAATCCAGGTTTGATTATTATGACGATCATGATGAATGCCTTCTCATCTGTTGTTTCTATTTTTCAGGTCAAAGAGCAGAAGTGGATGTTAACTATGAACCGGATGAAAGAGCAGAATCAGAAGCTACTCTTACTATTTCATTTTGGGCCAAGGTTCTTGGAAGTCTTGCTCTATTTATAATCACAGCAGTCTTCTTTCTATGTTTCTTGGACAGACCTCTTGGATCTCAGCCGCCATCTACTCCTCCTCCTCCCATAGCAGCACCTGTCACACCTGAGCGGAGCAGTCCCCTTCTTCTCAACGAACAATCTCCACGAACACCTCAGCCTTTTGTCGATTATGTGAGAAGAACTATAGACGAAACTCCATACTACAAGCGGGAAGGTAGGAGGAGGTTTAATCCTCAGAACACGTACTAAATCTATCATTTGCCATCGATTGGTGATTGGTACTCTTTCTCTCTCTCTCCATTTCTTCTTGTTGTTGTGCTTAGAAGTTAGAATGTGGCAAAAAGCTTTGCCAAATTTTGTTGTATCATGTATATATAGGCAAACTTACAACCTCAAAAAGTACTGGACTGGACAACAGGACCTTGGAAGACCATGTGCTTAAGTTCTTATCTGTCATTTGGTTGTAAGTGTTAAAAAATTTGCACTCGAATTCTCGTATTGCCGGTTGTGGTGGTTTAAGAGTGAAGAGCAAGTCTCTTTTTTTACTTAGGCCAAAGGAGGACCAAATCTCTTTAATTGAATGATTTTGAGCAAATGCATCCTTTTGCTTGATGTTATTCTCCCTCCATACTCTTTTTTTTTCATCTATATCTATATTATTTATTTATATAGATATTAAAATTGTTGAGTTCGGTGTATTTCACTCACGATATTAATTTAGTTAAAAAAAATTATGGGTGACACATATGTTTTAAAATATATTAAAAATAAAAATTAATTTAAAATAATGAAAAATGTATCAAATTTTAATTCTGTTCGTAAATTAAAAAAATTTTATGGAAAAAAAATGAACTCAATTTCTTATTGGCCAAAAGAGAAATCACAAGTTTCTTAGTACAAATTTTGGGTTTATCATATCTTAAGTTGTGTCACACTTCAAGAGAAAATTTTGGGCTTAACGTTACCATAAAATTTTTATTATTTAATTATTTTTGATAAAAAATAAAAAACTATTAAGTTAAAATTAATAATTATTCCATTCTTTTTATGTAATTAATTAAAATTTAAATATTTATTTTTATAATTTTTTAAGAAAAAATGTTTAATTATTTTCATACAATAAAATTTAATTGAATAAAAATAAATATTTAAAAATTTATTTTCATTTAATTAACATTTTAAAACTTTAATTAATTCAAAATAAAATTTTAAATATTTAATTAATTGTAATAAAATATTATAAATTTAAATTATTATTAATATTTTTTTGAGTTTTATACCCTTTAACCTTAATTTTTTTTCCCTCCGCCGGAAAAGCAAAGCGAAAGTAGCATAGTATTTTCTTATTCCCTCTTCTTTGAAGCTCTGCTAATTCACTTATGTTCAAAATCCATGAAGACGCGAAACGATGATTCCATTCCTACCGGAGCGAGACGAAGCCCCGGGCAAGTTCCTCTCTTTCTTGCCTTTGTTTGTTTTCTAAGAAAGAGCGGGAAACTGAAATATATACACTTTTTATTTTTATTATTGCAGCAAAATTTTCGTAGGAGGGTTATCAAGAAAAACAACAAAAGGTCAGTATTTTTTATTTTTAAAAAATTATTTCTTGAATAAATTTCTCAATCTTTTCCTTTTCTTTGTACGGTCATTTGTGCAGTACATTTTTCAAGCATTTTCGTAAATATGGTGAAATCAAGGATTTTGTTATAATGCAAGACCCGACAACGGGGCCTGCCACGTGGATTTGGTTTTGTTACTTATGAAAATCCCTCTGTAATTGACAAAGTTATTGAGGACACTCATGTAATTGATGGAAAACAAGTAAGCTTCAACTTTAATCTCAGTAATAAAGGTTAATTTTTTTTATTAGTTGATAATTGAGTTATTGTCTTTGTTAATCGACCTTTTTCGTGTGATTTTTGGGGAGTTTTTTAGGTAGATATTAGGAGAACAATACCAAAGGGAGTTGTTGGGACTAAGGATTTTGAGACTAGAAGGATTTTTGTTACTGGAATTCCTTCAAGACTGTCTGAAGGTAATGTTGAAATTGGAAAAAAAGTTTGTTTTTGTTTGTGTTAAGTGGCACTAATTCGTTTGTCGCGTTGGGTAGATGCGTTTAAGGACTTGTTTAAACAATCTGGAGAGGTCATGGAACATTGGATTGTGCGAGATAATGATGGCACTGATTGTTTCCATGGTTTTGGATTTATTACTTTTGACATGGAACAAGCAGTTGATGATGTCTTGGCCAAGGGGAACAAGGTTGGACTGGCTGGAGGTTTGCAGGTGAATGGAATTCACATTTGTTGTTTTAGTTGAATAAATTCTTGTTGATTGTGTTTGCTGATTTCTTTGAATGGATAGATTCTATTGCATAAGGTCTCTACTAGATGGAAACCTCCTCCTAGGGGATTCTTCAAGCTCAACTCTGATGGGTCTTCTGCTGCTAATTCCGGAGAGGCAGGAGCTGGTGGTGTTATAAAAAATGATCAGGGGCAATGGATTGTGGGGTACTCTAGAAAATTGGGCCAAGCAACCAGTACTTATGCGGAACTTTGGGGAGTTAGGGATGGATTGCAATTAGCAGTGAAACAAGAACTTTTCAATGTTATTATAGACATAGACTCGCAGGTTGTTTTGGATCTAATCTGTAAAGAAGTGGTTGATTCCCATACACTAGGCCCTATTATTAAGGAGTGCAGGTCATTACTTGAGCTGATTCCTAATCACAGGCTCTGCCAAATCAACAGAGAAAGCAATTCTTGTGCAGATCATCTGGCAAGAATGGGAGCAACTATGACGGAAGACTTTGTTGTTTTTGAGTTACCCCCAAATTGTATTAAGCTGTTATTATTTGCTGAGTCCTTGGAACCAGAAGACAATGCGATGATACCTGGTTTAGAAACTAATGATTCTAAACCTTTGAACCATACAAACGATGACAAGTCTCTGCCTCAGACCAAATATGGAGCAACTCCTTGGGTAAATCTCTTTCAGCTTGATTGGTTTCTGTCTTTCTGATAAACTGAGGAGAAAGTGCAGGATAATTTTTAAATTTACTTTGCCCATTACTTGATGATTGAAAAAAAGATTAATGAATAAAAAATAGAAGCATCCCCAACTTGTGATTTCAGCTTTTAACAAAATTCTTGAGACTTTGTCTGGTTAACTAATAAAGTGATCATAAATTAAAAGAAAATGTGGGGAAAACAGGTTCTTTCTTAATTTCTTTTCTATCCATCTATGCCTTTCCAAGGAACTAATTAGTTTTAAGCATTTTGACCTATCTTAAATAGAAATCTATTTTAGAATTTAAGTTTATGTTTACAGTTGCTTAGTCATATTTGCATAATGGCTTATACTTTTGATTGAAGAATAATACATTACTTATTATGCTTCTTGAACAAGGAAGGTTCTAGTTTGAATATTTTAAAAGTATTTTATAATTTTTTTCAACATGTCAAATTTGCAGCAAAATTTTCATTGGAGGTTTAGCAAGAGGCACAACATCTGGTTAGTTCTTTAACTATAAAGATTTTTTAATATTGTTAATAATGATGGGCAATGCTTTTTTATCACCCAATTTGATCTCAATAATCATTTATGCAGCACAGTTTCTTGAGCATTTTTCTAAATATGGTGAAATTGTGGATTCTGTAATAATGAAGAAGAGAGAAACAGGGCAACGCCGTGGATTTGGTTTTGTGACTTATGCAGATCCTTCTGTGGTTGATAAAGTTATTGAGGAAACTCATATTATTAATGGAAAATAAGTAAGGTTCAAGTTTGGTTTCAATCTATGTTACTCCAAAGTTCATGCGAACAGGGATCCAACCCTTCAAATATAAGGAAAAACTTAGAAAAAATTTAACTTGCCCGTATTGGACATGTACCCATATTCAACACTCACTCTGAGTCCAAGTAACCTAGGACTCAATGTTGAGTTGATTATTCTTCTTTCCTAACCATAAATCATAAGTTACTTCGTTAGTTATTGACTTATTTTTTTGACATTTGGCATACTTTTGTGTCTTCTAGGTAGAGGTTAAGAGAACAATACTGAAGGGAGCTATAGGAACAAAGGATTTCAAGACTAAGAAGATTTTTGTGGGTCAAATTCCATCAACAGTGTCTGAAGGTGATCTCTTTCTGTGTGCATTCCTTTTCTAGCAGGATATCAAATTGATGTTTGATGAAATTTTGTAAAAGTGATTTTGATTCTTATCTTTTTTTTTTTGCTGAAAAGCACTGATATATTTATTGCAATTGCCCAGATGACTTCAAGGACTTTTTTTCACAGTTTGGAGATGTCAAGGAATTCCAGGTCATGCAGGATCATACCACCAGTGGTTCTTACGGTTTTGGTTATATTACTTTTGACACTAAGCAAGTAGTTGATGATCTCCTGGCCAAGGGAAACAAAGTTGAGTTGGCTGGAGCTCAGGTGAACAGAGTGCTCATTAAGTTCATTGCATTTGTTATATTTCTTTGTCATTGTTATCAACAGTTTCCATCTCTCTTCTCATAATCCACACTTCCTTGACTTATAATAGTGTAGAGACATGTATTAATTGAATAAATGCTTGTTGATGGAGAATTGACAGTTTCTTTCAATGTCCACTTTGTCTTGTACATAATGATGATGACCACCAGTCCATAAGGTTGCAATTGAAGTCTTGCAAAGCCAGCTTCTCATTGTAAAATTAACAGAATCAACTACGCTTGCTAGTCCAAGAGTAGGATTAATTGGAACATCTTAGAATGTGGATGCGCTTTTGATCAGTTAACAAAATCTAAAATGACTGGCAGATAATTTAGGCCCATATTCTTTTACTCTTCTTCTAGGTGGAGATTAAGAGGGTGCCAAAGAAACAGATTCCTCTGCCAACCCTATATGAGCTGCATTGTGATTCTGGGCATGCCTATGATGGGTTTGAAGATTCTTATGATGGATGTGTTAATGAAAGGTTTGACATGATTAGTTACAGATCAGGTGGCAGTGGCCCTTACTCGGGTGGAGCTGCTGGTCATGCAGGATATGATGGGGCTGAATTGGTGGCTATAGAGGACATTGCAGTGGTATTGAGATGTACAGGGAAGAACCCTTCCTCGAATACTCAGGTCATTGTGGAAGAGTTGAATTTGATCTCTATGAAGAATATGGTAGTGGAATGGAGCCTGATAGGGGAGAGCCCTCCTTTCAATACTCGGGTCATCATGGAGGACAAGAATTTGTTCGGTTCAAGTGCCATGGTGGTGCTATGGAGCCATATAGGGGAGAGCCATCCCTTGAATTCTCAGATCATTGTGGAAGAGATGAATTTGGTGGTGGTATGAAGCCATATAGGGGAGAGCCCTCGGAATTCTTGAGGCGTGTTGAAGGTGGTCAGATTGGAGGGTATAGTGGGTGCCATGAAGTTATACAGGGAAGAACCCTTTCATGAATACTCCGGAGGAGGTTTCTATAGAGGCTATGGTTTGGAACATGGCTACGGAGGCCTTACTGATATTTATGGAGAATATGGGCCGGGTGGCATTGGTAGTGGTGGCTATAGAGGTGGTGATGAGGGTTCCTTCCCCGGGAATAGAGGTGGTGGCGATGGTGGTCTAACTAGAGGTCGCTGGTATCATCCTTACGCTAGGTAGGAAGGTTGTTGCTGGAATTATATATACATTAGAAATGTAGCAGAGGAAGGTTGTCTTAGTAAGTGTTTTAGACTTATTCCCATTTTGTGTTATTTGTTGTATTGTCGAAGGCTTGAAGTGTTTTGGTTTGGCTTTGATTAATATTAATATTATTATTGTTTCTGCTTTGATTTGGGTAAATATTTCATTTTAGTGTCTGAAATTGAAAGATCTTGTTTAAAATTTTGGTTTTAGCTTTAACTTTATCCGTTGGATTATATTCATTTTTTTTATCAATGAATTGTAAAAATCTATTAATAAATAGATTTAAATGGTTTCCTTCAAATTTGCAATAGGAAAATTATAGTGATATTCATTAATAATAATAATAATAATAATAAAATCCAAAAATTTATATTTTCTAAAAAATTATAAGACGGTTGGAAAAAGGAGGCAAATTATATGATATCAATTTACTTAATTTTTTTGAAATTACAAATAAAAATTATAATTATAATAAAATATTATATTCAAAATTATTGAATAATAAGAAAAACTATTTAACAAATTAAAACATAACAATTTATCCAATTTTAAATTTAAGTCTTCAAAGAATAAAGTTTCACATTTTTACAATTATTTTTATAACAGTAAAAAGCTTTTAGACTTTTTAATATATATATATATTTTTTTTTTAAAAAAAAAAAAAAAATTAATTTAAGCAATTTTATTCACGTAAAATCTAACAATTAATAAAATTTTTTGATAAATTACTTATTACCTTTCTTTATTTAGCAACAACAACTGTCGGTGTTTTCCCTTTTAAAGTTTTCTTTTTTTTTTTAAGGCCTTTCGTTTTATTTCAAAGGTTCAAAGTTGGAACTACAAAACGAACATTTTTAGGGCTAAAGTTTCTTCCTTTCCTTTTCTTCTTTCTCCTAAAGCTCTAAAAGATTTTCCATTTTGCCAATGGACCCCCGAGACGGTGGAGCAATTCTTGAAGGTGAAACCCACTATTTTAGATCATCTAACCATCTAGAAGATGACAAGTCTCATCCTCACACGGGAGATGGAGCCAGCCCTGGGTAAATTTCTTTTCTTTTTTCTGTTTGTTTCCTTAGAAAGTGCTGGAAAGTGAACGAAAGTCTTTAGATTTTCGATTACCCATTACTTAATGACATGTTAAAAATTAAATTAACTGAAAACTAGCAAGGGTTGTTTTTTATGTTTCCTTCTTTCTTTTCCTTTTTTCTGTTTGTTTCCTTAGAAAGTGCGGGAAAGTGAAGGAAAGTCTTTACATTTTCGATTATCCATTACTTAATGACACGTAAAAAATTAAATTAACTGAAAACTAGCAAGGGTTGTTTTTTATATTTCCTTTTTTCTTTTCTTTTTCTGTTTGTTTCCTTAGAAAGTGCGGGAAAGTAAAGGAAAGTCTTTAGATTTTCGATTACCCATTGCTTAATGACGTGTAAAAAATTAAATTAACTGAAACTAGAAACTAGAAAGGGTTGTTATATATATATATATATATATATATATATATGTATATTACATTTACTCTGTTTCCTGAGAAAATGATAGAAAAGTAGAGGAAAAACCTTGAGACTTTGCCTTGCCTATTAGTTATTGATTTGAAAAAAACGTAAATTAAGTGAAATACAAATACCCTTATTGTTCTTTTTTTTAATAAAAACTTTCCTCTGTTTCCCGAGAAAGTGCGGTGAAAGTGAAGAAAATTCTTGAAACTTTTTGTATTTCCCTTCACTCGATGTAAAGTTATTGAAAAATAAAAGTATTTTTTTTTTCAATTTTTTTGTTCAAAGTTTGAGATTGTGTCTTTGGGAAAATAAAGAAAAAAAGCAAAAAAGAGAAATTAGGGTTCTTTTAATATTTTTTGCTTTAGAGGTACAGTTTTGTAGGATTATTTTGATATATTTAGGTATTTGTTCCTTTGAAAGGTCAACTTTTAGTATGAATACTTCTGAAGTGATTTATGATTATATTCGATATTTGGAAATTTGCAGCAAAATTTTTGTAGGAGGTTTAGCGAGAGAGACAAATTCTGGTTAGTTCTTTAGTTTGTTAGAGATTTTTCTTAATTTTGTTGAATATTAGCACAAAGTGCGTGGCCTGTAGTCAGTATCCATCTGGTTCTTTATTTATTTTATGCAGCACAATTTCTTGAGCATTTTGGTAAATATGGTGAAATTACGGATTCTGTGATAATGAAGGACCGGAAAACGGGGCAGCCTCGTGGGTTCGGGTTTGTGACTTATGCTGAGCCTTCTGTAGTTGATAAAGTCATTGAGGACACCCATAATATTAATGGGAAACAAGTAAGAATCAGCTCTAGTCTCGATGTTAAGTTGATTGTTCTGTTTCCTTACTGTAGTCCTGTGGGCGCTACTTTAGTTATTGACTTGAGGCAATGCTATGTGTCTTGATTTGTGGCCTACTAGGTAGAGATTAAGAGAACGATACCAAAAGGAGCAGCAGGAAGTAAGGATTTCAAGACTAGGAAGATTTTTGTTGGTGGAATTCCTTCAACTGTATCAGAAGGTGATACCAATCTTTTTCTTCCATTAATTTATAACAGTAAAGCTTGAATGCATTTGACCAAATTGGTCTTGATTCATCATTGGTATTTGTTGTAAGTGTTAATATATTTGGTGCCAATGGGCAGATGAATTCAAGGATTTCTTTTCACAGCATGGAGAAGTCAAAGAATACCAAATCATGCGGGATCATGCCACCAATCGTTCTCGTGGTTTTGGATTTATCACTTTTGAAACGGAGCAAGCAGTTGATGATCTCTTGGCCAAAGGAAACAAGATTGACTTTGCTGGAGCTCAGGTATGTAGAATCCCCATTAAATTTATTAGAGCGATCTTTATTTTCTTCTTACGAAACTGTTGTCATAACCCTTCATTGACCGTAAATAGATGAGAGATACATGTTAATCAAATAATTTTTTGCATTTTGATAATATTAACAGACAAAGTCCTTGTCATAAAGGTACTTTTATGAAATACCAGCGGTACCTCTTTCTGAGCTGTTACCAAGTGACAACATTTCCATTAATTTGCACCATTTTGCTTGATGAGACTTTACTTTTAGGCCTGAAAAATTCTTCTTGATTTTTCTCTTTTGCTTTGGTTGTTTACTATTATCGTAATTCATGATGAAACATAGGAAGGAATGAAACCTCATGGAATCTTGTCTCTTAGTATTAGCCATAGTTCTTTTGTACTCGTAGCTTATGAGTACGGGGAATTTAGAATATTTATGGTTCTCTTTGATTTACAAATCCTAAAATGAGTCTCATGATGTTTCTATTTACTTGTAGGTGGAGATCAAAAGGGCAGAGCCAAAGAAACCGAACCCTCCCCCACCTCCATCCAAACGATATAATGACTCCAGGACTGCATATGGTGGTGGATCTGGAGATGCTTATGGTAGATACGGAGGTGGTGGATTTGGTAGTGGTGGTTACAGATCAAGTGGGGGTTATGGGGGTCGGTCTGGTGGTTATGGGGCATATGGGGGAGGTGAATTTGCTGGGTATGGAGGTTATGGTGGTGGTGGTATAGGGCCTTACAGGGGAGAGTCCTCCCTTGGATACTCAGGTCGTTATGGAGGAAATTTTAACAGAGGCTATGATGTAGGAGGTGGCTATGGAGGCCCTGGTGAGTTTTATGGCGGCTATGGTGCTGGCACTGCTGGTGGCTATGGTAGTAGCTATGACACTGGCCTTGGAGGTGGCTATGGAAGTGGCTATGGAGGTGGTGCTGGTGGTGTTGGTGGTGGCGGAAGTTCATTCTATGGAAGTCGAGGGGGATATAGCGGTGCAGGCAGCGGTCGGTACCATCCTTATGGAAGATAGAAAGATTGTTGCTGGGAAAATCTCTTTTGAGGTTATGAATGTTGCCTCAGTTTGTACCTTGTAGCTCATTGTCATGTCCGTTTTCTTACTTTGGCTTTCTTTCTTGTTCGAGTCTTTTCATATTTGAGGTTGAAGGATTTGATCATCCACTTTACCCTTTAATTTATAGCTGGACTGTGAGAGCTAATTGGTCTGATTTTTGTACTTTTCCATTGACATTAACATGCAAATCTTGCAAGCTGTAAGATTGATTCTTGAATGAACACAGCAAGCAAAGAAAAAACCCTTTTTTTTTCTTGGAGCTCTTATTTTCTTTCTGCTCAATGCCTTTTGCTCCTTTGACATGCCTAGATTTTCAGACAAAAGAACTATGCACGTAGATATGGAAATTTATGTTGTTTCATATTATATTTTATATAAAAATTATATATTATAATTCATATGATATAAAAATATAAAATATATTTTTTAATTTTATTAAATTTATTTATAATTTTTATTAAAATTTTAAATTGTGTTAATTTTATATTTTTTATTAATATTGTGTAATTATGATGTATTTTATATATTTTATTGGTAATCAACAATTTAAAAAAAAATCATTAGGACAAACCATTTGCCATGTTGCTCAAATACTCATTTTGTTTGATTGATTTTTTTTTTTAATTTTTAATTTTTGTTATTTGTTTTGAGTTTATTTTTTACTTATTTTTTCATTTTTTATTGAATAAAAATAAAAATAACAAAACAGAAAGTTTCCACGACAAAACAAAAGTGGCTAATAGGACAAGCAAGTTTTTTCATTTGAACACCACACAATTTCCCAAAATATCTCATCTGCCCTTCCCAACTGCCAACACCATTGCTTTAGCTTCGTGTCCTAAAGGAACTTTGTCATTAAAAAAAAAAAAGACAGCGGGAAACAAAAATTCTATGCAAAATAAATAAATAAGTCAAAATATTCAAAATTCTTTCTTCTTCTTTCTTTCAAGTTTCAATTTCAACCCAAAGAAAGAAAAGGGAAAACCCAGAAAGAAAATGGCAATAGTGGCAGCAGCATCCAATTTACGTGCATTCCAAAAGGTGAAAATTTTTCTTTCTTCTTTTTTTTTTTACTTTAAAAAAAATAATTTTCCTTGTTTTTCTTGATTAAAAGAAAAAAAACTAATTCTGGGCTTTCTTTACTTTGCTGACAGACTCAGGGATTCCATGTGATTTGCAGAAGGAGAGAAAAAGGAAGAGAACATCACAATAATTACCCCTATAAAGTCATCGAAATTACACCCCCGCCCAAGTCCCTTGGTGTTCGTTGCTTCCCTTCTGTAAGTCCCCACTTGTAATTTGCAACTTACTGTCTTTTTTGTTCTCTGAAATTTTCTTTTTGGTCAGAAAATAAGTCATTTGGAACTCTGTCTCTATATATTTATGGAAAAAAAAAATGTCAAGAATATGAAGTCTTTGCATTTAGGATGAGCTAATGATTCCAAACCTAAAGGTCTGATTACAAAATTTCCCAAACTATGTTCCTTTCAAAAATATAATGTTGGGTTTAAAATAATTGGTAATTCGTGTATCTATGTTGTGTCTATTTCGTTATTAAACACGAATAAAACAAGAAAATTGTTGTCACAATTTGTGTAGATACCCCAAATACTAAAACCCGGATACCATTTTTGTTATAATTTTAAACCATGTTACTTTCGTATCTTTTTTGTATTGTTTTCATATTGTATCCTGTTGTGTTTAAAATTATGATGTTACAATAACTTTTTGTGATGGCATTCTTGATGTATATATTATTTTTCATATTTAAGAACATTTAAAGTAAGATAGAGAATAGAAGATATGTGATGGGAATGTTGTTTCAATTACTTGTTTTACTCAATTGCGAAGAAAGGTGTAAGACTTTACCTTTAAGGGATGGCAATTTGGACTTTAGAGTCTTAATTTTGTTGTTGAGAGCATGTAATGAAGTTAATTGGTTTTGAAGGTATAGAGTACCGATCTTTCCTAAGCATTTTAGAGATTCTAGTTTACGTAAGTGAAATTTTGATTAAGGGTTGGCGAGTTTATGCAATGGCAAGCGTATGAAAGCTGTTTCACAGATGTATAGTTTATGAAATCAGATTGAAGAAGTGGTTCTCCCATTTTCAGCTTTTGATTGTAGGTTATGGAAGTGAAATTTTGATTAATGGTTGCCAAGTTTATGCAATGGCAAGCATATGAAAGCTTTTTGACAGATGTATAGTTTACAGAATCAGATTGAAGGAGTGGTTATCAGATTTTTGGCTTTGGATGATCTCTCATTTGTTCTTTTCCTCATTTCCCCTAATTTGGCCGGATAATGATATTAGTCGCTTGATGATAGCAAGACATCAAAAACTGGTAATCAAGTTTAGACAAATGAAGTAAAGACAATGAAGAGTTTTCAACAGAAGAAAGAGTAGTCAAAACAAAAGGATGAGGTTCAAGTAGGGAAACTCTTCAAAGTGGAGATATGCTACTAGCTCAGCTCAGCTGGTTGCATTAGTTGGGGACACTTCTGATCTCCTGCTTCATCCTAAATGAGCCGCTCAAAACTACTGAATATAATTTGACACAGCAAAACATAGCTCGGATTAGGCAATCATCATGGTGAAGATTCTAGGAAACCAATCTTGTGCAGATCATGCAATGATTAGAAGGGTATGTGAATGCCATCAGTGCAATATGTTTTATATTATTGGATGGGCGTAGCCCATATATTGGTTGTAAATTTTCGGACTATCAACCTCTCTTGTACTGATGTACTACTTGTTTAATGAGTTGTAAATATGTAGGGTCCTTCATCATGTGTTATAGAAGCAGAAAGCTAAGAATATAATAAGCCCTTCTGTCTAATTCTAAGTACCAAACATGTAGAACTTTAATGATCTGTCATCTTGTCAGTATTGCTACTCTGTTTAACAGGGATCAGTAGGTCCGATACAGTTGTGAAACTCGAAAAATAACATCATATTGCTGCTGGTGTATTTATGTTCTATTTCTGTCAGTTCTAATTGTTCCTTCTGCATCAGAATTTGCAGTGTGGAGAGAGTGTGACAATTGAAGGCCAAACATATACAATCTCAGCTGTAACACACCGATACCAGCTTCGCAAAGGAAAGTATGAACCTAGTGAGAAGCGGCTCGATGTTCTGTCGACAGGGAGATACATCTTAAACTTATATCTTGAAAGCTTGCTAGAACAGTCTTGATGCATAGTTTTGATACATTTTTTTACTCAGATATAATGCATTCATATCTACTTAACAGGAAAGAAGAATCAAGATTATCAGATTGTAGGAACGAGCTTAGTAATGCTTAACTAATGTAAATGAATCATGAAGTTGGATAATGCTTGATTATTATTGGTATGAAATTACTTTGATTGATTCAACTGATGGTATTTCTTTATTTTTATACTAATTTTTGCTTTCTTTTAATCTCATAATCCCTGAATCAGACCTTTCTAAATCTGCATATCTTTCCTTGCATTTTAAAGGACATTGCCATACCAACAGGTCCAACTGTAAGGATTTGACATCCATGATCCAATACTTCATATCCTGCTTTATATATATATATATATATATATATATATATAATTAAAATAAAAAAATCGTATTTGTCATGAATTTCAAGTATTCGAATTTAAATTTTAAATTTATTAAATATTATGTTTAAAAGTAGTTATATAAATTAATTATTTTTAAATTTATGAATCAATTCAATTAAAATTTGAATTTAACCTATCGATGTTTTTAAAAAATAAAATGTTAAAAAATAAAAATTTCAATTCCATTCCATGTTTATCATAAACCTGACTACAGGAGATTACACTAGGCTATCCCCTTGTTGGAAGGAGCAATCATGGGGGGAAGGAGAGAATGATTTGGCACATTGCACACTGAAAATGATTGTTGTAACATGTTTACGTGATTGGGTGACAGGGGTCCCACAGAATTGGTACCTTTCTAGATAACCACCAAATCAGTCTACGTGTCAACATCAGACAGACGGGGGCGGTCGGCAACATCAAACATCCCTTCAATCCACCTAGGGTTCGTCCGATATTAGAGGAATTCCCTCGTCACCGTCAGATCATCATAAAATTCTGCGATCAATCGAGGGGTTAGTTAATGGGACCCAATTCAAGGGGTACCCTTGACCGAAGATGGCATTAGGGGGGGATTTAGGAATTAGGACTACCCTAGGCCTAACATCTGCCCTACAAAATTCCCAAAAAGACCCCGTAAGGAGGGTCCCAAATATGTCGATGTCCCCACAAAGCACATTGTGGGACCCTCCTCCCTGACAGGGTGACCCCCATGCGTCATAAGGTTCTCCTATCAAAGAATAGATTAGACATTCATTTCACCACTTTTTTTAACAAGGGATAGAATTAAATGGGTAAAAGACTATTTTACCCATTAAGGGCTTTAATTACTGCTAAATTAAAGGGAAGGGTGGCCCTAAAAAAATAAATATTATTGGTAATGTCACCAGTAGGTGCATGGTAATATCATGACAGCCGTCCATGTGCCACCTGTTTATGTTCACGTGCCCGCATGTGAAGGATTTTTCTCGTTATTGTCAAAAAAATAAAATATAAATTAAAAAATTTTATTGTGATTTATCATATTTTTATATAAAATATAAAATTTATTATATTAAATTAGTGGGAATATATTAAAAACAACACATTTTTTAATTTTTATCAAATTTATATAAAAAACTATTTAATAACGAATAATGAATTTTTTTAATTTTACAAATAAGATTAAGATAAGAATACATTTTTTTAATTAATTTTTTAAAATATTTATTAAAAAACATGTGTCAATTAATTTTTTTTGTAAAATTAAAAAATTTTATTGTAAATATATTTGATAATTTTTTAATTTATATAATTTTTATTAAAATTTTAAATGGTGTTGATTTGTTTTTTTTTTTTGTATAATTTTTAAGTTGGACCACTATATCAATGTGACGGATCTAAATGTGGGGTACTTAAACCCACCATGTGATTAATATTCATTTTTATTTTGTTACCATCCAAAACTTAATGACTATAAATTTGAAAAAGAAAAAAAAATATTATTGTTTAATTCTTACACCCTGCATCTAGTTGTTCTGTCCAATAATGAATGATTCAAAGCTGTCTAATAAAATATTTGTCATTAAAAAATTGAATTAAACATATAAATTGATACATAAAATGTACTATGCATTGGAAATTATAAATAAATAAAAATTTAGAGAATCTTATTGTTGAGTAATGCCTTTGTTTGAATAATTAAGATTGATTGAAATTGAATTATTGTGTAACTACTAAATCTTTCAATTTATAATTTCTTTGGCCAAAATTAATAAATCAAGTTTAAAAGTAAGCATTTTAATAATTTTTAAAATATTTTGACATATAGTAATTTTTTTTTGGTATATTTGAAACATATTAAATCTCAATTTTCTTAAAGATAATAACCTCTTTTTTTTTTATCAATTTTTAATATATTTAATCTTTTGATCCAAGTTTAAGTTTATAAGATATAGGTTTCATATAATTATATATTAATTAATTTGTTGGTTGTTAGTATGATTTATTTATTGGTTTTGTCTTTTTATGTATTTTAAAAGCTATTTTATTATATTGTAATTTTTATTAATATGTGTAATTAAAAAAACAAAAATTTTAATCCATTATCAATATATTTAGTTCATAATATTTTAAAATTTAGTAAATTATAATAAAAAAATAAAATTTAGTAAATTGATTGGAATGATAGATAATACTATAGTAGCTCAAATATAATTTTCATGCCACTTATTGTTTATAAAATCATATGCATTATTGCTAGTGAAAACAAGTAAACTAGAATTGAACATCAATGGAGTTTCCTTATGGGAATAAATTAAAATTTTAAAGGATATAATTGAGTAATTAGTTTCAAAATAAAAATTAAAAAGAAAAAACTTCATTTAAAGGCTTTATATGCATTGAAAATAGTACTTGAATAGTAAATAGTTGATTTGATATGGTTTAAAATTTTAATGATAATTATATATAAATTTAAAATATATTTTTTATATTATTATATTGATATGAATTATAATATATAATTTTTATATAAAATAAAATTTATATATATAAATTTTAATATTTTATATTATATAAATACAGGAATAATAAATCTAATAAATAGTAAAAGTTGGTATTGGAAGTGAGATTATTAAAAGGTGGGGTGGCCCAAATTTACAAAAACAAGAACAAGAAAGTGAGGAACCAACGCCAATCAAAGAGAATTTTCTTTTTTTTTATCCTTAGAATTGAGAGGAAACAATCCAAAGATAAAGACGGCTTTAAGCTTTGTTTGCTATGCTTGTCAAGCTAGCTTTGGTTTTTCCTCTTAATCTTTCTTTCATAAGACGACGGAAAATAGCAGAACATAAACTTTTGCATTCATAATTACAAAAAAACAAAGCTATTATCATTGTTTTCTTTCTTTTTCTCGTTTGGATCGGATCCGGAATAGCTTCTTAGGAGAAGAGAAACACAAACAAGGCAAACCCACCAAACAAGATAAAGGAAAGCTGTTGCACTTTTCTCTTCAAAGAACAGCATTTTTCCTTTCCTTGGTTTTTCTTCAATGAAAGATTTCACCTTGCCGTGCATTGTTTTCTCTGTTCTATGATCAGGTAACTTGTTTTTGGCTAAAGTTTTTTCTTTGACGGATTCTTTTTCTTTTGCTTCTTTGATCAAGTTTGGGTCTTTATTTTTAAGCTTGTTTTTCTTGTTCATGCATTTTCATAGTAACCAAACTTTGCATTTTAACTCTCAAAAAGAAAGAAAAAGGTTTGCATTTTTAACTTAAAAGTTAATGTTTGGTGTCTTGTCTTAAGGGTCAGCTATTGATATCTCCGCAATCTTTGGTGTTTTCTTTAGCTGTAAAATTACTTGGTGATTATATTTTGCTTGAGTTTAAAGACTCCAGCTTTAAAATTTCCTTTCTTGATTTCAACAGCTTATTTGTATTTTGTAATAGTTGTTTTTGTGTTTTAGGACATTTAAGTTGGAAGATTCTATGATTAATGGCTTTATCATAGAGTTGTCACACAGAGGGAAAGATTTTACTTTGCTAAATTGGACTTTGGTTTGGCAGTGGTAGCTGTGGTTGAATTGTTCAATGGAATCACTCGTTATTTCTTCATCAAAGAGTCAAAGTCCCGGTTCTGCTATAGGCAACAATAATTCTCCTTCAACATGTGGGACGCCTAGGCCTTCTCGGCCTCCATCTCCCAAACAATCCAGAAAAGAAGGCCCTTCTTCTACATCCCATGCAGCTACTCTTAATCATGGCGTGAGGATTGTTGGACATCCAAATGGTTCTGTAGGCTATCAAAAGCATTCATACAAAGCAGCCTATGACAACATGCAGCAGGAAGAATCGCCTAATATGGCGAAACACTATTACGATTCGAGTAATGGGAAATCTGAGTTGGTGGGAAAGAACGAGGTTATTATTTCTAGCCAGAAAAATATTTTGACAGTGGAAAGCAAATCTTCCATCAAACATCCCACTGATGATCATAAGAGTTCTAATTCAAGTGGTTCGTTAGAATCTGAAAAAATTGTACCAGGTCCATGTAAAGGAGGTGTTGTGGAGTTGGACAACCATATTGTATCTCAATCAGAGCCAAGCTTTTGTCCAAGTCCTTCAAATAGTATGTGTACTGGCACGCTTTACGCAGAAGTCAAACAAAGTTTTACCAATACAGAAGTTAGTGAATGTGCAAGCAGTGTTGGCAAGTCTGGTGGAAGTGGTGAAGTGAGTAGGAAGACGAGCATCCATAGAGGGAGCACTGGCAGTGATGTTAGTGATGAAAGCAGCTCTAGTTATCTAAGCAGTGCCATCTACAAGCCTCACAAAGCAAATGATATAAGATGGGAAGCGGTTCGAGTTGTCAAATCTCGAAAGGGAGACTTGGACTTTAAGCACTTTAGGGTGCTGAGGAGACTGGGATGTGGGGATATAGGCAGTGTTTATCTATCTGAATTGACTGGCACTAAAACTTATTTTGCCATGAAGGTTATGGATAAAGCACTTTTGGCTAGTCGTAAGAAGCTTCTCAGAGCCCAGACAGAGAGAGAGATTCTCCAATCTCTGGATCATCCCTTCCTACCCACCTTGTATACACATTTTGAGACAGAGAAGCTTTCTTGCTTGGTGATGGAGTTCTGCCCTGGGGGAGATTTGCACTCTCTCAGGCAAAGACAACATGGAAAGTACTTTTCAGAGCAAGCTGCCAGGTTAGCTACTCAGCTATTGCTCTTCTTCCCCATTTTCATGACTCCTTATACTCAAGCCTACATTATTGCAATTTTAATTTAACTGCTGGATGGATTTAAGATTTTCTATGAAAACCCGTGGTCCATTTCCTGTTAACTCCCTCTACGGCTCGATTGTCCCATCAGATGTACAATTCAACGCTGCTAGGAAACTCGTATTACAATTTAGTTGGTACTGTGGCTCTTTATAAAGAACCATAACAAAAATAAGAAACTTCCTTTGCTTACTGAAAATTGGAATAACTTGTATCTAGTTGCTTATATCCAAGTCCAGGACATTATAATCTCTGGTTGGGCACCATGAAATCCTGAGATGTCATAATGTATCTAAACACACCTTTTGGCAGTTGTTCAAGTTTTTAGGCTGCATGACATTTACATTGATAATTGAACCTTTACATCCCTCCTTTTCTTTTTAAATTTTAAATATACTTGACTTTTGTCAATGACGTTTTCTCCGGGTCTGTTTGTGGATCCCCAATCGTTGTCTTGTTCATTCAGGTTTCTCCAGCATATCAGATGTTTAAGGAAGTATTCATATTCTTATCCTCCTGCTCTAGTTTTCACAGTTTGCAGTTTTGAATAGGTTGTGTTCTCCAGCATCTCAGATGATAATGTGGTCTGATATGGACAGATTGCAGTAAAAAGATTAAAGCCAAGTAATTACTACTACTTATTGTCATCAGCATTGATCTTTTATGTTGCTCCGCAGATTTTACGTGGCTGAAGTTCTCCTTGCTTTGGAGTATCTTCACATGCTTGGGATCATTTACAGAGACCTTAAGCCGGAGAATGTTTTGGTGAGAGAAGATGGACACATAATGCTTTCAGATTTTGACCTCTCTCTTAGATGTGCCGTCTCTCCCACTCTGGTCAAATCTTCAAACTCAACCCTGGAATCAAAAAATTCAGCATACTGTGCTCAACCTGCATGCATTGAGCCAACTTGTGTAATGCAGCCAGCTTGTCTCCAACCTGCATGTTTTGGACCACGTTTTTTTTCAAGCAAGCCCAAGAAAGAAAACAAGAGCAAAGTAAAGAATGAAACAAATCATCAAGTGAGTCCTCTTCCTGAGCTTATTGCAGAACCTACTAATGCTCGATCAATGTCCTTCGTGGGCACTCACGAGTACTTGGCACCTGAGATCATTAAAGGTGAAGGCCACGGAAGTGCTGTAGATTGGTGGACATTTGGGATCTTTCTATATGAACTTCTGTTTGGTAAAACCCCATTCAAGGGGGCAGGGAACCGGGCAACTCTCTTTAATGTGGTTGGCCAACCATTGAGATTTCCAGAGTATCCAAATGTGAGCTTCGCTGCTAAGGACTTGATCAGAGGTTTACTTGTAAAGGAACCACACCATCGGCTCGCATATAGGCGTGGTGCTACTGAAGTTAAACAGCATCCATTCTTCCAGAGTGTCAATTGGGCACTCATTCGTTGTGCAAATCCACCAGAAGTGCCAAAGCCAGCCATGATGGACTTTTCTTCCAGAACCGAAACGGCAAAAGTACCACCTACCAATGACAAGGTTCCGGGTGTAGATGTGAAGCCTTCATGTAACTATTTAGAGATCGATTTCTTTTGATTCTTGTGATTATTTGTTTCCACCACCTCAGTCGAATTGTGCTCCAATGGTCTGATCTTTTGCTCATGCAAGGAGCTATAAGTTGTTAGTTCCTTTGGTAGCACAAGTTGTAACTTATCTTTGAACCCCAAGCACCATAAACAGCATCGCGAAATGCAAATGAATAGGAGCGAGTTATGAAGTTGCTGCTCTCTCTTTTCTGAGGGGAAGTATTAGATGAAGTTTTCTAGATAAAGATTGTAAAATTTTTTAATAGAAACAATAAAATTAAAATTAAAATCGATAAATTAAAAAATTACGTAAAAAAATGTATAAAATTTAAAATAATTTTAATAAATTTGAATATATATTTTTATAAATATTTTTAATAAAAATATTAATATAATTTTTACTATTAAATAAGTATTATTTAAATTTAATTATAAATAATTTTTTAATAACTTTTTTACATATTATTGAGAAATTTTTTTTTATTTCCTCTCAGAGAATTACCGTATATATAAAAATAATAATAAAATTATAAATTTAATTATAAAATAAATTGAATTATATTTTTCGGAAAAAATTTTTAAAAAAATAAATAGAAATTGTTTGAAATCGTCAGAGCATGCGTCATCAGATGTATTACCTATTTAATTCTTCCATATAACAAATGACTCTGACCGATAATTAACATCTCGTGACCAATGACTGTCAGTCATAAAAGAACAATTCAAGGTCCAACCATAACATTCCACGTTAGCAAACATACGCTTTACGCAAATTCATCACGTGAAGAAAATAATCGATTTTTCTCTCTTTCAGCTCGCTTCCGGGAAAAGTGTACTGTCACAATAAGGATCAAAACTACAACTTCCACAACCGACGCCCTTCACCAACACGCGCCAGGTCAACTAAGAGCTACGTGAGGCCTTATTATTGGGGACCCACCTAGCTGGCGTACACGAAAAATCTTCATTGCTTGCTCCCACGTGATCGGAGAGGATCCAACCATTATTTTGTGAAAATATTTTTTTCTTTATAGCTATAAACTAACTATTTATTTGATTGATATTGAACTTGTTTAAATCAAATTGATTATTTAGTCCACTTCATGAAATAATTTTTATAATCCAAAATTAAAATTTTAATTATTTTTTATCATTTAAATTTAATATGTTATTAGTATATAAATTTTATATACTATCAATAAATTAAATAATATTATTTTATTAATTAATAAATATTAAGTTTTAAAATAAATATATAAAAAATTAATATTTTAAAAAAATTTATTTATTAATAAATAATATCATCTGATTTTATTTCATTAATGAGATAATATTATTTAATTTATAAATAATATATAAAATTTATTACATATATTAAATATAAACTCTTAAATATATCTAATAATAAATATAACACCAAAAATACATTTTATTTTTATAAGAAATAAAAGTCCCAATCTTGAGACAATGGAAAAAATTATAGATATTAAAATTTAAATTTTATATATAATAAATATCATTTTTAAAGGTAATTATATATAAATTAAGTTTTAAAAATAATTGTAAACAAATTAAGTTAAATCTAGAATTTATATTTGATTATTAATAATACATTAAATTAAAAAATTACAATATTTATATATTTGTAATAAAATTTTAAAAAAGTTAATTAAATATAAATAAAAAAATTATTAAATACAAAAATGTGAAGTTGTTAATAAAAGTCTTACGATTGGACCTAAAATTCGTTGTAAGAAAGGAAATTTTCAAGTTTATTTTTTTGACTATTCTATGAATGTGAATTTGCTACGTTCTATAAATTCCACTATTAATTAACCAAAAAAAAAAACAGTTCTACGAAACTTCCATAGCCATTACACCAGCAAATCCTCGCCTAGCCTGCGCGTATGCTCCACGCTCCATTGCCTTTTTCATTCAAACCTCCCCTCATGCGCATTGCGCACCTCCCCGGCTCTCTCTTCTCCTCCTTTACTGGAATTCGGTTTCACGCTGCTCCAAAATCTTTGCCAGCTTTTGTTTCTTTTTCTTCTTCTTCGATGGCGGATTCTAACAACTTCTTAGCCGTTTCCGCCGAAGATGTGGCGAAGTTCGGGTTCACGCGCGAGGAGATGTACTCCAGTAACCTTGCTGGCACTGTTAATCCCTACGATCGCCACCTGTTTCTTCGCCATAAATCCTATACCGATTGGGCTTCCCGCGTCGAAGAGGATCTCCTCCCTAAGCATCTTTCTTCCGCTCTCAAGTCTCGCAAAAACGACATCCCTAGCAAGGTTCGTTCTTGTCGTTCCGATCAATTGCCTATTACTTTTGAGGTTTCAATTTTCAATTAATCATGGTTTTTTTTTTCAATTTTTGTAGACACTGTTGACGGTTATTGAAGGAGAGCAATCTGACGGAGATGTGTTGATTTTCCCTGAAATGATCAAATACAAGTAAGTTTTCTTTCTTTCTTTTTTTTTTTTTTGAAATTTTTTGAATTAATTTCTTTTCTAAATCTTGTTGACTTTCTTTACAAATCGGATGCGGCACAAATGAAAAAAAATTGGGTTAAAAATTTACTTTTTACAATTTATCCGATTATGAATCTGATTTTTTTCTATGTCTGATTAAGTTTTTTTTTTTTTTTTTATATATAATTACTTTTTTAAAAATAAAGAAATTAACCCTTCTCGAATTATGATTAAACGGGCACGTGTCAAAAAATTGAAGCCAATTGTGGAGTTAAATGTAATTATCCTCCTGTAAATGTAGGCCAACCTATCATGATGATTAGCAAGTGTTTTGTTTATTTTATTGTTTTATTATTTTTATTTGTTGAGTTGAAATTGGATTTTTGTTTTGTTTGAAAAATAATGGGAGAATGCTATTAAGATTGTGAGATAAGGGATTTTTATGCTGAGGGTCTTTTATTGTTCTGATGGAAGGGGTTTGACGGACTCTGATGTGGATGGCTTTGTCGAGGATGTGCTTGTGAATGGCAAGCCTTGGACTTCAGGAGTGCAGGAGACATTCACCGGTTCATATGTCTTCGTGTGTGCTCATGGTAATCGTGACAAGAGATGTGGTGTTTGTGGACCAATTCTAATTGAAAAGCTGAACGAGGAGATTGCGTTGCGAGGACTGAAGGATCAGGTGTTTGTAAGTGCTTGCTCTCACATTGGAGGGCACAAGTATGCTGGGAACTTGATTATCTTCAGCCCAGATTCTGAGGGAAAGATTATGGGCCATTGGTAATGTCTGCATCATATTTCTTTATGCTTCTCTGCATTGAATGCATTTTGATGTTATTGTTTTTTTTCTTCCTCAAACGGTTGCAGGTATGGCTATGTTACTCCGGATGATGTGCCTGAATTGCTGGATCAGCACATTGCAAAGGGAGAAATAATAGAACGCCTTTGGAGGTTTGTGTATTTTCTTTATTCCGAACTTAAGATGGTTAATGTAGTATTCCTGTTTGAGTATATTCATCTATTGGAGATGTACTTGCTACCTCAATCTTTTGTGGTAGATGGGGTTTGACCATAACATTGTCAGTACATACTTAATATGCATACTTTTTCTAGATTATTCATTGAAGGGAAAGATTTAGATGAAATTTTTTATAAAAAAGTTCGTGAAATTTTTTATTAAAAAAATTAAATAAAAAAGCGATAAATTAAAAAAAATTCATTATATATATCAAATGTGTAAATTTTGAAAAAAATTTGAAAAAATTTATATATATATATATATATTTAGATAGATATTTTTAATAAAAGTATTAACAGAATTTTTACTGTTAAATAAATATCGATTAAATTTGAAATATAATCAATATTTTTAATAATTTTTTTACATATAGGTTTTGACATTGAATTCTACTAATCTATTGCTTTCGATTTTTTATCAAAGTTTTTATTAAATTATTATTAAGAAGGAACTTCATGAATTTCTCCTAAAGAATTGCAGATAAGTTTTATCCTTCATTGAAAGCGTTTACAATGTATTCTTAGTGCTGCTGCATGTCTTTCCTAGTATTGATTGTCTTAAATGCTGACAAGGCGGCAAACTGTGGTTTATGCATGCAACTAATCGGCCCTTAGCCTTATTTTGCACTAATACAGCTTCAGAACCCTTCTGAAGGCAGTGCTTTACTTCATTTCCCTATAATGCTCTTATGAAATGTTTCTTTTCTACTTTCCGTTACTTATTTTAGGCTGCGTTTTTTGCTAGAATTTAAGTGAAATCATTCATGCTACCACTATTTAAGTCTACAGTGTGTTTTGCATGTTGGAAGCCACATCTGTATCGTGCGATGAATTGCATATGCCATATATATGAAGCTTTCAGTTATTCCTTTTTATGTAAATTTTTTCTTTTGTAGTTGGGTTCATATGTAAAATGAAAAAGCATGTAACCGATTCATCTGCAGGGGTCAAATGGGGGCTTCTAATGAAGGAGGTGATAAAACAGGTGAACAGAAGCTTCCAAATGGGGAAGAAGTGAAGAAGAATGAGAAGCATGAAGAATCTACTGCTCAGAAGACCAAGGAAAACGTGGGTGGTTGTTGTCAGGGTGTTAATGGGTTTACCTGTTGCATGAATGCTAGCCCTGAAGTAAGTGAAAGTAAAAAAATTGAAGAAACAACAGAATCACGCGGAAAGACTGGGCCAGGCAGATTGACATGCTGGTTCCAATCATGGGAGCAACTTGATGTTCTTACAGCAGCAGCTGTGGTTGGAGCTGTGGCAACCATTGCTGTGGCTTATAGCTATTATAGAAGATCGGGTTGAATTAAAAGCCCCGTATTCCAATATTTTACTGTTTGCTTGTGGGTTGTAAGCCCCTGTTTTTTGGTCGCAGAGGCAATAGTTGATGATAAAATAATCCTCCAAACTACAAACTTCTGGTGGAGATTGATACAAATAGTCACTTTTTACGATATGGGAATGAAAATGCTCGAATTAATATGTTGTTTTACTAGATGTAAGACTTGTTAAATGCTTCAGCCTGATACCGAAATCATTATCGGTAAAATGTTTCCTCAAATTGGTGTTGTCATGTTTGTAATGTTACAATTCGTATTTTCATGTTAAATGAGAAACATAATTTTTGTTAAAATTTTAAATGGTATTGTCTCGGATCTATTTTGTATCATATCACTGTTTAAAACTGCCTAGTCTACCTTTGGATCACAGGCTTGTATTCAGTTTTTGGTGCTAATTGCGAGTGGAGATGCAAATTCATAACCTGTGGTTTGAAATTGCCTTGGGAATCACTAATGTTAAATATTCAGGCAATTAAAAGAAAAACTCCTGAGATTAGCAAACAGCACCCAATACCAATATAATTTACAGAGATTTCAATTGCCCTGCGTAAGCCTATAATCTAAAGCTCAAGTGTATCATCCTAAAGAAGAAAAAAAAATTATATACTGAGCTTGGTTATCATCTCTTCTACCAGCCTCAGTGTTGTTCCTGTAACTTTCTCTGCATCTGCATCAATCGCCTGCATAACCTGTTCCATAAGCTCATGTTTTGATTGTTTACTTGTCGAAGCATAATTCGAGCAATCCCTCAGAAGAAGCAACAGCTCTCGAGCCATACTCTTAGCTCTCCAGGTTCCGTCTACACTGAGTTGAAGTAGGCCAGGCATTATACCTTCCATCAATATCAGGCCTCTGTATTTATCTCTACAGCTTTGGCATATGTGAAGGAGGATTCCCACAGCGTGCTCTTTGCTTTGTGGAGAACCCTCTTCCACTGCCTCTACTAAAATCCTGATTGCACCACCAATGCTGACTGTTTCTTGAATTGAATTCTCTGATGAAGAAACAATGTTTTCTAGTAGAGCCATTGCCTTCTCTGTCAGCTCTGATGATTTTTCTGAACAATGGGTAAGTTGAAGCAAGCTATATATGACACCAGAAGAAGCAACTGATGGAATTATCTGAGGGCAAGTTGAGAGATTCTGGAGTGTAGCTATTGCATCTATCCTTGCTTGCATGCTAAAGATACTGCTATTGTTGACATCAGAATTTATCAGGTTCAGGATTTCTACAAGGAGTTGTATGGTTCCTGAAGAAGCAATTACCAACTTGTTTGCTGTGCAAGAAGACAGGATCAACATTGCTGCCATTGTCAGTTCAATCAGTTGCTCATTTTGGCATTGAAGAAGGTCTAACAACACTGGTATAACCCCAGCTTTTACAATCCTGATTTTGTTTCTGCTAAAAAACACTACAGAATTAGTTACAGAGAAATTCTTTGGATTCTGCATATGGGAGAAGAAAAGCAAGAGACAAACCTTTCACTGCCAAATGCAAGACCAAGCAGGGCTAAAAGAGAAGCTTCAATGGCTTCATAATCTTGTGATTGAAGCATTGAAACCAATGGTGAAATAATCCCTCTTTCAGCCAATCTATGCCTTTGCTTGCTGCTTAGTTTACTGAGTTCAGTTGCAGCTTGAATCTGCACTTCTCTATTGCCACTGAAAAGATTTTCCACCAGCAAATCCTCCATGGATAATAAGAAAAGAAAAAGTTATTAACTCTCCTACTCAATGCCTAATCTCCAAGTTCTCTACAACAAGTCTCACATTTAGGCAACTGAAGAAATACAAATAGATTTGATATTGGTTGCTTGAACAAGTGATGTTAGGCTTTTGCGGGTATCCATTGTTTCATCTTGAAGCAACCTTGCTATTCCTTTGGTCAGCTTTTCTTTTTTTTTTTTTCCTTTTTCTTGAAACCCTGATTTGGAAAAATAATACAAAATATCCAAATACAAGAAACGATTCCTAAGCATGAGTTTTTATCTTTCCTTTTATAGAAGCAAACATCGTCACTTTTTTTTTTTTAATTTATAGAAAAGAATACAAATTTTACTCTTTTAAAAAATATTATCCATTAATCATCGAATCAAATAATCGGTGTAAATACAATAATTTTTTTTTTCTTTTATGGTAGGCTAAATATATTGTATTAAGAAAGAAATTCGAATTTTATTTTTTTAAAAAATACATTAATCATCGAATTAAATGCTTAAATTCAAATATAATACCGTAAAATTTTTTTTATGATAAGTTAAATATATTATATCGAAAAGAAATTCAAATTTTTACTTTTTACAAAAAATTTGTATTAATTATTGAATTAAATGGTCGAATGCAACTTCATAAATTTTTTTCTTCCTTTTATGGTAGGCTAAATATATTGTGTGGGGAAACTAGGGATTGCTTAAAGAATAAAAAGTAAAGGTAATTATGTTTGAGATTTCTTGTGGTTTTATTTTATGATCAATATTTAATGGTTGGTTAGGGGTATTATTTTAGGAATCATCTAAAGATTCTATAATTCACGTTTTAATTAATATGCTTTTATGTATTACGAAAATATAGCATGTGCTGTTGCATGCAAATTGGCTAAGATATTAAATTGAGATTTACTTTTTCTATATTTTTTAATTATTTCTTTTCTTTATTTGAATTTATTTTGGCCAATCAAATGAGAAGTTCCTTGAACAAACAACCCCATAAGGTTTTATGATTGACTGAGGTTTGGTACCTAACTTATTGTCTTCTGCATCTTTGTCTGAATAAATTTGTTATTATATTATATGTTAAAATTTTTTATTTTAATTTTTAAATTTTAATATTAAAATTAATTTTTTTATAAAATTAAAATTTCATAATTTTTAATCTCAAAAAGTTAAAAAAATCATAAAATATATTAAAATATAAAAAATAAAAATTTTAGATGTTTAAAAAAGAAAAAATATATATGAATAAAGAAAATGGGACAAAAAGAATATTATAATTATAAGTTTTCTCTTTTATCTTTTTCTCAAAATTTAATCAAAATTTCAAGATTTAATTTAATTAATTTATAATATTTTTTAATAAAAATGACATCTATTAAATATGAAAATTAAATAATAACATTTACGATTTTTACGTATTTTTATATTACGATCTTTTTTATAAAAAAAATTAATTTAACATTTAAAACTTAATTTTTTATATTAAATCTACGATGGACTAGACCGGTTTGGCCTAGATAAATTTGATAATATCATAAATTTCAATAAAAATTTTGCTCAACTTGAATTATATATTCAATATAAAAACCACTTAAGTCTTTGTCACACTAACAAGAAAGAAAACTAGGATTAGGAGTTATTGGAAACATCAATTTTAGTATCCCAAAAGGATTATATCCATAACTTCCATAATTATTGTTAAAAATATTCATAATAATTAAATAAAAAATATGGGTTTTTTTTTTTTTTTAGGTTTTGAACTTGATCTCTTGATCCAAAGCTGAGAAATAATTTATTAATAAAGTTTGGATAGTGAATGTCTTCCTTTTTATTTATTTTTAATAATATTTTTATAATTTTTATTTTTATAATTTTGGAATGGGAGCAAAAATAAGCAATAATCATGGCATAATAAAAAGAGAAAAGTAAAGCAAAAAATAAAATAAAAAATGCATGGGATGGGACCATTGAGTTCTTTTTTTTTTTTTTTTTGCTTTATTTGATATAGTAATTTATAGGAACCAATTAGCTCTACTTTCGCCACTATTCGGCGGCGTTGTCTTTACGGAAAATACATCTCAAAATTTCATGATGATTCACCTACTCTGGATTTTCGTATAAAAATAATAATAATAACAATTGCTCCCCACTTGTTGCTCTCTCTCATGCACTTGGATCAAGAAAAAGGTTTCAATCAATACTTATTTAAAATTCAAAATAAAGCCTTATTATTAAAAAAAAAGTGTAATGATATTTAATTCTCAATTATTTATGCAAAATTTTTATTTTATATAGATATGATAATTTATATATTTGTATCACATAAATTATTAAAATTCATATATTTGTATCTTATTTTATATAAAAATTATATTTTATGTTGACATGAAAATATGCAATATATTTTTTTAATTTTAATAAAATTATATATAATTACGATTAAAATTTTAAGTCGTATTATTTTTACATTATTTTTGTATCGTGTTATCATGTTTATTTTAGATTGACAGATCTAATTTTATATATTATTTTTATCAAGTAAATTATTAAAATTTATGTATTCATATTATATTTGATACGAAAATTACTTATCATAATTTGTTTCGATATAAAAATATACAATATATTTTTTTGATTTTATTAAATTTATATATAATTATTACTAAAATTTTAAGTCATATCACATTTGTATCATATTTTCATGTTGTACTCACATTGTGTCATTATATTATATTTTAGATTATCAGGTCTAATTTTATATGTTGTTTGGATTAAAATATTTTAAAACTAGCTTTAATCCAACTTTTAGTAGTGTTTTTTAGACAATTAATCAATATTAGTACATTATCTATGCACTTGATAAATTATTAATAATCAATGTAATTATTAGATTTGAATTGGGCTTTCCATCCAAAATGACCCAAATGCCTTTTTATGGGCCAGATGGTCCAAATGTCTGAACCAGCAAATATTGAGGATCCAATCATTGGGCGGTTGGGCTTCAAGTGATGGTCAAAGATGGGCTCATTAGCTCAACCAATGTAAAATATTTTTAATGAAGGAAATGTTAAAAATAAGGAAAAAATTTAAAACTATTCAAGATTTTTTTTTTTTTTTTAATTTGGGTTTTTGAAACGAAATTTTAAAGTTTGCTTGTGTTCGTATGTTTTATTTTTTTTATGATACATATCATTTACATTTTTATAATTATTAATAATGGTCTAAATATAGGACTTGATTTAATTATGTAATATATAGTTATTTAGGGAATTCTTGATCATCCTGTTAGCAGCAGTGTATTGCTAGCAACTGCCAAGCTCACATTGTTCCATGGCTGTTTTAATTAGGGGCTGTTTATAATTTGATTTTAATTGAATTAATTGATCAAATTAATTTAATTTGGTTAATCGATTAATTATCGAATTAATTTTAATTGATTAACGAAAATAATTTTAAAAAAATTTTGATTTTCAATTAATTCTGTTCGAAAATCGAATTAATCAAATTAACCATAATTTTAATTAAAATATAACATAATTCAAATATAAAATAAAAAATATATGAATTGGATCACTTAATTTCATAATTTGTTAGAATTTTTAATATAATATTTTAGTATTTGAATATTTTATGAAAAATTTTTATTTAGTTTGTTTAAAATATGAAAAATTAAGAGTTTAAAATATAATTTAACTTAAATGCATATATTATTCGGTTAATCCAAAAAATTAATCGAACTGATAGAATTAAATTCAATCAGTTAATTTTTGAAATTTATAAATTCGGTTCAATTAACGAAAATAAAATAATATAATTCAGTTAATTCAGTTTTGGATAATTCATTTTGAAATTAACTGAATTGATAGAATAAACACCCTTGATTTTACCTATCTTTTATTCAGATTCTATCGCATTCATTTCCTTTACATGTCGACGTTTCTAGCTTTATCGAGTGCTCTTTTACCTATAACTCCAGCTTGAATTCCACCGATCTCGATAGCACTCCAGCTAGCCATTGAATCAAGATATAATAAAGCTATTTTATTGACAGCAGTTCATGCGATACTATTGGATTATGGAACAATGGCTATCCAAGATGAGATTCCATGACATAATGCTTACTCGACAGTCTTAGCATATTTGGTGGCATCGCTTTTTTCCCCTCTATTCTGGAAACAATACCTCTTTCTTAATAAGCAGTGTTTCAATAATCTATCATGATTTATGGGTTCTAAAACTTTTGGAATCAATTACTTTTTTCATGTTTTAGACTGTCTTTATAATCTATAATCTGATGGTTGTGTCTCACTTGCATGGGGCAATTATAGGTCCTCTGGTGATGACAGTGATCATTGCTTTGAAGGATTTTTACGTTGAATTTGTTTTGGCGTTTGCTAGTGAAAACATTCATTAACCAAATTTGTGTTGAGAGTGGTTTGATTGATTTATATTTAGGTTTTAATCTTTGCATGATTGTAAATTTGTCAATTTTTTCATGAATCACTTTCTCATTTATCCTTTTCTCTTGATGATCCTTCATTTCTTATATACGTGAATCCTTTGTTTTTTTCAATTATATTTAGCTTAGATAACATGGGATTATTTCATTTTATATTATCTGAAAGTCGTCATTAAATTTCAGATTCCTACTTGATTTCTCTTAAATGACTTGATATTAGTATAATTTTTTGAAAATGTGGAAAGAGAATGGAAGTAGTATTAATTGTTTTTCATCAATGATGAGCAAAGTTTACATAAGAAGAAAATTGAATCAATATTAAAATGTATCTTTCTAGAAGGAAGGATAACAAATTTTTTCTGTTTGTTGATCAATCTTTTCATTTTCTTTTTTATATGAATCATGCTCTAATAGATTCCATATTACATAATAGGATTATTTATTTATTATTTTTTACTTTATCATTTACACAAAAGGATTTCCATAGAGCAACTGGAATTATATACTTTAGTTGATAATCTTTTTAAAGTAAATATATATATATATGCTTTTTTTTTAGGTGATGAGAGTGGAATCTTTTTATTTGAAAAATATGATGTTAGTTGGCCCTTGCATCATGCAAAATATTTTAACTATTTGATAGTATAAAAATTTTGACAAAAGAAAAAATCACAATTTATAATAAATCCAAGTGCTTGTAAATCTATATAATAAATTTGATCATTTATGCATCCATATTGTATTTATTTTATATCAAATACATATAAAATATTAAATTTATTAAATCATAATTCCTAATAATACGACAAATATGAATCATATTATTTTAGTTTTGCCAAAGTTATATTTAAAATAATCATGTCACTAAAATTTTAAATTTTGTTATTTTAAAAATTATAAGGTCTACCATGTAGAATGGTGATAATCCTGTCACTGTTGAAAATATTAATTGTAGCAACTAAAACTAGGGGCAGGTTCATATATATAATTAACGAGTGAAAACATTTAATTAGTGTTAAAGGAATTGTTTCATTTATGTCAGCATAACAACTCCATGGAGATACTAAAATCCAAATCATTAAGTCAAAGCCACAAAACAATCAAGCTAAATTTTGATCCTATCCTTGAATTAATGTTCCTACTGGCTCTATAAAGAGCAGCATTGAAAGGGTTGGAAGATAAACCAAAAACATTCTCTTTCAGAAAGCTCCAATGGCAGCTGAGATTGTTGTAGCAGTTTTCATCAGTCTCTTTGTTCTCTTTCTTAGCCATTGGTATAGAAACAGAAACTCCCTGGTCACAAATTGGCCTATTGTTGGGATGATACCAGGGCTTCTTAGGAACTCATGGCGAATTTTTGATTACTTCTCCTTTGATGTTCTGAGGCGGTGTGGGGGTACTTTTGAGTTCAAAGGGCCTTTGTTTCCTAGCTTGGATTTTCTTCTCACAAGCGATCCGAATAATATAAACCACATAATGTCCAAGAACTTTGTTAACTATGAGAAGGGTTCGGAGTTCAGGGAAATTTTTGAGCCTTTTGGGGAAGGAATATTCACCTTGGACTCCGATAGATGGAAAACACAAAGGAAGGTAATGCAAACATTGATGAGAAACAACAAGTTTACAATATTTCGAGATAAAGTGGTGTGGAAAAAGCTGGAGAAAGGTCTAATTCCAATCTTTGAGCATGCTGCAACACTGGGAACTGAGGTAAATCTTGAAGATGTATTTCAGCGGTTTGACTATGACAACATGAGCCTGTTTGCTTTAGGCTTCGATCCCGACTCTCTCAATGTTGAATTTCCAGCTATTCCTAGCAAAGAGGCCTTTGCTGATATAGAAGAGGCCTTGCTGTTCAGGCATTTCTGGCCTAAAATGGTTTGGAAGTTCCAAAATTGGCTTCAAATTGGAGAGGAGAAAAAGTTGATCGAAGGAACAAAGATCCTTGATCAATTTGTTTACAATTGCATCTCATCAAGGAGAGAAAAGTTCAGCAAAAACAAGGAACTGCAGGCAGAGGAAGATGAATATGACTTACTGACATCTTTTCTGGTTGAAGACCAAGGAGAATCAGGTGCCTTTGAGCAATCTGATAAGGTCATCAGAGACACTGCTGTCAATCTCATGTTGGCTGGGATAGACAGTGTAAGTGGTGGCCTGTCTTGGTTTTTCTGGATTGTCGCAACAAATCCATCTGTTGAAGCCAAGATTGTTGAAGAAATCAAAAGAAATTCTTCAATCTGCAAAGACAAGAACATGATATATTTATCCGAGGAAGAGCTTAACAGATTCATATACTTGCATGCAGTTTTCTGTGAAACATTAAGGCTATATCCACCAATACCTGCTAATCACAAAACAGTAGTTCAATCTGACATCCTTCCCAGTGGCCATCGAGTCCAAGCAGGATCAAGAATCTTGATTTCAATCTATTCAATGGGAAGAATGGAGCAAATATGGGGTAAAGACTGTCTAGAATTCAAGCCAGAAAGGTGGATTTCAGAGAAAGGAGACATTGTTTATGTACCATCCTACAAATACCCAGCATTTAATTCTGGGCCAAGGACTTGTTTAGGTAAAGACATGAGCTTTTTGCAGATGAAGACTGTGGCAATTGCTCTGCTTAAGAATTACAGAGTTGAAATGGTTCAAGGGCATGTTGTTGTCCCAAGAGAGTCCATTACACTCCACATGAAAAATGGGCTGAAGGTCAGAATCAAGAAAAGACATGTTTGATATATTGGAGATCATCAGGCGGATCTGAAACCCTTGTCTAGTTCAAGCTGTTCACAATATTGTATCGTATAATTAAGTAGCCTCATGCAGCTACATATCTATGGTTTTATGTTATGCTATATATTTGTGTGGTTAATTAAACTATGAATGAAAATTATGGCCATCTTGAGAATAAAGTATATATTTGAAAGAAAAAAAAAACATTTAAATTTAATTAGTCTATGATTCATATTACAAGTTTAATTTCAAAATTTTTTATTTATTTTCAGTCATTTGTTATGATGCTATTTAATTTATTAAATTTCATATAGCTTGCCAATTATGAATATCTAAGCTTTGGCTCGTGGCTCATATATTGTTACACAAGAAATTACATTGAAATTAAAAAATTAATTAATTAATTAAATTTACTAATGTCTCTAATTTTCTTCATGCATCAAGCGAATGATATATCAAGTATCAAAGAATTGAAATTTTTCTAAAAATTAAAATCTTTTTGAAAAAAAAATGATAAATTATATCGAATGCGACCGATCGCAATGTAAGACAATATAAGAAATAAAAAACTACAACGACAATGTATCGAAAACAAACTTCATTTAAAAGTTAATTGAGCATTTAATGTTAAAAAAAATTTAGACTCAATTTTTAAGCCAAATAAAAAGATCCTTCACAGATATGAGTAATATTAGGTCCAGTGATCAAGTTAGGTGGAGAAGAAATCAAATCTTTCTAGGTATATTGTGCTTAATTAGAGGCAAGAAAGATTCTGGAAAATAATTAGACCCTGTTGGCTCTATAAAAGAGAAGCTTGGGAAATCATGGAAGATCATAACCAAAACTAACAAAAACCTGTTTGGAAAAGCCCCAAAAATGGCTGTAGACATGCTTTTAGCAATTCTCTTCATTTTTTTTTTCTGTTTCTTGGCCATTGGTCATTAATTGGCCTGTTGTTGGTATGATAACAGAACATCTTGCCAATTCAGATTTAATTTTTTATTTTTATCTGATATTCTTGTTCATTTCCATGGAGGCACTTTCAAGTTCAAGGAACCCTTGTTTCCTGGCATGGACTTTGTTGTCATTAGCAATCCATTGAATGTCAACCACTTGTTGTACAGAAACTATGAGAACCATGAGAAATTATGGTTCAGTGTTCAGGGATTGCTAATGACAACAAAGTCTATGCTAGGAAAAGACAAAGTAAATGTCACGCCCCGAGATCAAGACGTAACACGATCAAGACGTAACACGATCATATTACCTTGAAGAAAATCTTAAAGTAATACGAAGCTTTATTTCTTAAACATTCTAAAATTCTTCAATAAAATAATATACTAAGTAAAATTCATATCTTTAATCCAACTGATGATATATCTTTATATATCCAAATACAAACCATATAAAATACAAAACTGCCTCTTAAAATCTCATTGGCCAACATATTCTCTGACGATTAAGTAATCATACCCATTTCATCTTCTAGCTTCACACAAGACTAACCAAACTTATCACTTAGTTATCTGTAAAAAAAAAGTAAAAGGAGAATGAGCAAACCACAGTTCAGTAAGTATAGGCTCACACACCTTATCAGATCAAACATCATTTTTTTACACATCATATAGATCATTCAAAACATTCATCAAATCATAATATCAAAACATTTCAAGATCATCGTTTTATCAAATATTTCATAAATCAATGTCAAAATATGTCACTTCATAAATCATTGTAAAATATGTTATCATTCAAATATCATAATCAAATCAAATCATGGATCAATCATTAAAAATGATCGTAAATCATCATTATCATAAATCATCATTATCATTCAAATCGTTAGCTACGGTCACTACTATAACTCATGACATTAGCCGTATCGACAGTTTCATTCTCATGATCATTGCTAACTATTATAACCCGTTAGCCAAGGCTTATGCTAACTACTATTACCCGTTAGTCAGGGTCGTATGATCATGTCTTTGCTAACTACTATTACCCATTAGCCAGGGTCGTAGAACTAGTTCTGGTGTCGATGATCCCACTTCCCAAGGATGTAAAAAAAACATAGCCATCACAAAATCATTCTTTAATCATAAATCATTTTCTCATTTCATTCATAAGCATGATCCATCATTTATATAAAGAAACACAAAATAATCATATGCTTGATCCTATTTTCATATATCGAAAATAAAGAAATAAAACATTCATTCATTTAAAAACATATATATATACATAGATTTGAAAACAAGCAAAGTGTGTGAGATTCTACTTACCTCTTTTCGATTTCACCACTTAGTTTTTTCCTCAAAATAATTAATAGCCTATCCAAGATCATTTCAACATATCAAAATTTAACCAACCCTTTTTTAGACCATTTATACAAAAATCAACTAAGTTACACAAGGGTTAACTTAACTAATTAATATTAGCAGCCTGACCTCTTTTCATTTAAATAGTCATATCTCAATATATCCTAATCAGAATTATGATCTCTTTAATGCAATAGAAACTAGACTTGATAAGCTTTCTAACCATGTATGGCACACATCGTAATTCCTTGTAGATTAATTATAACAATTTTTAAAATCCACGTCATATACTGTTGCCAAACAGCTTGTATACCTTCTAATAAAAATTATATATTTATTCACAGGAAACTCCAAATTCAATTCCGCTTCTTTCATTGGAAAGTAGACTCAATAAGCTTTCCAAATATATATAGCTTAATCTGTAAATCCTTGTATACAAATTAAGAAGAATTTCGTAACTCAACCCTGATGCTGTTATCTTATAGCCAGCATATTCTTAAGTTAAAATTAGACAACTCTTCATAAAAAACTCGGATTTGACTTTCGTTTGTTTCATTAGAAACTAGATTCAACATGCTTTCCAATGATATATAATAATCACAACAATAATATATCCATTAATAAAAATTCTATTTTAATTCATTATTACAGATCACAACATCTCATCCAAAAATAGAATTTCTCATTCAATCTTTAAAAACTCAAATCCTTACTTTCAACCTTCAAACTATATTCAATAATCATCAATAACTCTTAAGAACATGAAATAAACAAAGCCCAGTAATTTACCCATATAGATCATCAAGATTAATGAAGGATTTCATGATTTTTTTTTATTTTTTTTTCTCAAAACTTTAACTCCAAATAATAGCAATCAACTTGATATTTCTTCTTAAATAAAAAGAGGACATGTACTCACCTTTAAGGGATTAATTTGATTGTAGCCTCTGATTGTGAATCTCCAACTTGATTTTTCATATTCTCTAACCCTAAGGAAGATGAGGAAAAAAAATTCTACTTCCTTTCTATTTCACGATAGTTAAGTTTTCTTTCATCTAATACTTCAATCATTTTTCTTTTACTAAATAATATCTTAATAAACTGATGGACTTTAGTATTAGTCTAGCCCAATTATTATTTGGGCTAAGGTATTACAGTAAAGTTTCGCAGTCATTCACCAAGAATAACAATAAGTATATATGCATTATTTTCGGATCAAAATTTCTGGCAAATGCTGGATAAAAGGTCTAATCCTGATCCTCGAGCATGTGATGGACTTAGAAAGATTCCATGGTGACAATCTCTCTACTCTTAATTTTAATCCAACTTTTACAATAACAACAACAACAAACTAAATTTTATATATCATAATTTTGAAATTGACTGTATGTAAGGTAAAAATAATAATAAATTTTAATCCGATTAAATTATAAGATAAGAAAATAAATTTAATTTTAATCATTATATGAACAAGTTTTTCATCATTATCTCTTTTCATCTTTCCCATCGAAGAAAGTTAATTGACAGACTTAGGTACAGGAAGAGCATTAACAACCATTGGTGAGAAAAAGACTAGCAACTAAACCACTTAAAATCTAGCATGAAATCAAGGAAAGAAGGATAGATTGTTGATTTTGTGCGAACATCTCTTAGTTTACTACAACTTGGGCCAAAATTAAAGGGATTAGTTGCTAAGATGAAGGAAGCAACCGTTGGAAGAGCTTTGTACAAATGGAAGAAGCTGCCAATTGACAAAGGACACACACCTTAGACGCATCACACTTCAGCTCCAACTGCTCATTCTTCTATTTTCAATATGAGAAATTATTCCTATCAATCTCTTATGATGTCAATTCAGCTCCAACTGCTCATTCTTTTATTTTCAATATAAAAAATTATTTCTATCAATCTCTTATGCTGTCAATAGATTACGCTTGTAAAATTAAAAATTTATATTAATAATATATCATAAACACTCTTTCAATATTTCTTAATTTTTTATAAACTAGTTCTATTTTCAATGATAAACTTGTCTAATTTAGTGATTTATGTAAACTATTGAACACTTGATCGATCAACATTTGTTTTTTAGCAACCTTAGATTAATTTTTTCAATATTTTTTAATGCATTATTGGTTCATTTATATATTATAGGAGGCAAGTAAATGTCTACAATCTCCTACTTTATGTCTATATGGATAAAGTCTAACTCAAAATTTAATTATTTCACCTAAGAAAGATTCCACATTGTATCATATGATATGTATTCACTAACTAATTTTTTTTCTTTTTTATGCATTTACATGAATAATGCTATTTTGATCCTCATCCTGCCATAATTATATAAGTTTTGGCTCAATATTCTTTTATTTTACCCACATAATAATTTCGTTCTTAATTGGTTTAAAAATGGTATTGTGTCATCAAATTGATTGATATACAACTTGATAAGGTTAAAAATGAAAAGAATCTTTACTGGCAGGTTTGCCTGCTCCTTAGTAATAAAAAAGAAAAATAAATAAAAGATGCCATTTTGTAACAAATAATAATAACAATTGCAATTCATGATGAAAGAACCTAGTTGAAAACTAAATTTCCTATCTCTTTACAAGAATATATTATCATGGAAGATAAAATATAAGTTTAGGTTTAGTTAGACAAGTGGAAAATTTTAGAGTTGATAATCCGTGTATTTGTGTTTGTCTATTTTGTGTCATAGTCATGTAAAATATAAAAATTATCGTGTTATAGTTAGTGTGGACGTATCAAATATAAAATATGTTTTTTTTTTTTTGTCAAATTCATTATAATTTTTATTAAAATTTTATATTTTTAAAATCATAATCAATTATTATATTTATATAATCAATTATTGAATCATAATCAAGTTACAATCATTGAACGATCAACTAATAAATTAATAACATAATTAAACAATCAAACCCACATTGGGACTTGAATCTAGAACTTCAAGATTGTATGACCTCGTATTTTTATTAAAGTTTTAAATTGTATGGCTTTTATTTTTTTATAATCCTGTTTTAAATGTAAAAATAAATAAATAAAGCAAAGATCTTGTTGGCTATATAAAGAAGCAGCATGCTAATCTTGAAAGAACATCCCAAAAAAAACCTTTTGAGAAAGCTCCAATATTAGCAAGAAATGATGCTCATAGCAATTATCTTCATTGTCTTAACTCTTTTTCTCGGCCATCTCGGCCATCATTGGTCTAGAAACAGGAATTCCCTGGTGACAAATTGGCCTGTACTTGGAATGCTTCCAGGGCTATTTTGTAACTTGGATCGAATTTTTGATTTTTTCACCCATGATATTCTTGATTTGTGTGGGGGAACATTCAAGTTCAAGGGACCTTGGTTTCCTAGCTTGGATTTTGTGCTCACCAGCAATCCCATGAATGTCAATTACATATTGTCCAAAAATTTTCTCAACTACGAAAAGGGTTCAGAGTTCAGGGAAATTTTTAAGCCCTTTGGGGATGGAATTGTCACTTCAGATTCTGATTCGTGGAAAAGCCAGAGGAAGAGTTTGCATTCAATAATGCTGAAGAACAACAAGTTTGTAAACTACCAAGACATAGTCTTCAGGCAGGTGCTGGAGAAAGGTCTAATCCCAGTTCTTGAACATATAGTGCAACAGGGAACCGAGATGGATCTTGAAGATGTTCTTCAACGGTTCGACTATGACAATATTTGCTTGTTGGCTTTGGGATTTGACTCTAAAGCTCTGTCTGTTTCATTCCCTGAAGTTCCAAGCAAGGCGGCATTCAATGATATAGAGGATAGTTTGATGTGCAGGTATTTGATGCCTGTAATCATCTGGAAGCTGCAAAGATGGCTGCAAATAGGTGAGGAAAAAAGGTTGAGTAAAGCTATGAAAATAGCTGATCATTTTCTTTACGACTGCATTTCCTCGAAACGAGAAAAGCTGAGAAGCAGAAACAGAGTTGAGGAAGATGAATTCGACTTGTTGACAGCTTTGTTGGTCGAACAAGAAGGAGAAATTTTGACTGTTTCTGGAAAAATATCCGATAAGTTTCTAAGAGACACTGCATTCAATTTCATGGCAGCTGGGAAAGACACTATCAGCGCATGCCTGTCTTGGTTTTTCTGGCTTATTGCAACAAATCCATCTGTAGAAACCAAGATTTTACAAGAGATCAAAGCCAATTCTCCAACAAGTAAAGACAGGAACATGATTCTGTTTTTCACCGGGGAAGAACTTAATCAATTCACTTACCTACATGCAGCCTTGTGCGAGACATTAAGACTTTATCCACCAGTACCTATCAATCATAAAAACTCAATCCAACCAGATGTTCTTCCCAGTGGTGAACATGTTGATGGAAACACGAGGATCTTGGTTTCTTTCTATTCCATGGGAAGGAATGAAGAAATCTGGGGTAAAGATTGTTTAGAATTCAAACCAGAAAGGTGGATTTCGGAGAATGGAGACATATTGCATGTGCCAACGTACAAATTTTCTGCATTTAGTGCAGGGCCAAGGACTTGTTTAGGCAAGGATATGAGTTTCAAACAGATGAAGTTAGTGACAATCAATGTACTGTGGAATTATCAGGTTGAACTGGTCGAAGGGCAGCCTATTGCGCCAAGCAAATCCATCACACTTCACATTGAAAATGGTTTGAAGGTTAGAATCAAGAAAAGAGATATCTGATTGGAATATCTTTTATCCAAAAGTATCATTACAAATGCTTGGTTTGAATATTGTTCATGAAGATAATATAAAGTTGTTAGACACTGCACTGTTTGTAACCAAAATATGAATGAAAATAAAATGCTATCTCAAGAATAATGTATCTGTTTGCAAATTTTGTTACTTACCTCATTATTGGTTTTTGTTTGTAATCTACCCCTTAACATTATCTCATTATTTTTCATTATTAAACCAGGGTATGACATCAAAATGAATAAGAAAATTAATTATTTGGGGCTTTTCTTTATCCTGCTGCCAAGAGTTGACATTTAAATCTGTTATAAGAGCTTGGGTATTAGTGGTAAATGATTCATCTATGTCAACCTTTTTTTTTTTAATTTGGACTTGCTTCATCCATCTATTAATGTAGGTATTACCATTATATAATAAATTTCAGGAGCTTGGGTTTTTTTTATAAGAAATATATAACCTAAAATAAATAATAAATAATAAAAAAAAAGACAGATTAAGTACTTGCAATGAGCAAAAAGCCAAAAACCAACAAATCCTGGATTTAAAACAACGGTATATATGAATGAAAACATAGTTGTTTCTAGATCTAAAACCAAGTGAGATTATTTTTCAAAAATGTTGTTTGAAATCAAACTAAATAGTGACCTTTATATATAAAGAGTTCATGATCTTTAATGGCCTTTTGAACCTGAATTATTAGTCTGATCTTTCATACCCTATTATCAATTCAAGTTAGAAGGTAGCTAGGATTCATGGCACTAAGAAAAATGATCAAGGATTTACTCCCAAAGTACTTTTGTAGAGTTTTACCAAATCAACTTGTCTAACTCTTCTTTCTTTTTTTTTTTTACATGCGATATTGAGCCGTATGATGTGAGATCGCCCTTACCCATCCTATAAATCTCATTCCTATCTATTCCAAAACTCAAACTCATAAATTTTCGATATAGAGTTGTTGATGTTGAGAATCATCATAGTTCTTATATCATCTATTAAAAAATTAATAAATCTACATAGCATTCACGCATAAAATAACAAACTCAAATCAAGAATAAAAATATTCTAATACCACTTATTAAGTTAAATAGCATCTATTTAATTAAGTCAACAGAAGCATAATCAAATAATTAATCAAACACAAAAAGATAATAATTTAATGTTATTCGATCCAACCAACTTACGTTTACGGATGATAAATAAAATCTACTAATTGCAGAGAATTATATCAAAGCAAATCATATCAACCACTCAACAATCAATACCCATAATACTCTCTCAATCACCTCTAGATCTGTGAAATATTCTCAACAGAAACAGATATATACCCTTGTGCATCAATGCACCATATCTATATGGACCTTATAAATCTCCTTTAGTCCACTATCTCTAATAATCTTATAGATGTCTATCCCATAAAACTCTATAATTCTCTTATATCTTTTTTTATACGTAACCTTATAGAAATTTTATCAATTCATAAACATACAAGTTTACCTATTAAGAATTTCTTTTCTTTTAAATTTTTTTTTTTACAAATCTTTTTATTCATTAAATAATAATTAATCAATCTCAAATAAATATGTTATATGATTTAAGTTACTATTCTAAACAGTAAACTTTTTAAGTGATGGAGGGACAATGTCCCTTGATTGATCAATAGCTAGCAATCAATTCTGTCAACATTATTATATTCATTAATTCAGGTCATAAACACCATCAAAGCAACAGGTGATCTGTTGAGTTACAATTATTGCATGATCAGCAATAATCAGAAATATATATATATGCTAATTATTCCAGTTGATCAATATTATCGACCCCTCAAGCAGTACTCCTTTTCTTGATCCTAGTTTTAAAACCATTCTTCATATAAAGTACCATGGCATCGCTAGGGGAAACAATATCACCTTGCACCAACTCAATTTGATAACTTCGAAGTATAAAGATAGCAACCAACTTCATCTGAATGAAAGCTTATATTCTTACCTATACGACTTCTTGGCCCTGCATTAAATGCTGGGAATTTGTGAGAAGGTAAATGTTTGATATCTCCTTTCTGATCTGAGATCCATCTCTCTGGTTTGAATTCCAAACAGTCTTCACCCCATATTTTTTCCATTCTCTCCATTGAATAGAAATTGGTCATGATACTTGTGTTCTGATGAATCTGATGACTGCTTGGAAGGATGTCTGGTTGAATCGCAGTTTTGCTATTGAAGATATTGGCGGATAAAGCCTTAATGTTTCAGATAAGACTGCATCAAGGTAAACGAATTTATTCAACACTTCCTCACTAAAAAACATCATATCATTTCTTGATGGATCAGAATTGGCTCTTATCTCTTGTAGAATCTTGTTTTCTACTGATGGGTTCATTGCAATAAGCCAGAAAAACCAAGACATGCCTGCACTGATCGCGTCTTTCCCTGTTGCTATCACATTTATTGCAATGTCTCTTAGAAACTTGTCAGGTTTCCGACCAGCACCATTCAGTACTACACCTTTTTTGTCGATCATAAAAGCTGTAATGAAGTCAAATTGATCATCTTCCTGGGAGACTGATTCGCTTATTGATTCTTCTCGTTTTAATGCAATGCAATGGTACAGGAAATCATCAATGGATTTTAAAGCTTTGCTCATCTTTTTCTCCTTTCCAATTTGAAGCCATCTTTGTAACTTCCAAAAGATCATAGGCACGTAATGCCTATATAACAACACATCCTCGGCTTCCCAGAAAGCAGATTTACTTGGAACTTTAGGCAATTCAATTGAAAGAGAATTCGGGTCAAAGCCTACCCCCAAGACACAAGCAATATCGTAGCTGAACCGCTGCAATATATCTTGAAGGTCAACCTCAGTGCCAAGTTCCATGAAAACCTAGAGCACTTTGGTTAGACTTTTCTTTAGTTTTTGACACAAAATTTTATGCAAGAACAGGCCAAAGTGCCAAACCTATTGTTGTTCATCATCAACAACATTTTCCTCCGTTGGCTTTTCCATGAATCGGAGTTTGAGTCGAATATTCCATTACCCAAACTATCGAAAAATATTTCGTTGAAGTCGGACCCTTTCTCGTAGTTGTTGACGTTTTTGCACAGATTGTGGTTGACATTGACATGATCACCAGTGATGACGAAGTTCAAGGTGGGAAACCAGGGTCCCTTGATCTCGAAAGTGCCCCCACTTTGTTTGACAACGTCGACGGAGTACTCCATAATTCTGCTCGCATTGCTGAGAATCCCTGGTAACATTCCAACAATTGGCCAATCAGTGATTGGTGGGGAGTTTCTATTTTGATACAAGTGCAAAAGAAATAGAGGAAAGAAAATTGCAGCAAGTAACACTATGGACTCAAATTGTGCCATTCGATAGGAGCTTATGCTTGATATTAAAAGTTAGGCCTTTTTTTTATAGAGCCTTGTTGATGACAGGTGTCTAGTGTGAGAAATTGTTAGAAAATTGAGATTAAAAAATAAAAAATAAGTTTATATTTATTGCATAATTAGATTTTATATAATGTAACTTTATTAATCAAAAAATATAATTTTGTACAAACTCTTAAAATAAATACATAAAAATTTAAATTTTTTTAAAATTATTAGAGTGCTACTAAATGAACTCTCCTTTTTTCTCTTCACATTCCAACTTTTTTTTTTCAAAAACTTTTGTAAATAAAATTACTTAATTGAATTTCTCATAACTTTTCAGAAATAAATTTCTAGAAAATCATATAATCTTTCAAAATAGATTTATGAAAAATCATAAATATTTTCGATCATGGATTTTCAAAAAATCATATGGCTTTTCAAAAATTCATTTCCAAAAAGTGAAATAGTGGAAATTTTACTTAAAATGTTTCTTAAATTGTCATTATCCCACTTTTAGGAAATAAATTTTCAAAAAGGTTTATAATATTTTGGAAATCTATTTTTTAAAATTTATATGATTTTTCAAATATTTATTTTTAGAATGATTTATAACTTTTCGAAAATTTATTTATGGAAACTAGTATGAAAAGGAAAGGGTAATTGAGTAATTTTACTTATAAAAAATTTTTAAAAAAAATTTGGAGTGTGAAAAGAAAAGAAAAAGGTGCATTTAATATGTCAAATTATTAATGAGATAGAACAATATAATTTATTAACCGTATATAAAATTTATACAATTATAATTTATTAAATATAAACTTATAAAAAAATTGATTTTAAGATAAGAAAAAATATTTTTTTCACACGTTATTATGTTTCAAGCCTCTAAAATATAATAAAATTTTCGAATCAAAAGTAATGAAAAAATCAAAATAATTTTTTTTTCCAATACCAAGTGCACATATTTAATATTGTTAAATATCCATTACCCTACGTGGGTATTCTTAAAAGGTCCAATTCACTTGCTTATGAGAAAAGGTTTGGCTTTTTAATACCTTTTATGAGTAATATTTCTCGTCATGGTGGATGTAAAAACCTATCAACAATGAACAAAATTAGGCAATTTACACATGCAACATGCATTTTAGACTTGTGTGGCTAATTATTTTTCGTGACGTATTGTATTTGGTTTGATAAATAAATATATATTCTATATCATGAACTTGAATGAATTAAGTGTCATAAGTTAAGTAATACCTATTTGGTCATTAAAATTATTTAAAAATAAAAAATAATCATAAAAATAAAAAATTTAAAGTATTTATGTCTTTTAATTTTTTATATAATATATATTTAAAAAAACTATTTTTTCCTAATATATATATATATATATGCACATACCTATGTATGTATACATTACTTCCTAATGATATTGTAGGAAGCCTAACTTTTTTTTTATTATTATTTTTCTTCCACCCACATAGTGGGTATACATATATATAACGATGAACAAAAATATTTAATTTATTTTTCATAGTGAATTTGGAATTTGATGTATATATATATAAAATAAATTTATCCTATATAATGAGCTCTTGATTGAATTTTGTGTCATTGGTCAAGTGAATAAAATTAGTTAAAAATAAAAAATAAAGTAATAACAAAAGTGTAAAATTAAATTATTTATGTCTTTCTACTTTTTTATATGGTATATATTTTTAAAAATTACCATTTCTTCGTAAAATATTACCTATTTTTTCTATCTAATTTTTTGTCTTTCCTATCAAGCATACTATAAAAAATATTTTTTTTTATCTTTTCACTTTTACCTCCAAATTTTTTTTTATCTATTTTACCTTTTTTTTAGGATTTTATCTAAAATAGGTTTTATTAAAAGCTCATCCTTTGCTTTATAAAAATGCAAATAAAAAATGGATCCTAATTTAGTGAAAAATGAAAATCACAAGCCTTAAATTTAGGTGATTTTTTTTTTTTCAATTTGAAAAAAAACAATATTACAAATTAGCAGGCCAGTTTAGATGTAAAAACGAGACCATGTAAGCCCATTTTAAAATGGGTCTGATCCAAAACTCTTTATTTTCAGACCCACTATAAATTTTTATATAACAATTCTTTTGAAACTATTTTTTGGCAAACACTTTCTCTTTAAATTTTTTTTATACATTAATAAATTATTTCTTTTGAAAACCAGTAACTCATTAATAATTTTAAAAAATATTAAAATACTATGTTAGAAATAAATATGAATCCGAATATTATTTCAATTAATTTATATAATTATTTTTAAAATATAATATTTAATAAAAATTATTAAATATCATATTTTAAAAAAATAAAATTTATATTTAAATATTAATATTTTAATTATTTTTAAATTTATTTTGTAATAATAAATTAAATGGATCGAACCAAATTACGACAAAATTTTAGAAAGTTTAATTGAGTTTGACTAGACTTATCCGATCGGTTCATAAGCACCACTAATATTTTCATTTTATTTTTCTAGTTTACAGCACACACACATATCACAAGAATCATTAATAATTTTGAAACAAGGGGATTGTCAAAATTATAATTATGAAGTTATTGAGGATGGCAATAAGCCTCTTGTCACTACCATTATTTTTCTTGTAAAAAATTTTTTTTTCCAAATTGACAGGCCATTTTCATGACCAATTAGTTTTTCCACTGTCTGAAATATTCTTTTCAGCCAAATTCCCAATCCTCATGTTCATGTAACCTGCTTCGATAGATCTAATCATTTAAAATATAATTCGATATTATAATATAAATATAATATAAAAATAATAAGATTTAAAATTATAATAATATTTATATATAAATTTAATAAATTAAAAAATATATATTTTATATTTTTATATTAATAAAAATTTTATATATAATTTTTATATAAAATATAATATAAATATATAAAATTTAATATTTTATATAATATAAATATACGACTCATTAAATTTACGCTTAGACGAGAAGCCAAAGCTTGAAAATAATAGCAAAGCATCTGCGCCTTGGATTTATTATTATTTCTTTGTTTTTTTCCCTTGCAATTTGCGTACAACTAAAGCCACTTAATTCTACCTAGCCCAACTATATCTGTAGTTTTCACTTTAATATTATTTCCTTTGCGTATAGTGTTGTAATTCTCTTCTTTTTGCATGCTTTTCCAATGCATAAGATAAGTCTCACCAAAAAGAGAAAAAAAAAAAAAAAAAAACTCAAGTTAGGGTTGATATAAAATTGAATATGATAGTTTAAAATAAACTATAGTGATGCACATAAAAATAATATGATTTAAAATTTTATTAAAAATTATAAATAATTTTAATAAAATTAAAAAATATAATACGAATATATGATAAGATAACATAAATTATCAAATTTGCATAAAATATATATATTTTATGGTTTGACCATTAATTCTTAGTTCATAGTCTAGTTTTAACTTTTAATTAATTGATTGATATATGATAATTTAATTGTGAAAATAAAGTATTTAATGTTGGTTATTAAATCATTTATTAAGCAATTCAAATTTTATATAATTGTTAGAATTTAAATATAATAGTTAATCTTTTTTTTATTAACCTAACTTTTAGAATAATATATCATCTTAGAACTTTTGAATTTGAATATTGAAATGAATAATTTTTTAATATTTTTAATATTTATATTTGAATGTATAAACCTATTAATCATTCATCTTGCTTGCTAATAAAACACGTGTTAAAAAATAAATATAATAGTTAATCCATTTCTTATACGCTCCAGCCTAAATTGGTCAGTCGATTTGACATTAACTATTGTTATTTTTTTAAAACAATATCAAAATCTAGTTTTCAATAATTATAATTTTTTATTTTTAATATGTAAAAATTTAAATTAAATTATTTATTAAAAATTATTACAAATATAAGAAGTGTAAAATTTTTTGAGGTTCCCTTTTGGTACCTCTTGAAAACATGGAATTTCTTCCTTTAAAATGTTATATAAATGAAAATAATACCGAAATAAATAAATAAACGTTGTAATCAAATCATATCATCACAGAATCTTTTGTGTGACTCCAAATCAATAGTTGACTGGGTCGGTCCATTAGATATTTTGAACTTGATAAATAAATGTAAAATTTTGAATATTTTATTAAAAAATTTTAAAAAAATATGAACCCTCCAAAAGTGAAATTTTCTAATTGTTAAATGTAAATCATATTTTTGGGAGGCGATAAAAAAAGTATGAGGGAAGGGAAAATTCACAAATTGGGACATTTTCATTGGGCTGTGAGTGAAATGGACTCAATGTTTTCCCATCACAGAAAATTTTTGAGAGAAAAAAAAAAAAAAAAGACATAAATTGACAGTTCAATAAATTAATAAGAACCGCTGATTTTAAAGTTTTCCTTAAAAAAAAATTCACTTAATTTTGAGACAAGCTTAATGCGTCAACTTCAATGGCTATGATCCTCTGCGGTAACATTCCTCATCTTCAATTGTTAAGTACTTCTGATTTGTGCCACGTTTACAATTAAAAAAGAACTTTTTTATAATAATTATGATATGATCTTCCAACACGGATTAATATTCAAAGAAAAAAATCAATCACTTCATGTAAATGAAAAATAGGGATAAAATTTAACCAAAATTGAATTAAAAAAACAAGTTAATTATGTGTATTGTTAATTCTTCTAATTTCAACAATTGATTTAAAACAATAAAATTATAATCCAAATCTTTTTTGATTCAACAGAATTAAAAATTTTATCCAGATTCATTAATCATTAATTATCATTGAAATTTTTTTTTTCAAATTTTTTAATCAATTTTTAAATTTAAATATTTAAATTATCATTTTAAATCCTAACAAAAACTTTACATATATCTCTAAAATTTTGAGTATCAATTGAATTATGAATCGATTAATTAACTAATATTTTGCTTAATATTTTGATTTTATAATCAAAATTTACTATCATACACTAATGAAAATTTATAAAATTACTTGTAATATATATAATAAATCCATGAGTTCATAGTGCTAGTAATAATTTTTAATTTTTTTCCTTTGAAATAATATAATTATTTGATCAGTATAATGATATAAAAATGAACTATGCTGATTATAAGTTGTAGGAAGGGCTTGATATGGGAAAGTGGAACTAAGTTGTAAGAGGAAAATCTTAAGACAAAACACAGAAGATCATTTGTATAATGAAAGAGACAGAAAGGGAAAGAGCAGAACAGAGCATCCAATGACAAAAAGCATTTGAAACAGTTGTTTGTTGGTTGTCATTGGATATCCTTCACTTCACCAAAACTCCCATCTTTTCCCCTAACTTGCATATATCATAGACTTTTTCACGAACTCGGAGTTGGTGAAAGTTGTTCCTCATACTCGAAACCGATAATACTAATAAATTCTTCCATTTCTTTTTCTATTCATTAATATTTCTTATCACCTGTAAAAGTAAGCTTTGCTTACCCTTCGTTTGTTTTTTAATGTGGGTTTGTTATGTTAGCTTGCTATGTTTATTCAAATATGAAATCTCGATGTGAAAATTTCCTGCTTTTCTTGTATGTTTGTGTGTTTGTTTTACTGATTTTTTTTTCTTCTTTGAAAAGAATTGTTTCGGTTGGTTTTTTGTATGTGTAGCTGGAGTGGAGGAAAGGGAAAGTGAATCCGCTTGTAAGCAGCATAAGGGCCAAGTTAAAGCCAAAAGCTATGCCACCGAATATAGTTCATGATGCTGAGGGATTGCCCAGAATTATACTCACCGAGCCAAATGGTTCATCTGCTGAGGTTTGTTTATCTTCTTTTTCTTCATTTTTTTCCTGTATTTTTAGCCTTTTTTTGTATATTTTTCTATGTGGGTTGGTTTATAGTTTGGCTATGATAGTCTGTTAGTAATAGTAAAATCATCAGAACAATTATTTCAACTATTTGTAGTGAAAAAAAATGGCCTTTGAATGTTAAAGATAATGTCTTGTTTTCGGGCTGAAGTATCACAGCCTGTGCTTTCTATTGCAAATTTCATATACTCGACAAAAAAGGCTAGATTTCTTGTTGATAACATTTCGAATTTTCCCTGTCCTTTTCTACTGGTTATTTCTATCAGAATAGTGCATAAGGGGTGCCTCAAATTGACATTAAAGAGTTTCAGGTGCTACTCTATGGAGGGCAAGTTGTTTCTTGGAAGAACGAACGAAGGAAAGAGCTGCTTTTCATGAGTAGCAAGGTAAAGCAATTCTTCTTTATTCTATGATTTTTGGGTCTTCGTTGCCTGTAAAGTCTTCCTTTATATATGTATTTTTTTTTCTGTGTTCTGTAGGCAAATTGGAAGCCACCAAAGCCCATCAGGGGAGGTATACCGGTCTGCTTTCCTCAGGTTAGTCCTAACTCCTATGGAATTTGGAAGAACCTTAAGCTAGTGTGGTAGTCCGAGGTCAAGTGTTCTAAATGTGATGGCTTCTTGTTGCAGTTTGGGAATCTTGGTTCACTGGAGCAACATGGATTTGCCAGGAACCGAATGTGGATGGTGGACAGTGACCCTTCACCTTTGCCTCCAGCCAACAACCAGTCATCTGTGGATATAGTATTAAAGTCTACAGACGAGGATCTAAAGATCTGGCCACGTTGGTATGCTTGTCAATCCTGTGTTGTTTTCACTTTGAGACTAAACCTGGAAGATCAACTTCACGTATGCACTGATGAATCTCTCGCTGCCCTGCAATTTTCGCAGCTTCGAATTGCGTCTTCGTGTAACTCTCAGTGCTGGCAAGCTGACTTTGATCCCTCGTGTGAGGAATACTGATAACAAGGCCTTCTCTTTCATGTTCGCCCTCTGCAACTACTTGTCTGTATCAGACATCAGGTGTGGCCATGAATTCAGAAGCTATCTGGAAGCCTTTTTAGTGTTGAAATTCCCTCATCAATTTAAATTTGCTTAGAGGGGTTGAAAAACTCTGTTAAATTTGCAGTGAAGTGCGAGTGGAGGGCTTGGAGACACTTGATTACTTTGACAATTTGATTAACAGAGAAAGGTTCACAGAACAAGCTGATGCAATTACTTTCGATGGCGAGGTACTTGTTCTTCCCTCTTTTTTTTCATTGTTTCTAGTGGAGACAGCTTCTCAGCAAAAATGCAGAGGGAAGGCTGCGTACTATGAACCCTCCCCCATCCCTCGCAAAGCGGGAGCCTTGTACACCGGGTTTGCCCTTTTCTAGTTGATAAATTTACACTGCATGAACCAAATTTACTAGTTTCAGGTTCTAGTGAACATGAACTAGTTGTGGTTGCTGATCAAATTTCTCTCTTCGTGATATCAAATCTTTGTTCTGCTTTAGTTTGAAAGAGTATATTTGAGCACCCCAACAAAGATCGCCATCATAGACCATGAGAAGAAGAGAACCTTCGAACTGTGGAAGGATGGGATGCCAGACGCAGGTTGCTTTCTACGCCATTCTCAAATTACTTAGTTGTCGTGTGATCGTTCTAAATTAAAGTGTTCAAATCACTTGGTCTGCAGTTGTATGGAATCCATGGGACAAAAAGGCAAAGGCTCTGCCAGATTTAGGGGATGAGGATTACCAATCCATGTTATGCGTAGATTCTGCTGCCATTGAAACTCCAATCATGTTGAAACCATTCGAAGAATGGAAGGGGAGGCAAGAGATCTCCACTGTGTCCTCCAGTTATTGCAGTGGACAGTTGGATCCTCGGAAGGTTCTCTATGGTTTTCACTGACGTTGGTCCTATTTGCTGCTGTAAAATATAGATGAACTCGTTTTTGTATTATCATTTTGGTGTTTAGAATCCTAATGAATGATTAATCCTTCTGAATGTAATAAGTAGTAGTTGCCAATATATGATATATCTATCTTTTTTATTATGCTTTCTGTTCGTAAAAAGATTATAAATTTTGAACGTAAACGATACATTAATATTTATAAATTACTTAAATTTAATATGAATAAAATTTGAATTTAATTCGATTATTATTGAACTTAAATTTAAATAGTTTAACTTATTAAATGAATTGAATTTGAACATCTTAATATTTGACTTGAATAATTTATAAATTTAATCAAGTTTTTAAATTTTAATATATATTTTTTATTTTAATTAAAATTTTATTAATTTATCTTTATATATATTAATTTAAGTTTAAATTTAAATACATAATTGAGTTTGAAATTAAATATAAGTATTGAATTTATTTTTATTAAACAAATTTAATTAAATGATTTTAAATAGCTTAATTAAATTTAAATTCAATTAAACTCGAACTAAATTGCAAATAATGAATTTTGGGTTGATCTCGAACTTTTTAGGACTCAATCACATCTTTTTTCCCGCCACTAACTCCGTGACCTTAATCGTTCTTCCTCTTGGATGAGCTTTATCTTTGAAATTTTAGCTTCAAAAACTGGCCAAAATAAGAACCAGGCCAACCCAACTTTATTCTTTCTAAAATTAAACCCATGTTCCAAGAATGGCACAAAACAGCCCAATTCTTCTGGAAAATCCTTCAACCGAAACAAATGTATCAAAGGGTTTTGGAAGCTGTCGAACGCGGAGGACGAAACCAGACATGAAGAAAGAGGGACAAAGCAGAAAGAGGAAAAGGGCAAGACACAACAAACCTCAAAAAACCCAAGAATCTTTGCAATCAAAACAGTCAACAAAACATCACAAAAACACCCATCAACTAAAAAAACCATTCCCATTGTCAGTCTTCCTCTTCTTCTTCCAATTCCTCCAGTTTTCTTGACAAGGTTACTCTCTGTATGTATTTACTTATATATAAATGTATGTAAAATTAGATTCTTTTTTATGGGATTAGTTTGAATATGCAGATGAGAGCAAGGTTGGCTGGTGGGCATTTTAGGATGATCAATGAAAAGCTCTACACTGGCACGAATATTCTCTCTCTTTTTACTTCTCTTTTGCTTGAACCTTAGTTACTTATTGCTTTTGCTAAATGGAAAAGGAGAGAAAGAGAGAAATTTTGCTCCTTGGTTTTAGTTTATGTATGGGCACTGCTTTATCTTGTTTTTTTGTTGTTTTTGTAGTTAAAATTTTAGCTTGGTTACTTGGTAATGCAAAGTCAGCTTCTTTTCTTTTGCTTTCTTAGATGCAAAGAAACACTGGACTATTTCAAGGAAGACCAATTGTCTGATATGGCAAGGTTTAAAATTATAACTTTTCTTTGATTTAGCTTCTGTCTAATTTTCTATCCATTCCCTGAGTTTAACAGCCTTGTTATGTTTTCATGTGGTAATAATTTGCATCTAAACTTGAAAGTTGAATCCTTAGATTCCAAACATTTTAGACAGCTCATAGCTCAGTGGTGATATCTTCAAGTAGGATGTTTACATTCGAATTTTTGTTATGTCCTGTACATGGCCTAATTGATGTTAAGTTATTATTCTTATGTAAACGTGTTAATGTCTCTAAATTGTCTCCGGTTTCCTTTAGTTGCCATTTGTTTTTGATGAATGGAAGAACTAACCAATGTTCTGAAGTAGGATTATTTAGGTGGTTTAGTCTTACAGTGAAGCTGCCTTTGGACTTACTCACTCACTTGGCCAGTTCCATACAGGATATCAGGAGCAAATGTCACATTGGCCTGAGCAGCCTGCCAATATAATAATAAAATGGCTGAAGGATCATAGTTCTTCTTTAATTGTCACTGATTTTGGCTGTGGTGAGAATTAGCTTAGCTGGATTTTCCATTTTGGTTTGCAATGATAATTTGTTGAACTCATATTCTTGATAAGTGTTTAACATGATCCGTTGTATCTTCTTTTGGCTGTTCTGTCAGTTTCATCCTGCTCAATTGTGTTTCAGGGGATGCACGACTTGCAAAAAATGTGAAGAATCAGGTTTTCTCTTTTGATCTTGTCTCAAATGATCCTATAATAATTGCTTGTGATATGTCAAAAGTACACCTCTTCTTCATCCCTCTTATGAGCTTCTTGTATAATGGTTGTTGATGAATCCCGCATGTCATCACCCAGCGAATACATAATTTTGATTCGTCTGTAGGTATACTGCATACTACTGTCAGTTACAAAGCCTATCAAGGCAAACTATTGTGTGCTACTATCAGTTGCCAAATTTTAAACTGTTATGGTAAGATGGTGTTTAATAGCAAATGCTGAGTTTAATTACCTTTTAAAAAGAATGAGAAAACAACTAGCCAATGGTAAAGTTTTTTTCTTTCATTTTCTACAAGATTGCATACTGATATATGGATCAGAGAGAAAATTTTGAGAATCGCTGCCTCTCTACATGTGTGCACGTGCACGAATGTACAAGTGCACAGGGGGTTGTATGCTTTCAAAGTAGTAATCAATTGCGTAGAGCTCCAAACCAAAGCAGCCCTCCATCTCGCATATAGAAATGGTTGACAGGCGGACCTATTCATGACATCGAATAGGAATGATCATTATCAGGGAATACAGGTATGCCATGCTAGGATGAGCTAGTTTTTCAACAGCATAAGCCACCTTCCAAGCGGCTTCCAAGTGCTCGCAAATTCTTAGCACTTGGATGGTGAGCAAAAACAATTGACCAAGAAGTTGGTCAACTTTCGCATGAAAGAAGGTAAAAGAACGGGAGGGGTTGTATGCTTTCAAAGTAGTAATCAATTGCGTTTGAGTTTTGCTGGCAGACACCACTTGATCCTTCCTCAGTAGATGTTGCTGTCTTTTGCCTTTCATTGATGGGAACTAACTATGCTAGTTACCTTCAGGAAGCATAATAGAGTTCTTAAGTCAAGGTTTGCTGAGCTTAAGTATTGTTTAATACTTGTTCTTACCCCCCTTTTTTATGAGTTTTTGGTTAACGAGCTAACTTACTTTGGTACTTTGTAGCGGGTTGGCTTTTGATAGCAGAGGTAAAGAGCAGATTTGATCCAAATAATCGAGGAGCCAACTCAAATAGGTTTCCAAATCTGTTTGTGAGATGGGATTTACCTCAGCATTGAAGGTTATAATGTTCTTTTATTTACATCAATGCAACCCCTTGCCCTTCGCTAACTCGCTCCCATTACGCGCAGGGTTTCTCAAATAAGATGTTCGTTTTATTATAATTCAGGAAAAAGGTCTGTAACCTTCGTCGAGAAAATTTCTCTTTTGTCTACTAAATCTCACTGACATGCATGCAGGAATTATGCAGTTTCATGCTCCATTGCTCATTAATATCTGTTTACATGTTCCTTTGTAGGAGAAGCAAAGCTCAAAAGAGAGCGAAATCAAATGGCCAGAGCTGAAGCCTTGCATAAACAAGCGTCGTTGAGATTAAAATGCACATTATTTAGTATGATAAATCAAGCTCGTAGTCGATCCGAGATCCAATAATGTATGATTAGGCGACATTTCGATAATTGTTTGCAATATATTGTGATAAAATTTGATAATGGCGAATCGGTTTCTGTTATGAACTGTGTCTGATGTCCATCTATTTGAATTTTGTTAAGGACAGTAGACCTAGGGGAGCTGAACATGAATGAATGAATGTATATTTGTAATTTGTCCGGTTAATTTTAAAAGTGTTTGAGCTCGGTTCGTGTTCCATAAAAAAATTGTTCTATTAGTTTGTGTTTGTTCACTTAAATAGTAGGTTATTTATGTTCGATTCGTGTTTAGTTCAATTAAATTAAATGAATTCAATCGTAAACATTAAATGAATATGTTCACAAATATATATAAACGAATATATTTATAAATAATAAATAAATTATAACTAAACGAATTTAAACACTAAACGAATATAAATGAATTCAAATAAATATAAACAAATTTTAAAATAAAATTAAAGTAAAAAATAAAAGTATAATTTTATTATTATTATTATAAACGAATAATAAATAAATAATTAACGAATTTTAAACTAATTTGTTCATAAATATAAATGAATCAGACTTTTATTTATATTCTATTTATTTAATAAATTAATTAAAAATATAATTCAAGATGTTTACTAAATTTAATAAACAAATATAAATAAATAAAAAATGAATATCTTCAGAAATAATTTATTGAAAATTTTGTCTGTTTTTACCCCTAATTGGACCACTACTCTTTTTCTCTCTTATATGAGGGTTTTTTTTTTTTAATGATAATTAAATATTTATGTGTTGGCATCAATGTTGAAAATAGTAATACAACATGCCAAAACAGGGGCAGAACAGAGTTCCAAAGTATGGCTCTCAAACCAAAGCAGAACACAAGTTTTTATTTTTTATTCTTAGACTTCGCTTAATAAACTTGTTTTCGAGTCGATTTAAACAGATTTATTTACATTGGATTTAATGAATTTACGAGAAATTAAACAATGGACAAGATTAACATGATAAATCTATGTGTAGTTTTTTTTTAACATAAATTGTGAAGAATAAATAAAATAAAGAAAAGCTTCATGAAACATGTGAGAAACAATGGCAGGTGCAAGAAGCCATTGCCTGCCCTACTTATCCTATAGATCCCAATACCTGCAAACACTTCCATCACATGAATAACCCAACACTTTATCTATACTTATATTTCTTTTTAGATCATTGGCTTGGACAAGTCTCTTCAATTTGTAAAATAATTTTTTTAATTCTTTTTTGGATATTAAATTTATACAAAACTCCCATGAGTGAGACATAGTAACTTCCTTAATAATCTTATTTTTAGTGCATGGTTTTATAGAAAGGAAGGGTAGACATGTACAAATTTTGCTTATTGAATAATATAATAAAATTTAATTTAGTTGATTCATATAATCATATTTAAAAAATAACATCCAATATATTTGAGATACAAATTTTATCATTTTTAACCCATTTTTATAGTTTTAAGTTTTCAAATAATTAAATAATTAAATTAAAATAAATTAAATGATGTAAGAAATGGTACGATAATTTTTTTTAGACATAATAATTTACAATATGATAAGATAATATAACATAAATATAATATAAAAATAAAATATAAAATTAATAAAAGTTAACATTTTAAAAATAACTATATATTAGTTTAATAAAATAAAAAAAATATTTTATATTTTTATATTGATATAAATTATAAAACGTAATTTTTATATAAAAATAATATAAATATATTAATTTTAATATTTTATATTATATAAATATATAAATTATTAATTTAATTTGACCATATATAAATACTTAGATGAATTCATGTCTAAATTTTGAAGTCAAAATTGAAAGGCTAAAATTTTAGCCACCTTTTCACAAGTTTCATTACCAAAAGTCCGTCAAATTCACAAGCAACACAATACTTTTTTTTGTGACTTTTCGTCGTCTTCTTCATTGAATTCCTTCCTCTCTTTTTTTTTTTTTTTATATGTATATATGAGAGAAATTAACAAAGGACAAAAGGCTTCAAAAGTCCATGGCTAATACACAAATTATTAAATATGTACTGGCTTTGCACAATCCAAAATTGATTCGGAACCACTTTTATATAATTTAAGTGGGCGCCATCAACCCTTTATTCAGCCCACCGACATAGTTTTTTTAAGCCCATTGTGTGGAAAACAAAATAAAAACAAAAATAGTTTTAGTCAAATAATATTAGCTCTAATTTTTAATTACTCACTTTGTCTCATATTATTTATCATGTATTAATTTTTATAGAGTTTAAAAATTAATTTTAATTTTAATTTATTTAATATTAAATTTTAAATTTTTTATAAAATTAAAGTTTTATTATTTTTAATGTTAATAAATCTTAAAAAATCATAAAAATAATTTTAAAATATAAAATAGTAAAACTTTTAGATGTTAAAAGCCAAACTAAACTCATCAAGCTTAGTTGTTTTTTTTTTTCATTAATTAATTTTTATCAAATATAAATAAAAAATTATAAAAATTATTTTCTAAAAATGATTTGATTTAAGTTAATTGGTTGGGTAGTTGTCCTTTTCAATTTAAATGGAAGCTTCCAATTAAAGTCATGTCTTCCAATGACTTCTCTTTTATGTAAGCTAAGATTAGGTGAAATATTGGAGTCAAAAAAAGGTAAATATTATTTTCCAAATATATTAATTACACCCTTTGACCAATAATATAAATGCCTCATTTTTTCTTAGCTAGAAATCCTCTTTGATATTTGATTTGTCAATCCTATTACTTTAATATTAAATCCAAAATATAAATTAAAAAGATTTTCTCATCAAAATTCAACTTAATTAAGGACTTTTCCAATTCAATAAAAAAAAATCCCTACCCAATTTTTGAGCTCTTAATTAAGGACATAGCTTATAATTAATAGATAAATTTAGGCATAAGGATAAAAAAGCTTTCAAATAAAAATTTAATAATCATTTAAGTTTTTGATATTTTATTATAATCAATTAAATCCTAAATCTTCTATTGCAAATTAATTAAATATTTAAATATTTATTTTTACCCCATTGAACCCATATATATTTTTATTGAATTAAATCATTAATTGGACAAAAGTAGTTAATTTTTTTAATAAGAGCTTAATTGATGAAAACAGATATTTGAGAGTTTAATTGATTGTAAATATATATATATATATAAACTTAAATGATTATTAAACTTTACTTTAGGGATTTTTTTGGCACTTTTATCATAAATTTAAAGGTGAGATTTATATTTTTCTTTGATGTTCATTGATTGTGTATCTTTAAGCATTGATTAAGAATTATTTAATTACTAATTTCAAAAAATATTGCATTTAGTGCACTATTTGTACCAAAATTCAATAAAAAAATATTGTATTAATTACACTTTTTTTTTTTAAATATGAGCTTAATACTAGTAGACATTTTTCAAAAAGAAAAACAAAATGAAAATTTATCCACATTATTTTTGATAATTTATGCATTCAAATGTTTATATTTGATATTCCTTACTAGAAAATAATGATAGGGATATGAAATTAGGATATTAAAATTAAGTAAAAATAAAAATAAAATATAGTTGACTTTTTTTTTAATTTATGATATTATTCATAAAAAAAATTCTTAATAAATTTGGCTTTGTTGCATGCAACCAAATTCAATCTTGAGGTCGGCCTCCAAATATGAAAATGAGAAAAAAAAGTTGGAGTTGAGCCGGATATCACTCAAGCAAACGGGAGTTTGACACGTCGACGATTTAGGGTAAATTAGGCAAGTCAAGGAAAAAAGTATCAATTAAACAAGGACGTGGCAGCTGATTATTGGTTGACTGATCAAAACTCTAGATGTCGGTGAGAGATTATTTTAAAAAAGTCAATTGCATTATGTTACTAATTAATGCTTAATTAATCACCGAAAAAGATGGTAAATATATTAAGGTTGATTTTAGTTGGAATTTTTATAATAAATTTATTATTTTTATTAATTTTTAAATGAAAAGTTTCAAAAAAATTATTGATTAGACAAAATTTTTGGTTACTCATTAATATTATTACCCATAAAATTATGACTTCATTCAAAGTTAAAAAAATATTAATTTAAATATGGTAGGTCATGAATTCACTTAGAATTTGTGAAAATATCATTTTTTTTATAAATAATTTGAAAAAAAAAAATCTTCAAAATAATTTTTTTTTTTATTGTTTTAAAAAATAAATGAAGTAGATTCTAATTAAATGTTGATTTATATATAGTAAAGGCTTTTAAAAAAATAATAAAAAACTTACATTTAATATATTGTTATAGATAGATATACTAGTGCAATAATATTATAATACCTCGTATTCTTTTTTTTTAAATATTAAATGTTTATTTATTTAGATTTTTCTATTAAAATTAATAATATAAAATTTTAGTTTATCGAACATTTAAACAATTGACATGCTATTAAAATTAATATTTAAAAAATATAAATTCAAAATTTTTTTTATATATAATATATTTTTCAATTAGATAAATAATAAGATAAAATTTTTTAAGAATAAAATAAAATCTAAAAACAATAAAATTTCATTGAAATTTTAAATTAATTCATGTTACCAATATGGAACAAAACTCAATTCATAAAAAACTTGTTTTTTTTTTTTTTAATATGATATGAGGTTATGCATGCAAAGTAAACAAATTTAAATATGTAATATCTTCTTTAGATAAATTAAATAAATAAAATTGATAGTTAAAAATAAATAAAAATAAAAAATAGAATCCATGAGTAATCTATAATTCATGATCAATTATTATCACATTAACAATTATATTAGTCATTCATCAGCAATTATTTAATCCTTTTTCTCATTGTATTAACAATCTCATAATCTATAGTCATAGTGAAAATTTTTCTCAAATTCATTATATTTTTTTCATGTTGGGTTCGTGATCAAATACAAAATTCCCTTTTTCTTCTTAAAAAAAGAGAAGAAAAAAAAAAAAAAAAACTGCTTTCATGATTTCACTGTTGTTTCTGACAAAGATTCACCAAGGAAACACACAACAAAACCAAAGAAAAAAAAACAGCTTTCATAGTTTGATTTCATTTCCAATTACAAAACAAAGACAACTCTTCCTGTCTTCCTACTATTAAATGATCTCTCTCTCTCTTTCTCAAGAACCGGTAAACACATCCCATCCAACATTTCACTATCCACTCTCTTCCCAATCCTCCCGTTAACTCTTCCTTTCCATCCTCTTCATATAATTCAACCTTTTCTTTGCTTACTCAGCTCACTTTCCCACAATTTTTTTTATTTTTTGTTTTTCTTTGTCTTCGTTGTGTCAGAGCTTGCTGCTTGGCTGAAGGGTCTTTTCTATTTTCTTTTATCTCTCTGTGTTTATGTATACATTTTTTATTTTTATTTAATTTTTTTGGGTGGGGGGGTGTCTGCAAAACACATGTGGGGTTTTATTCTTTGCCTCCCTTTAAAGGGTAGTTCTTGATGGTTTTTTGGATCTGTAATCCGTGATTTTTGGGATGGGTTTATTGTTTTAAAACTGGGAGAGCAATACAAATCAAAGACTTTGGGTAGTACTTTAATGTAGGCAAAGGCTTGTCCTTTGTAACTTCTTTCTTTTCTTTTCAGCTATGAAAGGTTTGGTTTCTTAAGCTTTTTTAGCTTACTTAAAATGTGGGATTTTCAAAAGGGTTTCTTTTTGTTTGGTCAATAGATGGTAGTTGTTCATTTCTTGCTTTAAAAAAGGGTGGTTTCAAAACATGGGATCTGGAAATGGATTTTTCTCAACTCAAGAGTTCAATTTAGATGCTAAGTGGTTGATTGATCCTCAGCAGCTTTTTGTTGGTCCTAAAATTGGAGAAGGAGCTCATGCTAAAGTATATGAGGGAAAGTAAGTCAATTTTCTTTGGATTCTAATTAATTCAATTTAGTATTTCTTTTGTGGACTAAACTCAACTTTTCTAGGTTTGTTGGCATTTCAGTTTGACCCTGATCAATTGAGAAGAACAAAAAGCTTAGGTTTTTAAATGAATCCCATCCCTTTTAAATTATTTTGCTGTAAATTTTATTGATAATTTGAGTAGGTGTATAGTATTTTATAGGATGGATAAATTTGATTATTATCTAACAGTTAGCTAATGTATTTTAATCCATTGGATATATTTAGATACAAGAATCAGAATGTTGCTATTAAAGTTGTGCGAAGAGGGGAAACCCCTGAAGAGATTGCAAGGAGAGAAGGAAGGTTTGCAAGGGAAGTTGCTATGTTATCCAGAGTTCAACACAAAAATCTAGTGAAGGTTGTTGAATCATAATATATGCAATTGATTCTGTTTGCTGAATTTATGTTCTTTCTTGCTATAGTTTATATTGTCCATGAATATCTGCGAATCAGGAAGTTTTACGTTATATCAAGTTGGTATTTGCTCATATCTTAGCAGAGTTCTTATTTGTTTCCAGTTTATTGGAGCTTGCAAGGAGCCTGTCATGGTGATAGTAACCGAGCTCCTACTAGGTGGGACGTTGCGTAAATACCTTCTCAATATGCGGCCTAAGTGCTTGGACATGCGTGTAGCTTTTGGGTTTGCACTTGATATTGCTCGTGCAATGGAATGCTTACACTCCCATGGGATCATTCATAGGGACCTGAAACCTGGTATGACTATAATTTTCTTGGTGTGCTTATAAGTCTTGTTAAGTAGCATTCTTTGAAAAGGTTGGCAATTTCCATGTATAACTGCATTTTGTATTGGTATATCTGTAATATTTTGAGTTTCTGCCCTTATGGCTTTTTTTCCCCTTAGTATTACTCTAAGATCTGATTAATGAAAAGGAACAATGAAATCCATGACAACCAATAGCATGCTGCACGGTTTGTTATCTCTTTGCTTTCCGTTGTTTGAAATGATGAAGCTTGTTATCCAACATAATGAGTTTACTTCTGGTGAACCATTCTTGCTTCTGTGTTCCATATTTTTTAAACTGCAAATGATGGTGTGATCTTGGGACAACCGATAATTATTCAAACTTTCTGCCTACTAACGGACAATTTGACAGGCATAGTTTACCTACCTTCCAACAAAAAAGTAAAAGGGTTTTTCTTTGACAATTGTGTGACTTGAATACCAAGGCACTGACCAAAAAATCTATTGATGAGCTTGTACCTGTAACTATTGGTGCGCTGGTTATTTGACATCTGATATTACCATATTAGAAGATGGCTTAACCTTCGGGGTATGGCAGTTGGGGTTTTACATAATCCGGTTACAATTGCTATTAATATCATAGTTCTATTCAGCCATGCTTTTATTGGGCTATTTCTCTTGACTTTTCCATCAATTATTTAAGGATTCCTTGCGTAATTGGATGGCAACATGAATTAAAAAGCCTAGATTAAGCTATATTGCTCTATTATTAAGTGGACTTCATGCAATGTTGCTCTATCATTTCTTATAGGTTTGCATGATCCTGATAAATTCTTCATTATTGCAGAGAACTTGATCTTGACTGAAGATCATAAAACAGTTAAACTAGCTGATTTTGGTTTAGCCAGGGAAGAGTCATTAACAGAAATGATGACTGCTGAAACGGGGACATATCGTTGGATGGCTCCAGAGGTAATCTACTGAATTATTCGGAATGTAAAATCGATTCTTTTACCATAAATTTTGGGTTTTTTTATGTTTGAGATGCTGATCCCTTTACATATACTAACAGCTTTATAGCACGGTCACATTAAGGCATGGAGAGAAAAAGCATTACAATCATAAGGTGGATGCGTATAGCTTTGCTATTGTGTTGTGGGAACTTATCCATAACAAGTTGCCTTTCGAAGGCATGTCAAATTTACAAGCGGCATATGCAGCTGCTTTTAAGGTAATGATGTGTAACCTTGTTTTTTAGTGATACATAAGATGGGATGATTTCTTGAGTATGTGCTTGTCAGCCTGCCTTTGAAAAGCTTGCTTGATGCTAAAATTTTCAAATATCTTCAAATCACCCTCCTGCCATTTTTGTTGGATTCTATGTGCTGTGAAAGACACACTAAGACTACTACATTATGGATGAGAAATGACCTATGACCACTGTTGTATTGATAGTTCTACCTTCTGTAATACATTTGAATCATGAGGCTATCGGTCAGACTCTAGTAATTCTAACGAATGTGATTCAAAAGAGTATCAGAAAGGAGGCTCTTTACTCGTACCTACAGTCACCATCCGGTTTCTCGTTTACTTTTTGACAAAACAATCCAGTTCCTGAAAATGTCACAGAAGCATGCATCTTGAAACCTGTAAAAAATCTATTTTCACCATGAATAAACTCATGTACCATTATGTTTCTTTGAATGCAATTAGGGAATTCTGATATAGGCATCATGGTCTAAGTTTTAACAATGTTGTTTCAGAATGTTAGGCCAAGTGCTGAGGACCTTCCAGAAGATTTGGCATCAATTGTGACATCATGTTGGCAAGAGGATCCAAATGCTCGGCCCAATTTCAGCCAAATCATACAGATGCTATTACACTATCTCTCAACCATTTCACCACCAGAGCCTGTGATGATGCCTCCTAAGAGAACAACTTCTGAGAATGCTGTATTGCCACCAGAGTCTCCTGGCACAAGTTCATTGATGGCTGCTAGAGATGACAGGCCAAGAGGTTTCTTCTTCTGCTTTGACCAGTGCTGCTGATCCCTCAAAGGCACAATTTCACATTGACGGTATCACAGATTAATCTTTAGGAGAGTTCAATAAGGTAATTAGTCCCAGATATTAGACAGAATGCAATCTTGGTAACAAAAAAAAGTTGTCAAATCTCATCAGATTAGTTTAGTTCAGTTATATGACAGAAAGCTGTCTGCTATCTGATGTATCTGTTAACTTTGCATACTGCTTTACATTAATTTTATTAGCATGTGCCCTAACTAAAGATGGATCAAGAACCTTGTGGGGGGGGGGTAGGGGTTGCTGTGATGGAAATATCAATGTAAATAAGGTGCATCCAAATGCCTTTGCTCCTGTTTTCTTCTCTAGAATTTGCATGAGCATGTTGGTCAAGGAATGTTGGAAAATTTGGCATGGCTTTTGCCATCCACCAGGAGATTAATTTCATTGAATCAGTGTGGCTTTACATATGCTGAATCCAAACAGAATAAGTGATATGCTACGAACACGATACAAATAAAAGATAAGGAAGTGATACGATTTACGATTAAATTTTAATAACAATTATATATGAGTTTAACAAAAGAAATATATTGTATATTTTTGCATAAGCATAAATTATAATATGAAATTATTGTATAAAATATGATATGAATATACAAAACATTAGGTCTAACTATAACATGATGATCTTTGATAGAATTGAGGACTTTGGAGCAGAAGGGAGGTGTGATTGTCATTCATCTTCATTGTGGATCATGGGTTATCAACAAACTCAGATTATTTCTACAATTTGGGCTGGGATGAGCCTCGTTCCAATCATTTAAGGCTTACTCTGGGCACAAAATCACAATCCAAATTAGAAAAGCCCAAGTCTTTTTAGCAGCGATTGTTCCTACGCTTTGAGTAGCGTTTTCTGGCCCAAAAAAAGAAGACTAAAGCAAAATGATCGCCGTTGCCGGGGATCGAACCCGGGTCACCCGCGTGACAGGCGGGAATACTCACCACTATACTACAACGACTTCTTTGTTAGATTCAACCATCAACTTTTTATTTATTTCCTATCAGATCTTCACCAAGAATCCTTTCCTCTATTTTTTTGGATACGAATAAATACGAAAGTTTAAAACCACGGCACATTCGTATATAATATAAAAATATATGTTAATGTGATACAGTTTAAAATTTTAATAATAATGATATATAAGTTTAATAAAATTAAAAATATATGTTTTATATTTTTATGGTAATATAAATTATAATACGTAATTTTTATATAAAATATAATATAAATATATAAATTTTAATATTTTATATAATATAAATATATAAATCGTCAAGCACAAATAAATAATTTAAAAAAATATATGTAAACTTTTTAAAATATATATATATATAAAAATGTAATTGTATTCTCTTATACTGTCCATTTATTCCATGAAAAATATCAGTTCACTATCAAAAGTTGAAAATTTAAAATTGAAGATTTAATTTAATTAATTATGCAATTAAATAGAAATCTATGTGATATAAAATATGTAATAAAAATAAATTTAAAATTTTTTGTATTCCAAAGTAGCGTTTAATTTAATTAAATTTAAGGATATGATACAAAATTGTCACTTCATAAATTCAAGCATTGATGACATAAGAATCTTGTCTGAACATTATTTATCAAGGCATTAATAATCATGTAATTACTGCTCATCATAAGATTCTTCCGTTGTCACTAAACCGCGTCAGCTACAGAAGAATTTCAACAAAAAATTTAGTAATAAAAAAATATTTTATATTTGGTTAAAGGGCATTTGAAAGTTGAAAAATTCCACCCATCAGGCCATCACCAACGTTCTTCCCAGTGTCTTGCTTGGAAACCAAGTAGGAAATTTTAGTTAATTACCAAAAATGCCATGGAACTCGGTCCTCGAAGCTGCCTAAAAACAGTCTGCAGACAGGAGACTCAGCTTCGTGTCCAGGTTTCGTCAACTGTGGGACCCACAATGACGTATCCGAAGCTGAGGTTTGGTTCACGAACCTCTTATATCGGTCCCTAAGCAACGTTTCCCGCTCACTCTCTCTCTCTCTCTCGAGTTCACTTATCTTAGCATGGTGTAGAAAAGGCAAAGGAAGGAAAAGGAAGAGAGCTTTAAAGCTTCGCTGACACTCTCTTTTATTCTATCTTCTTCTTCTTCTTCTTCATGCTCATGGCGAGGTAAGGTCAAAACAATGAATTAAGAAAAGCCTGATCAAGTAGTTTTGATGATGAGATTAAAGCAATCTCCTTTTTTCTCTTCATTTCTTTTTGATATGGGTTGGTTTTGGTTTCTGGGTTTTTCTTGTTGGGAAGGTGGGAGTTAACCCATTTTAGATTGGATTTTTTTTTTGATAAATTTATGGAATTTAACTTCAAAATCCCATTTACAAAAGAGAAATTTTTTATTTTTTCCAAATAAAGTTTCTACTTTTGGGGGAAGGGGGGGGGGAACTGAAGGAATGGTATAATGTTCTTGGATAAAGGTGACATTTTTTGGAGTTTTAATGTTGAATTTACAAATATTTGGGGTTAACATGAAAATCCCATGCACAAAGAGAATGAATTTTTTGGTTTTATAGAGTTTCTTTTTGAGGAAATTTACCTAATTTAGGAACTGAAAGTCTGAAGGAATGGTATTTTGGGTAATTGGGTTTGTAACTTACATCAAAACTTGCCATAAATGGGGTTGGTTTTCCATTTTTTTTCCCCTTCCTGATACACACCATTCCTGATTTTTCTCTTCTTCACCCTTGAGTTTGGCTATAAGGAGACTTTGATAGTCATTGACTGCTGGTTTTTCTCTTCTTTTCCCCCATATTTGACTGTGTGGAGAATTAGAGAGCCATTGAGAGCTTGAGTTTCTTCATGCTATGTGAGGATTATCATCCTTTTAGGGAGCTCTATCGCTGCACAAAATTTTTTTATTGGAAAATCTTCAAACTTCAGTTGAAAAGAAACTTTTACTTAAGCTAAATTTACATAGGCATAGGATATTTGGTGACTTGAATGAAACTCCCATGATTTATTTCCGTGGACTTCTCCCAATGTGTGCATTGTTTTTGGATTACTTGATTTATAGCCTATAAGCAGATTCAGCAAGATATTCAAGTTGATTTTTTTTTAATGGCATCTTTTTTAATTTTCATTCATGAACCATTGTTGCAGGAGCTGGCTTATTGATGGTAGAGCAATTGCAAAGAAAGTAAAAAATGCCTCCTGTTCTTCATCCATTCAAATTATTGACTATGGGGCTAATCGTGAATGTCCTAAATGCCATCATCGTATTGATAATAGTGATGTAAGTTTGAACTTCAATGTTTCATCGATTTTACCTTAGCAGCATTGATTTTTGGCATGTATATGTATCGTTCCTTGTAGAACTTTGGAACTGGTTTTTTTTTTGTAGGTTTTTCCTCAGTGGCCTGGCCTTCCAGCTGGTGTAAAGTTTGATCCGTCTGATGCAGAGCTTTTAGAGCATTTAGCAGCTAAATGTGGTGTTGGAAACTCAAAACCACATCTGTTAATCGATGAGTTTATCCCGACGCTTGAGGGGAATCAGGGAATTTGCTACACTCATCCTGAAAATCTTCCAGGTAAGTGTGTTTCTGGATTCAATATTTTTGTTTTACATTGCTGTCATCTGTAGCATGAATTCAATTTACCAAATGAGCATATTGGTTATATGAAGAGTAACCTCATCATGTTCAAAACAGAATTGCTAATCTGTTTTATTTTAGTAAGATCATGAGATGCTAGTCATGGCTAATCTTGGGTAATTTAGTGTTTAGAATAATGGAAATTCATGTTGCAGCTTGATTTGGTTTAAATGAAATGATAGATAATGGAGGTAAGCTTATGATAGTGCCCAACTTTGATCATGATCACTTCATCATCTCATTTTGTGCAGGTGCAAAGAAGGATGGAGGCAGCATCCACTTCTTTCATCGAACAATTAATGCTTATGCTACTGGTCAGCGAAAGCGCCGCAAAATCCAGAATCAACATAACACAAATGAGGAAAATGTTCGCTGGCATAAGACAGGAAAGACCAAACCTGTCATGGACAATAGTGTCCAAAAGGGTTGGAAGAAGATTATGGTTCTCTACAAAAGTTCAAAAGGGTGCAAACCAGAAAAGTCAAATTGGGCGATGCATCAGTACCATCTAGGGGCTGAAGAAGAAGAGCATGAAGGGGAATATGTGGTTTCTAAAATTTTCTATCAACAGCAAAAACAAACTGAGAAGAATGATGACAGCCCAATGATTGAAGAACTGGATAACTTGACAAGTCGGACTAGTCCAAGGACCCCTAAAACAATTACTCCTGATCCTCCTCGGCCACGGAAATCAGTGATAAATGATGATGTTGATGAAAACATGCACCAGGTACCATATCTTTTGTTTATTTATCGTCGTGTGTTAATTCATTTGCCTTCACATAACTATTGAGGATATTCAGCTTTTGATGGCCATATAAATCAGTGTGGATTTGAACTATAAAATGAACTTGTCAATCTTCACTAGGATGAAACAAATTGTTGGCATTTTGTGTTGTCTTGTAGTATTTATATGAACTAAAAAAACAAAGATGCATGATGAAATATTAAACTCATGCATTTCGATGGAGACATGAAATTAATTTAGTTTGCTATTTATAAATTGAAAACAAAAAATTCTGTCACTTGAACATTGAGTTTCTAGGATTCTTTGGTGCATTTAGTCCTCACTGAAGTTCACTTCCATGGATTAGGAACCAAAATTTGCTGCAGAAGGATCTCATCTACCTCTGCAATCTGTTCAATGTGAGGATGATTCGGACTATCCAGCATGGCTGGCAGGGGAATCTCAGGCTGCTGAAAATTCTGACTTCGATTGCTTGGATAATTCTTTGCTATGCAATGAGCTTTTGGATTCATCTTCCCTGCTAAAGAATTCAGTCTCATATACCGGCTGTGTTAATGGTGCAATTGAGATGACGGGAAATAATGATGCATCTTGTGGAATTTCTGAGCTTGAGAACTTAGAGTTTGATACTCCACCTGATGTACCACTAGCTGTGAGCTTCAACTCTCGCCCTCCATCAATTTGTTTGTCTCTCAAAATATCATCATATAATTATCATAAAATCTCAAATTCTCATATCAATTTGATGCAGGATCTACAATTTGGCTCTCAGGAAAGCATTCTTTCGTGGTTAGACCGGCTATGAAGAACTATTATGAAGCTGAAGCGCCCCAAGGACAAAGTCCAAGTTTTGAGCTCCTCCATTGTCTCAAGGAAGCAGTTTCCTTGTCATGCATTTCTTACGGGCTTAGTGCTAGACAATTGTTTTGCTTTCAGAGGCATAGAGAGTTTGTTCTTTCTCGGTTTGTTCTTCAAGGCTGTTTTAGGCTCTTGAAGGTGTTCGTCCCTGGCTGCCAGACTGCTCCTACGATCAGTCATGACTCGGAAGCTTGTGTTGTAGGTTATCATACCATCCATGAAGCTAAAACTGCCTGGTTGCTGAATAAGAGCTGTTGGTTGAGTACATGATAAACTCGAAGGCCATGTTATCAAGAAAGATGCATCTGTTACTTCCCTGGAACCAACATACAGTCTTTTGCAATAACATTTGGCCTAATCTGATGCCCCATCTCATGTAAGAAACACAAGCATTTGGTGTTGCATTTGTGCAACTAAAACATGTAGCCATGTCATTAGGCTTTACCATTGATGTTTATGTAATCTGAACTCCTATTTCTGTGTGAAATTTTAAGGTTCGGTTTGGTTTGAGAAAATATTTTTTATTTTTATTTTTTATTTTCATTTTTTAGAAAATAAGTCTTATTGTTTATTTTTTTCTAAAAAATGTATTTAGTAAACAAAAATAAAAATTATTTTTCTAAAATACAAAAATAAGAAAAAAAATAAATTATTCAATGATATTACTACTAATATCATCTAATTATAAATATAATATATATTTATGAATTAATGATATTAAAAAGTATTCAAATATGATAACTTGCAAAATATAAAAAAAAATAATAATGTGCATCTTTCATTTTCACAATTGAAAAAATATATATATATTTTTTTCATATTTCAATTTATTTTTATTTTTGTTTTTTAAAAATTTATTTTCATTTTTAATTATCTTACACATTTTTACTCATATTTTTTATTTTTCAGGAAAAAAAAATTCTATTTTCTAAAACCGAACATTATCTAAGGTTTTCATTCTTGTGTTGTGTGGATACACAATCTATTTTTTTTATTTAAGCTCTGCCTTTCCAAAGGTTTCTTTTTAGATTAAGAACAAAATCATCATTTTTTTTTTTCAAATGAAGAAAAATTATCCACCTTAGAACATTGATGTCCAACACAAAAAATTAATACTAGTAATAATCGCCAAGAAACAATGAATCAATGAATCAAAGAGAAATTATTAACCTTTGCAACTTATTTACTCCTGAAATTTTCACCAAAAATAATTACTCAACCATAATAGATAGAATCAAAGTCAATTTTTTTTTTTATTATTATTATTATTATTGTTATTATTATTAAGAAGGAAACGGTATTTTCAAGATAAAAATATAATTATAAATATTGAAATTTAAATTTTAAATTAATTGAATGAGTAATTATAATAATAAATTAAGCTTAAGCTAATCAATTATTAGTTAATAAATCGAAACGAGATCATATAAAAGTATTATCGAAATTATATTTAACTATTGAGTTATATCAATAAATTAGACATTCTTTTTTTTTTAATTTCTCTTCACACTTTTTTTAATTCATTTTTAAATAAAATTATTTAATTACTTTTTTTAACATCCCTTCTACTTTTAAATTTTTTAAAAATTGATATTTTCATTTTTTTTTCAAACTTAAATGTAATTTTTTTAAATTTACTAAATATGAAAATATGATAAATTATATAATTTACAGAATATATAAAAATGCATAATCAACTTTGAAATTGAATTAAGAAAGATAAATAAATAATTTTACTTAATTTTTTTTTTTTTTTAAGTTGGGAGCAACAAGAAAAAAGCAAAGTGAAAACCTCTCTAAGCATAAATTAATAATAATAAAAAAAAAAACCTCCAAAACCCAAAACCCTGAAAACTGGAAACCCTTCGTCAAAGCCTCTCCATTTCGGCAAAACCAAGCAAAGAGACAATGAAATTAAAGAACTGATTTCATAGGGAAGAAAAAGGAGTGATCTTTACTAATAGATTAAATGTTTGCAGCTAGGAATCTTCAAAAACATTGCTTGAAGACTCTGTCTTCTCTGCTCCAATCAAATCCTCACAGGTACAAATTTTATCTATTTCATATCAAATAAGAATAAATAAGACAAATTTAAACTCTGGGTATTGTTTATCTTGTTTTATTACTGCCCATCAATGGAACTTTTAATCTGTTACAGCTTTGTTGTTCAGTTTCAGTGTCCTTCTCTTTAGAATAGAGCTTGTGATTTTTTTCCTTTTTATTTTAGGTTTTATTTGTATGCTTTAGTTTGATTCTAGATGGACTTTAACAATTTCTTTTTTTTTTTTTTTAAGTTTTATGGGGAAAAAAGTGAGATTTATCTGGTTTTCCCCTGAATTTAGCCAAAGTTTTGTGATTGGGTTTGGGGTGGTTATGCTTTATTCTTCTATTTATTTACTTTTTTTTTTGTTTTAATTAAAATTCAGGTATGTTGTAGCGTTTAAGGATGCTACTCCAACACTAGCCTCAAGCAATGTGATACAATTAGGTGGTTGTTTTGAAGATGATTTTGCATCATTTCCTTCTTTTAGTAATCCCTTCAATGGATGGTGTCGGATGATGTCAACATCAAGAGGGAGGAGTATGCGAAGCAAGGTGGAAAGACGAATGCAGAAAGAGTCTGGTAAAACGGCTAGGGAAATCCGGAGAGCAAAGAAACTTAAGAAGAAGCTTATGACTGATGAGGAGAGGCTTATTTACAACCTCAAAAGAGTATGTTATTGTGCCATTAATAAGTGACTATGAACTATTTCTTTCTTTTTGTTTCTTTATTTTTTAATTTGATGCATGCCTGTAGCATATCTTACTTAATTTAAAGGAATCGATAATGTTAAACTCCCTTTCGAGGTCAAACAATCATTCAGACTGAGAGTTTGAATGTTCTCCCTGATATTTTTCTCCGGTATAGTAATTTTATTGTTGTTAGAGGATTGTTAGGATGGTGCCTCTATATTTGCAATTTATGTATTCTTATAACTAATGCAGGCTAAGAAGAAAGTGGCACTACTATTACAAAAGCTCAAGAAGTATGAGCTACCAGAGCTGCCACCTTCTGTGCATGATCCTGAGCTACTGACTACTGAGCAGCTTCAGGCATTTAAAAAGATTGGATTCAGAAACAAAAATTATGTTCCCGTTGGAGTCCGTGGGGTCTTTGGTGGAGTTGTCCAAAATATGCATCTGCACTGGAAATTTCATGAGACCGTGCAAGTTTGTTGTGATAACTTCCCCAAAGAAAAGATCAGGGAAATGGCAACAATGCTTGCGAGACTGAGTGGTGGAATTGTCATTAATATTCATAATGTAAAAACGATTATCATGTTCCGTGGAAGAAACTATCGCCAACCAAAAAATCTGATTCCCATCAATACCCTTACCAAAAGGAAGGTAAGTAAGTTTATTACGTTCCTTGCCACAGAATGTCACATTTGTTTGCATCAACATTGTATCTGGCTTAGGCTTTCCATATGTCAGAAAGTGTTTAAAATTATTTGAGTCATTGTCTTCATAAATGCAGGCATTATTCAAGGCCAGATTTGAACAAGCTCTTGAAGCTCAGAAGCTAAACATAAAGAAGATAGAGCAGGAACTTAGGCGAAAAGGTATTAACCCTGAGGATCCAGTTGCAATGGCCAGTATTCAGAGAGTCGCCTCAACATTCTTCAATGCAATTGATGAGAAGGCAGGCAGCCCATATGTCTTTCACGATGACAATTCACCTGTAGCAGAACCTAAGACTACTTTGGCACATGCAGAAGCTCCTGCTGAAAGCGACCAGGAGGAGCTAGACAGATTCATAGCTGAGATTGAGGATGCAGCTGATCGAGAATGGGCTGAAGGGGAAGAAGAAGAGAAAGAAGAGATTGGGAGAATTAGATACTGGAATAGACAAGAGTTTGGAGGAAGCTATGGGAGATCAGATAACCTTAGAAACAATTACTCTGACAATGAGGTTAGGGGGTCTAGGTTTTGGAAAGATACACGTGGAAACAAGAAGACTGCTGATAGTGAGGATGAATATGAAGATAATTTTGAGGGTCGTACTGAATTGGATCCTGGTAATGCTGGTCATTTGAGTGAGGCTGATAGTGATGATGATGATGATGATGATGATGATGGTGATGGTGATGATTCTGATGAAGTTTTTGAGTTCAAGAGATCTAGCATGGAAAAGGGAAAGCAAGACAAGACTGGAAGGTGGAACAAGACTGCGGGTTTCAGGAGAAACTCTGCAGGTAGATATAGACAACCGATGGCGGAAGAAGATTCTGAGTTGGAAAGTATGTTGAGTGACCTTGACAATGCAATGCAAGAATCTGATGCTGAGGAAGATCATGATTTCACAGTGTCAAATCCTAGTCAAAATTTCAGGAGCAGCAGTGATGAAGAGGATGGATTTTATTCGACAAAGAGAAATAAAAAAAATAGGGTGCAATATTATGAGAGTGACTATTCTTTCGAAGATCATGCTGAACTTGAGATGTCTAATACAGCAGAGGGGAAGCTTGATAGGAATGCTAGAGGCAGCAATAGTGTCGGTTTTAAGAGAAATGTTGATGCTGACAACAAAAAGATCGCCAAGGAAGCAGAGGATGTGTTTAGTGACTAAATTTGCAACATTGGGAATCAGACACTAAGAAATTCTCGAATATGATGAGCTGGGATGTAATACAGACTGCAGGGCAGTGGTGAAGAAGACTGTTACAACTTAAAGAATGATGAGGCAGGCAAATCATGGAAGGGTGAAGATGCAAAAATAGTCGATGAGACTTGGGACATTGACTTTCTGGTTATTTGTCCTTGCCTTTTGATTCAAGGACATAAGGTGACTAGCGGAAAGTGGGGAACCCATTTATTCTGATCCGAAACTGGAATTGAATTATATGAATGTCATGATTGTTAAGATTATTTATATTGTCTGATTAAACTCTTCTTGTTACTATCAAATACTCGAGTTGAAGTGGAATTCTTCAATGGAGCAAACATCTCCAGTTCTCCTCTAGTGGATAACTAAAACTTCATTACATGTTTCTTCAATGATGTTTTAGAGTGCTGTTATCTGATTGACTTGATGAGGATTAGTATAAAACATAGAATGCAAGTGCGGTACAAGAGTAATACTTGAAATCTAGATTTCATGCCCCAAGGTCTCTTTTTTTTTTCTTAATGTTTCTGTCAAATTTCTGTTAAATGTCAACTCTAAACATATTGAGACAAACTTCTGTGGCCACATCTTTTCCCTTTTTCTTGATTCTGGAATGATCCAGGTCATTTAATGGGATTGAGATCCCATCTCCAACAAAACTTGCAAAACATGCACTCATGTTCCTCATGCCAAGTGCAAATCTATGCGTTCTTCTCATAGTCCAAGGGAAACTCTTTTTCCTTAACCCTGCTAAAATGAAGCAGACACTTGGCAGTTCTTATGCTCAACCTCTCTTATATTCAGAGCATCACATGACATGGTTATATCAGAAAAATGAACCGCTTCAGCCTTCAAACCATAGGCTATCATGCAAACTAAATATCAGAACTTGAAATATTTACTAAAATTTTACTCAATAGTGAATTGTATCTTTTGCTTAAAAATTAAAATTGGAATCATTTTCTCTCAAATATTAAAACAAAAACATATCATGATAATTTGATCTATATGACGAGGCATTTAATTGGTTGGCTTATGGTTGTAGTTAATAAGAAGAGGATGAGTCAACCAGAACCACAAACACCACTTGTCCACTAATGCATGCATCAATCAAAATCAACAAATTCCACAGTAGTCTTTGTCATTATCACCATTAAAAACTCTTTCCCTTTCATAAAAGATCTTCCAATCAAATTTTATCTTTTTTGCATGAAACTATGTCACGCAATTTTATTTTCTCAAATAAACACCAATTCTTACAACCAATTAATGTTTCATTTAGATAATTGTAAGAAATCCAATCATTGACTTTAAGGAAACTCAAGTCAAATGGTATGCCATGTTACATGTTTCTGTCATCCATTGAAGACGAAATGGTCTGCCATAAGGTATGAATGCGAATACATTATGTTTTTTATAATTATTTTTATTAATTTTAAAGATCATAGTGTCATAATTTTTTAACACGAGTTAAATTTAATCAAAATGATTCACTTATCTCTTTTGAAAATTGAATTTTTGTTAAAATTCAATGTTCGACACTTGTAATTTTTTTTAATTCTTTTAAACTGTGATTTTTTTTTTATAAAAAAATTCTTGCTAAATAAATGGTATGGTCAACGTCTTGTATTAGGGACCTAATGCAGCCATGGCTTCTGCAAACAAGCAACCAATGCAGAAGAAGCAATCTGCAGATTGGTGCAACAGTTCACTGACCACATTCCATGATCTTCTATTAGTGGCTTGAAATTCACTTTTTAATTATTTTTTAACAGGTTAGAAGTTTGGGAAACTGTTTCCCTGGAGGTTAGGAATGTGAAGGAAAAAACCAATCCTGTGAGTTCAACTACCACAAAAAAATCTATAAGAATTGCAAAGTGTTTGTGGGGCTGTCCTGAATCTTAGATTTGATGAATCAAGCTTTTCCAAACTACTTGTTTAAAAAATTGTCGATGAAATTGTTTGATAATAATTGAACTTGTTTGATTTTAAAATGGTTTTTTTTTAAGAAATTGTCGTTATTTATACTCGACACGATATGATAAAAAAAAAATAATAATAATATAATTTAAAATTAATCAAAATTATATATAAATTTAATAAAAATAAATATATATTTAATGTTTTAACATATAAATACGAATTATGATATGATAATTTGTGTATTTTATATATATTTAAAATAAAAGAGACATTCAAATATACAAATGAATATTTCAGTGATTTTTCAAAAAATAAAAAAAAGACCATGAACTTATAGGAAATATAACGTGGATACCACCTCCGAAGTGCCTAAAAACTGCAGCACTTTTAGTGGGAAATCAAAAGTTTTCTTTCATTTTTTCTAATATTTGTTTATTTGGTGGGGAACCATGGCTTGAACACCCAAAGGCAGTTTCTGAAGCAAGCTCAATCAGTAATTCTCCTCAACCTATGAACCCCCAAGGGGCAGTTTCAGCCAAAATGATTGAAAGGTGCCTTGACCTTGTGAACTCAGGATTAACAGTGAACCTTCAGAGATTTCATTGTTAATGCTAAGGAATTAAAATTCTAATGGAAGAAGAATTCACCTATTCAGGAAAGATAAGTCTGCTCATTATGCTAACCTTAAACGTGTTGGAACATTCAAAAAGGAAAAAATAAGACAGCAATGATTCAGCATTATACTCAATGGAAGAACCAACAGGAGTCAAATGATACAGATGATCGAGTTATTGTCAGTACTACTTTGTAAGAGGAATATACAAATAAATTAGTCCAAGAAAAACGAAATTTCCATCAAGGAAAAATCTGGGAAATTGTTATTCTTCCATTTATGCAATCCAAGGGGGAATGTCATACCAGGAGGTGGTATGTCAGCTTTGCAAACCAGTGAATCTACTTCTCTCACAACAAGCTCTCGGACTGGTAATTGGACATGCCTCCATAATGGAAGAAACCAACTTCAGAAAGAGGGACATATAGAAAGTTTCCCCTGACAGTCATAGATCCCATCAAGTTCTACCCAGCTTGAGTATATTCGCCTAGATTTTTTTGGATAAGGGTATACTTCTATCAATGCTACACGTATAGCCATAAAAATGGCCAATGCAGCCTTTTCTGGTACAGGCAAAACTTGACATTGAAGACTTCACAGCAACCATTTTCTAGACTCAGCCAGTTTCTCTTTTGCACTTACCAGGCAAAAGATATTTGTATTTCTCTGCATTATTCAGCAAATATGCAGGAAGATAGACGCCTGAATAAGAGCGAGGGATAGGTCCCATCTTCCCAATGATCTCTTTGAAAGTGTATTCCTCAGGAAGCATGTCAAATAGGTCAGCGCCTCTGCATATTACATCCTGAATCCTTTTGACATCCAAGTAGTGAGAGAACCTCACTCGATCAGTGTGGCTGTAAGCTTTCATCTTGAATATAAACTCACTAATATACCGAAAGCAAAAGCTACAATGCCACCCTGAATCTGACAAGATGATATCAGCTTGACGATAATGAGCATATCTGGTCTCGCCTGTCTTGTACCTGTGGACTGAGGCTCTCCAGCTTTTGTTGTCTACATGATACTCAAATGAGTACAAATAGTTTCTCAACTGAAGATGAATGACAGGCGGTATATCATCACACCATCTCAGTAGATTAATCGTATGTGCACTAGGGATCTCATCTACATCAGACATTATCAACAAATCATCATCTTCTATACCAGCTATTCTGAGAAGCTGGTCCAATGCAACTCTCTGATATGCCTCCTCAACGAAAGGGTTTTCACCCTTCCTGAATCTCCCACCAATCATCCCATATGTCAAACGAGGCTCCATAAATTTAAACTGCTGTCTGTTGCTTGCAAAGAGCAATGGTTTTGGTAAGCTAGTAAATGTCGAGTTGGACTCAAGAAGTACAAATTGTGTTATGTATGGATACAATTCATTCCAACGAAGTGCAAGAATGTCTATCTCATTGCTGAACAACACTGCATCAAAGACACGTCTAGGGGACTCACGAATTTTCCACCCATGAAGATTGCAGAGAGTCTCCATCGTCACATTCTCATGATAATAGTGAGGGATTTCATGGAAAGGCTTAGGAGGTGATTCCCATAGTGGTCTTAGGAAATAGGTGATTTTCTGCCCATGCAAATACACGCCAAAGATGAATAGCGGGATAACCATAAAGAGGAAAGCACAAGTCCTGATATCATACTCTCGCAACATGCATCGCAATCTAGACATGGTCAATGCAGCTCGGGACGCCTGCTGCACATTAGAAAATGAAGACTTTCTAAGATACCAATGTTAAGCTCAAACAAACAAACAAAAGCCATATCCAATCTTAATTGAAGATGATAAACACATGAATTGCATCATATTCCCACATAACGAAAATCATGCCTACTTTACAACATATCTACATAGCAAAACTCAATTCAAATGTTCATTCTTCCAAATACTAAGTTCAAAGTTTGGGATGAAACTCTTGGCTAAGACATCAATGCATAAACCTCCCCCTAATTTCCACTCTCATGTTCAATGTCTAAAACTAGGAACTTTCCTATTCCTTCAAAATACATTACCAATCAAGCACTTCATGAAAACCAAAATGAAGTACCAAAAGAACACTCAGAAGGATGAAAAGGAACCATAAAAATCAAAGAAAATGAAAAGGCAAAATTTTCAACAGGTCACATAAAAAAGCCTAAAACTTCAATATTTTGTGTCAGAGCATATAACTTTCCCATAAAAAAAACATTCCCACTTTTCCACTAATCTCAAACAGTCACCAAACTAGGATCATCAATTATCCAGAAATCAAAACCAAAATGAAAACCTTTTTTTTTTCCAAAAATATTTTATAAATATACAAAAGAGCAAAAAAAAAAAAGAACTTTTAAGGGAAAAAAACTATACCCTCAATCTTAAACAAACTCAAGTGAAAATACCATTCATCCAAACACAAAAATGAACCAAATTTTAAAACAAAAACCAAAAAAAAAAAAAAAAACTTGAGAAATGAAAGCAGCAAGATTACCTGTCCACAAACTTCATCACAAATATCATCAGTCTTCTTGAAATTATAGTATCCATCAGACATGATTAAATCACTCCAACAAAGAGTACCACTTTCTAATCAATAAAACCCAAACTTTATAAAAAATGTTGATGTTAAAGCCTCCAACCTTTTCAGAGTTCAGATCAAAATCCTCCACAACAGAAAAAAAAAAAAAAAGAAAAAGGCCAAATTTTTTAAGGAGAGAAAATCTAGCAAACAAAAATCCAGTAAAGTTTCAACAATGATTTTCAAAAAAAAATTCTTTTTTTATCGTCTTTTCTCTTCCTCTTCTTCTGCTTCTCTAACGTCTATTATAGCCGTTTGGTGATTTTTCGCTCTTTCACCAGATGCCTCCATTCCAATAATACAGAGGATTTTATAACCCCACAAAAATTCCACAGAAAAGGAAAAAAAAAAAAAACCACCAAATAAAACAAAAATATATAATAAAATAACTATATTTCTTAGCAACTTCCAATATTTGAGTTTCTCTCCTGTACATTTGTGTATATATCTAAACCTTGATATTAGCCGTTTGACTATGAGAAAAGTTTTAATGTATTTGATCAACGGTGTAGAATTATTGTAAATACACTTAGACTTGTATAATTTATTTTTCAAATAAAATTTAAAGATCATTAAATTACTTAGTTAGAGATAGTCATTTAGATTATCTCGCCAAGAGTTTATTTGGATTTTGTTATGTCATTTTATTAATTAAAATTTTGAAATTTTAATTATAAAATAAAATTATAATAAGAAATGATAAAATATTTTTTACCACGTAATAAAATATACCTTAAATCCTAAATATGATAGTAATATTAATAAAAAAAAGCATTAATACCTTTTGAATCTAAAATAGATGAATTTATCAATTAAGTTTTTTTTTATTCAATTATTTAATTTTTTATAATAATTAGACTTAATGAAAAAAAATACTTTTTAGTATGAGGATATTTTGTAAATTTTTTTGAAAAAAGAATGTAATTTTTATATACCAAAAAAATCAATGAATTTGTTAAACAAGGGCCTTATTTGGAAAACTATTAAAGTACAGGGATGTAAATGTAATTTAAGCTTATTGTTATTGTGAGGTGTTTGTAGAGTATTATTATTTCCTGACAGAACAAGTGCTGATCTGTCAACATAGGCAGTTGCTAACATGTTACAGTATTTTTGAGTTAAATCATCCGCGTTAAACGCGGGTTAAAAGGAAAATCTTGGTTATCCGAGGTTTTTTTTTACGGGAATGTCCTTAATGGAGTGTTTGTTTGTTGAGGAAAAGGTGAGGGTGTTTTTGTTATTTTGTTCATTTCCTGCTTAATGCATGCGGTAATTTTTTTGGGTTAATTTGTGTAATCAAGAACAATCACTTTTGTTTAAGATAAAAATGTGTTGGTTTTAAGATATTTTTTTTCTTTATTTCAAAGGAGATTAAAAATAAAAAATTTAAATCTTAATATTTATAATTAAATTTGATAATATAAAATACGATATCGTAATATGACATAAATATGATAAAAAATATATGAAAATAATATAATTTAAAATTTTAATAATAATTATATATGAATTTAATAAAATAAAAATAATATATTATATATTTTTATGTCAATAATTGTAACACGTAATTTTCGTATAAAATATAATATGAATACATAAATTTTAATAATTTATATGATAAGAATACATGAATTGATATATTTATTTATAATCTTTTTTTAATTTTTAGATTACAATTTTTTATAAAAATATAAAAATGTTAAAAAAGACAAAAATGTTTTTGGTAAGTGCCATTTTGTTGGGATTGGTTTGAAATTGGTAAGAATAATATACTTTTGGGATGAAATCAAGGCAAAGAAAAGGGATAAAATCTTAAGTTTAGTGGGTTTGTTTTTTATTTTGTTTTTTTTTTTTTTTTAAGAATGAGTGATTTAAGGATTCTATACAAAATTTACAGAAATTTTAGGAGCAAGATGACTCAAAAAAGTTAATTTTGATTTTGAAATTTAGAAAATAATAAAAATTAAAATTAAATAAAATTTCCTATAAAATAGAGGAAAAAAAGGGAAAAAAGTAGTATATACAATGAACATTAGTAATATTTATTAGTTAATAAAAAATAATGACTTTGGAAAAGATGATGAAATTTTTAACTTTTTTTAGGTACATTAGATTTCACTTTTATAATCAAACAAAAAAGTTTTCTCCTTTATACTTTTGAAACATATAATAATATATAAAATAATGTATAAAATGAAAGAGGATCGTCTTTTATTAGGTATAGAAAAGAATATACAAAAAAGAATATAATAAAAAAAATTTTCAAATTTTAATCATCCATCACAAAATTATCTAAAAATAATCATAGCAATAAAGTTAAAAAAAATATCATAATAATAATAATTAATGATTAATCCAATAATATTGAAATCAATTTCAAATTTAAAAATATCTAATTCAAATTTCGATTATAATTCAAAAGACAAAAAAATAAAAATCATAATCAATGGTTGAATTTGGAATAGATTTCAAATTATTGTAGACCACCCTCATTTAAAATCAATAATTAAAATGGATTAAATTTTTCCTAGCCGTTGAAATCATTGGGTTTCCTCTTGATTTCCCAAGAAATTATTAGTAAATCTGTGTTTTTTTTTTTTTTAATTCTAATAGTAATATTAATTAGAACAGCGTATCAATGAATTTAGATCTCTGTCATTTCTGAACTATCATTTACTGGTGAAGGTTGTTTGACTCAATTTTATAATGTAATGTACCAGTAATTTTTAAAGCCAGTTGTGTATTAAATAAATATATTAAAATATTTATTTTATGTACATTAATAGTAAAATTTTTTAAATTCATAAATGAAATTAAAAAACTATTATATATCTTATTTTTTAATTAACTTTTTTAATATATCATAAGAGATATGCGTCACATGTTAATCTTATTTTTTTTAATTATATGATAGGATTAAAATTAAGATCTCTAGTTCTCCGATGCTAGTAGGTTTGTCGTGTTTTTTTTTTTTTACTTGAGACTATTGAGATTTAAATTTAATTACTGATATTAAGAGTTAAATATCTAACAATTTAAAATATGTTACGATAATATAATATAAAAATAAAATACGAATGTGACACAACATAAAATTTTAATAATAATTATTTATGAATTTAATAAGATAAAAAATAAATTTTATATTTTTGTTTCGACATAAATTATGATATATAATTTTTATATAAAATATGATGTAAATATACGAATTATAATAATTTATCAAACATGAATATATGAATTATTGAATTTATTAAAGCGATGAAAGTACTTTTGAAAGCTTTGTTCACATGACTATTAGCGTCCATGCTTTTTTTTAAACACACTATTCCAATTCTCTATTGGTATATATAAAGTGATGAAGGTACCTTTGAAAGCTTAGTTCATATAGTGATGTTTCTAGGTAGTTTCCTGGAAAATTCAGTCAAGGAATAACAAACACATATTTGTTGGTTCTTTTGAGTGGTTAAGGAAAAAAAAAGGCATATTCCAGCCATTGAAAGGAATTTACCTAAAGTAATGGCAAATCTCGTGTTTTTGGAAGCGTTTTTGATTTAGAGGGAAAGGGATGGTTCCCAATACCAACATTTCATTTTCCTTCCTTTTTCTTCCTTGGGAAACGTTAAAATTTAATAATTATTAAACATGATAATTAAAAATATGATATATTAATATAATATAAATATAATATATATAAATAAAATATAAAAATGATACGATTTATAATTTTAATAATAATTATATATAAATTTAATAAAATTAAAAAATATATTTTATATTTTTATGTCAATATAATTTATAATATATAATTTTTGTATAAAATATAATATGAATATATAAATTTTAATATTTTATATTATACGAATCGTTAGATTTAATAATTATCACAAATTTTTTTAAAAACAAAACTTAGAGTAAAACCAAATCAAATTGTCTGTATTATCAAATTTAAATTTGGTATCATAGTGCAGATGCTTTAGCCAATTTCTTTATTGCATTATCGATGAAAGTTGGCTGGAGTTACTGTCTTTTCAGAACATTGTAATAAACTACATCATTGTTAAGTCTGCAAGAATACAAGATTATTAAAGAAATCGTTGATTGAAGATAAATAAAAAAATTACAAATGTTGATATTTAAATTTAAAATTTATTATATATGATATTTTAAAAATAATTATATAAATTAATTAAATTAAATTCGTCTAAATAACACCGAGACATTCAATATCTTGATGTTATCTACCTTTACATGTTTTTGGGCATTAATTCCAATGGGATTTGTTCATATTTGTTCAATTTCATGCCAATGTCTTGTTGAGATCTTCAGCATGGACTTTGTCATTTTTCTCTCTTTTTTTTTTTAATTTTTTTTATTGTGTTTCCTAGCAATCACCCACTGGATTTGGAAGAATTCATTTGTCTTCTTTGGCAACATTGCTTTCTTAGGTTATCCCACTTTCATGGGTATTTCAATTGGGACCCTTTGTTGGATGTGAATGGAAGTTACCTAATCTCTAACAAGCTTCCTTAATTAAATCCAAAGCATCAATGCCCTACTTTAGCTTTAGAATAGGCCTTCTAATCATCCTTTTTCATGTATGAACATTGTGTTAGTAATTATTGAAAAGATTTTCAACATATATATATATATATATATCGACCGTTGATATATCATCACATTTATTTCGATCAAAATTAATTTTGAAAAAAAAAAATATATATATATAATATAAACAAAATATCACATATAAAGTAATAGATAATTTCAAATTTTCAAAGTAGAGCAAAAAATATGATAAGTTTTCATGACTTTCTATGTAAACAAAACATCACATATTTAAGTAAATTTAACTTAAAATATCTGATAAATTCAAGATTTCAAAATCAAATTAAAAAAAATGAGAAGTATGCATATTTATTACATAAATTAACTAAAATCCAATCGAGCTATCTTTTTCTTTTTATCTATTCATTCACAAAACTCAAACATTACGTATTTTAGTAATTTTAACTTAAATATCCGATAAATTTAAGATTTCAAAATTGAGTAAAAAATATGATAAGTTTTTTTTATTTTCTATGCAAACAAAACATCACATATTTAAGTAATTTTAACTTAAAATATATGATAAATTCAAGATTTCAAAATCAAATCAAACATATGAGAAGTATACATAATTATTACGTAAATTAACTAAAATCCAATTAAGCTATCTTTTTTTTTTTTTTTTATCTATTCATGTACAAAACTCGAACCTTACATATTTAAGTAATTTAAACTTAAATATCCGATAAATTCAAGATTTCAAAATCGAGTCAAAATAT